TCATAACAGCAGCACTCGCTATTAGCAGACAAGAGCGGGTGGGAGGAGGACAAGGCGGAGCAGGCGACTCGCCTTGAGCGTGAAGTCGCTTGCCCCGGTCACTGGCCTCAATTGACTCAACTTGTCAACGCTTGCAGGCCCCAATGAGCACATACTCAGAGGCACTGTGCTGCTAAAATTGCTCGCGTCACCCAAGCAGACTCACCGTGCGGCCCTCCGTGCTGACTGAGCTTGCTGCTGGACCCTTTCCTCATTGCCAGGTGCTGGTCCTTGTGCTGTCAACGTTCACCCACCCAGAGGACCCTTTATGCGTGCCCTACATTTGCTTGACAGGGTTCACTCCACCCTCCTCGCACAACTCCGGCTCGACTTCGGAAACTTGGTTTCATCAAAGGCAAGGATGGGGCTTGGGACGGGACTTTGCAAGTGCGGCAAGGCAGTGGAGACCCGCCAGTACTACCTCTTTAAGTGCTTGCTCTACACAGACAAGTGCCGGCATCTCCGGCGCGAGATTGCCTTGACAAACCCTAAGATGGACAAGATCTTCTCTCCTTGCCACTTCCAACCCTTGCTTTGTTCTAGTTTGGCTACCTACCACTTCCCACAGTTGTACACTCCTCTTCCTCTCATAGCTTAGGTAGTGCCCGGTGCCTCGCCCTGATCGGTGGCCCGGGTCTTTCCAGGCCTGATCGACTTTCAATGTGGAATCTATCCTATCCTGTCCTATCCTGTCCTATCCCACCACCTCGCTGAGACGGCTGAGTAAAGCTCCCTCAGTTGTCTTGCTTGCTTCAGCTTACGCAAGGACGCTAAGGGTGAGGCTGTCCCTGCTGACCTCAACTGTACTCTGCCATACCTGCACATTCAGCTGGAGCCAAACTGATATGCCCGCTCACCTCTATGACTCTTTCGGTCGCCTTGACTTTGCCTTTCTCACTTCTCTTGCCTTCGACTTGACTTGCTCAACTCTTCTCAAACAGACGCGGCTAGACAGGTTGCAGTGGAAATGATGAGGACAGATGTTGAACGATCGATCTAGCTGTAGACCCTTGCTCCTCTCTGCTCCTCTCTCCCTCCCTCTCTCTCTCTCTCTCTCTCTCTCTCTCTCTGTGTAGCACTCCCCTCTCTACTCACTCTCATTTCTGCAACCAAAGCCTGAATCAGTATTGATCGCTCTGTTTCAGTTGCCTGACATCAAACTACTGCGCCAGTTGCCTGTCCTCGCATTGCACTGAAGACGGTGCACCTTGCACAAATCCCCACTCTGGCCTTCTCCTTGGCAATGCTGCCCACCGCGCCACCCTCCTGAACTCGTCGCTTCAACCCACTCTCTTGTCCATCTGACAGAGCTGGACAAGAATGAGCAGCAAGAGTCAGAGAAACAGGCTTGAAGCAACGGTACGTATTGCTCATAACTTTGATCTTTGACCTTGATTTGGATGAGCAATGATCGATGCGGGCACGACGGGATGGACAGAAGGCCAGCAAGATGATGCAAAGGAAGAGCGAGCAACGAAAGCGATGGGTTGGCTGTTGAACGTTGAGCTCTCAAAACAGCACTGCTCCACGTCGTCCTTGCAAATAGATGCGGACCCTCTGCAAGGCGCACCGTCCTCAGCGCAATGCAAGGACAGGCGACTAGCGCAGTTGATGGCGGAAGAGTTGTAACGAGACCGATCGATACTGATTCGGGTCCTGTTCCAGAAGCGAGAGCGAGAGAGGAGGGGAGCGCTAAAGAGAAATGAAGAGAGAGCGACAAGGCAGCGAGGAGGCTACTGCAGCTAGATCAATTGCCCAACCTCTGTCCCATCGTTTCCACCGCTTCACTTGCTAACCGTGTCCGTTCAATAGTCAAGCGAGGCGAGCCGAAGGCAAGTGAGCGAGAAAAGGGCGAAGTCGAGGAAGCCGGAAGTGTAGAGTCGACGAGCGGGCGTAGCACCCTCGCTCTCGCTCCCCACAGATCGGCCATTTCCCTTCCATTCCGCCAAACCAATCAGACCTTGGACAAAAGGAGAGAGGATCGTTGCGCAGGGCCTACGGCAGCCTCTCGCAGTCACCTGCTGCATGGGAAAAAAAACATGCGCCCAATGTGGGGCTCGAACCCACGACCACCAGATTAAGAGTCTGGTGCTCTACCGACTGAGCTAACCGGGCTGAGTGACCGCTGAGGCCAGCTTAGCGTTTGTGTCCCCCTTGCGTAATCGCTCTAGAAACTCACAAACGTGCAAAGCGCCTCCAACAAACGTATGTAAAGTGCGCGAGCGGCAGGCGAAGCCGTCCAGACAGTCCATCTCTCCCTCTCAAACGAGCGCAGTCTCTGCCAGAGACACAAAGTGCGGCATTCAGGCTGCCGGGATGGCGGAGTCTGCCGGAAGGATAGAGAAGAAAAGAGATGGAACCGGATTCTACGACAATCCACACAACTCGGAGGACAGCAGGTCCCTACGCGGATCCGCGCGACACCTTGTCGAGAACTGCGGGCGCAAGACTTGATCAGCTGACGACCCTGCATACCCGAGGAAGGCCCAGGCATACCCTCGTCGTACGCAACCTCGGAAAAGTCGGTGCCCTGGATTTCGGAGGCAATGCCGACCAGCGCGCGGCGAAGGGCATCCTTGGAGCTCGCGTAAAGCATCTTGTCCTTGATCTTCGCCTCATCAGGGGACCTGAGGGGGCGAGCACATCAGCAGCTGGCTGGAGTGATGCCATGAGCTTCAAGAATCCAATCGACTTGCGACGCACCAAGCGTAGAAGCAGAGCTTGTTCCGCTTGCCCTCGCCCTTCTCGTACTCAAAGTCGTAGACGGCGTATCGCGGCGAGTTGGGAGGCAGGTCACCGACAAAGTCGTCGTACGACGCCGACTCTGACGACTTCTCAACCTGGATCTCCTTATTGTCGTCCGAGAGCTTGAAGACGATGTACTTGAGCTCTGGGCCGCGTACTCGTCAGCGTCCCTCCCTGAGCCAGCCATGACGGCGAAGTCTGCGAGCAACTCACTCTTGCCGAGCTTGAGAGTCTGGTAGGTCTCGAGGCACGACTGGTTGACGCTGACACCGGAAGACTGCGCAAGGCGAGACGAGGTCAGCGTCTCCTTCCGGCAATCTTATCCCGGTTCTGAACAGTATACAGTAACACAGACGCGGTCAGTACCGACGCGCTCCTTCAGAGCGCCCGGCAAGTGTTCTCCTCGCACACACCCCCACGTCGAGTCCTCGACACGCGACGGCGAGGTCGCGCCCCCTCCCGCCCTGCACGCCCGCGCGCCAATCTGCGGATGCTCAGGAATGGCGCGACAGTGTCGGAGTATGCGCAGGTTCTGAGACGGGGGTGAGCAGTGATTCGGGAGTCGGGTTTGATGACGCTGGCGAGCGATGGACGTGAAGCGAGCGGCTGTGGCGGGCGGGACGCGGGGCTTTGCGACTGTTCTGCGTCGACTTAGGGACTGGCACGACTCACCATCGTGACGCTAGCCGAGCTGTTTGAAGCAGACGAGGACAAGGAGAGGACCGACGCAGGAGGTTGACCGTCTGCCGCACACGCGAACGCTCGCATGGCTCGGAGGCTTACAGGTCTGCAGAGGCAGGTGTTCTCGCTCTACAAGCGGTCGCTCAGGATGGTACGCGCGAAGCCTGCCGTGCGTCGCTCACCTCCCTCTCCTCCTGCGAGTTTCATTCGATCAGCTCACCTTTCCATGCCCGCAGGACACCCGACCGGCCTGGTATCGATTTGTTTCGCATCAGTTCCGCGATCCCGAACTCGGCGGCGGTCTCAGGCGCAAGGACATCGCAGCGATCGAACACATGCTCCGTCGCGGCGAGAAGATGCTCGAGTCGTATGGCTCGCCAGGCGTCAAGAACGTCGTCTTGCCAGTGACAGCTGACTGGCCGCTCGGATGGGCTGCGAGGCGAACGAGGCGAGAGGAGCGGGACACATGAAGGACTTGACAACAGCAGGGAGGCAAGCGGGAGAGGATAACGCCGCTCATGTGCGTCCTCCGAGCTTTCGGCGTCGCCCAAGCAGAGACTGATGGTACAGCTCTTTCCCCAGTACGAGAATTCTCGCCCTCGTGCCCGCACGACGCCGGGTTCAGGCTGGTGCGATCGGGATCGGAGACGCCTGCGTAGGCGACTAGCCAGTGCCGCGCACCAAGCCCGCGTGCACGGATAGACGAAGACGGGAGCCAAATCCGAGGGTGCAGGTGAGGCGCAGCCGTAGTAAGGTGCACCTCGAACGAGACATTATTCGTCTACATTGCTACCAAGCCCTTCGCTCGTGTCGCAAGAGAACCTGTTCGAGAGCGCTTGACAGCTCGGCGTGCCTCGCTTCGCAACGCGTGAAGAGCGGAAAACTGCAAGGGCGGGTGTGGACCATCGTCAGCGACGATCTCGGCGCTGCCAGCCCTCCGAGCCGTCAAGGCAGGACACACCGGTTTTGCACCTGTCTTTCGAGGGACTCCAAGTGACGTGAGAGCGCCATAATCGCGCCTGTGCGAACTGGGGACCGCAAGTCCACTGCCGAGCTTGCGCAACATGCTTGCTAGGCCTGGCCCTTCGCAGGCGAAGTAGTCGTGTTGCCGCGACTGAGAATACTCTTCTTCTTGCAGCGACGCAGCCTGTAGAGAAGGATTGGCCTCCTCGTCCCGTTGTGGCTCGGTGACTGCCTGTTAAAGGGCGGCCCGGATCAGCAGTGTTGGCTGCGAGCGCTGGCCCAGACGCACGTCCGTATCCCGCTTCTGGTCCTTGAACGAGAGACCTGGCTGAATGACCGCCTGCAAGACCGGCATGAGGATGCGAGGGTACAAAAGGAGAAGCGGGCGGCACGGGCACGCACGCAATTGCTCTCTGATCGCATGCTTCGAAGCATGCAGATCGTGTTGTTCTTGCAGATCGGTCCCGAGCAGTCCTCGATCTTGCCGCCTCGGGACAGACGCACGTTGAAGAGCTGGAAGACCGTCCTGTCCCGCTCAAGATCCTCAGCATAAGCAGATCCACGATGCTTGTCCAGCCCAGGACGTACTCGTTGCGCTCGAACACCTCGGTGACCCGATGCCAGAAAGTGGCGTTCAAAGGAGCGTCGTCGGGAAAAGGTGGATCGAGGTACGACCCGTAGCTCCTCCGCGCCGAGTAGTAAGGCTGCCAGACTGGATCAATCTGGAAGGACGGTTCAGATTTGTTCGCTGTTTCGATCCGTGTGTTAATCTCTGAGAGAAGGGGTCGCGAGAGGGAACGCACCGTAGTGAGGAACAAAGTCGACGACCTCGTAGGTATCGGGATCCACATCGTAAACGCGGAAGACCGGGTTCCCGCTTGTCGGCGTGAGAGCGCCGGAAATGAACGCGATGCCATTGGCGGTCTCGGCGCGGCGGTCGGCGTAGTCCGGATAGGCGATCTCGAATTCGTCAACGTGGCTGCAAATCCAAGCCGTGAGCAGCGCCGAGGTCAATCAGAAGAGCGATGCAACCTGTGCCCGTAGAAGTGCGCCGCGATGGTGTTGTGGTAGCGCTGGAAAATCTGATTCGCGTAATTTGACTGATCTCGCATCGCATCGACCTTGCCGAAGGGCATGTGCCCGACTGCGTGACGCAAATCGTCAGCGCGCACCGCCGGAGGGGATATGCATGCTAGCGCCAAACGCACTGATCCATGCGCGTTGACCTGCTTGCTCGGCGAGATCCAGCTCATGCGCGAGCCACGTGAGAATTCCGTTCGGATCCCAGACGGGCTCGTCCGAGTCGTAGAGCCAGACTGTGGCGGCATGAGCGAGGTCAGCGGGTCCTTCAATGTTGCGCACGACCCGCAGCTGACAGTTCTGCTTGTACCTATCGAAGCGAGGTGGAATCAGCTCTGCATCTCGTTCAGGAGGGGCAGCGCCACACACCAGTAGTTCGTGTTAAGGGAGATGATCTTGAGATTCGTGCCGGGATGCACGCGCGAGTAGCAGCCGCTCATCTTCCTAACCTGGTCGGCGGCATCGCGCCCGATCCACTTGCGCCAGTCTCTCGCGGCAAGCTCGAAGACCCAGTCCGAATCGTGGGCTTGTGGCGACGTTGACCGAGGAAACGCGTTGACGGGGGCGACATCGCTAGCACGGCTCGGTCAGCGTGGTCTCTCGGAGACGCCGTGTGCCAAAACTCACTGGTTCCCAACGACCGGGTACGACGGGCTCTGCATGTCCTCGTCCCATCTCAACAAGTCGTCGCTGACATGCTGTGGTCACGTGAGTCACTTCCGTCCCGCAACTCTTGAGGTCTGCGCTGGACGCACCGCCTGATCAACCGCCCATACTGCGCTTTCCACCACGTCTCCCGTGAAGATCGTGAACGACTTGTTCGGCGCTAACCTGCGGATTGTTCGTCGATGAGCGGTGGGTAAGCCCGTCCCAGCCGGACGGCATGACCTACTTGTCGATTGCGCGAAACATGCTCTCAACGAGAGCTGGCGGAGCGTCGCACTGGATGCGATAGTTGAGTTGGGATCAACGGGAGGGATAAATCGAATACCTACCTTCTTGTGACCGAACTGTTTGGTCGCAATCGTCAGTGCCGATTCGAGCGCTATCTTCTGAAGCGACTCACTGGACCTGCCGGCACCTTGACCGCCTCCCCCAGACTCCCTGGCCCGTAGTTCCTACAGCAGATCACCTTTGAGCAATCGGCTGACGATCCTGGCTGTTGCGGAAGCAGGCGTCAGGCGGGACGAACAGCTCGCAGAGAGGGCGGTTCACTCGCTGTATAGCTTCGATCGACATGCACATCGCTGATATGAACGACCTGAAACGGCGACCGACCCTTCGAGCGCCAGATCTTCCTGGTACGCCGAGGAGGGTGGCCATTGAGCATCTCCGCTCCTGCGTCGACGGGCGGCTCTGTGAGGTTGACGGTGTGCGGGATCGTGTTCGGGAGGGGACAGAGCCCGAAGATTGTGGTGCAGAAGTTCTTTGCCGCTGGAGACGCGAGGCGGATTGAACGAAGGTCGTGAGCGAGGATTGGCGCCTGCGTACCGACGGCGCCAGCGCACACATCGGCGTCCTCGATCTGCGGAGCCTGCCGGTTAGCGACCCATTCAGGGCTAAAAGAAGCGAGCTACACGCGCCCCGAGCTTGGTGCAGAAGCCCACGAAAAGGTCGACGAAGGCGTCGTCTCCCAGCCTTGCCAGCGCTTGGAGGGGCGCCAGTAGCCCGATGCATGTCGCGCAAGATATGCTAGCTTCGACGTCGCCCATGAAGTCGTCGACGAAGCTTGCATAGACGCAGACCGCGAGGAGGAGTACGACGCTGAGAACGAGGAGTTGGGTACGAAGACTCCCCGGCCAGGCCGACTTGCGCCCGATGTCGACCGCCTCCGGGTTCTCAGCCGGTGGCGTGTGCGAGTCACTCACTGCACCGTAAGAGGCCAAGCTGCGAATGCTGCGCGGGCGCGAGGCGAAGCCGGACGACGAGGGCGAACGGAGCGGAGTGGATGCTGCAGTGTGTCGATCTGGCCGTCGTCCACCCGCGATGTCGTCCGCTAGAAGCCCGAACCGTTCTCCTGGCGTCTGGCACCGTCCCGCAACGGCGCCTGACGAGCCCATGCTTCAGAGCCGAAAGGAGGAGTGTGGGGAGGGGAGGGAGGCGGACGAAAGAGGCGTTCGAGGGCTGGTAGGGCGAGAAAGCGGGAGCCTTAGAGTCGAAACAGAGCCCTTCCTGTCCAGCAACAGTCTCAACGGGGACGAGGCCGTCGTTGGTCGGGGAAACCTCTTCATCGCTTCATCTCTCCTTCACTCACTCACCCGCTGTCGCCTTTGCCGGCACGGTGCAGTATGCTGTACGCTGCTACGACACAACAGGCTACCGCACAGCTGGGTGCGCTACGCTGCGCCTTCTTCGAGCCCTCGCAGGACTGCCTCGTCGTCAAGTGCGTCCGATCCCTCCACAATCCCGCTGTCCCCTCCCGCTGACTGTGTCCGAGGCGTGCTACAGCAAGCTGAACAGGCTCGAGTTCAGCTCCATCGAGGATGGCACGGTCAACCCTTTCCTCGAGGTTCCTCTGTTCTCGACCATCGCCTCGATGCAGAGCGTCCATTTACCGGCAAGTCCGCGCCCTCCCAGCGACTTCGCCCTTGCGTAGCTGCAGCTGAGACTTTGCTTGAACGTGGAACAGGGACAAGTGACCGCTAGCCTCGTCGTCCTGACAACTTGCCTCCGCCTCTTCGCCCTCGTCCACGATCCGTCCTCGCCCTACAACGTCAAGACTGTCTCCTCAGTTTCCGTCGCTGAACCGTTCGGCCGACTCGCTGAATACCAGGATATCTTGGTCGACCCCGCCAACCGCTGCCTCCTCGTTCACGCCTACGCCGGTCTCGTGCGCATCATACCCTTGTCCATCGGCAACACTCCCACGCAGCGTGGATCACGAACGGCGACCAGGCTTGCCGAATCATCGCACGAATCGCCTCTCGACTTGAGCCACAGCTACAACGTCCGACTCCCTATCCTCAACGTCGCCTCTCTCGCACTCGTCGCCTCATCCGCCAATGACTCTCCTACTCTTGCGGCAATTTACACCGAGCATACCGGCGCTCGCACGCTCTCTACGTTCGCGATCAGTCTCAAGGACAAGGACCTTTGCGAAGGCCCCATCGCCGCCTTCGCACTCGCCGATGCGGGCAGTGAACTCGCATTGCCGGTCAACGAGGCAGCTGCGCCCGGCATACTGGTCGCTGGCGAGGAGACGGTCACCTGGGTCAGCCTGGAAGAGCGGAACGGAGCTTCAACTGCGGCCTCGAAGGGCAAAGGGAGGGCTGCCAGTCAGCTGCTCGTCTCCTGCCGCCTGCCTGTAGCACGGATCACTGCGTGAGTGGCTACACGCGCCTTTTGCTGCTGTTAGGACCACTTGTTGACGGTCTTGCCGAGCAGATGGGCTTGGCGCGGCACCGACCGTCTCCTTCTCGGCGACATCTACGGCAAGCTCTTCGAGGTGAACCTGCGGCGGGGGGAAGACGGCGTTGTCAGCGGTATCTCCGCGCAGGATGTCGGAGACGTGAGTCTGCCTCGCCGTGAAGCTGAAGTGAGCTGATCTGGCGGCATTCTCAGGCGGCGTCAGCGAGTGCAATCGTGCCTCTCGACACGACAACTGTCTATCTCGCGTCGCGTTTCGGCGACCCCCAGATCGTGCGGTTCGTTTCGGCGGAAGATGAAGGCATGGCTGGGTCGGCAGAACTCGCCCTCGTCGACAGCTTCTCGAACATCGCGCCGATAGTCGATATCTGCGTCGTCAACGCACACGGACAGGCTGCGGTGAGCATTGCCCGCCGGATGAATGGAACGTTCAGCTGATGAGCTCGTTACTTGTAGAATTACGCCGTCACCTGTTCGGGCGCATACAAGACCGGATCCCTCCGTGTGATCCGCCGCGGGGTCGGATTGACCGAACTCGCAGCACTCGAAGCCGAGGGCGTCCAGCAGATCTGGTCGCTTACGCCGCTTGCGCCGTGCGTCAACCTCGATTCGAAAGGCTTTCGTTCGTTCCTGATCTTTTCGCCGTCAGCTCAACCGAGCAATTACTCGTCCTAGGTTTCTTCGACGAGACCCGCGTCTTCAAGCTGTCTGCGGGCGACCCTGCAGGAGTCGAGGCAGTTCAGATGGACGAGATGGATCTGCAGCTGTTTGCTTCGCCAGGTCTGACCATCTTTGCCGGTTGCGTCGGGTCGATGCTGGTCCGCGTGACGGCAGAGGCTGTCACCTACACGTCAGATCGCGGCGAGAAGAGTTGGAAGGCCATAAGCGCAGGGAAAATCACCGCCGCTGCTGCTGGAGGCGACCATCTCGTACTCGCGTTCGAAGGCGGCTTTTTGAAGCTCCTCACTGCGCAGAATGACATTTTCACGGAGTCGGGGTGAGTCAGGTCAGCCCAGTCAGGCGTGCACTCGTCATGGCTGGTCGGCAGATCTGGTCTGACATTTTGCACGTCAACAGCAATATCGCTTTCGAGCACGACATCGCATCGCTTTCCCTGTCCGAGACGTCCGCCGGCGCTTTTGCGGTCGTCGGGCTTTGGACGTCGCAGGCGGTCCATCTTGTTGGGATCCCCGATCTCGCCGTCTACGCCTCGCAAAAGATCGCGTCGACTTTCCTCATCCGATCCGCCGCACTTACCAACTTTGGCAACGGAGACTACGCGCTCTTCGTCGGTCTCGGCGACGGCACTCTCGCGAGTTATACGGTGGATCTCGCGGCGCACGCTGTCACCGACTCGACGGGGAAGATGATCGCTCTCGGCAGGCGGCCGCTCTTGCTCAGCGAGATCGGTCCCGAAGGCGCCAAGGTACTTCTCGCCGTCAGCGACCGCCCTACGGTCATCAGCAGAGCGCGCGATCGGCTCAACTACTCAAGCGTGACGATTACGGTGAGTCGAGCTCGTCCAGGCGCGAAGCACCCGCAGCTACGCTGACCATCTAATTGTGCAGGATGTCTCGTCTGTCGTCAACATCTCTCATCCCGCCTTGGGCGACTTGGTTGCCCTTGTCTCGCGCGAGGGCGTCCAAATCGGGCGGATGGATACGGTCCAGAAGGTCGACATTCGGACCGTCCCGTTGGCCGAGGACGAACCTCGCAGGATCGTCTACAATCCCGTCAGTCGCGAATTCTGCGTCGCATGCTCGAGGCGCGACGTCGACCGGCGCACAGGTCAGCAGGCCGTCACGAGCTTCGTGCGGCTTGTGTCGGAAGATTCGTTCGAGAGTGCGTCGGCGCAGGTCTGACACTACCTCTCCTCCACGCGACTGACGAGCTGCATCGTTCCGCAGCTTCAAGCGTCTTCGAGCTCGAGCGCGGGGAAGAGGCGCAAAGCCTCGCCCTCGTCGAAAGCCAGGACACGCGCTACTACGTCGTCGGCACGGTCAAGCTCGACTCAGCTACGCCGGAGCCGACAGACGGTCGCCTGGTCGTGATATCCGTTTCAGAAGCTGGAAACCCGCGTCAAGTCTCGACTGCCCGCCTCGGTGGCTGTCCATACGCTCTCGTCGCCTTGAGCGACGGATTGTTCGCGAGTGCAGTCAACTCGCAGGTAAGTCACGGTTGACGTTACTCGCGATCTATGGCTGACGACGACGCTTGCGCAGGTCGCCGTCTGGACCATCGACAGCGAGGGGGCGCTCGCTCTGAAGTCGACCTGGAGCGGAGCTTTCATCGCGTACACGCTGGCGCGCGCACCCGATGACACGCTCATCGTCGGAGATGCCCTTCGGTCGTTGACGGTCCTACGCTACATCGCCTCGCCGCAGCCGAGACTCCTCGAAGTCGCGAAGGACTACCGTTCGCGCTACATGGTCGGCGTCGACGACCTTGGTCGTGACTCGACAGGCGCAGATCGCTACATCGGCGCGGAGACGGACCTCAACCTGTTCGCCGTCTCGAGGCATCCGCAGCAAGCCGCCGGCAACCTCGCGAATGCTGCGACGCTGCAAGATGCCGGAGCCTTCCACCTCGGCGAGCTCGTAACGCGCTTCCGTACTGGTACGCTCGGGCATCAACACACTCTCGCTCGCTAATCTCTTCCCGAATGATTCGCTTGCCCCTCAGGCTCGCTTGGGGATTTGATTGGCGACACGAATACTAGCGTCGTACCGCGCCTCGTCTACAGCACGTCGGCGGGGACGATTGGCGCGATTGCTGATCTCGACGCCGCATCTTCTCGCATCCTTTCCGACCTGGAGAGGAACATGCGCGAGTTCGTCAAGGGTATCGGTGGACTCGAGCAGGAAGAGTGCGTCGCAGGAATCATTCATTCCGATGGCGCCATGCCTTGCTAACACTGCTTCCTCCAGGTACCGCGCATACAAGGCCGACAAGCTCAAGACGCCCTCAACCGGCTTCATCGACGGCGACTTTGTTCAGTCTTTCCTCGACCTCTCGAAGGATGTCCAGGAACAGGTCATGCAGGGCAAGAGCGAGCACGAGCGGCTCACGGTGGACAAGGCGGAGGTCGTTCGCCTGCTCGAGGAGGTCGCGAGGGTGCATTGAAGCGCTTGATGTAGCCTCTCCGTTTGTAGCATACTCCCCCTTTGTCATCCCATCATCGCACGCCGTTTCGACGCAGCCGCCCGTTCGCAAGAGCGCTTTTCAGCAAGAGTACGGCATCAATCTGCGCAGCTTTCTCCGCTCGGCCGTGTTTGCGTACGCCGTCTTGCCGAGCCTGTTCAACCGGGTGCTCGACATGTTGCCGTTGCTGTTGAGATGCGCCTTGCCCGAGTGAGCCTGTTCGAGCCAGAGAGAGGTCAGTTGGAGGGTCTGCGTCAAACGCGCAATGCAGGAGCGGACGCACTCGCTTGTACAAGCCGTTCGCGATCGCCTTGAACCGCTTTGCGGCCCCCTGATGCGTCTTCAGCTTGATGCGAGTGGGCTTGCGCATGAGCGAGGCGACTGTCGAGGCGGCAAAGGTGCGGCTGGGGACAGGGGAGCGAAGCGGGTCAGTCCGGTCGCCTTCTGCAAGCCCCAGCAATCGCAGCAAGACGGCAGACGCACACGCCTAGGGGACCGGCCGCATTGCTCGGGAGGGACGGGGAAAAGAGGCGAGTGAGCGAGCGCGAGGCGAAGGCGGCGGTGGCCCAGCTGCTGGCGGAGGGTGGCCGCGCTGCGATGCGTGCGAGTGCGCGGACTGGCTGCCAGGCGAGCATCGTCGTCGTTGTGGTCGCTGTCGACCGCGATGAGGCTCGCGGGCGAGGAGGAGAGTCGCCGGCTCTCTCTCACACCACCCTCAGCTGGACTCGCTTGGCTTGCGAGAGAGCACTGCGCACGCCAGCATGTCGGTCACGCTCAACCCGTCCAGCCAGCTCGGCTTCCAGCGTCAGTCTCGCCTCCTCCTCTCCTCCTCGCCGTCACCTCGCCCTGCCCCACCTCGAGACTCGCCGACACGCTCGGGCGGCCATGCGGCCATGCGCAGCTCAGTTCGAAGGACTTTGCCTCGTTGCCTTGCAGTCGCGGACCTGGACAATGGCGGTCGTTCTGACGCTCGCTCGCTCCGCCCCCGCAGGACCTCTCACGCAGCTCGTCAAGCGAACCCTCACCGTCTCGAACCACAACCAGTCGGCCGTCGCGTACAAGGTCAAGACTACCGCACCCAAGCAGTACTGCGTTCGCCCCAACTCGGGCAGGATCGAGCCGGGGGAGACGGTCGAGGTGCAGGGTGAGTTGCAAGGTCTCGATGCCGAACGCTTTCGCTGACTCGTCCCGCTGGTCCACAGTGCTCCTGCAGCCAATGAAGGAGGACCCGCCCGCCGGCGCCAAATGCCGCGACAAGTTCCTTATTCAGAGCGTCATCATCACTCCCGAACGCGAAAGCGCCGCACTTCCCGACCTTGTGAGTCTGTCAACTGAGCCTCCAAACGAACTCGTCGCTGAATGCTCTCTGTCGCAGTGGCAAGCCGTCGAGAAGGAGGAGAAGACGAGGACAGACGGCCAGTCGCAGATTTTCGAGCAGAAGATCCGCTGCACCTACCTTCCTGCCGCCGACTCGGATGCATCGCAGCCTATTCCTGAAGAGACAGTACGCGCCGCCTTTCTCCTCGCAAGCAGCCACTCGCTGACTCGCCTCCGTCCGTCGCAGGCATCGAGTGTCGACGCTTCCCGTGCAGGCCCGGACGCCTCGTTCGTCTCGACCTCCGCCCGCGCCCCTTCGCCTCCCCAGACTAGCGGAGAGCCAGCTTCCGCGGCTGTTGAGCCGCCCACGACCAGCACACCTCCTCCGGCAGCCGCTTCCGCTGGCGAAGGCACGCCTGCCTACCTCAACCCGGTCACTAGCAAGGCGCGAGATGCGGTCGCCGCTGCGGGAGGTGCAGTCGCTGGCGCTGCTTCAGCCGCTGGTCTGACCGGCGTTGCCTCCAAGATCGAGCAGAACACGCCCGCTCCCGCCTCTTCCGCCCGTTCCTCTCCTCCAGCCTCATCCACCCCTTCCTCCAACACCTCAGCCGACGAAGTCTCTCGCCTTCGCTCAGAACTCGCTTCCGCCAAGGCGGAAATCGAGCGCCTCAAAAAGCAGCTCGACGCGGCAGAAACGGCGAGCGCCACGCTGCGCAGCCGTGGAGCAGGCGCCGTTGACAAGAACACGGCGGGTGCGGGAACGAGTCAAGCGGTCGTCGAGATGAAGGGACAGGAGGGCGTGCCAGTCCAGGTGGTCGCTGGCATCGCCTTCGGCGTCTTCGTCGTCACTTGGTGCGTCCGCTTCCGCTGGCTTTGCAAGCCCTGCACACTGACGTCTGTGAGTGTTTGCAGGCTCTTCTTTTAGCACACTCTTGGTTCATCTCTTGACTATCTGCTGTATCGCTTTCGCTTTCTCCCCACCTCCTCAGAGATTCACGTGCCGCTTCATTACTCGTCGTCCGCTGTATCGCCTTTCACCTTCTTACTGCAGTTTGAAATCGATTCCTCGGTGCCGCTTACTCCCTCCGACGCGAATGTCCCGCTGCTCTGCCATCACCGGGCCCTCGCACTTACAGCGCACCTTGCTTTGCTAGCCCGTTCGCCCTAGTCAGATCGCAGCTCTCCTGGACCTCAAGCAGTCTTGCGATGTGGCACAATGTGAAAGAGCAGGCGTTCGCTCACAAGGTCGACGCTACGTCTCCTTCTACTTCTCCTTTCGCACCGCACCTGCTGGCAGCCGCAGGCATACTGATGTCTCAGCGTTTACCCTCAAGTAAGTATCATGTGTCTCGGCGCCGTTGACCGACGAAAGGAGGAGGAGCCACAGCGAAGCCTCGGTGCACTCACGCTCGCTATCGGTCGACCCATCCTGGCGAAACGACGCATATGCTCGAGAGACTCGCAATTGGTACAGAGAGAACGAGGAGTGGGCAGCGATACAAGCGGTCGTACAGCGTTCAAGCGTCCACCTGCATCTCATCGCCCGCTGACGCCGCAGAACCCTTCTTCTTCCTCCGCTCGGCGAGGTACTGCTTGATCTGCTCGCGCAGGTCGACAGCATCGGTGATGTCCTCCCACCTGAGCGGCTGACGATTGAACGGGTCGGTCGCGTCGGACAGGTAGTGCTGCTTGATCGTCGAGCGGTCGAGGATCGTGTGAGACGAGGGAAGGATGACGGGATCCTCCATAATCTCAAAGGTCAAGGGGTCTGCGATTGCAGCTGTCAGCGACCCGTCGATTCGAGGCGAAAGGAAGGCGGCGTACCGAGGAACTCGTCCGGAATCTCGCCCATCGCCTCATCCTCCTGCTCCGCCGCACGAATCGTCTCGACTTTGTCGACCATACGGCTGAGCTCATTCAGCTCCTCCTCCGTCTTGATCGCCGTCTTCGTCGCAATCCGCGACGCACGCTGGAAGAGCTCCTTGGAATAGCTCCTCCCGTCCTTGGCCACCGCCGACTGGAACTGCTCGTGCGAACCGAGATTGAGGAAGATCTGCAGGACGTCCGAGAGAAGCTCCTTCGGCCTGAACTTGTACTTCTCCGGCTCCTTGACCTTGAGCTCCTGGCAGCGGGGGCCGGCGAGAAGCTGGAGGTTCGCGTCGAGCATGGCAGCGAGCCTATCGACAATCTCGCGAGTGAGGAACGGCTGAGTCGTCTCCTGTGAGAAGAGCTTGAGGAGACGGAGGGACTCGTGGCCGAGGTCGAGGTCGGAGCGGACGGTCGACTCGTACTGGCGCAGGAGCTTCTCCTTCTCCTGGCGCTCGCTGGCCGGCTGCGCTTCCCAAGCGTTCTGATCGTCCATGGCCCGCTGCAGCTCGCCGATCTTGCCGAGGTGCACAAGCGCGTCGTCGAGGAGGTACGTCGTGTCGTTCATGAGGAGATTGACGAAGCGGACGTAGCGGTCGAAGTTGACCCTGACGAGCGAGAGCGGGAGTCAGTCCAGGCAGGCGAAGGAGGCGGAGCTGCACGCACTGGCTCTCGCGCTTCAACGCTTCGCGGTGCGTCGGATTGCTCCAGACGAGCTTGAAGAGTTGCGTGATGTAGTACCGAATGTTGAACTTGTCGTAGAACTGGGTATGTGAGCCGGTGATCTCGATTTCTGCACGGACTGGTCGTCAGCGTCGAGAAGAGCTTGGCGACACGATGCAGAAAGCTGACCGATGTAGGCGTGGATGAGGCAAGGCATGAGGTTCTTCAGCGCGAGCTGGTGGAAGTTGAGGACATCGCCGAGGCAGCCACGAGGTGACGTGTACGTCGGGCGCGAGAGGTAGTACATGATCTGCGACGCTACCAGTCAGCTAGAAAGGACGGAGGGAAGACGGAGAGACTCGCCTCGACGAACTGGCCCTTGAGGTAAGGGTTCTTCATGTACGGCGTCGAGAGGAAGACGAGCATGAACGACATTAGCTCGTCCTGCGACGACGTCTCGAGAACCTGCGGGGCGTATCTGCAGGTAGGTCGGTCAGCGCAGGAAAAATCTGGCGCTGATCTCGGCTCACTTTGACGTAAAGCTCAAGAACTCGGTGATGTCCTCGATGAGAAACTCGGGGAGCATGCGGAAGGCGAGCGGCGTCTCCGATGGCAGCGGCAAGCTGTCAAGCAAGCGGTTCATCAGTTGGACCCGCAGACGTGAAGATTTGCCGGCACGCACTCGATGCGGACGTGCGGATGTTGCGTCTTCGGGTCGACGAGGCGGACAAGCCATGCCATGACGAGGTTGGCGAAGCTAGCGCATTTGGCGAGATAGTCCGGGTCGAGAAGCTGGACTTCGTAAGCGAGGACGAAGCTGCGCCATTGCTCAATCTTCTTCTGCGATCGGCGAACTTGGTCAGACTTCGCAACGAGCACGAGACAAGCGTGCAGCGAACCTTGTAACGCTCGATGCCGGCTTTTGTGGCGGCTTCTTGGGGCGTCTGCGCGGAGTACAGGTCAGTACCGACGCCTGGATGATTGACAACGCAGACGCACTCCGCGCCAAGTAGAGTCCGCCTCCATGTCGTTCAGCTGCCGCTGCATGTGCGACACCTGCTGGCCGATGCCCTTGTGCTCCTTGATGGCGTGCATCGGGCCGAGGTGGAGGTACTGCGCGCAGAGGAAGAAGATGTCCGAGATAAAGTTGGGCGCGGGAGCTGCAAGACGCGTGTCGGCCGAGGCTATACCAAGATCATGCGGAAGAGACTGACCTGCTGCAGTCGAGTCCTTATTGTAGTACTCATCGCTCTCCTGCTTGTTCGCGTTGATCTTCGTATCCTCGGCGACATCGATACGAGACGACTGCTTGTAGTAGAGCGGGTCAATCTTGTCAATCTGCGAGAGAGAAGATCAGCGAGCGTAGGAGGGCGACACTTGCGGAGGCGGCGAACCTTGGAGAAACTCGCGTCCATGAAAGGCTCGGCAAAGCGAAGCAGAACGGCGTGCAGGTTAATGATGAAGCCCTCGGTCGAGACGGTGTTCGGGTCGACGCGCATTGCCGCTCGCTTTGCATTCAGGGCGGCGGCTTGACCCAGGTATGCGAGGACGGCTTCGCGAGCAACGGGCGATGAGCGGACGATGTTGTCGAAGATTCGGAAGAGGGAAGTCTGCGTGTCGGCCGTCGTCAGCTTGCTGACGGTGATGAGGCCGCTGATTGCAGTGAGGCTCTTCAACGGACCTGAACGCCGCGCAAAGTGCCTCTCAAGCTGGCTGATGCGCTGTCGATGTTGCCGCGCACCATCGTGCTCGGCTCGGGAAAGTAGGATTGGGGCAGAGATGGCTGCGAAGAGCATGCATCAGGATGGTTGAAGGGGAACATGGGAGAGAAGGACGCACCGCGCCGTCGGGGAAGGTGCTGAGACGCATAAGCGGGCCGAGCAAGCTCTTGTATTCGAGAACGGGCGCAGACGCGCCGGGCTCACTTGCGACGTTCCAGTTGCTGAACGTCGTGAGCGCCGTCGCGATCGGCTTGATCTCCGTCAAGTTCTGCACGGCCTGCAGGATATCCCTCCAGCCCACCGAGCCTGACCCAGGAGCGCCTCCCCCACCAATATCGAGCTTGTTGACGAGGAGATGCGCGTTCCACTTCGCAAAGAGCGGGCTGAGGATGTCCTCGATACCGCCTTCGAAGTCGTTGGCGGCCGAGGGGGTGAAGCGGAGCGCGAGGTCCGCGAAGACAGAGGGAATGTCGCCCACTTGAAGTTGAGCGGGCGGGATGGGAGTTGACGAAGGGATAAGGAGGGGTTCGAGTTCGAGGGCGCCGAGAGCTTTGCCGCTGGGTGAGCTCGGCGTCAGCGGGCTGCACGAGCACACACACACAAAGCTGAATCACCTGACATGGTCTTGAGGGAACATGGACGGATCCATCAAGACCAGACCGATGTACGAGACGAGCAGTCCCTTCAGCTGATTGAGCACATCAAGTCGCCGCTGCAATTCTTGCGGGTCCGAGTCCTGCGCGACTCAAGACGTCAGCGTTGGTCTGCGAGATCGTGTCCGTACTCTCACGCACCTTCTTCGCAACGACGCGCGATCGCTCCGTCCGCTCCCTCCGCCAACAACTTCCGAGATATTCGAACGACGTCTCGTTCGGAGGCAGCGCTGCGACGACCGTGATACGCTCTGGATCGTCGACAAGGTTCGAAGGCGAGAGTGAGAGGCGGGAGAGCATGAGACGGTCGCACAGGTCGGCGCGGAGCTTGTGCGGCCGCGAAGAGGCTGCCGAGAAACAATGAGCTTCCGCCAAGCTCGCGACCAGATTGAACTGCTCACTCGGTTCCTCCTCGTCAAGCTCGACGGCAACGTCCTTCAGGTATACGACCGACCAGCTGGACGCCTCTGCCGCTGCAACCTGGGAACGAGACAACAGGGTCAACAGTCTTACCCTCCGCGCGACACCGCTCAGCACGCACATCGAGCGTGACATTGAGAATCCTCCCAATAGATCCATGTTGCCACTCCTCGAACGACTCTGTGAAGCGAAGCGGTTGCGATTGCTGAGGGGTTGCGATCCTGGGCACTTTCGCGGGGGCGGCTGCAGAAGGGACGGGCTTGACCGGCTCGGGCCTTGCAGCGGGGACCTACCAGCGAATTGACAGTGTTAGTATCTCGCGGCCTGTGTAGCCCGCATGACGCAAGCACTGATGAGGATGAGGGAGGCTCACCGGTTGACGAGGCGTCGGTGCTGGCGGCCTGGCTATCGTGCCCGACGTCGATGCGATTGGCTCCTGCTGCTCAGCCGACTGGCGCTCGTGCTGCTGCAGTAGCTTGGCGAGCCGTTTGAGTCGGATCTGGGGACGCAAGTGGGGTGGTGAGCTTGCGCAGGAGTCGGCGAGAGCTGCGCCAATGACCACGCACCTTGTCTGCGTCGGAAGCGGGCGACGGTTCTGCCATCCTGCGCTCGAGCGGCTGGATGAGCGGACGAGGGTCGTGTGGGAGAAGTCGAAGGAGAGGTTCGCTTTCACGTCCACCTCGCTGCGCTCAGAGTGCTACGTGACTGTGCCAGGACGTGTCTGCTACGAGGACCATGCCAGCGAGCGCGGACCGACAACCATCCAACGCGACAGCAGACCGCCCTTTCGCCTCATCGTCCTCATCGTCCGCACCGACCTCGATGCTTCAGCGCGGACCGGTGCGCGAGCGGAATGTCGAAGACGAGATCGAACTTGTGGAGAATGGCACACATCCCCTTAATGGCGGCGCAAGAGAAGAAAAGACGGGCCTTGTGAGCGGGATTGTCGGCGAGCGGAGCATCGAGGCGGGAGGGGAGGGCGGCACACTCAGTACGCGAGATAAGCGGGCGCTAGCACTCTTGGTGGCTCTCTGTGCGTCTGTCTTCCAAGGCGGAAGCATACCTGGCCATGCTGACCCTTTCTCTCCTCGTCGCAGACCTCCTCCAAGGCATCCCCGTCGGTCTCGCGTTCGGCTCCATACCTTTCCTCCTTCGCTCCAAGCTCTCCTACTCGCAAATCGGCATCTTCACCTTGTGCACCTACCCCTATTCCCTCAAGCTTCTGTGGTCGCCCATCGTCGACTCGCTATTCTCCCCGAAACTCGGGAGGCGTAAGAGCTGGATCGTCCCAATCCAGACCATCGTCGGCATCCTCTTCTGGTGGCTCGGCAACAATGTCCAGCAGATGATGGAGGTGGTGCGTCAAGACCTTGACGCTTCAGCGCTCGACTTGCACTAACGACTCGCCCGTCACGCTCGCAGGAAGAACCAAACGTTCATCTCCTTACGGGTCTCTTCTTCACCCTCGTCTTCTTTGCCGCCACTCAAGGTGCGTAGCTCACCAGTGAGGCGAAAAAGCACGACTGACTGGCGTTCATTCCGCAGACATCGCTGTCGATGGTACGGAACCTCTGTCTCGAGCATTCGTCTGGGAACTCACGGTCCTCTCGCGCAGGCTGGGCTCTCACTCTCCTGTCGAAGGAGAATCTCTCGTACGCATCGACCGCCCAGACTATCGGCCTAAACACCGGCTATTTCCTCTCTTTCACCGTCTTCCTCGCTTTCAACTCGGTCGAGTTCAGGTGAGAGTGAACGATCTTCCCTAGACCGACATAGCAGCGGCTGACGCGCATTCCCCGCCAGCAACAAGTACTTTCGCTCTACCCCGCTCGAATATCCCCTCATCTCCCTCTCCGGCTACCTTCACTTCTGGGCCTTCGCTTTCATCGCCGTGACTGCTTACCTTGCCTTCTTCCAACCCGAGGTACGTCTTCTTCGCCGCAAGCGGTGCCCAAACTGACGCACCGAACCCAGGACCCCGTCACGGCGCAAGACCAGGACGACATGGATCTCAAAAAGGTCTACTCGATCATGGTCGAAATCTGCAAGCTCAAGCGTGAGTGCCCGGCCCACGCATGTCGACGCCGAGGCTGACGAGCCGTCGACAACTGCTGCGCAGACGTCCAGTCTTTCATGATCGTTCACCTCGTCACGAAACTAGGCACCGCGGCCAACGACGCCGCCACGTCGCTCAAGCTTCTCGAGAAAGGCCTGAAGAAGGAGGACCTTGCCCTCGCCGTCCTCATTGACTTTCCCTTCCAGATCCTCTTCGGCTACCTCGCCGCCAAGTGGAGCAAGGGGGAGAAGCCGCTGCGACCGGTGCGCCGTGCTCCATGACTTGTGGAGCCTGCGAAAACTAACTCGCGCGTCTCGCAGTGGCTGATCGCAATGTGGACCCGCCTAGGCTGGGCAGCCATTTCGATGCTCCTCATCTCGAACTTTCCGAAGGGCGACATCGGGACGTGGTACTTCCTGCTCGTCGTCGCATGCACCGTCGGCTCGAGCTTTTCGAGGTGCGTTTCCCGCGACTGCTGCAGTCAGTTCCGCGTTGAGCGCCTCGCCTCGCAGCACCGTCCAGTTCGTCGGCATCTCCGCCTTCCACACCCAGATCGCCGACCCTCTCATCGGCGGCACCTACATGACGGTGTGCCTGAAGCTTCCGTCGGCTCAGCGACATGAGCTGACAGTGGTTCCGCAGCTCTTGAACACGGTCAGCAATCTCGGCGGAACGTGGCCAAAGTTCTTCGTCCTCAAGGGCATCGACGCGTTCAGCGTGGCAGTCTGTCACGTCAAGGACGAAGGGCTGGATGTGATCGTCTCAAGTAAGTCTCGCATTTGGTCCGCGATCAGCTGCCCGCCAACGCTCGATCTCGCAGGTCGCGAATGTGTTTCCGACCACGGCAAAGCAGCATGCGCCGAGCTAGGCGGGACCTGTTTGACTGAGCGAGACGGGTACTACTGGGTCTCGACACTGTGCATTCTTGCCGGCGTCGCCGTCCTCGTCTCGTTCGTCCAGCCCATCGCGAGGCGATTGCAAGGTGCGTTTGGCGGTCCCCGTTCGGAGCGATTCCTGGACAACTCGCTGATGCTTTACCGTCTCCTAGCGCTCCCGCCTGCGGCATGGCGGGTGAAGAAGACGGACCGATAGAGGTAGCTGAATCGCGTAGCATTGCCTTCACGCTCACTCCGCAGCGCTCGAGGGGAGAGGCTGGGCAATCCAGAGAAGCCTAGCTATGCTACAATAGTCTGCGCTCTCGCTACTCAAGTCTTTGCGAGCTGCGCTTCGACGTAAACGCCACCTTGCCAACTATCGGCAAGAACGTGTCAGTACGCGCGCTGCAAGGCGCGGCAAGACGTAGCGACGCACGACTTGACTCGTTCTCCGCTGACAGCGCTGTACGTAGACGCCGCGGTGCCGACAATGCCTTCCGCTCCTGACAACACTGCGCCGTCAATCAGGCTGGGATACCACGGATCGAACCGCTCGGTCGTGTTGAAGCGGATCTGCAGGTGAAATAACGTGGGTCAACGAGGACGGAGCGAAGCGCAAAGGAGAAGAGTTACGTGATCTACGCCCTTCCAGCCATGACCCTCGAGTTCGTGCCAGAATGCTGAAGTCGGGTGCTCGTCAGAGGTGAAGACGACGGGATACTCCTCCGGCGTGAGCATGAAGCTCCGAGGCGCCGGCCAGGTCGAGGAAGCTGTCAGGACGCCGGACTCGAAGTCCTTGAGGCGCTTAGCGACCAGCTTCCGGACCTCGGCGACTTGTTCGACGAAGCTGGAGGACGAGATGGCTGCGTGAAAATAGGTCAGCCATCGCAACACTGAGGGAAAGCAGAGAACGCACAGCCATGCCCAGTCCGGAAGTCGGTACCTCGCCTGCAGGCTCGGGGTAGTCGGTTAGCAATCATCGGCACGTGACTATACAGAACTTAGTACACGTACACATGAACGGAGATGTAGGGTGGGATATCCTGCCCCTCTGGCACTTCAAGCAAGACCCGCAGATACTCCTGTGCCGCCGTCTGCACCTCGGGAAGGAAATGCAGGTGCTGGCCAACGTCCCCCCATGTGCTCGGCCATCGGGACTTGAGGTAGTACAGCGCATCCACACAGTGGACTTGCTCGTCAGGCGAACGAGGCGGGATGCTGGCCGGATCGAAAGCAGGTGAAGGTGCTTCCGGCAACTGTTCGACGCGGTTACGCTCGATCCAGCCTGCTTGACCGGTGCCATTTGCAAGGAAGGCGACAATGTCCTCGACCCGGACTGGCTGCCCGACTGGCGTCGAGAGGGTTTGCGGATCCGGGTACGAATAGTCGAGGCTGATACCGTATTCGCTGAGGAAGCGGGCGGGAGGTGGCAGGTACGGGGCCTTAGGACTGCTGTATGCGGCGTAGGTCCAGCAGGTGACCCGATCCGGTTCGACCGATGCGGCGGTGAGGTTGTGAGCCTTGAAGCGGTCGAGGGGGACGGCACGGAGGCCGGTGAGGTTGTAGAAGCGGGGCATGTCGTACATTCTGTCGATAGGACGATGGCTATGGCCCTTGAAATGCAGGGCGACGAAGGAGGGGCTGCACGAGAAGCGATGATCAGGCTCAGCACCGGGAAGAAGGGAAAGCGAGGCATCCGCACATCAGCGCGACAGCGCCGAGATCCTTCGCGGCCGATAACGCGTTGAGCTTGATCATGAGCTGATTCGCTGCAAGCAAAGACGTTCGGTACCCATCAGCGAGGGCGGCGGCGACGAGAACAGGGATTCCCTCACTCTGTCCGCCAAAGAAGTTCGAGAACAAGTACTGCTCGCCGGGGACGACCTGGTCCTTCCAGCTCTCTGGCGGTTGCTCCGGATGAAGCATGACCCGCGCGAGCATCTTCTCGTACCGCCCCCTCAACTGCGTCCGCTCGTCCACCTCCTCCGCCGGCCAGATACCCGCGAGCGTGGCCTTGGCTGCCGAAGTAGTATGTCGCCTCGTAGGCTCGTGCAGAGAACCGAAGAGGGCGAGGATCACCGCGGCTGCGGCAAGAGCGCCCCAGGAGCGGGACGAGAGAGCGAGACGTCGGCGTCGCGGCGAGGCTGTGGCCAAGTGCGTGGGCTGCGAGTCGGGTGCGGGTGCGACGGGAGCGTAGCTGTGGCTCATCCTTGCTGCGAGGACACGAGCAAGTAAAGGAGACCGCGAATGAGGGAGCGACGGAGCGGGAGCGGCGGGAGTTCCGGGACGATCAGTGAGCAGTCTCGACTCTCGATCGCTTGCAGCGCCTTCGCTCTTTGCCTGCTGCACTGCGCGCTCCTGCTCGTGCTTGGGCGAAGAGCAGTGTAGCTCGCAGAAGACTGCACCCGTCTCCGCGCCGACCCACACTCGCCCTATCCGAGCCGTCTTTACCCGTCCCACTCTGTCTCGTGCGGCGCACCCCCATGGCAACCTTACCCGACATGCAGCAGGCCAGCGGCGTCGCGATGAGCACCTATCGACGAGTCGCGACCGATCCCGACGACCCACTCGACGACCAGGACCCGTACTCTCGGCAGCGACACCCTCCTTCGTCTTCGCACTCCTCGCGCTGGACTTCGCAGAGATTCGTCTATTCGGCGGCGATGGTCATGCTGGCACTCGTCGCAGCAACGATTGTCGGTCTGCGGGAGGAACGGTACTTTCGGACGGCACACGGGCGGAACCAGGCGCGCGTGGTAGTCGGTCCGCGACGACTTGGGGGCCTATATCGCGGCTGTTCGTCGTCAGAATTCGTACGCGAGCTGCAGCTCGCACGGATCAAGGACGACGGGCCGTCACTGCACGTCAATTACACCTTGCCGGATAGCAACGAGCTTCCGCCTTGGCCCGGCTTCTCCTTCGCCATGCAGGCTTGCCCAGACCCGCACTTCTTCACCCGGCCCGAAGCATGTGACCTGCTCAAGAGTTATGGCAGTCTGTACATCGCCGGCGACTCGTTCATGCGGCACGTCTGGGATGCGCTCCTCCTCCTCCTCAGCGGTGCGTACAGTCGCCGCGAAACCCTGAGAAAGCCTCGCTAATGTCAAGTCGGATTGACAGGCGACTTGGCCGGTGCGGTCGGACGTGCCGATGCAAAGGCGGATTGTCGCGGCGAACACCTCTTCAACGACCGGGACCTCAAAAACTTCAGCAATACGACGCCGTGCCGGACAGGCATCTATGTCACGCTCGACCGGCTTTCCAGCTCACTATGCGACGGCGAAATGCCACGCGGCGGCCTCTCTAGCGCCTACTCCGAGTGCGTCCTCCAAGTTGCGCTCAAACCGCACGAATCCGCTCACCTTTACGCACCCGCCAGTTTCCCGACTTCACATTTCCTTTCCTTCCTCTCTTCTGCACCAGATGATGTTCGAAGACGGTCCCCTGTCCTCTTCTACGCAGGCGGCGTCCACTTCAACTACAACATCACCCGCACAAAGCTCAACTACGTCCAGCCCATCGCTGAGCTCAACCGCCTCTTTGGCCCCCGACTCGTTCCAGTATGGCACGGTAACCACGCTCCAGGCGACAACATCGCGGCACACTACTACCAAACTCAGGGTCGCGACAGCGTCAAGAAGTACAACCAGGATGTCGAGGACCTGCTTCAACAGTTTGGCTCCGAGGCGCCTGCTACCGAAGGAGCTTTCCGTATGTTGCACTTCTACAACGCGACAGAAGGAGGCGAGTCCGCGATTCCCTTCTTCCTCCTCTCGCTCGAGGCAGCTTCCGCTGACACTCGCTTCATTCGTTCGTCGCTGCCGAATCTTTCGACGGACAGGTGTGTCTCTGTGTCATTAAGGATGTGCAGAGCGACTGCACTTGCAGCTTGCCGCGACCTTTATTACTGACCCGCCTCCCTCTTCTCGTTCCTTGTTCCTCGTGCCGTTCTCCTCTTCGTTTCGTCCTCCTCTTCGTTCCGTCCTCCTTGCAGCACTACAGCTATCAGGTCAACATGGAGAAGGTTCATACGTTTCTCACATATCTAGACATCCTGTGGCAAGAAGCGGTAGAAGCAGGCGGACTAGACACGCAATGAACAGCGGATTTTTATCTCCTGACGAGAGTCAGCGCTCTTGGCGACACCGCTTCCGAATTCAGCTTTGAGTGGCGTGAGCGCGCCGAGAGTTAAGCGGTGTCGGTAGCTTCGGGAGCGTCCCCGCCGGACGCATGACAATATCCTTCGTCACCGACTGGAACTTGTCGCATTCTCAGGACAGAGCATTCTTCAGACTTCATGGAGAGAGCGGCAAGAGCGTAACGTCAGCTTCGCAAGCTTTGTACGAGACCGAGGAACCGGCAAACGTACCAACGCTCAGCTTGACATCGACATTACCCTTGAACGCCCTCGAGTACGGGCAGAGCTCATGCGCCTCTTCGACGAGCTTGTGAATCTGTTCGTCCGACAAGCCGACCTCCTTGAGGGGCGCCGAGTGGACCTTGAGGTTGACGGCGAGGAAGAAGCCCTGTGAAACGGCTCACGCAACCGTGAGTCGCCGTTCTCATAGCCTCGACAGGCCACGCTCAGCGCATACAACGCGTTTGCCCACGCACCGGAGTCTTCTCGTCGGCGTCCTTGCCAATGGTGACCTCGGTATCGACCTTTGCCGACTTGGGGAGCGGCTTGGCGTCCTTGTGCAAGTTACCGTGCGTGGCGGCCAGCGCAGAAAGGAAGCAAGTACCGTAGCCGGCAGCGAGGAGGACCTCGGGGTTCAGCTGCTTGCCGGCGCCGCCCAACTGGGGGAGGGAGAGGAAGAGGAAGTCAGCTCAGTTGTCAGTCGTCCAGGGACCGCCTGCGCACCTCCTTCTGCAAGTCCATCTTGAACTCGGCTCCCTGGTCCGTCTTGACATGGCCAGCCGCGCGAGAACCGGAGGACGTTGCGTGCGAGGTCGAGATCGGGGCGAGGTTGACGTACGTGCGGCGGGTCGCGAAAGCGGCAGAGCGAGCAGGGGCGACAGTGCGAGCGATGGCCGAGCGAAGCATCCTGTCCTGAGCTGTGCGAGGAAGAGGGAGGAGAACGGGAAGTCCCCACTTCCCGAGCAACACCTTGACCAGCGACAGCGTCCTCGCACAACTCTGCTGGGCTTTGCACTCGCTCCGAAGGCAGTTTGATTTGCTCTGCTTGCTCTGCATGCGCCAGCGAACCGTCGAGACTCGGTACCGAAGACAAACTCGACCCTTCGACCCTTCGACTGATGAAGAGGTGCAGCGGACCACACAACTTGGGGAGGGGGTTTGGTCAGGTCTTGAGGAGACCAGGAAGGCCAGAACTCTGGATTGAGTCCTTGGGCAGCCAGCCAGACATCTCAGCCGGCAGACATACCCCTCCCTCCTCTTCTCACCGACTCTTCGTCTTCCTTTCCTTCGTCACGACGTGAATTTGCGGTCTCGCAGTCACAGCGCGACGAAGCGTCGGCAGTCATTACAATCCATCATTCGCCGATCCCTCACGACGATAACGGCAGCATCGCTCGTTCTCACCATCAGTGTGAAGACTGCCATTTCGCTGCTAGGCACTGAGTTTGCTGTCCGACCGAGTCGGCAAAGGAGGTTGCTGCTGGTGGGATTGAGCCAGAACTGGTCAGGCCGCCGAACCGCCATGATCCTGCGGGCTTCCTCCGTTCGGGAAGATCACTGCGATCCCTCAGCTTACCGAGGCTCTGTGTGCTGCGCAGCGACACTTACGCTTCACACACATCTCTGTGCTCAAAGTCCAGCCGCCGCGCCGACGACTCGACAAGGCTGTACCGCTGTGGGCGATCCGGTGCTCGCTTCGGGATTTCTCGCGACTCCCGCTTCGCTGCTGTCCGCGCTGATATTTCGACACTGCTTAGCGACGCAGGACAGCCCTCCACAAACAACGACCCGCCTTCCAAGCCGTTTCGAGCTGGTTGAATTCGGCGGAGCAGGACTATTCGCGAGTCGTCCGGTTCGCCGTAGTCTGATCGAGACCAAGACGTTGCGTAGACGCTTCTGCCATTGCCAGCACCCCGAGCTTGACCTGATAACAACTGTTAATCGCATTGGTCGAGGCTTGCGAGAGCGAGCGGGGGCCGCACCTCCGCCCACGACTGCTCACACGCTGCCGCACCGCTAGACTCTGCTAGACTCGCCTCGAAACAGCCGCATCCAGCACTCGCACGCCCGCCAGACCCGAGCGAACCCCTCGCGCCAGCTCGAGCTCACCCCACACCGACCGCCTCTCCTCCCCCAGCGACAATGGGCCAAACTCTGTCGGAACCCGTCGTAGAGAAGCACTCGCACCAGGGAGAAGACTCGCGGTGCGTACAGATCCATTCCGTACCCCAGGCGAAGTTTTCGCGCGCGGCGAGACTCGTTGGCCGGTCCGTTTAAGGCGAGCTTGCGAAGGGCGAACAAGCGTCGCGTTGGCCGGCGGTGGATACGAAGGCGGTCGCGAACTTGTGTTTCACCCTGTTGGCAGCACTGCAGACCTGCACTGGAGCGCCTGTCGACCTCGAGCACACCTCATTCGCCGGCTGCGGTGTCGGATAACCAGCTGACTGTCCTCGTCTCGTCTCTCTCGCGACAATGCAGGCTAGCATGGGCAGTCAGCGAGATGCAGGGATGGCGTCTGAGTGCGTTCCGTTCTCTCGGATCCTCTCAGCCCTGGTTTTCTAGCCGCCTGGACGGGTTGTCCGGATGATCGCCCGCTTCTCCTTGCTGACCTTCGTGCGGCTACTTTTGTGTCCGTCTGAACAGCCATGGAGGATGCGCACGCGGGGATCCTTTCGCTTGGAGACGAGCTCAACGGCAAGAAGACGTCGTTCTTTGCGGTCTATGATGGGCATGGCGGTACGTCGCGCGTGCCTCGTTCTTCCTCGACGTTTGGCTGACGGTGGGAGCTTTTCGTAGGCTCAACGGTCGCGAAGTTTGCGGGCGACACGGTGCATGGACGATTGGCGGCGAACGACTACTTCAAGAAGCGGGATTGGGAGGCGAGCTTGAAGCGGGCGTACTTGGAGACGGACGAGGATTTGCGGGCGAGTAAGTGCTCAACACTTCCAGGAGAGACCGCTGCCGGCAGAACGTTTCGCCTGACTCGTACGTTGCGCGCAGATCCCGACTTCCGAGGCGACCCTTCAGGCTGCACGGCCGTGTCGACGATCATTACGCCAGAGCTCAATATCATCTGCGTGCGTCTCCATGTGCAGTCTTCAACTGAGGACCACGTCTGACATTCACTCGCTCGTTACAGGCCAACGCAGGCGACTCTCGTGCCGTGATGTCTGTCGGCGGCGAAGCCAAGCCTCTCTCGTTCGACCACAAGCCCACAAGCCAGGGCGAGACCTCTCGCATCGTCGCTGCCGGCGGCTTTGTCGAGTTCGGCCGAGTGAACGGCAACCTCGCCCTCTCGCGCGCTCTTGGCGACTTCGACTTCAAGCAGAACTCGAATCTCGACCCGGAGCAGCAGATCGTCACCGCTGACCCCGACATCACCGTGCACGAGGCGACTCCCGAAGACGAGTTTGTCGTTCTCGCTTGCGACGGTGAGTTTCGCTTTCCAGCCATCCCTCGTTTCGGATTGTGCTCACCCCCGCCTTTGGTCGCTTTCGCAGGCATCTGGGACGTCCTCACCTCGCAGCAAGTCATCGACTACGTCCGCCTCGCCATCTCGCAGGAAAAGCCGCTACAGACCATCTGCGAAGAGCTCCTCGACCGGTGCCTCGCGCCCGATTCCGACTGGGGCGGCGTAGGATGCGACAACATGACGATGATGGTCGTCGCTCTCCTCGGCGACCGGACAAAGGACGAGTGGTACGCGTGGGTCAAGGGCCGCGTCGAGCGAGGCGAGCCTTACGCGACGCCGAAGGAGTTTGTCGAGCCGTTCGGACAAGGCGGGAACGGTCCTCGCGGCGCCTTGATGGGCGGTCAGGCCGGTGGCGCGGCGGGCGGCGTTCCTGGCGGTATCCTCGGCGGCGCCCTCCGAGTCGGTTCGACGGACGGCGGCATCTCGCTTTCGTTCCCTGGCAGCGGCGGCGCAGGCGAGGACGACAGCGAGGACGAGGGCGAGCTTGACTTGCCCGCGATCCAGGCGGCATTGCGGGCGCGCATGGCCGAGCTCGAGCGCGAGGAGGCGATGGAGGGCGAGGATGGCGAGATCTCCGGTCCAGCGCAGGGGGCGTCGATCACCGACGACGCCGACATGGACGATGTCGAGGACAAGCGTATCGAGGATGTCAGCGAGACCGAAGGCTCGACGACGCCAAAGGAGGACGCTCTTCACGCAGCGACTTCCGGCGCCAGCCTGTAGCCGACTGCTCCCTTCGACTTGCCGCCTTTCTGTCACAATATACCCTCCGTGTATACCTCGCCTCCGTCTCTTTCCCATGCTCGCGCTCGCTCTCTCGCTCTCGTTGTCGCCCCGGTAGCAAACCCTCAGCATATCACAAGTCCCGTTGCAGCTCGCCATCCTGCTCATAGACCTCGATGCAATCGCTCAGCAGCCTGTAACTCGTGTGCAAACAGCAAAAGCGACTCGCAGGCGAAGAAGTTGGAATGACGAGTTGCAACAAGACGGCGAGCTATGCTGAGCGAAACGACAGGAACTAACTATGTTACAACAAGAGAACGAAAAGCCTGACCTGAGCCCGACCCTTCAAACGCCCATGAGCTCCGGCCAGAGTGCCCGCGCATCCGCCGCGCGCTTGGTCGCGTGCTTTTGTAGCCGAGCCTGCGCCTGCTCGAACGTCTCGATCGTTGTTGCGCCGCCATGCCCGTAGAAAGGCTTGTAAGGCTGCGGCTCGAATTCGGCAAAGATGTCGGCGACGTCGGGTGCGGGCTGTTGAGTCGGCATAGGAGGAGTGACGGGACCGTTGGAGGAGGACGACCTTGACGAGGTGGTGGGCGGCGAGTCCTCGTACGCGAAATCTTTCGCCGAAGGAATGATCTCGTTGTACCAGCCTTCGCCGCCGCCACGAGCCATGCCGCCGGGCAGTCGGCGAAGGATCTCCCGCCCCGATCGGATGCGCTGCAGCAGGTCGCGGTTCTCGGCCTCGCGGTCTTCGACGACGCCGAGTCCTCCGACTGCAGGACGGCCGACTCATCAGCGAGTTCGGGATAGGAAGGCAGAGAAAGGGGCGGACTCACGGAACGACTTGAACGGGTCGACCTGCTCGAGCGCCTCTTCCGTCTTCTTCTCAAGGTAGCTCAACGTCCGACTCAGGATCAAAAGCGGGAAGCTCGACAGTCGGCCGAGGTCGGCGATGAGGAGGGCCGACTCGGAGAACGGGTCGTCGTTCTTGTTGTTCAGCAAGGCGCGAATGACAGAGAGGAAGGGCGCGGTGGGAGAGAGGGCAAAGAGCATGTGTCGGCGCCATTCGTCGGCTGTCTTGGCGCTCCATGCTCGCTCAGCGGCTGGGAGGTCGATGTCGAGGTCGCCCAGCGAGAGGAGCTGATTCGTCTTCGTCGCGGCGGCGTGCTCGAGGTCGGTGAGGAAGACGATGAAGGCGACCCTGTGATGAACCAGGACAGTGTCAGCGCAAGCTTTCGGACGGGCAGGCGAGAGACCCGAACGCACCTCCGCCAAGTCTCGACCTTGACCCAATCTCGCCACGCCTTTTCGAGCTCTTCGCCCTGCATGTCCTCTCTCGGCGGCGAAACGCTCGCCTCGCGAACTTTGGTCGGCAAGTCGAGCGCACGCAACATGTAGACGAGGGCCGAGTGGAAGGAGTGCGAGAGCAATCGTTCTGCCGAGGGTGAGTCAAGTTAGGAACGGCATCGAGAGTTGACAGCGGAGAAGATCAACGCACGCTGCTCGTCGCGGTGAAAGAGGCCGAGAAGCTGGTAAAGCAGCATCGACTGGAGCGACGCAAACTTCTGATCCCACGTCTTGCTCTTCTCCTGAAAGCCTGCGCGCGCAAACATCGTTAGCACCGACCATCTAAAGCTGGATGTAGGCAGGGCGAATGCACCTCGAACGAGGAAGACCCTCTTCTCGACGAGCATCTCGTTGCTGAAGCTCTGACCATCGCGCTCGTACGCTCCGCCAGCAACCGTCAAGGCGAAAGCCGTATGGACCTCCATCTCGTTGAGAACGACCGAAGGGGCGTGGACGATCGGCATGGCGGGAAGGAGGCGTTCTGTCGCTTTTTTCGCGTAGCCTGAGAGGACGGGGAGAGGCGGGACGTGCCAAGGGTAGAGGTCTGCGCACGAACTTATCAGTAACGGTTCACGAACCTCAAGAGGAAGAGCGCCCACGCACAACCGAGGCAAAACTTCTGTTCGGGCATCCAGAACCGCTTCTCCTCCTCGTATACCGTCGGCGCCTTGAACATCCAATCCGGGAAGAGACTCGGTTCCGTTGGGAAGCCCAGATCGAGCGCCGTGATCCCACCCACACCGCCCTTGTTGAAGTACTCAGCCAGCGCCTGAGCAGCCGGAGTCTCCTCAAGCTTGTTATGTGGCGTGACAGCCGGTCCGGCATACGGCGCCGAGACGAGAACACCATTCGCTGCCCCGCCCGCGGTTGTCGTGCCGAAAACGCTCGACAGAGCCCAGTCATGCGCGTCTCCTCCCGGGCTCACTCCTCCCGCTCCTTCTCCACGACCTTGCACCGCTTCGTGCTGACCATGCGCATTCGTCGCTGGATGCCACGCCATCCCTCCCGCCGCCGCAGTCGAGACAGGCGGCGTCGCGCCGCTCATTCCGAGCGGTGAGCGCATCAAGTCCCGCAAGACCTCGCTCGCGAGGACTTCGTCGCGAGTGAACGAGCCGGTGCGCGAGAGGCCTGGCGCGAGGGTGTCGTGCGAGAGCGAGCCAGATTTGAAGGCGGAGGTCGAGGACGTCGTGGGCGTGGTTGTTGCAGAGTGAGGGTGCGAAGAAGTCGACGGTGCGGAAGGAACGGCGGAGGAGGTGGAGGGATGAGGCGGATGTGCGGACATCATGCCAAGCATGGGATACGAGGGCGCGGGTGGGAGGCTCGCATCGGTCGCGAAGGGTGTCTGGGGAGAGTTACTCGACAGCGTCAAGTTGGACGAGTTGGAGAAGGTCGAGAAGGGGGAGGGGCCGTTCTCGGGCGACGGAGCGGTCCCATCGCCCGAGGCGATCGAGAAGGACGAATGCATGCCTGTGGCGGGAGCAAGGCCGTACATCGGGTGATCGGGCATTGGCATCGACATGTGGGCGTAGTAGGACGGCGGAGGAGTCGGGAGAAGGGGATTGTTCGAGGGATGAGGCATGGCGGTAGTAGCGGACGAGCTCGCGTAGGGCATCTCGTAAGTCGTCCTGGGCGGCTCAGGCGGAGCACGCGCTCCAGCACTCCCTGTCGAGTTGGATGCAGCCGAGTTGCGCCTGGTAGGAGGCGAGGCGCCGGCACTCGTCTCGCCTCGTCGTGCTTTCGCCTCGGCGCACGTCTTGTAGTGTCGGCGGAGCAAGTCGCTGAGCGGCACGGAAACCGTCAGCTTACAAGCTCTGCATGACTGAGCAAGGTCGCACACACCTGCGGCTGAAGGCATGGTCGCAGAACTCGCACTGGAACGGCTTCTCCTTGCTGTGCTTCGAGCGGTAGTGCCGGGCCATGTACTGCGCGACGTGCAGGCTCCCGGTCAGTACCAGCCCTTGCATTCGCTGAGCGACTCTGCACCCACCTCCTTGCGCGAGAACGTCTTGTCGCAGTCGGGGCAGGGGAAGGTCTGCCCGCTGGCGGAGCCTCGGGCGGCAGGCATCGTGGCGGCGACTTGTCAAATCGTGTGCTGCGTAGAAGGTCTGTGTCAGTTCCTTGCTCTGCGAGAGCACAGCTCTCGCACGCACTTCGAATTGTACTGTCGAGTCGGCGCGAGCAAAGTCAGGCGGGGTCGGCGACCGTCCAACCGCTTGGGCGAGGGTCGAAGGGTGTGGTGGAGGGTCGCAAACTTCGGCCGACTGCCGTGTGTCCTCCTACGAACTCCCGCTCGGCCCGCAGGTCGTGTTCGACGAGTTGATGAGGGGGTGGAGGTGGGCGATGGAGGGGAACGAGTCGAGCTGGAGGGGAAGGGGCGGGCTGGTGATCTCGTAGATGGTCAAGTACGAGCAGCAGTGCTTTTTCAGCGACACCCAAAAGCACTCCAAGCGACTTGAGCTGAGCGGGAGGAGCCGACCTCCACCTCGTCTCTCCTCGTCTGACCACTCACTCGCACTCGCCCTGCTGGACTCCTGACACGCTGAAGGCGATTCACTTGACAGCTTTGACTCGCTCGCGGGCGCCGCCCACTTGCCGCCTGCCTTCTGCCACACTCGGTCGCCTCCTGCCACTCGTCCGAACCTCTCCCGCTTCCTCCTCGACGCTGCCGACTGGAAGATCAGTACACAGTATGGCGACAGCTCCTCTCCTTGCGTCCCAGACGAGCTTCTACAAGCGACCGCTACCCGAGACGTGTATCGCCTTCAACTCCCCCGAGGGGAAGCGCCTTTTCGCGAAAGCGTTAGCTGAAGGGAATATGGAGTCGTACTTCTTGCTCGCGGTGAGTGCAACGATCCGCAGACTTGTGGCGCGAAGGTTACCCGCTGACCCGGCTCTCACGCGGCCTCTCGCCAGCCTCAAATGGTTACGCAGAACGAGCCCGCATACTGTGCCCTCGGCACGCTCGTCCAGATCCTCAACAGTCTCGAAGTGGACCCGCAGCGGAAGTGGAAGGGTGGCTGGCGATGGTGTGAGTCTGTCGCTGCCCAGCTCGTCTCGGCGACTTCTGGCTGATTCCGTCTTCGCTGGGAACGCCTTTTAACCTTGGCAGACGATCAAAGTGCGTTCACGCATACCGGTCGTGCCTCCAGCTCGTCGACTGAAGCTACGAGCTTCGCGCAGACATGCTCGACTGCTGCCGTCCCTTGACCGACATCGCTGTCGACGGCCTCACCCTCCCCGAATTCGCCTGCCTCGCACGCTGCAACGGCCTCCGCGCACGCATCGCGCAACCCGTTCTCGACTCGTCGCCTGCACAGCGCGAAGAAGCGCTCGCCAGCTTTCGACGAGATCTGAAGGACGTCTCGAGGGGAAAGGGGATCATGGCGTTCTCGTATTCGAGGAGAACTCTTGGGCAAACAGGAGACGGTCACTTTAGCCCTATCGGAGCGCTGTGCGAGGAGGAGGATATGGTGTTGATTCTTGACGTTGCGCGCTTCAAGTGCGTCAGCTGACCCTTTCCAACGTTAACGACGCTGATGCGCTGCGCTCCGCAGGTACCCTTCGTACTGGATTCCTGCCTCGCTTGCATACGAGTCGATGCTGCCGCTCGACAAGGCAACGGGTCAACCACGCGGTTATGCCGTCCTTGAAGTTGCAGGAGCCGAGCCAGGTTCACTCGACGCGCCGCTCTCGCTCGCTGTCGTCACGCTCAACAAGGTACATGGCCTCCTCTCCGAGCCCTATGAAGGAAAGTAATAACCTCTTCCCGCGCAGTCGTCGTGGGCCGCCCTCAACAACTCGCTCTCCCTCCTCCTTCTCGCGCAGACCAAGCAACATACGCCGCTTTCCGACTTCGTGACAAACTTCGTCTCGCACCTCGTCAAGCTACCTACTCTACCCTTCGCTGCTCGACCGACGAATTCAGCGCAAACCTCTCTACCGCCCCTCCTCGACCAACTCTCAACAACCCGCCTCGCCCAACTCGTACCCTTCGCTAGCGCACCCAACCCCTCTTCTGTGCTCCTCAACATCGTCTTCGCCCTCGCGCTCCTCTCACCGCGCTCGTCCCTCTCGTCGCTCATCCCGCCCAACCTGGCGGACGAACTTGCGACGCTTGCGCAGGAAGCGACGAGCACGGTCGAGGGGTTGCGAGAGGAGGTCGAGAACGCGACGAAGCAGCTTGGGGCGTTGGGCGAGTGCTGTCGAAGCGAGGAAGGGAATCAGGCAGTGTGCAAGTGTGCGGGCCCAGACAAGCAGGTCGAGGTGGATTGAGTGGATGGCAGTCGCACAAGCCAGGATCGCAGACATGCATAGCTATGCGTCACAGCAATCCGGACTGAACAAGCGAGCGATGCGCGGGACTTTCCAGAGCCGAGGAAAGCGAATGAACTGCAGAGGGAAATCTATCTAATCTAGTCGTACAATGCCTAATCAAAGAACGCCTCTGACATTGCGGCCTCCCTCGCCACACCCTTCTCGTCCAGCATGTACGTCTCGTGCTTGTGTAGGACGCCACGCAGAGCCTGCACGAGCGTGCTCATGCTGGACGAGCCCGTCCCGACAAAGATGTCTGCCTGACTGAGCATGGCGACGTCCGTATAGACCGAGAGGAAGAGGTCGAACTGTTTGCCTCGGAATCCGTCGTACCAGAACCCAGACTTTGGACGGAGCGTGTCTTGGAGGGAGAAGCGGAGGAGCGGGTATTCGCTCGTCTCGCGCTCGACGACCTCTGCATCGTCCGTCGCGAGAAAGACGTCGCGGATGCCCGAGGCGCGACCGCGCCGCTCGACCTCGTCCATGTAGGACGTGAAGTTGACGAGGGTCGCCTCGAGCTTCTTGTCTCCATGCCGGACGTGCGCGCCGATGTAGCGCGCGAGTTTCGAGCCCCCATTCGAATGTTCTTCAACGCCTTCACGTACGCGACGAGTCGGGTTGAGGAGGAGGAGGCCGGTAAGGGACGCGCGGACGTCGTAGCCGTTCTTGCGCAGGAAGTCGTAGTAGGTGCCGTCGAAGCCGGCTGGGTTGGGCCACTCGAGCAGCCATACGGGGTCGCTGGCGTCGCGCGAGGCTGGGTCGAGCTGGCGCGGGCCTTGCTTGGCCTTGGGCGGGTCGAGGACGGGTCGGGACTTGATTTCCGCGTCGACGTAGTCGAGGCAGCGATGCTGGCGGTGGAAGAAGCCGTGGAAGTAGCAGTTGAGGTTGTCGGACTCGCAGAAATTGGGCGGGAGGCTGCGTTCCCACATTGAGCGGCTGTCAGCGACGAGCGCAAAAGTCGAGGCATGAAGGGACAGCCGACTCACTAGGCAAACTCCCGACCGGGCCGGTAGATGATCGTGCGGTTGTGCATAGCGGCGTAGTACGAGGCGCCAGCGAGCATGGCGATCGAGCTGCCAAACCCGAACCGCTGGTACTCGGCGAGGATGAACTTTTGTTCGGAGCACGGCAGGTCGCGGGTCTGCAGGTCGCGGAAGCGGCGAAGGTGGCGCTCTTCGCGGGCTGCGAGGGGGAGGGCGCGGAGGGCGAAGAAATGTCCTGTCGGGGTGGACTGGACGTCGGAGACGACCATCCAGGCGAGGCCGGTGTCGAGCATCTCGGCCTTCTTGTCCTCGAGCCGTCGAGGGTCTGGCGAGTGCACGACGACGAGCTTCGAGGCGCAGTCGCGGCAGTTGGGTCCGTCATGCGAGTCCATCACGGCGTCCTCGACTCGGACAAAGACGACCTCGTGCCGGCTCGTGTCGGTCACGGCGTGGCTAGCCCCACCGCACCGCCGCGCTGTCTGCTCGTCCTGCTCGAACGAGAGCCAGCGATCGTCCCCGCCTCGGAAAGCGCTCAGCAGCTGCTCGACGGCCGCACATCGCGGCTGGTCCGCCGATGCGACGCGCAGTGCGACGGCGAGCGTTTCCCGCGGCGAGTAACGCCTCGACTGCCGTTCGAGCTCAAAGTGGGCGTTGACCGCTCGAGCAACGACGGGTTCGGCGGGAGACAGGGTCGACCGGGCGAAGGAAGGGAGGCGGGCGGCAGCGACATGTCGAACGTCGTGGTGTGAGAGGCTGAGGACGATCAGGAGGGTAAAGCTGGCTGCCATTAGGCCGTTGAGGCGATTCTTCTGTCGCAAGAATTGGAAGAGAGTCGACGCCGTCTGCGGGATGGCGGGCGAGGAGGTGTCAGTTCCTGGGCGGAGTCGGCTGCCTGCGTCGTGGTCGCTGGGCGCACCATGCTCCTGGCCATGCGCCTGTGTCCGGCGGTGCTCTGCAGAGGAGGCGACGAGGCGGGCGCGGGAGCGTTGGCGGGCGGGCGGGCGATTGGGTTGCGGAAGTCCGCCCTGAACGCGGGTCGCGGCCCTGGCGCTGCTGGATTGGATCGCCCTCGCCTTCGTCCTGCTCTGCTCTGCTGGCAGGTGCTCTCGTGCGTGCGCCGTGCTCGGATGCCGCCGACGTACGAGCCACTCGCAGACAGCCCGGCTGCAGCGCAGCTCGGCAGGCCATGGCCACGGCGACCGCTCTCGGCAAGGAACCCGTGGTTCCTCGTCGCATGCATCCTCACCATCGTCGCAGTCTCGGCGCACTTTGCCCTTGGCGCACACGGCGACGCAGACACAGGCGCAGGGTACCGCTCGGCGAGTGTGCGGTGGCCGTTCGACGCAGCTGAGCCACACGGCCTCTCGACCCTCGTCGGCGCCTCCAAACTCGCTTCTCGTCCCGGTAAGGCGCAGACCTGCACCGCGCACCAGCTCCTCGATGCCGTCGCCAGGGCTCGCGTCGATCCGGCCGGCCCCGCCGCACTCCCGCCAGCGAACGCGACGTTCGAGCCCGCCGACTTTCGCTTCTCGTTCGACCTGCCCGGGTGCTCTCCGCCGCACGTCTACTCGGCCGCCGAGGCGTGCGACTTGCTCGAGAACAGCTTTGGCGGGCTTCTGCTCCGGGGCGACTCGCTCGTCCGCCACCTCGCCAACGCCCTCTTCATCATCCTCCGCGGACGCAGGGACGGCGCCATCACCAAGGGTGAGGCGCGCGATATCTGCTGGGGCGACCGCATGTTTGACGACAAGAAGAACTGTCGCGAATTCGGCCTTGGCGACTCGCAAGACCCGGCGCTCGACGCGCCCGTGTGCGGCGGAAACGTCTTCCTCCACTACGAAGACCGCGCATGCCCGTCGTCGCCGACGAGCTACGTCGCCCGCCTCGTCGAGTGGCGCAACAAGATGCCCTGGTATCGCAAGGACCTCAGCCCCGTCGTCGTCCAGTCGTTCGGCCTCCACTGCAAGATGGCTACCTCCGTCTCGCTCCTCGGCGCCGTCAAGCCCCTTCTCAACTTTGCATCGACCGCGTTCCCCGCACCCCTCCCCCTCTGGCTCGGCATACACGCTCCAGGTCCGAACAAGCCTGTCCAGTTTGCAGGCGAACAGGGTCCGGCTGCCGTACAGCGGTACAACGCGGCCATGCGCCGCAGGCTCGACGGCGTCCAGCCCGGAGACCAAGCACTTGCCGAGGGACGGATGGGCTTCCTCGACTACTTCGGCATGACCGACGGCGCAAAGAGCTTCGACGGCACGCATTACATGTACCAAGTCAATGTGCGCTCGCTCGCTTTCTGCTTCTCAGGCTGACGTCGTTACTGACTTGCTTGCACCCTAGTTGGAGAAGGCGCACCTCCTGCTCAACTACCTCGACGTTCTTGCAAGGGAGGTGCAGGGCGCAGGCGGACTGTTCAACTTGTCGGACATCTGCCCATCCGGAGTGAACGATTATCGGTGTAGACAGTAGCCAGGTATCGACTAGTTCGCATAGAAGTTCTGCTTGCTTTTGTTGGCAAAGTAGGAGAAGTTTGAAAACCGGGTTCAGGCTTCAAGATCTACAGGCAGAGCTACTCGGCTGTTGCGAACCCGTAGCTCTTGAAGTACGTTCCCGCTTTGCCCGTCCGCGCAGGCACCGTCAACAGGTGCAAGAAAGACTCCTTCTCCGCCTCGATCCTCCCTGACCAGCTCCGCCTGCTCGCGCAAATTTCGTCGATGACCATCTGCGTCGATGGCGTGTCCCAGCTGCCCTGGAGCAGCTTTGGCTCAGGAGGACAGCGCGGGCCCTCCCGCTCCTCCCATCCTGCCACGTCGTCCGGGTTCTGGTCAACCCAGACGAGCGCATCCGCCGACTCTTGCCACGACCTCCGGTACAGCAAGGCGGTCCGCCCGTCGCCGTCCCCGGTGAGACGGAGGACGAGATGGGCGCCTGTCGAGTTTGCCGTCAAGCCAGGTCGTGAACCGCTTCGAGTCTGGCCGCCGTCGGAGAGGTCGACTCCGTACTCCCATCCATCCGACGCGACGACTGACTTCTTGAGCAGCGCAACGGTTGGACCGATCTGGCTCGACACGCAGTCCCAGGACGGCGACGAACCGAGTTGCCAGCGAGGCGCAGGAAGCGGGCGGAGAGGCGAGGCGATTTCGAGGCTGGGGGTTGGTGAGGGGAGGCCGTGGACGGAGGATGAGGCGAGTCGAGACCAGCTGACGCCGCTGATATTCGGAAGCTGGAGGTTGACGAGCGGAGTGTCGCTGCTGCCGAGCGAGAGGTGGAAGACGAGTTCTTGCGCGATGAGGCTTGCAATGAGGTTGTGGCCCGCAGGCGAGGGGTGGATGCCGCTGTCGACGAAGAATTTGGGCAGGTCGCTGGCGTCGGGGTAGGTGTACAGTTGCAGGGCAAAGTCGACAATGGGGACCGAGTAGTGCTGGGCGACGAGAGCGTGGTCGAGGCCGGACGAGCGGAAGAACCAGTTGTTGGGTGTTGCCACGCGGATGTCGCCTGCGAAACCGGCGACCTCGACAACGATGACCGGCACAGGCCATGACAGCGCTGTGCGGAATATGCGCTCAAAATTGGCGGTCCGGGAGATTTCGAACTCTGGATTGCCCTCGCGACCAACGGGCAGGGCGTTGTCGTTGTAGGCGAACTCGACGAGGAGAAGATCGATAGGCGGCTCTGTCGAGTCGTGCGCGGTCGGACGGAAGCCGAAGAGGGTGTTGAGGCAGATGCTCGAGACGCCGCTCTCGGACGCCGGTATCGCCGCGTTGACAAGCTTGTGCGGACCGCGACGCGCCGCGTAGTTCCTGTTGAGCCAGGCGACGAGGTGTTCGCCATATGCGCTCGGCATCTTGCTGATTGACCCGCCAGCGACACCGATCACCAAGGGTTCTTCCCGCACCTGCAGCTTGCGTACAACCCGTCGCTGGATGAGCTGTAGGTTGCGAGGGGCATTGTCGGGGTGAGATCGTCGAAACTGTGAGACCAGGTGGGTCTGTGTCGACGGCGAGAGCGTGGTGAGGGAGACGAGGAGGAGGGCGGCGAGGAGGAGGACCAAGCCGCTTCGCCGAGAAGTGCTTCGTCCGGGTACGCCGCGCCCAATCTCCGCAAAGTACGCTGGGAGACTGCCTTTGCGTAGCGATAGGCGGGACAGCCACCTCTTCGGGAACTCCTCCTCGGTGGGCGACGACGGCAAGCTGGTGTAGGACGGTGGTGAGCTCGTACGCGTCATGGCGTTCGGCGGCTAAAGCAGAACGTCTCTCTCAGGCAGAGAAGGCGCGTGTGGCAGCAACGAAGAAGCTGTTTGAGCGCGAGGCAACGCCCATTCCGGATGAAGAGAGAGTTGGCAGATCGCGGAGTGCGCAGGCTCCAGCTTCTCGGTACCCGGATCCGTTCCGCTCGCGCTTGTTGCTGGTGGTGCATTGTGCAAGCACGCCTGCTGGATTGCAAGCCGTGGCCTACAGGGTCTGGCGCACGCGCCAGCGACATGAAGCGGAGAAAGGGGCACCGACTTGAGAAGGCCAAGCCGCGCACGCTGACATCGTCGGCGACGAGAGTCCTCCTGCTGCTCGCCTGCCAGGATTACAGGTCCCGCAGCGAGAACCTGGGACCGACCTCTACGTCTTGCGCCTCTTGCCCGCTTCGGCTGCCGCTGAGGAAGCGCCGGTCGAAGCCCGCTTCCCACCTCGCAGTACCCGCCCTTCAACCTCTTCGCGCGGCAGGACCTCGCACGCGCCTTCGTCCCACAGCTCAGAGCCGGCAATCCGCCTCACGGCGTCCAAGACGTCCTCGTGCGGCACGAGCGCCGAGTGACGACTCTCCATGACTTCGGCGGCGTTGGCGTCCGAAGGCGTCTGTCCGCCTAGCTGAATGCCTTCGCAGTCGTCCGAGTCTGGCACGTCGCCAAGATTCTCGACATGGAAGCGGCGCATGGTCTCCTGGGCGTAGTCGGAAGCGAGAGCGCACTGCAAGGAGTCCAAGTATCGTCAGCGATGTTTTGGAATGCAGGACAAACTTGCGCGCACCGTGGGAACGTTGAACAAGTAAGGCGGCGCCGATGGATCCTCGCGAGAGCTGATACGCAGGCGAGAAAAGTGGCACCGCGAGCGGGTGAGAGGTGGCGAAACACCGTTCGCGCCGGGAGTTGCCGCGCTGGTCGGGCGATGACGATGCTGGTGGAGTCGAGCGCCGGTGGAGCGAGACGAAGCGGACGACGGTGCATCTTGCGACTTGGGCGGGTCCGTCACGCGCTGGCGCTTCGCAGGAGAAGGAAGGTTCGTCGAGGTTGAGGAGGCCTCTTCAGCGGTACGCGAGCGCCTGATCGTCGACGTTGGCTGTGTTGGCGTTGAGGCAGCGGGCGATGGCGGCAAGGAGAGCCTGCTGGATCGTCGGAGAGGCGTCGAAAGGCGGAGACGTTGCGGTATCTTGCCGGGAAGCGAGGGCGATTGGTGTGCGGCTGTCACGGTAGACGACGAGGCAGAGCCACCGCCTGCATCCTCCTTGCCGAGCGATGCTTCACGCGAGGCACCATTACGCCCGCTCGAGCCAACGAGCGAGATGACCAGTTGCTCTTCATCGGTCGACTCGCCCTCGTCAAGGTTCCCGTCGTCCTGCTCGGCATGTCGAGGTAAGACTGCCTCGTCCGGCTCGATGAAGGCGGGCGGTGGAGAGCTGCCGTTGGCGAACGCAGCCGAGCCGTCGACCTGCGTGAGGATGGAGATCAGCAAAGGGCTCACAAGTTCAGTAGAGGGGGCGCTACGCACGACCTCGATGGGCGCATCGTCGAGAACCTCGTTGGATCGCAAGACCTGCTGGCGAGAGATGGCGTGCGTGAGCAACCATTCGATGAGATCTATAACGAACAGCCTTCGACTAACTTGCTCATCCTCGAGAGCAACGTCGACATCGACAGAGGCGAATTCGCCAGCTGAAGCCGTACCGAACTCGATCGGGTCGTGCCGGTTCCATTCACCAGGTTCAACGACGTTCTTGACGGCGATCTTGCCCGCAACGCTCTGTTCGGCGTCTGGCCGTGCATATTCGGGCTGCGCAAAGGTACGACGTTAGCTCAGCTGATCCACTTGACCGCGATTTGGACGAACCTGCAAAGTCGGCTCCTGCTGGAAGATGTCGACTTGCTCCTGCTGGGCGATATCGACTTCGGCGGCACTCTCGACGGCTTGTTCAGCAACTGATCGATTCGCAGCCTGGGCGCCGAGATCGAATGAGCGCGGAGCGGCGCGCACGGCGATCACGCCCTCCTCGTCGGAGTCGTCAGACGTCTCAGCCGAGTTCGAGACGACGACCGTTTCTTCGCCAGCGGGAAGGCCGAGAACGTGACTGGCTGTGTCGCCAGGCGACTTCGGCGCCTCGAGAGACGGACCAGCTTCATCCGCTGCCGAGAGCTCGTCGGCGTCGTGTTCGTCCTCGTCCGTGTCGCCGAACGCGACGAAATCGCCAAGGCCTGTCTCGCGAGGCACGGTACTTGGCAGCAACGCCGGGTTCTGAGGCGGAGCAGTGCCGTCGACAACGGGTGGCTGCGCATCTACCGACGCTGACGGCGGCGGAGAGGCGCCGAGCTCGTGACCTTTGTCTTCGCTCGGTTCGACTCTGTCGGCTGGGTGGAGATCTGAAAGGGGCTGTTGCGTCTGCTCGTCTTCCGCGGCATCATCGTCGATGACGACCAGTCCGGCTGACGCACGCTCGGCCTCGACGTCCGTGTCCCGCTGCTCTTGGACGTCGTGCTCAAGGAGGTTATCCGTCGTAGCGAGCCGCGGAGCGCTGCCCGCGAGCATGGCGTCCTGCAGCTCTTCGTCAGAGAGGCCGACCCGCACGGCCCCGTCTTCACGAGCCTCGCTGTCCCCGTCGTCGTCATGAACAGGACTGTCGACGCTATGGATGGCGGGAGGTGCTTCGTAACGCACGCGACTGTCAAAGGCGGGTTGTGGCCCAATCTCGGACTGCAAGTGCGTGTGGTCGAGATCTTCGGCGCTGTCGGTCTTGGCAAGCGAAGCCGGTGTCGACATAGGCGCATCCGCGGGCGGGGCCGGCGATTCTTCGTCGGCAGCTGCCTTCAGCGAAGACGCAACATGGCGGTGAGCGGCCGACGTAGTGTGCGCGACAGGAGACGGGGAGCGAGGCAGAGGCGCGGGAACGATGTCGAAGTTTTGCGGCGGCGCAACGCCGTCGATGATGGTCGGGACGTCATCGAGCTGATCCGCAGGAGGAGGCGTTGCGCCAGCGGGCTTGGAAGCAGTCACGGCAGGGACGGGCGTCTGCGGACGAGGTGGCGAAGGGGTCTGACCAGCCTCCGCATCGTCGTCGATGACGAGCAGTCCTCCGCTCGTAGAATGGAAACCCCCATCCTCCTGCTGCCGGACCGCCGCCGACGTCGCAGCTTCCGCCTGCCAAAGCGGGACGTGCCGTCCAACGAGGGACGCATCCAGCATCTCTTCGTCTGTCACGCCGATGCGAATCGACCCGTCTTGTGGAAGGTCCGGGCCAGCCGAGTCGCTGCGAGCGGGACTGTTGACACGGTGGATAGTCGGAGGCATCTCGTAGCGTACGCGCGAGGCGAAGTCGGGTTGCGGTCCGGATTCTTCGCCGAAGTGTGACGAGAAGGCCGGGTGCTGCAGCGTGCGAAATGGAGCGCTACGCTGCAACGCTCCGGAGCTGGATGCCGCCGAAGTGCTGATCATGGCGGTCTCAGGCGGGGCGAGGATGACTGATGCCGCTTCGCCGAGCTGGATGCTCGAGTCCTCGGCCAGCTTGACCGCCGGCGTCGCACGTTCTCGCGCTTCGGCGGACGTCTCCATGCCCTCGTGCTCGTCAATGCCTGGCGATAGAGCGCGATGGTTATCTGCTCCCGCAGCAGGCGAAGACGCCCGATCCGGTTCGACGAGGCCGTCTACTGCCTTTGCCGCGTCAATGCGTGGCTCCTCAGACGCTGCAAGAGCATCCTGCGGCACCTGGACGAGAGACGGTTCGCCGCGGTCGAAGAGGTCGACGAGGTTCGAGGCGATCGCGTCGAGCTGCGCTGCGGCCTGAGAGGCGGCATTCGCATCGATCGGCTCAGGGGAGGCTGAGTCTTGCTGAAAGGCTGAGCGGTCGGGGCTCGTCGTTGATACCTCGCCATCCTGCTCGTCGTCCGCCACCAAAGCCGCGTCGTCTGCGCTGTCGACGTGTCTGGAGGGTTCGAGCACCTCGTCCTCGTCGTCGGGCGGCATACGCCTGGCGAGCTCGGAGTGGAAGTCCGACAACTGCTGAGCGATCAGATGCTGCCGAGGCGACTCGACGTCCATGGCGAGCTCGAGTTGCGCAGATAGTGTAAAGATCTTCTCGGCGAGCTGGTCGTCATCGTACTCCTTGATGCGCGGCGCCCATTTCATCCAGTCGGCAATGGCGAAGTCAACGTTCTCGGAGGTGATTGTCGCAATGCTCGAGTCCGAGTCGTCGTCGCTGATCTCGTCGCCGGAGTCTGTAGCTTCGAGAGCTTGCGGAGGCGCTCTGCCTTTGCCCTTGATCTCGTAGGGAATGCTTGGTCCGAGGTCCTGTAGCAGCGGCGGATTCCTCAGTATGCCGCAAGTGAGTTCAGCGTTACCGGCGAACGCACCTCGGAGTCTTCGTCGGCGTAGAGCGCTTCGAGCGGGTTGTGACGACCTGGAACTTGCACATTCTCCATCTCCTCATCATCCTCGCTGATCTCGCCGCCTTGCTCAACCTCATCTCCTGGCGTGTTTTCGCCAAAGAACTCGCGGCCCTCGTCGGCCTCGACGATTTGCTGCTCCACCATCTCGACCTGCTCCTCCTCGAACCGATCCTTCTCGAACCGGTCCTCCTGAGCGTCTGTGATTGTCGTATCCGCAGAGAAGGCGTCTTGGTCGTTGATCGCCGCAGGAAGTCGATCAGGCGTTAGTCGAGGAGACAGCCGACCGGAAACGTGAACCGCTTCAAGCGCCTCCGCTTGCGATTCCTCGACACGGCCGCCTGCACGAACGGAGTCGACGGAATAGTCCGCAACATCGATGTCGGCTTTGAAGGCGAAGGGTTCCCTCGATTCCACGACCTCTGCCCCATAAGTCGCGAGCTGAGGAACCTCGGCAAAGCGGTCGTCCGCATCCTGCGTTGCGGGGCGTGGCTGGCGAGTCGCATGTGCCGTTTCTTCATCGGAGGACGAGCCCAGCTCGATCGTTTCGGTGACCGACGGGCGATGCGGAGACGGCGAGCGTGATGCCTCCTCCTCCTCCTCCTCCTCCCGAGTTCCAAACACACCGTCCGCTTCGCAAACGTCTTCCCCTAGACCGTAGTCCTCGCCTTCATTCCCTTCGGACTCGATCGCTTCTTCCCCCACCTGACCTTTATCGGCGGCCAGGTCGACCGGCGATTCGAGGCGGGCTCGAGGATTCTCGTCGAGCGGAGCAGGAACGTCTTCGACGTAGTCAAGCACGTCGCCCTCGTCATCGTTCTCGCCAGCTGTAGGCTGAGCGTAGAGGATCGGTCGGTCGAAGGGATCGCGGTAGTAGGGCGTATCCTCCGCGATCTCTGCATCCTCCCGCTCAAGCGACTGACTCGCCCGAGCTTCCGCCCGCGCGAGTTCCTCGTCTTCTCCCGTGATGTCGTCCTCTTCTCCAATATCGAGCTCGTCTTCCTCCACATCGGCCTTCTCCTCCGCTTCCACGCCTTCGCCAATCGCATCAACGTCGAACTCGTCTTCCTGCAGGACGAGCGGAGCGTCTTCATCGCGAGCGTCCCTCCGCTCATCGGCCATTGGCTCGTCGAACCGGTCGAAGGGCGCCGGGCGCTCCTCCTCGTCGTCCTCGGGACCGGTCTCCAACCCGAAAGACTCGTCTCGGCCCGTGTCGTGCGCCGCTCCACCTCGATCATCGTCCGAGGAGACCGATGCGGTCGCCCGCGCGACGAAGAGTGAGTGCGACGAGCCGAGGCGGACTTCCCGCATCTCGGGCTGCGGCGTAGAGCGCGTAGAGGATTCGGCTGAGGAGGAGAGGACGAGAACGTCCTCGTCTTCGTCTTGAGGAGCGACTGAGGGAGCAGTGGACACTGAGGTGGAGGGGAGGGAGATGTCGGAGGGCATGTGGCCGTAGACAACGGAGGAAGGCGAATGCGGTCGGGGGGAGAGGTCCGAAACAGCTGCCCCTTCGTGATTGGGTGAGCGATCCGCGCTGCGAGAAAGGAACGATTTGTAAGAGGAATCGACGAGCGGCTGAGAGGCGACGCACAAGTCTGTCGAATTGAACTGCTCCTCGGGCAAGTCGCCTGCTGCTGCGTCCTCGACTCTCATCTCCTCGCCCAGCGCGCGAATCTCGCCGAACACGTCCTCTTCCTGCTTTCTCCGCCTCGCCTCTTCCCTCTCTCGCCTAGCCTTTTCCCGCTCCCTCTCGCGCTCTTCCCTTTCCCGCCGCCTTCGCTCACTCGGTAGCTCGCCAGGCTCGAGCGCCGACTTGATTCGACGAGTCACCGAACTGACGAAGCTATCGAACGACGAAGCTGGCAGGCGTTCGAAAGGGTTCTTGGCGGGAGCAGAGGTGGTTCGGGAGGAGAAGGCGGAGGACGGGGTATTGTGCGGAGCTTGGAGATGCGCAGCGGCAGCCAATGTGACCGGAGTCGCTACTGACGAGACGGGCGAGTATGTTGCTGAGAGAGGGGTGGGACGGGCGTGAAAGAGGGATGGACGAAGGGAAGTGGGGAAGGGCGAACGATGAGGGGTTGCGAGGGACGGGCCGTCGAGAGGCGGCTGGGTGGCGCGCCTGTTACCTCCCGGCGCGCCAGAGGTCGACATGCCTGGTCGAGCCTACTTGCCCACGGGTGTTCGGAGAGTCAGGAGTGGGGAGGACAAGCAGTGTCGTTTCAGCTGGTCTCGTCCTTTGCGCGTCTTGTGCAGTGAATACGTGACCACTCACAACTGAAAGTCCTGCAGTAAACCTGTCTGAGCCGTCCTCGCGAGAGTTGAGATCCTCGTTCGCGCCGAACTGATGAGAGTGCGAGGAGTGTTGGGCGAGCGCAAGGGAGGACGGGTACCCGTTGGCAAAGCCGACGTAGCTCAGAGTCCCAATTCAGCCAGTCAGCGGCCTCTCGAGCGGTTGTAGCAGGGTGGCAGTGAGCTGTCGGTGACGAACGCTCCTCTCGCCTCGACTTGACCCACACAGCTGGCCAAACTCGCCAAAGAACCTGCTTGACTTCGCCATGGCGACCGCTTTCCGACCGCAAGGCCCTACGCCGGCTTCCCACGGCTCGCGCACCCTCACTATCACCCCTACTCCGGCTCCGCCGTCCGCAGGAGGCGACGATGCTTCCTCCGCGACGCCATCAGGTTCCGGCTCGGCTGAAGGAGGCTCGGGAGAAGCCGGTGTGTTGAGGTTGCGGGGACGGGCGATGCCAGGTCAGCGGGTACAGTGGACGGAGGAGACGGTCGATAACGAGGGACTCAACCGGAAGAAGAGCAAGAGTGCGTCCGCTCTGCCTCCATGGGACGATTGAGACGAGCTGACCTTTGTGCCAACAGTCTGCTGCATCTACCACAAGCCCAAGGCGTTCGACGAGTCTTCGGACGAATCAAGCGGCGACGACTCGGACTCTTCGGCTGGCTCGCAGGACAGCCGCGATGGGCGCGCAGCAGCAAGACGAGCACGGCGCCACGAACATCGTCATCATCACGAGCACGGCGAACACTGCTCTCACGGAGGTCAAGGCAGCGGCCAAGCCAACGGAGGAGAATCGAGCCAGATTGAAGTCGAGGACCGACCCGAGCCTAACGCATACGAGCGCTCAGGCGGAGGCGGGAAGGGCAAAGGTGTGCTTGTTTCGTTCCACCGTATGGCAAATGGCCCCTGACACCCTTTGCGGCGGGGGCAGGCAAAGCACCTTGACCTCCGGACTTTCTCTCCGCTTCGCCAAGCATGCCCTTCATCCGTACTAACTTCATGCGTACTTACTCCTTGATGTTGTACTTCCATCGCTTGACCATGCCAAGCTGGCGGTTGGCGAGAGTTGGGGAAGCTCGCGTTCCTCGGAAGCAGACCCGCAAGCGCCTGATCCGCTTGCTCTCGCTTGCCAGCCTTCCTCTGCAATCAGACGACGATGCGCACGATCTGGAGTAGCCGTACACCAGCTTGTCTATGAATGCAATCTAGGATAACAGCCTTCCCTGCACCAGCGACTCGACCTTGTCCAGCCACGCCGGGGTATACCGCTCTAATGAGACGAAGTCGCGACCAAACGCCGTGGTGTTGTCGTACTTGGGACTGTGAAGGCGAGGAAGCTATCAGTTGAGGTGATCCTTGAGGAGGTCGCAGCTGGATCTCGGCAAAGAACAAGACCCACTGCTCAATCTGGCCAATTGTGAGTCCTGGGGGCGCAAGCAGATGCGCTGTGGCGGCATAACTCGACTCGGCGACGAGCATGATGTTGTTGTCTGCGAGGCGCTTCATGTCGGCGAGACTGTCTCCAGAGTCGACAAGGCGGTACTTGGGCGTGTCGATCTGGCGAAGGATGGCGACGTCGTGCTGCTCCATGACAAGCGAGACGTCGACGTTGCCCGAGCCGAACTTGTTGCGGATGTCGCGGAGGAGGCGGTTGATGTTCTCGATGGAAATCGAGCCGCGAAACTGGCCAGCAGCGTCGCCCCAGCGGATGTGCACGCCCACCGTCACACGCCGTGCATTCCATGACCGCCGAGGGATGCCACCGATGCGGTCCCGCAGCCAGCTGTGCAAGCAGCCGTTCATGTCTTCGTGCACCTGCGACGGAGACAAGGGTTCAGTCGAGCTGTAGAGGAGGTGGACATTGCAGAGAGCGTACTTCGTCTCGCCGCGCGTCGAGTATGACCGTGCAGTGCTGCATCTGCCGTGCGAGCTCGGCAATCTCGACTTGCGAGGGGTCGTCGGCGGGTCCATGAGCGCACCATCCATGAGCAAGCTCGTCTCGGCGATGCCACGGCAGGTAGTCGCCCAAATTGCATGCTCTGCTCAGGTCGACGTTCTTCGCTGCGTCAAGGTATCGACGGTTGAGGATGTCGGAGGTCGAATAGCCATGTTCGGACGGCCTGTCCGTCAGGATGAGGTGCGAGTCGAGCGCTTGCGACAGGACAATGCTCTCCTTGAATCGCTGGATGGCAGACTGCGTGCTCAGACGGCGTTCAGCTTCAGGTCAGGGTGGAAAGAGGGCAGGAGGACGCACGCCTATCCCCTCCTCGCCTATCCCGCCATCACGCATATATATCCGGCCCGTCTTTCCGATCGAACCGCCTAAGCTACTCACGCCCATCACCGCTATACCCAACAAGAAGACGATGCCTGCCAAGGCGAAGACGCGGAGAGGAGTCGAGGCAGTCGAGATCTTCCACGACGGTGACGAAACGTTGGGTGATCTCGTCCACGCCACCTGCTCCTCGAGAAGTCCCTCCATCTCTAGATCGACATCTTCAGACGACCGTCGTTGCGCCATCGCTTTGTTGTTGGGTGGGGGAAGGAAGAGGCGCGGGCGAGCGGTGCGACGGCAGGCTGTCGAGGGATCAGGACAGAGCAAGCATACGCAGACGCAGATGCGGTCCAGATTGCGCAGGGAGGGTGCGAGAGAGTGTTTGAGGGGAGATTCGCTGTCGAAGGTTCCGTGCGAGGGCAATCGACTTCTCTGGTTGCGCTTGATGCCGAAAGCGGGCTGCCCCAGGGTTGTAGCCCAGAAAGACTGGAACGAGCGAGAGAGGAGGAGCGAAGAAGAGGAGGGCAAGGCGAACTCGTCTCTCGCATCAAGTTGAGAAATGCTGGCCGGGAATGCGAGAAGAGGAACAAGGGGAAAAAATACAAGCCAAACGAGCCGCCTTTATGTCGTCTGTGTCTATGCCCAACCTCCGGCCTTGCCCCAGTGCTCCTTCTCCATGACAAAGGCGCACTGTTCCGACGTCTCGTACACCGTCTTGTTGCACGGGTAGTCGAAAGGTATCGTGTCGGACATCGTGTAGTGATGCAGTCCCGGAACCTGGAGAGAGAGCGACTGGTCAGGGACGCGAGGCGGGAACGAGCGGGCTGAGGACTGTACTCACGGTCGTCTTGTACTGAATTGAGAAGATTCTGCTCATCGCGACACGACAGAGCGTCAGTGCCATTGCGTGACGGAGAGGAAAGCACCGCTGCGTACGTCGTGGTGTACTTGAGCGGGTTGCGGCCGAAGATGCGCTCGAACCGCGCCATGCACTCGGTTCGGACGCCCATATGCGTTGGTCGGGACCAAAGACCTGCGTTGCCAAGGTCGAGCACCATGGACGCCCACGCTTCGATCACTGCGACGCGGGAAGAAGCTCAGGGAGAGAGTACACGCGGGAAGGAGCGAGAGCGAACGCACAGGCCGGGCCGGTCCCCGTAGCATTCGCCATCATGTAGTTGAAAAGAAGGTCGTCGCAGTTCGCCACCTCGTCAACGTAGTCGCGCGCCTCCTGCGGAAGCTGGTGCGTGTACATGTCGAGGTACTTGCGGTGATAGATGAAGCCGGAACTGCCGTGACCGCGCGAAATCAGCACTTGTCGACGAACGAGCTCGATGGATGCGACTCACGGCAAGACAATTGAGTAGAACGGCTTCTTGCCCGCGAGAAGCTGGGGCGAGAGGAACGTCGAGGAGTAGAGCGTGACGTCCTTGCCGTCGATTTCGCGAACGACCTGCAGGCGAAACGTCAGTAAATGCGAGCGAACGAGAAAGCGGGTCAACGAACGTGGTTGCGGCCCTGGTGGTAGAAACCGACAAGGTGATCCCAGAAGTGGCCCTTCCAGACGTCGACGGCGTACTTGATGTGCTCGTGCGGCATGTCCCAGTCTGTTGGCGGGTCATGCGAGTTAGCAATTGTCTCGCACTCAGGCAGGCGCTTCCGACTGACCATCATCCTGCGAGGCGGAAACCGAGTCAGCGAGCGGATTCGCGAAGGCAGGCTAAAGAGTGTATCGCACCATGTTGATGACGCAAGAGTACTTGATTTGCGGCCATGGGTGGAAGCGGTTGTTGAGCGAGTTGCGCTCCATCTTGAGGATCTCGACGGGGATGTTGTAGTCGTCGCTCGAGATGGCGGGAGGAGGGTAGTCGACATTATTCCAGACGATGAGGATCTGGCCGAGCCTGTCGAGCGTGTGGTAGTGCTCGATGCGGTCGAGGAAGGTCTCCACACGACTGTACACCGTCATGATCATCGTGCACTTGTCGAACGACTCGACGTGCTCGGTGCCGCGCGGGAAGAGGTCGACGTGTTCGAGCGCCTGGTGCTGCATCGTGTAGACCTCGAGCGACGACAACGGCGGGTAGACCTGGAGCGAGTGGAAGTTGGCCTCGCGCGGGAGGAGCGGGACGCGGAACTTGGCGTGGATGATCTTTTGCGCCGCGAGCTGCGTCACCTTGTCGTTCGTGCCGACCTCGACGTAATTCGTTCTGCGAGAGCGAGCCGTCAACGGGGAGGGATGCTGGCAAGGCGAGCGAAGCGACACACGAGTACGACTGGCCGCCTGGCAAGTTCGGGTAGATGACATAGCCTCCCTCCTCGGCCATGAACCGCATGTAGTACTTCTTCCAGCTTTGAGCGAACGGCCACCGGTTCGTGAGCGAATCGGGGATGAGGGGGTCCTTGCCGGCCGGGAAGCGCTTGACGTAGGTGGTGAAGCGACGCCAGTTCTCGGGGAGGAAGATGGCACCCCAGCTCTGCGCCTGCTGGTAGATGTACGGGCGATGGCCGTTCTTGACCGAGACGAACGACTCGAGAGCCTCATTGTAGCGGATGTTGTACAGCGAGATGGCCGAGAGGCGGTGGTCGGCGTGGTCGCGGTAGACGTACGCGTCGATCATGTTCTGCGCGTAGCGAAGGAAGTGAGGCGAGACCTCGATGTCGTCCTCCTGCGATAGTCAGGACGATCAGTGACGCTCTTGCAGAGAGGACTGGCTCAAGCGACGCACAAGGAAGATTGCGTATTCGTGATTGTCGCGAGGCGTCCAGCTTGACAGAATCGAAGCGCGCAAGCCCATCTCCTTGGTCGACTTGAAGACCGTGACAGACTGCGCGGGACCGGGGTCGCGCTTGAGGAGCTCGAGGTAGGCGTCGTACTCGTCGCGGTCGAATTTGCTCATCGCCGGGTCGTAGTCGAGGTGGACGTCCACGGAGACGTCCGTGCCTTCGATCGGGAACGCGGTGCGGACAGACTCCCAGCAGCGCTGGAAGCTCCGCAGGCGGTTCTTCGTGAACATGATGATGCGAACGGCGAAGCGAGGCGGGTTACGAGCGGCGAGGAGCTCGAGTTTGGGCGCGGGAATGGACTGGATGAGGCGCGTGCGGCTGAGCGCCTCGTGGCGGATGTCGTAGAACTCGTCGAGGCGGTTGAGGATCCACTCGGGCTCGTAGTCGCCGCCCGCCCACACCTGCGGGACCGAGACGTCCTTCGGCCCGAGCGTTCGTCCCCAGGGTTGCTGCCGGTCCCGCAACCCTGACGAAAGGAACGACATGTACGCGTCATTGAGCGGGTACTCGTAGGGATGCCGTGACGAGGGGACGTAGGCGAGACCGTTGCGGATCTCGGTCTTGCCTTGACCCTTCGGAATGTTGTCCATATTGACCGTGTTGTCGTAAGGCAGCGTGTTGAGCCGCAGAGCGTGCTCGCGGAAGATGAGCGGACCGAACATCTACGGATAGGGCCAGGTTAGCCTTGTGTGAGCGAGTGGGAAACGAGACAACTCGCCTGGAGGAAGTGAGCGCCCAGCGTCCACTTGCCAGTGAAGCCGCCTTCACCATTGGGTGAGAAGGGCTGCAGGAACGTCTCTCAGCGCTCACTCAGTGCGAAAAAAGCCAGAGTAGACGCACAAAGAAGAGCGGGAGAACGCTCTTGTGGTAGATGACCATGCCGTTGTCGAAGCCGGTCAACGGTGCGACCTCCTCCGTGGCGTACTCCTTCTTGAGCGCCTTCATTCCCTCGAAACGCTCGTCTCCGACTTTCCAGGGGAACCCAGCGATTGCGGGTCGGTACACGTCGAGCACGTACTGGAGCTCGGCGGCGATGTTGGCTCGTGGTGCGGAAGGGTCGTAGAAGTTGCCGTGCGGCGCAACAGTGAATTCGAGGTCGTCATCGTGCGCTGCAAGGCGACAGAAGCGATCAGCGCGCGGCGATTGGCCGTGTTGGGTCACATCGGGAGGAGGAGGGGGAGGACGCACTGAAGATGTAGTCGCAGCGGTGCCGGCTCATGACCTCGTTGACGGACGCAAACATGCCGTCTGCGAACGGCAGCGCCTCCTCGCCCTCCCTGGGCCGGAGGAACGACACCCGCCTTATCTCGTCGCGGGAGCGCACCTCGTCGTCCGTCCGCCGCTGTCCCCAGACGTAGAACGCTGCCGGGAAGGCCCCTCCCCACTGCCTGTACACCGACAGTGCTTTTGCATCCGTCTCTGCGTTCCCGACGAGGCATATCCGCGACCCTCGATCCCGCTCGTTCCACCCCCATCTCCCGGCGAGGGCGATGACGGCTGCGAGGCAGACGAGCGCGAGGCGGAGACGGTGCCGTGAGCTGCCCTTTACTCGCCGGAGCATCGGTTCGAGGAGCGCGAGCGTGGTGAGCGTGGTAGACGCTTGCTGGCGGCGCCGTGGAAGAGCGCGGCGACGAGAAGCTGGTGGGCGAACGATCTGCGGCTCTGCAGCTGGGTCCCTGCTGGAGTTGCGGAAGGGCCCAGACAAGATCGAGGCACGCCCAGTGGTCCCGTCCCGCTCCCGCTTCCGCCGCTTTTCTTTTCCTCTCCCGGACATGCCTCCCCGGACAGCTGAGCGCTCGCACGCGCACTCCGATCGGGTCCGTGCGACTGTCGCAGGGTGGTTCTCCGACCCAAAGTACTCACTGCTGTCACGGCGACCACAGCCGGAGCGGCGCGCGAATGTCGCCAACGACGCGCGAGATTGACGAGCGCTGGGCTGCGGGTTGGAGTGAACGGCGGGCTGCACAAAGTTATCCGTTCGTAGCCTCGCACCAGCGAGGGGCGGGATCGTAGCGAACGCCACTTGACGAAACGGCTTCGGCGCATTCCGTCGAGAACGACTGCGGGAACAGCGAATTGTGGGACGCGGCCATCTTCCGTGGATGAGGCTGTTCCCGAAAAGCGATAAGGGCCTTTGCGCGTTCGAACGAGCGCTTCAATCAGAGCATGCACGCAGGCGGGAAGGACGAGGGAGACAACCGAGAACCGCGTCGAGCGCACTTCCCTACTTCGCAACGTGAGGTCGCTGTGCAACGTAGATGCGCCCGACGTCTAGCGTCGCCTATGCGCAAGGAGTCGAGGAGGAAGGCAGGAGAAGAAGGCGAGCGGCTGGCGTCTTGCGCCTCACTACAGGTCACCCGACTGGCTCGTACGGTGCGATGCACTGAACTTACGAGCTACAGATGCCAACCAGCTCTCTCCTGGGGCTTCCGAGCCGCTCCTCCTCTCCTCCTCGACTTCATCACCCGCGGTGAACCCCATCGTCTCAGCATGCCAACAACGGTCCAAGACCTGCCGTTCGAGCTGCTCGAGCACATCCTCGACCTCACCAGCGCCGACTACGAGCTCGACTCGCCCAAGTCGAATCGCGAGCGCAACGACTTCCTCCGCGACTGCTCCCTCGTCTCGCGCTCGTTCCGATGTCCGGCGCAGGCGTGCTTGTGGGCGGCAGTAAGGGTGCACAATCCCCACACCGCGAAGAAGGTCCTCTCGAGTCCTGTCTTGGGGATGTACGCGACGAGGCAGCTCGACCTGGTGGGCGTGCATGCGGGAAACGAAGGATTGAGCGGGACGACGGCCGCGCGCTTGTTAGGCAAGATCAGGGGAGTGCGCTGGCTCAGACTCGCAGACTTTGGCAGATTGAGCGCGCGCGTCCTCCAGAACGACAACTTGGCAGGTGCGTCCCCCGCTCTCGTTCAGTCTTCGCCAAGTCTCGACAATGCTCGTATTGTTTTCTCCGCAGGCCTGCAGACACTCGTCTTGATGACTGCGTTTCCCGACAAGACGACCGTCCTGTCCTCCCTCCGCTTCCCGTTCCACCTCCGCACGCTCCACCTCTTCAATCGCTCCTACGGCCCGTCCATCCTGCCCATCCTCTTCTCGGCCTCCCGCCACTCGCTCACCTCGCTCACACTCCTCACAAACTCGACCTCCGCTTCGTACCCTTCACTCATCACCGCCTTTCCCTCCGTCGCTCCAAACCTCCGCTTCCTCTCGCTCCAGCACCGCGCCTCGGGAGAATTGACCTCGCTCTTCTCCCTCTTGACGAGCCTGACCCACCTCGAGTGCCACTTCGCCGTCGACCTGCCCACGACCCTCGACTCGCTCTCTCCAACAGGCCTTCTCTCGATCCTCTCGCTCGAGTTGGACTACAACCTCCTCGACGTCGCAAATGTCCTCACGTCCCGCCTCGACGGACCCGTCTTGCGCAACCTGAAGGTCCTGCGGATCCCTCGCGCGCCATTGAGGGACGAGTTTCGAGAGTTTGGAGGTCAGCCGTTGCTGGACAAGTGTGTGGAGAAGGGGATCAGGGTAGAGGTCGGACAGGTCGTGGCTTGGCGAACACGGTTGTTTCCCTGAGCCCATTCCGCGTGCAGTGAGATGCGAGAAACGACGATGCAGCGTTTAGGAACCGAGACTCCCGCTGCCCTCAACCTTTATACGTGCCAGTCTACAACTTCGCCTTAACCGTCTGCGCCTCAGGTACCCTCATCTCCCTCACGGCACCTGTATCCAAGTCCCTCCTCACGATCGGTCCTTCGCCGCGACTCTTGTCGAGCCGGCTCTTGTCGCCGGTGAAAGACCAAAGGCGTTGGAGGTGTGGCGGAAGGGTGCGCGTGAGAGCTGAGACAATCCAGTTGCCGGTGAGGGGAAGGAACTCTGCGTTGAGAGGAGGGTCAGAAGGCGAAGGGAGGAGGAAGGGGAGAAGGAAGGGGCACGGACTGAAGGCGTGGCCGCTTCCGCCAGCGGCGACAAAGAGCGAGGGATACGTCGGGTGCCAGTCGAACAGGAAGTCGCCCGACTCGCGGTCCGAGTACCTGCGCACGCGATTCTGTCAGCCTTACTCGCGCGTTTCGAGAAAGCGAGACTCACCAGCACAGTCTCGTCTCGACGATCTCCTTCTCTGCCAACTCTGGATGCACACGCCGCATCCCTCGTCGCAATGCGTCGAGCGCAACGGAAGGAAACTGCTGCTTCTCGTAGCCGGACGAGAGGGTGGTCCGTGGGAGAGAGGGGAAGGTGCCGGAGGGAGCGAGCCAGCCGCGATCGTGGATGGCTGCGAAGGCCGTGTTTGTCAGTTTTGCTGTTCGTCGAAGAAGAGAGGCAAGAGGAGTACGCGCCCATCTTGACGATCCCGTCCTTGTTCGGCTGCGAGGACGGAGTCAGCTCGTCTCCTCCGCACGCACAGTCTCATTGAGCGTACAGGGAAGCAGTAGCTGCGAGGGTGACGGATGTCAGGGACGTGCAAAGGTAAGGCGCCACGGAGAGAACGCACAATCCAGTGTCCATAAAGAGCGAGACCTGCGCGGGAGATGCAGACTCGTCAGTGGCAGGCCTATCTCGCAGGATGTTCGGACGTACAGGCATGTCCTTGTGCTTCTCCATCTCCTCCTTCGACAGCTGCACCGTCGCAACCGTCTGACCCGTTGGCAAGCAATTCGTCGCCAACTCGGGCAGCAACTTCGGCGTCCAGCTCCCACACGCAACGATCACGAAGTCCGCCCTGTACTCGCGCCCATCGACCGTCTGCGCACCCTTGACGTCCGAGCCGTTCGGGCCAGGGCAAATGATGAGGGATTCGGCTTCGCCAGAGACGAAGGTTACGCCGAGTTTGCGCGAGAGGTCGATGGCTTCGACGACGGCGTCGCGAGAGGCTGCCCAGCCGCCGACCTTATTCTTGTCTGCGCGTATACGCGGCGTCAGCACGACTTCGAAGGAAGAACGGAGGGAGCTGCACTCACAAGCGACGTCTCCCGGAAACTCGCCCGTCCCAATGCTCGCTGGATAGAACCGCTTGATGCCTTCCGCCCGCTCAAGCCGTCCAACGTCCTCCTCCGTGTTCAGTTTGTGGCTGTTGACGACATAGCCAGCCTGAGGATCGGTTTCGGCGGCCGCAACGACAACTCCGCATTCGTGAAAGTGCTTCTTCCACCGCGGTGTCCGCCACTGCTTGATAGCCTCTATCGCGAACGACTGGTAGAGTGGGTCGGCGTAATCTGCGCGGACAATCTGGGAGGTCGAGGAGGAAGGAAGCGGAGTGAGCGCAGTGAAGCGGAGGCAAGGCGTCGGATGCGCACCTTGTTGTAGTCGCTCGACGCAGCATCGACTGCAGGTGGCTCAGCGCCTCGCTCGAGGACCGTGATGAGATTTCCGTGCCCGCGATACGGTCCTTCTGCGAGCGCGAGCGCCGTTGTCGATCCGAACTCGCCGCCGCCGACGATGAGCACGGTAGCAGGAGGAGCAGGACAGGCCATGGCTGGAGGGTCTCGAGGTCGAGCAGGAGCGGTGTCGAGGTGGACAAGTCAAGCGAGTGAACTTCGGCGCGGGTCGGCAAGCGGCGGCTTCAGCGAGGAGGTCGTTGTTCGCCAGGCGCCGGCGGGATGTCAGAGCAGCTGTAATGTGCACGTGTAGCAACGCTCGCTCCCGCAAGCCGTGCAGATGGATAGGGACTCGAGGCGGAGGCTCGAGCGCCGTTGAGCGAAGACGCGACTTACCTCCACCGCTCGCACGCTGCTCGAGCGAGATGACACAGCAGCTAGGTCCACCGCCAGTCCCGCCTCGACCTATACCGCCGCCGCCCGTCCCGCCTCGTCCAGGCGCCGCACCGCCTGCTCTCGCTCCTCCTCCTGGTCCGCCCACCTTTCCGCCGGTCGTGAGAGGCAGGGTGCTAGCAGATGGGTCGGAAACGAAGTCTGGAGTGCTCTGTCAAGGCGTCAAGTGGCAGGCCAGCGGGATCTTGGAAGACGGCAGCAAGTGAGTTCTTCGGATGGAGCGAACGAGGTGAATCGCGATGCGGTGTGGCTTTCCATCGCTGACGCCTTCTGCTTCAAGTCTTCCGGACCAGGACGTCAGGATCGCGAAGCCGTTTACGATCCACATGGGAGGACCAGGTAAGAGCCCTTCAATCGCCTCTCGCTTTTCCAGCAGCTTGACTTGACGGCCTCTTCCTGCACTTCCAGGTCTCTGCGTTGATGCGAAAGGACGGCAGCGGACAGAAATTCTGTCATGGCCACCGGCGGCTGCAGGCGAGACGTGGATCTAGTGAGTCTCCCTCGACCTTCGCAACTCCCGTCCCTCTGCTCCGTGAACGCCTGAACTCAACGCGCGCTTTCTCATAGTAAATGGCGCTTCCATCTCTCTCCCTCCTTACCGACGTCCTCGAAGTTCTTCCACCTGACGCAGCTTCTTTCGCGAGAACAAGGCGGCTTCGTCGTTGCCCTCGGACTCGTCAACGGCAAGATCAAGATTAGCTCAGTGTTGCAGCCTCTCCTCGGTGACAGTGGCCAGCCTGTCCCGCTGCCTGAGATGCCGGCGGAAGACTTCTGGGGACGGACAACGTATCATCGCATGGCGGTTCGATGGGGTCCGGGAGGATCCGTCGATTGTACGCCTACTTCGCTTTCTCACTTCGAGACATCCCTGATAGAGCGTCCCCTGCAGACACAATCCAAGACGACGCCACTCTCGCTCCGCTCCTCCGCTACTGCGTTTCCGAAGTCGACATACCGGCGCAAGGCTCGATCAAGACAGGCCTGTATCGCGCGCACGTCTGCAGCGCAGCGACATCCGTCGTCGGCGATTTCGACTTCAAGCGGCGATGATATAGTCACAATAAATCTCGGCGTATGGCTCTCCGCCTGCTGGCCACGCTCTCGGCTCGACGACGAGGCGCAACCGAGAGACAAGAAGCGGTAAGTGGCAGCGATGCTGGATGAATTTTGCAACGGAACCAACTGCTACTGAGAAGACAACGAGGGGAAGAAAAAGAGAGAGAGAGAGCCAGAGAGAGAGAGAGGTAAAGGAGGGAGGGTCTACCGAACCTGCGGCCGTGAGGGCGGGCAGTCTAGCGTGCTAGGCAGATACATGACAATGACAGAGAACCCAGTGATGCGGAATGAAGCGTGTGAATTGCTTAGTCGTGGTTGCTGCGCTTGGCCTGCGAAGGAAGGGTGCGTCAGTTCGGGAGCAGGCTCGATGGGGAAGAGAAGGTCGACGCACGCCCTCGACGTCGGCCTCAACCATCTCCTTGACGAGCTCGTCGAACGTGACCTTGCGCTTCCAGCCCTGCGAGACCGTACTTGTCAGCGAGCTACTCAAGGCAGATTTCCCGGAAGGCGGCTTACAAGGACCTTCTCGGCCTTGGCCGGAGTGCCGTGGAGGAGGTCGACCTCAGCAGGACGCTGTCGTCAAAGGAGACGTCAGCGGGAAGCCCGAACACAATGGACGCAGAGGCGTAGCTCACGAAGTACCGCTCGTCGACGCGGACGAGGACCTTGCCAGTCTCCTTGCACTTTCCAATTTCGTTGACCGTGTCGCGCTCGCCCTCCCAGACGATGGTGGTGCCGACAATCTTGAACGCCTTCTCGACGAACTCGCGGACGGGGTGGGTCTCGCCGGTCGCGAGGACAAAGTCGTCGGGCTGGTCCTGCTGGAGCATGCGCCACATGCCCTCGACATAGTCGCGAGCGTGTCCCCAGTCGCGCTTCGCGTCGAGGTTACCGAGGTACTGCGACGAGAGGACGTTAGCCTCCGGTCGGCGAGCGGCAGAAGCGAGTGAAGCGGAACGCACGAGGCAGTCCTGCTGGCCGAGCGAAATCTCGGCGACGGCGCGCGAGATCTTGCGGGTGACGAAGGTGCGACCACGGCGGGGCGACTCGTGGTTGAAGAGGATACCGTTCGAGGCGTGCATGTCGTACGACTCGCCTGGAGCGCAGTCACCACGTCAGCGATGTCGTTCAGATGGTGGGGAGAGAGGCTGAGTCGACTCACGGTAGTTCTTCACGATCCAGAAACCGTAGAGCTTGGCGACACCGTAAGGCGAGCGAGGGTAGAAAGGCGTAGTCTCCGACTGAGGAGTCTCGACGACCTTGCCGTAAAGCTCCGAGGTCGAGGCCTGACAGGAGACTCGTCAATCGGCTGATCAGGAAGACCGGAAGCGATTTGATAGCGCACCTGGTAGAAGCGGATGTGGTTGGTCAAGCCGCAAGTGCGGATGGCGTCGAGGAGACGGAGGGTGCCGAGACCGTCAACGTCGCCCTGTTCGTCGCGAAATTGTCAGCCATTGCATGTCAGTCGGAGCTGTTTCGGCGAAGGGCAACTCACGGTGTACTCGGCCATGTCGAACGAGACCTTGACGTGCGACTGGGCGGCAAGGTTGTAAATCTCGGTGGGCTTGATGGACGCAATGATGGAGACGAGGTTGGTCGTGTCGGTCAAATCTGGACGAGCGGAATGAGGAACGTGAGTACAGCGGTAACGGAGGGAAAGGAGAGGCGAACGCACCGCCGTAGTGGAGAACCATCTTGGGGCCTGTAGAAGCGGCAGATCATCAGTCTCTGAAGCTCGAGCAACTCGTGGCGCCGTCTGCTTTCGAAGCGCGAGCAGAAATCGCTAGACTCGGCGCAAAGCGGAGGATGCTCTCGACTCAAAGCGGAGGACCCGAGACTCACGCTCGTGGACATCCTTGTAGAGGTGCTCGATGCGGCCAGTGTTGAAGGACGACGAACGACGAATGCTGCAAGGGAGAAACGACTCTGGTCAGGATGCACTTGGCGATCGATTACCTCTCCGGGGAAGCGGGAGAGGTGGTGTCAGACGTGGACGCACATGCCGTGGACCTCGTAGCCCTTCTCGAGGAGGAGCTCGGTGAGGTACGAGCCGTCCTGACCAGTGATACCTGCGGACAGCGAGACGAGAAGTCAGCGTCGCGTGTCGAGGTGATAGAGCCCGCTCCCTCTTCAGCACCCGTGCTGGCAGCTGCAGGACTCGGCTGCCTGCTCAGAAGAGGACATCGAGAACTCACCGGTGATCAAGGCGACCTTGCGCTTGAAGTAGTCGGCGGGAGAGAGCTCGGTGCCAGCAATCGGAGCGTAGGCAGGAGCGAAGCGGAGGGCAGAGTCGCCGTTGCTGCGTCCAGTGGCAAGATCGTCGGACATGGTAGGAGTGTCTGAAGTAGCCGGTGTCGAGGAGGGCGAGGTGAGGAGGAGGAGGAGAGGGCGAGGAGGAGGAGAGGGATGGCGGGAAGCGAAGCGGGAGGGACGCGCGCGTTCGCGTTCCAGGATCGTCTCGGTTCGCTCGTCCGGGAAGCAGCACAGAGTCTAGATCCGATTGGGAAAGGGCTCGGCACAGCCCGCAGCAACAGCCCGTCCGCGTCTCCCGACGGGATCCACAGCGCGGCAGTACAGTGCAGCAGGCTGCAAGCACTCGCTCTATCTGCTCGCACGCTGGCCATGCCGCCTGCTCGCTCGTACGGCCCGCGAGAGGGCCTGTTTCGCCGCCGCAACCTCGCCCTCGCCGCCCTCGCCTTCTTCTTCTTCGTCGCCCATCCCTCCGTTCGGACATCGCCTTCGCGGCTGCTCAAGAGCCGGTACAAGCGTCCACCGAAGCCACCGCAATCCCAGGCAGCGGTGGCGTATTGGGCGGCCGAGGTCGCGCCAGACACCCGGATACAGCCCGTCCTCGCCGACTTGTACGTTGAGCGGCAGAAGCGGCGTGCGGAGGCTGTCGCGCATGCTCAGGCTCGCGGGCTGCGACTGAACGACCGCACGCGCGAGTCGGATGCGCCTGTCGTCGTGTACTGGTCCGAGCCGCCGTACTGGTGGAAGAAGGAATACGGGACCGGCCAGGGCGAACACATCCAGGTCGACAACTGCCCCGTCAAATGCACCCTCGTCTCCGGTCACTCCAACGACACCGCCCAGCGCGACGCTCACGTCGTCATGGAGTACAATACGCACCGGAACCGCATCGACGGCCTCCCCGCGACGGGCCCTCGCTCTCTCCGCCCGTGGCAGAAGGCCGCCCTCTACTCGATGGAGGCTAACTCGGTCCTCGAGAACCACCTCGACCTGCTTAAGGTGCGCAACAGTTCCCCTCAGCGAGATGAAACAGCGTCCCGACTCTCTCCCTCTCGAACAGCTCTTCGACATTTTCTCCCACTTCTCCGCCTACTCGGACATCCGCTTTGAGACCTACATCCCCAACATGTGCGACGACCCCGAGGACGCCAACTCGCACTGCATCGGTCTCCCCGATGTCACGTCTCGAGCTGTCGCAGACCGGTGGTGGGGCAAGGACCGCACGAAGAGGTGCGTTCTTCCCTCCCCGCTCACCAATCTAAACTACACTGACTCTCGAGGGCTATTCTCAGTCCTTTCTTTGACGAGCAGCTCGCTGCGCAAGCTCCCTTGCCGACTGGCGAAGTTCGCCTCGCTACCTTCATCTCAAACTGCTACGGCTCGACTCGGAACCGCCTCATCAGGGAGCTCGTCGAGGAGGGCATCGTCTTTGACCATTACGGCAAGTGCAAGGAGGACGTGTTTGGCGGAGTTCCCCAGGTGCGTCTTGGCCTTCCCAAGTTGGTCGTCTCCTTGCGACCAACCGCTCACACATTCCGCGCACTGCAGAACTACTCGGCCAAGATCTCTGCTCTTGTCAAGCCAGACCCAGACTCGCCCTCGCAGAAGCTGCGGTGGCAAGCCAAGATGAAGGTACGTGTTTACATTCCTTTCGCTCGATGATGTCCCTACCCACACATCGGCTCGTCCGCACAGATCCTCGCCATGTATCCGTTCGTTCTGATTCTCGAGAACACGATCCTGTCCGATTACATCTCGGAGAAGATCACGCAGGGCATCCTCGCCGGCGGCATCCCCATAATACTCGGCGCGCCCAACCTCGCATCCGAGATCGACCCACCAACAGCTCCCCACCCACCCCTCTACATCGACGCGATGGATTACACGCCTTCTGAACTCGCAGCCCACCTCCGCCGCCTCGCAGCCGAACCAGCCCTGCACGCCGAGTACCGCGCCTGGACAAAGACGCTTCCCGATGCGCCGGTCGTCGAGTACGCACGGCGAACAAGCGACAACAACTACCTCGAGAACGGGCTCATGAGGCCTATCTGCGACATTTGCCAGTACTACCACGAGAACTACGACTGGGAGACTCAGGCGCCCGTGGCGTTCTGAGACGGCTTGCACGGCGGCGTTCGTAGTTCTCTTTGCATGGATAGATATGGTTGTATGTTATTCTCGCTCTCCTTCAGCAGCCAGCCGTCGGGGAAGGAGAGGAGAAGGAGGAGAGCATTCGCAAAGGGAGAAGCAGGCGGTGTTATCAGCCCTGCACGGCCAAGTCCCATTTGAGCGGAGGGAGGAGATAGAGGGGAGAGCTTCTTCTCGTTGATTGAGCAGCAGGATCCGCTCCTCCTGCTCCTCTCCGTTCCGTTCTTCGCGACCGCACACCGCGACAAGACGGATTATCGTGCTCGCGCGAGTAGAAGTCTTCAGGCAATTGCTATCACCTGAGTCTCTCCCAGTACTCGCAGAACAGGAAGAGAACTAGGAACATGCGAAGGCGAGAGAGGAAGACCGCGAGCATCGTCCGGCCACTGCTTGTCCCCTTGTTGCGGAGATGCCTGAAGAAACACCACTGGCAAGTGGACTTGGCTATCTATGGCTCGTCTTCCCGACGAAGGAACAGATCCAATTAACCCGATACAAGCGACTATCGCCCGTCGCAGATGCCCAACATGCCCAGATACTGATCTACAAGAGGCTCAATCGCGTCCGTTTTGAGGTAGTGCGTTCCGTCGCCTAGATAAATGTCGGGGGTGATTGGCGCGGCGAGCCTGTAGAAGTCGAGGACATCCCATCCGAACTCGACCGCCAGGTCCCGTCCCAGCTCGTTCCAACGCGCTATACGAGGCTCCGTGCGGCAGTCTTGCTTGCGCAGCTTGTTGTTGAAGTGCGGCGGCATCGTGAGGAAGAGGAGGCGTTGCGCGGGTCGACCGGGTCGAAGCGTCGGAGCCTGCTTGGCGCAGTCCGCCACGCCCTGCAATGCTGACCGGAGCAACGTTGTATAGATTGAGGTCGCGTTGCAATGCCAAGCGAGCGAATGCGTGCCCTGCAATGTTCGACTTGGTCAGCATGCGTTTAAAGCTGCAGCAGGAAGCTTCAGTTGCCTCACCACATCAAAGAGGACGGAATCATAGCGAGCCAAGAATGGGCAGTCCCACAGGCCTGAAAACTCCGCGTACGGATCCCAGACGACCTGGAAGGTCAAGTTGCCCATGACCGGGCGGCTTCCAGCCTTAACCGTTACGTTGAGCATGCCTTGGCGATTGAGCAGGCGATGTGCTGTCGCTTCCGCCAGAACGCGCGCATGGCTGTCACCGACGAAGAGTGCTCTGTGCGGATTGGTGAGGCACGGAGCGTGATCTCGGCCTCGAAGTCCGGCATGATCCCATCGACATTCTTGAGGCGTCCAGTCGTACAGCCCGGCAAGCGGACGGCCGTCGATTGTTGGCAGACCGTAGTCTAAGGGGTTCAGAGTACGCTGGAGGGCGAGGGGCGAAGGGACGTAGGTGCCGGGAGGGGTGATCCGCATGTCGCATTGGGGAAGATGCGGAGCAGGCGAGGATGTCGCGATGTTGATCCCCTCGCACATGGAGCACAAGCTGAGCTCGACGGGCGTCTTGCTGTCGAGCACGCTGTGGCGAAGAGGCTGATCAGGGAATGGGTCCGCAACATGAGGCGAGTCTTCTCGGTAGCCGTGGTAGTCGACGAAGAGGTGGGAGATGTGAAGATAGACCCGACCAGGGTTGTTCAGTTGGAAGCCGTAGTGGTAGCTGCACGCCTCTGTGTTGAAGCGAGTCGGGACATGCTGTGATAACCGCTCGGCGCCCTCCAAGCGTACCTCAAAGGTATCGGGACCGAGGCTCGCCTTGATGTACCGAGCAAGGTCTTCGTCCTTGGACGGCACGATCGTCGACGCCGTTGCGCAGACGGACTTGTCGGAACGAGTGATCGACACCTCGAAGGCGTTGCAGGCGTCGGGGTCGTAGTTGACGGCGACGGAGAAGGAAGAATGAGACGGTAGGTCGATGGCACGAGTGAGGCTTGGCGAGAGCGCTGGTCGTGTTCTGGTCGGATGTGGACAACTCGAGCTGAGGATCGGGAGGAGCGAGGCGGCGAATCTCTGCGAGAAGGCGAGTTAGCGAAGGGTTGCCTCTCCAGCGGAAGTCGCCAGCCACGCACCCCTCCGACGCCACCGTAGCGCTGTACTAGGAGTGCCGCAATGGAGATCAGAGCGACACTGGCGACGAGCATTCGTCGCGGGAGAGCCTGTCGCGGGATCGCTCCATTCGGTCTCGCCTGTTCATACGCATCCGACGGCAGAAGGTCGTAAGAAGCCGCCGAGCGCATCATTCAGCTGGGAAAGAGTACATAACGCACGACGGCGCACGAGCGCGACCTGTAGGAGGAGTCGGAGGTACGGAGCCAACTTGGACAGATGCGAGGACTCGAGGAGCATTCGGCAGAAGCGAACGCGTTGATGAGCTCGCGTGGCATTCGGCTCTGTCCCGGAGCCATCAGCCGTCCGCAATTGAGACCGTCCAGCAGGACGATCCCCAGCCAAGATTCCAGCTTCAATCTCCCGAGGTGCCATGCACGCCGTCGAAAGCTAACGCTGTGAGACTAGAGCATAACTGCCAAGCGCGCTATCGAGTTGAGCTGCCCCGCTAGCGGATGCGGCTGGTGGAAGCGGTGAAGGCGGAGGAGGAGAGCGAGGAGCAGCAGCCTGGGAGAAAGCGAGGACTCGAGACGGTGCGACGGTGCTCTCATGTTCCAACACGTATTTCTCGGTCCCCTAGCCCGGTCGTTCCTTATTGCTGGCGCCGAAAACCTTGAGACGCCGGCCGGGTCGCGAAGTTCGCGATTTCGCTCGTTCCCGCTTTCCTCGCCCACGGCAGCGACTAGCGGTTTGTAGACGCGTGATCTGTGCTCTGGAAGCAGCTGGCTATCGCTCGAAAGCAGTACAACTTGTCCCGAGAGAGCGAGAGAGGAGGCTCTCTCGTCCTCGCGTCGTCATCGCCTCTCTCCCTTTGACATCTTGAGCTGCGGGTCGACCTTCCTGTATACCATAGCGGGCGTAGAGTGCGAGTCTCTAGCCGGCAGAAGGTGTTGCGAGGGTAGGGGAGCAGAAAGAGCGAAGTGCTCGAGGGGAGGAGGGCGGGACATCCGGAACGGCGCTCTCCCTCTCTCATATGCGGGCGTTCCGAGGTGACAGATCCGTGCATACCAGAGCTGTTGAGCTCTACGCCGAGTAGCACATCTCTACAACAAGTGACGAGGGCGGGAGGAAGGGAAGAAGTGAACGAGCTGACGAGCCTCCGCCCGTCTCAAGCTTTCGCGCTTTTGCAATAGCTTGGTAGGTGCTCTTGAGCAGTCAAGCAGTGTACATTTCGAAGGAGCGGTATCATGGAGAACCTACAGCGGGAGACCTGCAAAGCACTGCACATCCTCCTCCGGCCTCATCGAGAAGTCAAGACTCGGCGGACACTGCAGGCAGAACCTGATGTCCTCCGCGACGTCTTCAGTTGCTGGCGGTGTCGGAGCGCGCGGAGGAAGGCGTCGTTGACGTTCGACGGCGCGGTTGACGGCTATCTGGAAGATCATGTCGTCGCTGCAGCCCAAAGGCAAGATTAGCTTGATGCAAACGAGTGACGAGAGCGACGGGCGTACACGGGCGAGCAAGAGTGCATGCCCTCGTAGTCGCACTTGTTGTGCCAGTGAAAGGTCGCACTCTGCTTGAGGGGGAACTCCATCGTATCGAACAAGCCGCCGCCCAGTCGCGAGCTGTACGGCAATCAAAGTCAGCGCGAGGACGATGGAGCGAAGGAAAGCAGAACGCACATGTCCAAGGTTTCGACTTTCGCTTCCGGGTTGCGCGAAGCGTAAGCGGCGATGTTCCCGGCTTCTTGATGAGTGTACGGCACCTCGGGCGAGTACGTCCGGAACGCAGAAACGAAAGCGCCAGTCCAGGACGGACCGAACCACTGCCGGTAGAGCGACAGCATGGTGTAGTTCGAGTGCGAATTGTCGTTCGACTCCCACAAGACGAGGTCAGGACCCCTACCTCCGCGCTCCTGCGCCATCTTCCCCAGCATCTTCTCCGTGTTGGCGAGGTAGTCGCCTCCGCTGCAGTGGAGCGCGCCTGTGTCCGCGATGCACTGCTGGCGGAAGTCGAGGTAGGAGATGCGCATCTTGGCCGACTCGGCAGAGAGGCGTCCCCAGCACTTCCAGAATTTGGACGTCGGCGCAGAGAGGTTGGCGGCAAGGGGACCGAAGAGGTGGTCGACGCCGGCGAAGAAGATGCCTCGCCAAACGGACGTTCCGACGAGGGCGATCCAGAGGTCCTGCTTGGCGAGTTCGTCGGGCGTGTAGATGTGAAATATGCAGTCGCGAGGCACCCATATCCAGCCGTAGCGTGTGCAAGGGAGGGGAGTATCTTCGCAGCGGACCCAACGTCCCCGACTTCCCACCTCGTCACCTCGACACCGCTCCTTCGGCAAGGCGAGCTCCTGACGTCCGTCGCCGCGCAGTCGACTTCCATCTTGACGCATGACGGTAACGTTGTACGTGTCAAGCCCTAGCGGAAGCCAGTAGGCGTAAGGCTTGCCAGTCTGTGTGCGTCTGAAGGCGTCCACCCGAAGACGGTAGTCCCCCGCATCGAGGGCCGTGTAGCGCACGACGTACCGCCCCTTCTGAGCATACGATACGTCTGCCGCGAAGCGAGCTGGCCCTTCGAGCCAGACTGCGACGTCCTCCAGGTCGGGGTGTAGCGGGGGGTCATTTGCCGACTCGAAGTCGATGTAAAAGACCGCTTCGACATTCTGCCTGGCTTCGCTGAGTCCAGGACCCCACAACTTGCAGGGAGGAACAGCGGCAGTCTCCAGGCCAAAGTACTGATGGGTTGGGAGGGGGAGAGCGTGTCCAGACTGCGAGTACAAGGAGATCCGCGTTGCGCTTAGGGCGGAAAAGATGGCGAGTGAACAGACTGTGAACAGCGAGGCAGCAGCCGCCAAGTGGAAAGAGCGCGTCCAAGCGGGCCGTCGCGACGAGGAGGAGGGAGAGGAGGACCGTGACAGGGCGTCTGTGTCGTCTGGATAGTCTTCGGGACCGGGTGATACAGTCGGTATACGCGTATAGCCGGGCGGGAAGCTGTTCAGCGCCATCATGAGCCAGGAGCAGTGAAAGGGAGGAAGCCAAGAGGAAGGAGAGCTAGGAGAGCGGGAGGAAGAACGGTTTGGAGGCGACGTCGTCGTGCTCGCCTGTGTTGATCGCGTCTGTCAACGCTGGTGGCCTGGCTAGTCGCTTCTGCTGCCTCTACGCGTGCTCCCGCATCGCCAGACGTCCTCCCTCGCCTTCTCTCATCCTCATCAGCCACCGCTCAAGCACTCCTCGCAACCCGCTTCTCTCGGCATTGGGCGATGTCGGCAGGGACGTGGAAAGATTCCAGGGCAGGTGTAATGCTCCGGCGCGTCCGGCGGGCCAGACGATGGAGTGCACACGCGACGGAACGTCCGCGGACGGGCAGCTTCGCCTCTCTTGGCTAACTTGCTCCTCTTTCTCTAGTCGCTCTTGAACTCTCGACGAACGGCCAAGAAGCATGCCCCGCTCCACTGCTCACGAGTCGGCTAGCGTGGGGGGCGCGAAGCCGGCTAATCCGCTCCCTCCCTCTCGCGCCTCCTCCTCCCCGACTGCTCCGCTTGAAGTTCCCGCCGCACACACCTACGATGCTTCCGGTCATGGCGATTCTTCATCGGAACTCTCGGACGACTCGGAGGACGACCTGGTCAACAAGGAGGCTGGAGAAGGGGACAAACACTCGCGCTTGCAAGGCGCTTCGACTGGTCGGCGCCAGAAGGGCGAGCAAATCATGCGGAGCGTAGGGAAGGGATTGCTGAACAAGGTGACGCTGCATGGGTTGCACTCGGACGAGGTGAGCTTGCTGAGGTCCTAACCCTCGTTCAGCCAGTCGATATGCTCAGGCTGAGCATATCGACTTTCGTCTATGCGGGCGCAGGCTTCGGCGGACGCAGAGAAGGCGCACCTCACCGACCTCGAAGCCCAGGCCGCCACGCACCGCAGGAAGCGCGGATCCTGGTGGACGCCTCTCCCGACGGCGCACAAAGTCCTCATCGTCTGCTCCATCGCCCTCTGCATCATCCTCGCGACAATTGGCATCGTTGTTGGCGTGGTCGTTGCGAGGCATACGGCGGAGAGGAGCGAAGTCGAGAAGGCGGATCCAGGAAGTCGGCTGAAGGCGGACGAGCAGTGGATTGCGACGCAGGGCTCGCAGGCGCAAGATGAGCTTGCCGTCGACGACACTCACGGCATCGCATCCGGCAACGCTGCGCCGGGCGCGTCGCACTACGTTGGCGAGCCGCTCCAGCCTCTCGCCTTGCCTGTCGGAACGTCGGACGCGAAGGCTTCGACCAGCCAGCCACCCGCCCTCTACTCGCGATTCCCCGAGCTGCAAGCCCTGCTCAACAACAACCATGACTGGCAAGGGAACGTCACAAAGGCTGCGCCTCAGTTCCTCCCCACTCTCGCGCAAGGACAGCATCCGAAGGTGATCTTTCGAGCTTGCCTGCCCAGTACCCTCGCTGACGTTATCTGCATGTCCAGTTCGCGTACCTCGGCTGCGCTGACTCGCGCGTACCCGAAAGCGTCCTCGCTCAGAAGCCTGGCGAGATCTTCGTTGTGCCTTTTCTCGTCCTCCTCCTGCGACGTACCGTACGCTAACAGTACCTCACGCTGTCCGCCAGACGCGAAACGTCGGTCAGTTCGACCCGAATTCCGTCACTGCCTCGGATCTTATCCTGATCTACCGCACTCTCGCAGGCAACGAATACCTCGTCGACGACTTGAGCAGCGAGACGGTCATGTCGTACGCGATCAGTCATCTCGGTGTCCGTCACATCATCGTCATGGGCGAGTTCTCCTCCTCCCTTTCTGACGCACGCTTCGAAGCTGACGACTTACCTGCCTTGCAGGCCACACAAAGTGTGGCGCTGTACGTGCGGCGATCGCCAGTCCGAGCAAGGAGGTTATCACGAACATGGATGAGACTCGCATCGACGTGCGCATCTCTGTTTCGCTAACTTGCGCCTGCAGAAGCTGAGCGTGTTTGCTCCGTCGCAGCAATGGATCCGCCCAATTCGCTCGCTCTTCGCTACGACAAATAGGACTGAAGTCGTTTCTTTCCGTGAGGCGCATCACAACGCCGAGACACTCGAGGCAGACGACGTGACGGACGAGGTCTGGAGGTGCGCGAGGATTTCTTCCTTCCTTCTCAAGTTATTTCCAGCTGCTGACCCGCTCGCGCCCAGAGCGATGGTCGAGGAGAACGTCAAGATCAACGTCCAGCGACTCGCGCAGGACTCGTCCGTTCAACACGTTCGTCCTCACCTAGTCTTTCACCCTCACCCGCCCCGCTCATCCTCAGGTCGCGGTCTGCAGGCTTGGTACCTCTACAGGCAGCAGATGTCTACACAAGCTGCTGAACAGCCTGCCGTGCCGACTCGTCGCTCGGAGGACAAGAAGCAGGCGGAACTTTGGTGAGCCTCCGCGTCCTTTCCAGCAGACAGCCTTCGCAAACCGACAATTGCGCTTCGCGGCTCTCTCCCTTCGCTCGCCGCGTATATAACTGACAGTCAACTCGAACGGCGCTGCAGGATTCACGGCTGGATCTACGACGTCGAGACCGGACTCGTCGAAGACCTCGTGCGTCCGTCCTTTCCTCCCTCTTTTTGTCCAACGTCTCCTCGACTGGCTCCAACTCTGACTCCATGACGATCGCTACCGCGACGCAGGGAGTTTCTGTTGGACCGGATGGATCGCTCGTGCAGCGCTAGCGGAAGCCGTTTCCCTTCGTTCGCCAAGTCGACCTTCTTCTCTCGCTGGGGAGCCGGCTGCTCCCGGTCAGCTGAGCCATACACTCTGTGGGATGTATTACCTGAAGGATACGCGTGACTGTCTAGGCTGAGATGAGCGAGGCAAAGCGAGGCAGAGCCAGAAGGGAAGAGGAATTCCTCGCTTCGTTAGGCTACGGCTTTGAAAATACGTAGGGCCTGTCAAGCCTTCGTAAAGCCCTTCGCAATCATCACACAGTCCCTACACGAGAGCCATGTCGACACTTTGCTCTCGCTGTTCCCCGCTTCCGTCTCTCCTCCTCACCACTCGCACACTTGCTGCTGAACGAGCTACGACTGTATCAGAGGACACGCAAGACCTACTCGAGCCACCTCGCACCGCTCGCACGCTCTCCCACCGCTCCATCTCGGCACCCCCTTCCCATCGTCATCTCCCTTGACCCGTCTCGCCTCGCCCGCTCGCTCGCCATGCTGCCGAACCGCCAGAAGGTCGACATCAGCGTGCGTTGACTCTCTTTCTCTCCGGACTGTTCCGCCAGCCAGTCGCGCCGTTGCGCCGTCGAGCGCCGTCCTCTCACGCTCGCGAGGGTCACGTTGCACCGCATGAACTGACCTAGTCCGCTCGCTCGCGTGCGCCGTGCAGTCGTTCTCCGAGCAGGAGAAGGAGCTCTTCCAGAAGTACGGAAAGGTCCCAGCCCACAAGAACCTGCTCGCCAACAAGCTCAAGGTGCGCTTCCCCTTCCACGGGCGGGGCAGTCGGCGCTAGTGTCGAGAGGCTGCTTCAGGCGCTTGCAAGCTGACAACTGGATTGTGACGGCGTGCAGGAGCGCAAGTACTTTGACTCGGGCGACTACGCCATGTCCAAGGCGGGCGTCTCTCCCCCTCAATCCGTCGGCACGGCCATCCCCTCTCCCGCCGACATCCCTCACGCCTCTCCGCCCTCGAACCAGTCTGGCGCGCAGAACATTCCCGGCGCGTCGACGAGCCCGAACAGCGGAGGTTTCCACGGCGGAAGCGGCAGCCCCGGCAGCCCTGGTAGCGGAGGGGTCGGCGTCGGCGTCAGTCCTGGGACGTACGGCTCGCCCAGCAAGGAGCCGATCTCGATGCACCACCCGCACAGGTCCTGAGCGCGTTGCGGTGGTACCGGTGGAAGCGATCGCTCGAGGAGGCGGAGGAATGGGCGACGAGGAGCAAGACGCCGCACTCCGTCGACCCGCTTCTCCCTCCTTGACATCAACCACCTTTTCCCTCTCCCTCTTCTCTTTCGGCATGACTCGGAACTTCAAGGATCAAGCTACGTGGTCGTCGTCGTCGTCGTTCTGTCGCAGTTGTCGTCCTTACGGGATCCTCTCGCTCGCTCGTTTCCGATTCCGGGCTCTCGCGGTCGTACCGTCCTTCCCTTCCCGCACACCCTGAATGTACACAGCATATCTCGCCATCATTGTCCGCGTTGTAACAAGCCCCTTTCGCTCGCTTCGGCTGATGAGGAACTTGGTCGAGAGCGGAACTTCGAGCTTGGGAGAGGCTCGCTCGCTTCGACGTCTCGCACCGCTCTCTGCCGCTCGTCTGGACGCTTCCTGGAGCAATGGCTGCCATCGCTACCGTCACCTCGACCTCGTCCACCTCGCAGGCGCCTCCGCCGCTGTGGAAACCCGCCTCTGTCGCCCCTCGCCAGCTCCCATCGCTCCCCGCCCGCGCCGACATCCCCGTCTCGTCTGCGCAATGCGAGAAGGCACTGAACGCGCTATTGAAGCATGTCGAGAAGGTGCAGGAGGAGCGCGGCGAGCAAGAGCTCCTGGGCGAGCAGGAGGAGAAGGTCTTTTTGGTCGTCGGGTTGAAGCAGGCGCCGAAGCGCGAGACGCACAAGCCCGTCAGGATGTGAGTGCTAGACTCTTTCGTTGGGTTATCAGTATCGGCACCGGCACCCCCAGCGAGTTCGAGCTGACCCTCTTCTCGACACAGCCCTGTCCCTCATCCCGTCATGAACCCCCGCGAGTCGCCTGTCACGCTCTTCGTCAAGGACCCGCAGCGAGAGTACAAAGACCTCATCGCCTCGTCCAACATCGGCTTCATCTCGCGCGTCGTCGGCCTCGACAAGCTTCGCAAGAAGCACAAGACGTACGAGGCGAAGAGGCAGCTCCTCAAGGAAGCGGACCTCTTCCTTGTCGATGACAGGGTCATGGTGGATGTCGGAAAGTGCTTGGGAAAGATGTGGCGCGATGCGAAGAAGTGCGTCCTGAGGAACCGATCGACTTGCTCTCGTTCCGCCTTGCTGACTCGGCTGTTCTCTCGGCAGGCAACCTATTCCTGTTGCGATTCAGCGCAAGGACCTGAAGGTTGAGCTCGAACGCGCCATTGCATCGACTTACATGAACGTGACGACCGGAACCGCTCTGTTCGTTCGCCCCTCCTCGTCTACCTCAACCGCTCGAGTTTACTGACTCATATGTGCTCTCACAGCTCCATCAAGATCGGCACGACCGACCTCCACTCCGCCTCTGAGCTCCTCGCCAACCTCGACGCCGTCCTGCCCTACATCGCCTCGCGCATCCCGCAAGCCCCCACCTCCTTCTCCAACATCCAGTCCCTCCACCTCAAGACCTCGACCTCGACTTCTCTGCCTATCTACAACGCCCCTCTGAGCGAGCGTTTCGAAGGTACTGGGTTGACGGCTGAGCAGGAGAAGGAGCGTGCGGAGAAGTTGGAGAAGAAGAAGGCTGAGAAGGAGGAGCGGAGGAAGAGGGAGGAGGAACGCGAGGCGAGGAAGAAGGAGCGGACCGCGACGAAGGATGGTCAGGGGCGGTTTGAGAAGAAGCGCGAGCGGGATGAGGACGAGGGCGAGGACGAGGAGGTCGAGGCTGCAGCGGAGGAGGAGGCGCCTGAAGCGAAGGAGCCCAAGGCCAAGAAGGCGAAGAAGGCTGCCGCAGCTCCTTCAGCGGGCAAGAAGGCGTCTGCCAAGAAGTCAAAGGCATGACCGCCCCATCCCTCCCGCCTCTCGCCGCGCTTCCGGTCCTGTGTGCTCTTTCGGTTCCATCGCATCGTCTTCCTCTTGTTGTGCAACATGTTCTCTTCTAGATCCTCCTACCTCTGCGGCCGTCAGGGAGGAGACACTGCGTGAGACTTTCGATAGCAAGGGTATGTCGAGGAACACATCAGGTGTAGAGACAGTGCGGCCGTTACAGGCGTTGCGAGAGTGAAGAGAGGTGTATACGCAGGGAGGAGGACGATTTCGTCATTTGTCGTGAGTGTCTGTTCGGAAGAGTCGGACGAGCCCAGCTCGTGCTTCGGTTCACAAGGCCGACCTTCTCGCCTACTGCGCCCACGTCGCCGTCCAGCTGCACGATGCAAGCGAGAGTGTCAGCAGCTACGCCAATTTGAGCGAGAGAGGGACGCAACGCACGAGAAGCCGGCAAACTCGTTCTGGTCCTGCGCCGACAGCGTCGAGTGGACCGGCGTGAGCGTAGGTGCCTCGGAGGTGAATCTGTTTTAATGAGAGGAATGGCAGGAGAGAGGGAGAGAGGGGGAGAGGACAGCGACAGAAGGCGAGAGGAGGGCGAAGGGGAGAAGGGCAGGAATCCGTAAGCAAGGCGGATGGACGGAGCAGAGAGGGACAAGGCACTCACTCCGCATCGAAGTTGGAGGTGTCGGTGGCTGAGGACTGCGCAGCGAGGCAAGCGAGGGGTCAGCAACGGCAAGGCGGAGTCTTCCTGAGGCTGACTGGCGCAAGTCGACGTCGACCGCAGAGAGAGCAGAACGCACGATGTTGGGGTAGAAGGGACTCGGGATGCGCTTGTGGAAGATGTCGTCCCAGTTCGTGTCCTTGAAGAAGAGGTGATTCTTGATCTCGGCGGCGTCGGCCTCCGTCGCACCGAGACGGCGAGTCGGGTCCTTCGTGAGAAGCTACGGAAGGGAAGCATGTCAGCGAAGAGCCGCTTTCAGTAACCGAAGGAAGCGAACACACCCTTGTGAGGATGCTGACGCTGTCTTTCGGCATATGAATCGGGTACAGCGGCTCGTCTTCCAAGATGGCGTCGAAGATCTCGTCTTCGTCGTCACCTCGGAAGGGAGACTGTCCCAGCAGCATCTCGTAGATGAGGACGCCGAACGCCCACCAGTCGACAGCGCGACCGTACCGCTGCTCGAGGATAATCTCGGGCGCCATGAACTCGGGAGTGCCGCAGAAAGTAGAGGTCGTCTTGCCGAACCACATGTCCTCCTTGCACAAACCGTAGTCGGCAATCTTGATGTGGCCGTCGAGGGTGAGGAGAATGTTGTCGAGCTTGAGGTCGCTGCGGAATGGAGGGTGATCAGTCTTGGCTTCGCAGCGGACGGAGGAATGCTCGTCGACGCACCGGTAGACGATGCCATTCTTGTGGAAGTACTCGAGAGCCAGCAAGACCTCAGCCGCGTAGAATTTGGCGCGCCTCGGCGTGAACTGCTCGCGCTGGATGTGAAGCATGAGGTCGCCTCCGGAGACGTATTCCATGACGAAGTAGATGCGGGTCTCGGTCTGGAAGCAGGAGTGAAGACCGAGAAGGAAGGGGTGACGTTCGCGGGCGGCGGCGAGGAAGACGCGCTTCTCCGACTTGGTACTGCGAGCGGCACGAGCGTGAGCACAGCTCGCGACGCAAGGGAGATGCATCGAGACGTACGACTCAACCTCGTCGTTCTCGATGATGAACTCTTTCTTCAGAACCTTGATGGCGTAAAGCTGCGCACTCCGCTTCTCCTCAGCGAGCATGACCTTGCCAAAGTTGCCCTTGCCGAGGACGGCGAGGAAGTTGAAGTCTTCGAGACCGATGCGACGCTGGCGAGCGGGCTGCGGCGGCGCAACCTGCTGCTGTTGCTGCTGCTGCACGGGCGGCGGAGCTGCGACAGGCGCGGCGACTTCTTGAGGAGGCGGACGGACGACCTGTTGCGGCTGTTGCTGCGGCGCCTGCGGGTACGCCGGTCCACCGTACGTCGGCGGCTGTTGCTGAGCAGGCGGAGGAATGCGGGCGGCGGGCTGCTGGTAGAGTTGGCTGGGCTGAGTCGAAGCTGGAGGTGCTGGCTGCTGGAAGCGCTGAGGGTACGGCTGCTGGGGCTGCTGCTGCGGGAAAGGCGCTTGCGGCTTCTGCGGAGCCGTTGCGGCAGACGGGTAGGGCTGGGCCTGCGCGGGCGGCGGCGGCGCGCCATAAGGCTGCTGCTGCGGCTGCTTGTAAGGCTGGAAGGATGGCGGCTGAGGCTGCTGAAGCTGCTGCTGCTGCTGAACGGGTCGACCAGCATCGCTCGCGTAGGCGCCGAATACGGAGCCGATCGAGTCGCGCGCGTCGTTGCCGAAAGACGAGACCGTCGACGCCGACGAGTGCCGCGGAGGTGCGGCGATGGGCGGCTGTTGCTGTTCGGGCAGGGACTGCTGCTGCTGGCGCTGCGGATACGAGTCGAGCGCGGGAGGCGGAATGCGGGACGCAGACTGCTGCTGCTGGTCGTTCGAAAGGCTCAGACGGCCAACCTCGGCGGGGAGCTGCTGCTGCGCGCGCATGTCGTAGGCGGGGACCGGAGGACGCTGACCGTAGGCAGATGTCGGGGTCTGCGGCGGCTGCGGGATAGTCTGGATCCGCTCGGACGGGATAGGACGAATAGCCGGGGTGAGCTTGGTCACGCCTGCACGACGACTGCTGTTGATCGTCTTGATATCCGAGAGGAGCTTGTTGGCCATTTCCATCGACATGCCGCAGAAGTCGGGGACGAGGTGGATGCAGTCGGTGTGGGCGGTAACGCCGCACTCCGAGCACTTTCGGGCATGCTTCCGGCCAAGCGGGAGGACGAGACCGCAGTGGCAGCACCAGTTCGGCGAGATGTTGGTGATTGGCTCGAAGCGGTGAGGGATGCGGTGGTTGATCTGCTCCTCGTCCTTGTCCTGCGGGCAGTTCAAGCGTCAGTCTGCGGCTCAGGGAAGTCGGAGGAAACGCCGCGCACCGCATCCGTGTTGCTCTTGGAGATGCACTTCGTGACGACCTTGTGGTAGCATTTGGCGTGACAGGCGTACTTGCAGTCCTCGCACTGCATGCCGGCGCCCTTCAAGAGGAACTCGCCGCACAGTGCGCACAGAACGACCGTGTAGAACTGCTTCTGGACGAACTTGTGGCCGTTCTGCTCGTGAACTGAGTCCTTGCGCTTGCGAACGGCGCCCTGACGACCGAGACCTCCCGCATCGTAGGGGCGTTTCCGGACGTTCGACTTGACTGCGTGCCACGAGAATCGTTAGCTCAAAGTAGAGGAATGAACGCGAACGTTTCGCACCGAAGTTGACGTGAAGTTGGATGGCGCCCTCAGGCTCGACGGCGAACCAGGCGTCGATGCCCTCGCCCTTCACGCCCGGTCCTCCGACGCCAAATGTTCCGGCGAGACTCTCCTCGCGGTTGAGCCCGCCGACCGGGACGTCGTTCATCTGCGCGCTGCTCCCGCTTCCGCCGCTTCCCTGCGTGACTCTCGCAGCCGTGACCCAGCCCGGTCCCGCCTCGGCGCCCATCTTCTTGCGCCTGAGCTCCTCAACGATGTCGCTCAAGCGCAGCCAAAGCATGCCGATCGGGACGGGCGCGCCTTCGCCCGGCACTTTGTCGTAGATGGTAACCTCGGCCTCGTTCGCCTTGTCGACGTGGATCTCGAAGTCTTCGTTCCAGCGGTCGTTGCGCGAGCCGTGCGTGCGTGCTCGAGGCGTGTCTTCGACCTTGACGTAGATGACGGTCTCGGAGGCGTGCTTCGACCTCTTCGGCTGGGGGGCGTGGGCGAGTTCGCGAGCCGACTTGATCGTGATCTGGAGAGCGCCAGAAAGAGGTCGTCGAAGGTTGGCCTTGGCGTCCTCAGCGATACCTGCGTGCTAATCGAATCAGTCTCGGTGGAGACGGAAGCGGAAGAAAGGGCGCACCGTCGTCCTCCTCCCCCAGCTCTCCCATGACGTCCAGCGTCTTGTACTTCTTCAAAGCCTGGCTCAACAGGACCATCTTCTGCTTCGACTCGACACGCTTGTTCTCCGTGTCGGCGCTGTCGAGTGCAAAACCGTCAGAACGGCGTTCTAAGACGCCTTGCAAGGTAGATTGACGCACCGGGCCTTCCGGTCGCCGTCAGCCATGTAGAGCTTGGCCATCTTGTCGATGCCCTCCTTGTACTGTCGCTCGACATGCAGCTTGAACTCGAGCTGGTGCAACATGCGCGATATCTTGGCTGTCGTGAGCGGCGTGTCGGCCTTGATGAGATCTGCCATGAGTCAAGGATCGGCCCGTCAGCAAGCGGAAAGGGGCGGCGAGGCGGCGAGTGCGCACCGAGATTCGTGAACTGCTCCTTGGCCTTTGCTCCGCCAAAGAGCGCCATTCCGCCAGGTCCACCCGCACTCGCCGCATCTCTCGCCTCAACACGACCGTGCATGGCTGGGTTCGCACCGTAGGCCTGAGGCTGGACGTAGCTTGGCGCAGCGCCAGGCGGAGGCGGCGGTCTCGACGGCAGCGGGCGGTTCCTCGGGTCCTCCATCGCCGCAGGACTGCTCCTCCCTCCTCCAGTGGCAGCCGCTCGTCGACCCTCGAGCTCGCGCACGCTGTCCTCGAACCATCCGATTGTCCGCTGAGCCTCACGAATCTTGGCGTCGCAAGTCCGGATGACGTCCTGGTTCTGCGTCGCATTTCGCATCGCCTGGAAGCCTTCGAGGATCTTGCGCTCCTTCTGGATGCGCGCATGGAGAGAGGCGAGCTTCGAGGCGTAGTCGGCCCCGCCCGGGTTCGCAGGCAGCTGAGACTGCGTTGCGAGGGTGATCAAGGGTCGGATCGGGGACAAGGGGGAAGTAGATGGAGGTTGAGTCAGTTATCCGTTCCGCTCGTGCAGTGTAGCGCCCGCTCGTCGCCTCGTTGTGTGAGGAAGGGGGACGACGACACCCAGCCGACACTCGCCCCAAAGGGCGCCGCTCAGATGCGAAGAGACCAGAACGTACACTCATGACCTATGGATCGTAGCGCCGAACCACCAGGGGTGCTGTCGTCGAGAACGAGGTGCGAGAGGGCGATGCGACACCGAGCGGGGTCGGGATGTCGTTCGCAGGGCAAGCTGAGCGGTCTAGCCGGCTCGCTGGGTGTGAATGGCGCTGAAGCAAGCAAGCAAACTGTCTGGACGCGAGCGAACTGAGGATGCGGCGACTTGTACGAGCGAGTGAAGTCGAACCGCACGCTCCTCACGATGGCGAGTCTTTCTACTCCTTCTTGCATGAGACAAGTGCAGTGATACAGCACGAAAGCTCTCTCCCACCGAATAGCGACGGAGCGGACCGCCGGAGCAGCGGTCTATAGCATTCTCGGGGGGAAATCGAAGGGAACGCGAGCGTGAGTTGCGAATTCCTTGCTTTGCGAGATAGCGGGTATAGCGGAAATACTGAGGGTTGGGTTGGGAGGTCGTTCTAGGCGGAGGAGGGAGGCTGTCGACGATGGAAGAGGCGAAGAGACGGGCAAGGGCAATGGCCAAGTCGGCGACGAGGCATGCGTGCAAACTGTATTCAGCTCGCTCAGAAGACGTAGGGGATGTAACTGTACAAAGGCGTCAGCTCACGGCATTCACAGCTGAGCACTGCACGATTGAGAAAGGGAGGAGACGCACGAGTACGGGACCATCTGCTTGTACTTCTGCCAGTCCTCGCCGTACTTCCTCGCGCACTTGACATCGTCGCGAGCGTTGCGGTGGAGGAGCATCGTGCCGTGGAAGAAGGGGTAGTAGTACGGGATGACCGAGCCCGTGCCGGCCGAGGCAGCCCAGATGATGGCCTGCGTCCAGTCCGAGATGTAGTCTGCGCGGGATCATCGTCAGCATGAGTCGCATGAGAGGGTGGCAGCGAGACGCACTGGGCTTGCGCAAGTACTTCCAGCACCCATCGAGGAGGAGCTCGCCCTTCTTCGTCTTGAAGGTCTTTGGGTTGTCAAGTTCGGCCCACGGGAACTGCGGGAACGTGTTGCGCTTGATATAAGTGCCCGTCTTGACGGCCTTGAAGTGCGACTTTTGCGCCATCGAGATGTCCATCCTGCTCGAGCGATCTCGTCAGTCCAGCTTCGAGGGACAGGAGTTCGTGACGCACATAGCCTGAGCGAATGTTAGAAGAACGAAGAGGAAGACTAGCGTCGGCTTCGAGTAGGTGTAGGTTGCCGGGTCGTGCGTCGCCATGTAGATCGCCGCGTAGGCGTACGAGAACGGGACGCCGGCGAGGTTCCAGTACGAAAGGAGCCAGCCGAACTGCGAGTCGCACGCTTGTCAGCAAGGGGCGCCCATTCAAGTGCTAATTGCGGGACACACCTTCTCGTAGTTCATGTCTACGGGAGGCGAGGGGTCAGTCCAATTCGAGAAGGAAAAGGCGCAGATGGGCGCACCCCAAGTCTGCGGAATGTACTGCTCGCCCTGTGTACAGAAAAGGTCCATGAGTGACGGTCTCGAGAGACTGTTCGAAGGTGAGTACGCACCTTGCCGCAAGCGTTCAGGTAAAGACCCGTTCCGTACGCAAAGAGGGCGGTGTTGCCGCTGACGTAGCCGTAGTCTTGGTGCTGCTTGACGACTGCGCCCATCGCCAACGCGAACAAGAGCGTCCAGGAGACCCTGATCTCGGCAAACATCTTGATGTCGACGATTCCGACGCGCGGGTTGAGCGTCGCACCCATGAAGTAGTCGTAGACGAGGTTGCCGCTCATACGGTAGTTCTCGCCAAAGAGGTAGGTGATGGCGGCAAGGGTAAAGCCGGAGATGGAGGCGACCGTGAGGAGAGCGCCGTAGAGATCGATGACTTCGGCGAGATTGAACAGCTCGTAGTAGTGGGCGAGGCCGACAAGGAGTGCGGTAGCGTAGATCGAAGTGTAAGCGTTGCAGTAGTAGTCGAGGGCGCGGTTGCCGAGATGAGGGAGGGGAAGGCCTTTCTGGTGGACGCCCGGCATGACGAAGGCGAGGAGGAACTGGCCGCCAACGAAGATGAGGTAGAGCGCAGTCGCCCTCTTCGTGGGCATCGCATTCTGCGCGTTCGAAAGCATGTCAACCTCGCGCAGAGCGGGATGTCCGGCGCGACGGCTACGTACCTCCCAGACGAGCGTCGCAACATGCTTAACAAAGTCGACCCAGCCGCCCGGTCCGAGCAAGGTCGAGGGGTCTTTCGGTGTCGCCAGTCGTCCTGTGCGCGCCGGAGTCAGCTCGAAAAAGACAGAGGACGAGTGGGAGAGTCGGGACTCGCCGTCGTAGAAGTACAGGCAGACGTAGAGGTAGTAGAAGAGGATGGGGAAGCCTGTCATCATCGCAAACGTTCCGACAGGCCCTCCAAACTCGAGCTCCTCCTCTTGAGCGTGCGGATCGCTGCCGTCCTCCTTTGTTGGCTGAACCGACGAGGACTGTGCCGGAGGGACGTCGGCCGGCAGAGACTTCGCTGGGCTGGCAGGAGCCGATTCAGCACTCGTAGTAGCTGCTGCCTTTGTCCGACTGCGCAGATTGCGCCCGTGGTCCGCCATCGTTGAAGGTCGAGAGTTTGAGAGATGAAGAGAGCGCGTCGAGGTTGCGGTTGTCGAGGCGGTTCGCAGAGCGTTTGCGCGTCACGGAAGCGTGTACTCGAACACTCGGAAGGCCCTGCGAGCACCCAGAAAGCGAGCGAAGGGATGTGCACCGGCCAGACCTCCTCGTTCCCCTCTCGCTCTCCTTCCCCTCACTCTGTTCCGCCAAGACCGCTCAAATCTGTGCTGGGATCATCGCTATGGTCCCACAATTACCTCTCGAGCTTGAACTGCGCATACTCGACGCCGCGCTGCTTCCCCTCGGTCCTTGTCGCCCCACGGCAACGCGACCTGTAGGATGCCGTATCCTCACCTGCGTCCACCGCCGATGGACGCCATGGGCTCAGCGCGAGCTCTTCAAGGTCGCGCGCATCGAGTGCGAGTCGCCGTGGGATGATGACGCGGTCGACGGCTTCGTTGAGCGTCTCGAGAAGCATAGCGGCCAGGCTATCAGCCGTTTGTGGGTCGACATCGAGGAAGAGACAACAGAGCCGATGTGCCTGTTACCACGCCGATTCAAGGAGGGCTGTCTCGAGGAAGTGTGGGTGTTGGCTTGGGAGAAGTGCGCGAAGGCTTTGTGGGAAGGCACGAGTAAGTCCGTGCATCCTGCCTCCGCCACCATTCCTTTCTGTGCTGACGTTGGCTGCACGTAGGCATCAAGAAGCTGCACATCCGCGACATAGCCGGCGGATCAGACCTCCTCACGTCTCCCCTTCCGGCCACCCTCACTTATCTCTCCCTGCACAAAGTCATCCTCGAAGGCTTCGACGTTGACCTGCCGAGTTTACAAACGCTCCTCATCTCGAAGGCAGAGAGCGCCCACCTCGTACCTTGGGTCGTTTTCGGCTACAAGACCTTCCGCGTTTTCGCCTGCGTCGGTCGCCCCGCGTACTTCCCCCATCTCTGCCGCAATCTCCCCAAAGGCCTTGAGCACTTCGCCTACTACCCATACATGACCGGCTACGAGCATCGGTCGGACATGATCCACCGTGAATCCAACTCCCTCACGCTACCGCCCAAACTCCGCTCGTTCACCTTCGTCCATGGGCTCTATGAGGATGCGGACGAAATGACGGAGCCTGCCATGGGAAAGGAGTGTGAGAAGGTCGGCGCCCAAATGCACGTCGTTTCGAACGAGGATGCGGACGAGTGGGATATGGAGATGTGGGCATACTCGCTTGGAGCGTAAAGCGCTTTTCCTCACCCTCGAGAATCCAGCCATTGTGTGTCCTTTACCTCCAGCCCTCTATACCTCCTGCGAGCCTGCTAACCTTGGCCTGTTTGTCCTCCCGCTGCGCAATCATCAGCACCGACACGTCTAACTTCGACGCCGAGTTCATCTCCGAACAGCCGACACTCACGCCTGTCCACTTGACGCTCTCCGCGCAGGATGAGCACGAGTTTGCCGGCTCCTCGTGCGTTCCGTCTCTCCGTCGTTCGACCTCGCGCAGTGGCTGACGATCGCTTGCACCGTCCAGCTAGACGGCAACGTGGCTGCAGGTGGCGTAGAGGTCGGTACGGAACAATTGCAAGCTAGGCCTTCGAGATGCAAGTCGTATCGAAGGAGAACAGGCCCTCGTTCTTGCGACGCAGGGGTAGCTGGACATTCTCCCTCGACTTCTGCATGCAGCATGGTCGCTCCAAGGTCTCGCTTGCCTACGCTTGTCGCGCAGATGGCTGTCTCTTCTCCTGCCCTCCGCTTCGCTCTTCCGCCTCTCCCTCGTCTCGTCACGCTGACGTTCTGCAAGCTGATCATCGACGTTGCAACGTTAGCGAGAGACCTAGGACAACCTCACCGTTCCGACCGTGGACGCCAGCACCCCGACCCGCACGCACCTCCCTCTCTTCCTCCTTCCCCTCGCTCGCCCCTGCTCAACTCGCTGAGTGAGACGCTAGACCAGCTTGCCATGCCTGTCACGCTTCCAATCGAGCTCCAGCACCGCATTCTCGAGACCGCCCTGCCCCCGCTCGTCCACTGCGACCTCGACGAGCGAGTCCAACTCTGCAAGACCTTCTCCCTCGTCCACCGCACCTGGACGCCGATTGCACAGCGCGAGCTGCACGAGCACTTTTCGACGATTCTCCTGGGAGGCGCGTGGCGCTTCTCGGGGGAATATGGGAGACTCGTTGCTGCGCAGGTCGGCGGATTGCCCGTCAAGCGCCTCAAACTCAAGGTGATTGGCTATGCCGAAGACGTCCAAGACACGGATCTCGCCGACAAGCAGCCTCTCCATCCTTTTCCTCCCGTCGAAGGAGCACCGACGTTCGAGGAGCTGTGGGTTGAGCTGGAAGGAAGGGGCACGCCAGTTTGGCGCGGAGGAAGTGCGTCGTCCTTGATTCTGTCCATTTCTCGTCACGCTGACATTGCTCCACAGATGTCCAAAGACTCCATATTTACGACCTTGGACCCGAGAGGCCGACGTACCTCGACAGCCTCCCTTCGAACCTCACGTACCTCGCCTTGTCCGGCGTCACGATCGACGCGGTACCGTCTACACCGCACATCCGCGTCTTCCTCTATGCGCGGACCCTCTGCTTGATCCCGGCCGCGGAGCTTCTTGGCGCCTTCCCGGACCTTCAAGCGTTCGCCTGCGTCGGGACATGGCTTCAAGTCAAGTCGTTCCTCAAAGCGCTCCCGTCGACTCTTCACGACCTTGCCATCGCGCTTTTCAGCATCGAAGACGTCGCCCACGACGCCCCGGCCATCTACAAAGCGAACGTCGCCCTGCCACCCGCCCTCGAGTCGTGCATTTTCGTCGAGTCGGTGTCGGCGAATCGGAAGGAGAAACGTGCCGTCGAACGGATGATGACCAAGGCGTGTGAAGCTGTGGGAGCGGCTTTCGGGTACAGCTGGGTGGAGGAGGTGGGCGACGTGGACTTTGAGGACTGGGCGCTCTCGGTCGGGGTTTGACCAGCACAAGTCGTACATGCTTGTAACAGTTCAGACGCTGAGACACTCGCTACGACCAGACATCGAGAACCCAAAACAGAGAGAAGCTGTCTTTAGAAACGACTTTGCAAGCTGCCAACCGCAAGCTCAGCCCTCGCGAACCTGCGCCATGACAGCCTTGCACATCTTGTAGAAGAGCGGGCGCATTGGCGGGTCGTGAAGCGGGATGAGGGAGAAGAGCAGGGAGGCGGTGATGAGGATCAAGCCGCGACGATCGACCGTGTCTGCGTGAGGGCAGGTTAGATCAACATGCGACATCGCGCTGGAATGAAAGACGCACAGTGCTTCTTGACGAAGGCCCAGAAGACACTCTGCAAGTCTTGCAGCAGACGTCGGTCGACAGGCGAGACGAGGTCGACCAATTCAGCCGTTTGCGCGGAGAGGGGATCCGCAAGGAGCGCAAAGTCGTAGCCTTGCAGTCTTTGTCGGACCAATGTTAGAACAGGATAGCAGGCAACGGAGAGCGTACGCACGACTGGTAGACCTTCGCAAGATCGTAGAGAGCGTCGCCGCGAAGGGTGAGTACGTCACCCTGCCTGCCGCGGACGTCGATAAAGACGACGGTATTGTCCTTGGTGAAGAGGGCGTTGCTGAAGACCGGGTCGCCTGCGAGACGGGTCCGGTCAGTACGCCGCTTTCGCGACAAGTCGAACTGACACTGACCATGAATCACATGCGCAGCCTGCGCACGATCGTCCGCCTCAAAGTCATGCAAGAACGCCAACAACCTCGATGCGATTGCTTCGTGGTCGTCGCCTAGGTCCAGGTAGACGGGCAGGAAAGCCTTGTAGCGCTCGGAAACTTTGGCGGCGTAGTTGGCGTAAATGTCGATGTTGCGACTAGGCGACTCCCCCAGTGCGTTTAGGCGAGAGGCGAGTGAAGGGGGAACCGAGGTGTGGTCGTCGACAATGCCGTTCGAGGAGTGAATGCGAGAGAGCGCGGCAAGGTACTTTTCGAGTCGACCGACCGTGAGGGCGCGACCTACGAGGAGGTGCGAGAAGGTGACGCCGTGGACGCGCTGCATTGTGAGGGAGAAGCTCTGCGTGGAGGGTACGCTGAGAAGGTAACGCAGCGTCAGCCTTCCAGGCGCGAGCGAGGAGTGAGAGCGAAGCGACTCGCAAGTTGAGCGTGTTGATAGTCGGGAAGACGTCCTTGATGTCTGTCGGTATGCGCGAGAAGAAGTAGATCTCGCCGAGAATCGCCTCCGAGGTGGAAGACTTGACAACCGCGTTCTCGATGACTTGGACAGCGCTGTGGAAGGTAGAGGTCAGGCTTCTCTGGAGGTGATGGAGAACGGACGCACTTGAAGGACCGCGGGACAAGCATGCCTCCAACGCTGCCCTTTCCGCTCCACCTTGATGCTCCGCTCGCAGCGTACCAGCCGATCTCTTTCTGCGTGTCGAGCAGCGAGTTGACCGCGCGAGAATCGACGTAGCAGTGAGCGTAGGGTTTTCCGAACTGTATCCTGCGAGATGGACTTCAGTGAAGCCGAGGCAGAACGAGGGAGACTTAAAAGCGACGCACTCGTCGTACGGAATCTGGAGCTTCGCCAATGTTGCTAGCGTGACTGCCGCATTGTCAGCAACTGCTGCATTGACATTTCCGTCTGCAGCACCAATAGACTCATCAGTAATGCAAAGAAGGGAGAGATGGGAGAGCATACCGCGCTGCTGCATTCCTCGGGAGGTCGAGATGATGATGCAGTGTCCGGCCGCATGGAGCTGTCTGACAAGCTCGATGTTGCGCCTGATCGGCTTCACAGTGCGGTAGTCGCCGAAGACGCAGGGCGGCGTGACGAGACTGTCGAGGTCCCAGCAGAAGCGGCGTCGCTGCGAAGATTGGGTGAGTGAAGATAGGCGGATCCGGGGAGGCGAGAACTCACCTTCACGAGGTCTTGCTTCTGCGAGATGGTCTTGAGGAAGTCGTTCAGCTGCGGTGGCGTGCCGACGCATGCGAAACTCTGCGGGAAGTCGAGGTAGGTCAGCCAGAGTCGCATGCGTGGCTCAACGAGGGGTTCGCACAGAGTTGGGGATCGGAAGCGCAACGAATGTAAAGCCGGCGCCAATCATGTCGGCGATGAGGGACGAAGTGTAGTACTCGCCTAGCGCGAGCGACTTGAGCGGCTGGTCGAGGAAGGCGGCGCATCGCTGTCGAATCGAGAAGCCGTCGGGAAAGACGTATGCGCCGGTGTTGGCATGTCGGGAGATCGCAATCTTTTCCTTGATGTCAACGATGCGGTTCCGGCTGTCGGTCTCAACGTAGGAAAAGACGGGCGGGTCGCCGGCATCGTCGAAGACGACAGTCGCGCCGTGATGAGGAGGCAAAGTGCGTATACGCGAGAGCAAGCGAGCTTCAGGGAACTGCGGACGACGCAAACGGTCAGCATTGGTCAAGGCAGGTCGTGGAGGAAGTGGACGGACGTAGATAGTGTCGCAGTCCAGCGAGACCGTCCTTCGCTGCAACTCGTCATCCGTCATCGACTGTGCAACGATGAAGAGCGTCTCTGCCGCGCCTCGCGTGTCGAATCGCAGCGGAATGAGCTTGACATTGAGGTGAGGATACTCGCGGCGGAGTTGCGAGTCGAGGTGGAACTCGTCGTTGACCATTTCCGAGATGGCAATGAAGAGAGAATCGTTTTCGGTGAGTTCAAGTCGGTCTATGATCCAGAAGAGCATGGCGCGACCAGCGATGTTGATGAGAGGCTGTACGGAACCGAGGTTAACTGAGGCCGCGCGGGACGAGGACGGCGGTATGGACCTTTGGAAAGCGGTAGCCTTCTTTCGCGAACCTCGAGCCTACTCCGCCGATAGGAATGACCACGGAGAGCGCGTTCTGCGGGATGAACTGTCAGCAATTCATACTTTCGCAACGCCAGGAGGACAGGCTCACCCCTTTTGCAGCTTCCCCATTGCTGATCCCGCCGTTCGACATCACCGCAGAGTGCAAGAGTGAGTAGAGGCAGCGAGGAACGAAACTCGCGAGCTGAGAACGGGAGAGCGGAGTGTGGAGGATGGGAGACGGAGCGGGAGGAGTTTCGGTGCTGTCGGGGATCACAGAGGCTCTGCCGATCACGTCGCACAGCAGCGTAGTCGCCTCAGTCAAGTAGGAAGCGCAAGAGCGAGAGCCACTCAATTCCTTGCTGAAAGTGGAGCGCAAGGTTGGCGGGGATCCGACCAGGCAAGAACGCGCGACTTTACGCCCGCAACGCTCTGCCGCTGGCTGGGAAGTGTCTGGGCTGAGGCGATGGGTCTATCCGGCGCATCCACCGTGGCATGGACGCGCGGGCTGAGCTGTGCGGTGCGCGACACCTCCTCATCAGTTTGTCGGCGGGAGGGTAACAGCTCATGCACAACGCGATCGCAGGCCGCGCTGGTCGCCGTCCAATGCAGCATCGGGATCCTCTTCCGCCTGAGCCAAAGCGACGGGCGATACGGCTTCTCGCCAGCGTCGTCGTTGGCCTTCACCGAACTCCTCAAGTTTGGGATCAGTTGTGTCCTGTTCGCGCGCGAGTTCTCCTCCTCGACTAGAATCACCTTCTCTCGTTCTCTTCTGACTCTGACGACTGACACGATGCGCAGATGTTCCTCGTCTATCGCCTGGCGGATCCGGGCACGGTACAACTCGTCAAGTCGTCGAGCACGATTATCACGGCTTCCACCTGCTTCCTCTTCCTCGGACGGTCGCTGCGTGAGATGCAGTGGTATGCACTCGTCCTGCAGGTGCGCGTCTCTCCGCGCGGGAGGACATCGACGGAGATTTGGTGGCCGTCAACCACAGACTGACTTTATTTCCCTCCCTTTTGACAGACCTTCGGACTCCTCGTCACGCAGACGATTGGCTCTGCAGCCGTCCAGCCGGCCTCGACTTACGCACTCCTTGTCGGTGTCACGACCATCTCGGCGACGGCGGGCGTTGCGAACGACTTTCTCTGCAAGCACTTTGACACCTCGCTCCATGCCGAGAACATGGTCCTCTACACCTTCGGCGTCGGCTTGAATTTCCTCATCTACATCATCCGCAAATTCAGCATCCCGGGCGAACCCAGCTTCTTCACGGGCTACGGCAAGCTCGAGGCGATCCTCCTCATCTTCCTGAACGCGACAGTCGGTGTTGTGATCACGTTCGTCTACAAGTGTGCGTCGCTCTCGCTCCAACAGCTTGTTCATAGGACGAACTGATCGCGGGTTGCAGACGCCGACGCGATTGTCAAAGGCATCGCGACCTCAACAACGACTGCCATCCTGATCTGCGTCTCGGTCCTCTTCTTCGGCATGCCATGGTCGCCCTCGGCTGTTGTCGGCTGCCTCTCGATCTTTCTCGCCTCGTGGGCGTACATTCGGGCGGGAATGAAACCTGCGAGCGATGCGAAGAAGGCGCCGCCTCCGAAGCGCATCAAAGCCGGCATCGCCGTCTGGCTGCTCCTGCTCGTCGTCGTCGCCATCATTCTTGCCTCGAGCGGAATTGACTCGCCGGAACCTGAGCCTGCCTGGCATCCATCCGTCTGCGAGCGCAAACCGCTGCCGACGAAGCGATACTATCCGGCCAAGCCTGGTGGAGCGTTCGAGGACGTCCTTGTCGTGGTGTTCTGGTGAGCTGGCTCGTCCACTTTCGCTTCAGAGCACGACTGACGGGACTGGCCTCTGCAGGAACCAGAACGTCTACGACCACAATCGGGACGCGTTTGAAGCGGTGTATGGCGAGTTCTTCCCGAACGTGCGTGCTTGCCTGCCCACCTCTTCCACGTCGCGCTAACTCATCATCGGCGGGCAGATGATCTTCGTCGGACCCGTCCCACGCGATTACACCAGCCAAACGGCAGACCACATGCTCGACATCTGGCCCATCTCGTCGACCACCTACTACACGCACCGCAAGCTCCACGCCGTCATGACCGAGTTCCCCTGCTACCGCGGCTACCTCTGGGCCGGCTTCGACACTTTTCTCAACCCTCATCGGCTCGCCCTCTTCGACCAGGACAGGTTGTGGAACACCTTGCCCGAGGCGGAGCCGGTCCTACCCGAGACCTACGACAACGAGGGAAAGGTGTGGAATACGGTCACGAGGTTCGGACCGCCGTTCCCGCTCGATGAGGCGCACCGAGACGATTGGCATTGGCCGTGAGTCTCCTCTCGCTTTCCCCTCGTGCTGATCGTCCTGACGGGAAGTCCTCATACAGCTGGGCCTTCAAGCCTTGCCTCGACGCCGTCAACGCCTCTGCGACGAACGTCAAGGAACGTTGGCAGCGGTACCACGAGAAGCACTTCCCCGGCGCTCCTCGCCTCCTCCGCGCCATGACGGACGTCACCTACATCCCGCACACAAAGCGCGACCTCGTTCTCGAAGCGACACCGCTCTTCGTCGACTGCTTCCTCGAGATTGGCTTGCCCACCTTTACGGCGATTGCGCTCGACGAGGGCGAGACGCCAGAGCGTCTCGAGTTTGTGCGCGGTCCAGCTTTCCTCTCCTTGTCTTCGCGAGCTGAGGCTTTCGCTGCGCAGCACAACGTCTTGTACAATCGCGCCGTGAACGAGACGCTGATCCAGCAGGTCTGGGACAAGGGAGGCGAGATAGACGCGTGCGTTCTCTGGCGTTTCCTCCTCCGGACCGTATTCATCCGCTTCCGGCACGCAGCATGCACCAGTTCAACTGGCGCGAACCAGGTCCATCAGGCGAGCGCGGGCCGTGGCACTTGCGAGAAGGGATCGTCGACAAGATGCGGCAGATATTGCGCGAGGAGGGAGAGCGCTGGGGGGTGGAGTCGCGTCGGCGGCGGTAGTGCGCAGTCGGTTCTCAATCACGGTTCTGTAGCGATAAACTTGTTGTTACCAGTAGCGTCGTGTAAAGGCAGTTCTTCTAAGGATGAGAGTGGATTTGCGAGTTTCAGCAGCAGGCTACTCCTCCTTGAACGTGATGCCCCGCCGCCACTCGTCTCGCACGATCCCTCGCATCCCTCTGACGACCAGCGCGACTCCCACCGCACACACTGCATACGCCGCTGTCGGCGACACCGTCCAGTAGATCGCTGTTGTCGCGAGTGGTCCTACTGCGCGGCCGAGTTGCCCTGCAGAGCGGAACGAGCCAAGCACATGGCCTTTGTCGATCCGCTCCTCCAGCTTCGTCGCCATGTCGTCCTCGTCCGTCTCGAGCGAGGCGAGCGCATTGAGCGAGTTGACCACCGTCGCGCTGACGAACGCCAACCCCGCCGCAGCGCTCCACAGCAACCCCTTCGCAAGCGCCGCCTCGCCCTTGGCCTTGGCAACGAGTGGCAAGAGCGCCAAAGCGACGAGCGACCCCGCGCAAGCCTGCATCCCGCTCATCGCCATCCTTGCCGTCTGTTCCGCACTCGCGCCTTTCGCTTTTCGCCGTACATACCCGCCCTGCAAGAGGGCGGAGAGGATCCCGATGAAGCCGAGGAGGCGGCCGTTCTGGGCGTTCGACCAGTCGAAGAGGTTGTGGGTGAGGAAGGTGAGGGTGAACTCGGCGCCGGAGAAGAAGAAGAGGAAGAGGAGGTGGAGGCGGGAGAGGGAGCGGAGGCGGGCTTGACGTGCTGCAGGGGAGCGAACTGGGCGGCTTGAGGGACGGGTCGACTTGGCTTCGCTGGGGGAGGAGGCGGGCATCGTGGAGATCTTCCAGTCGCGCGTTTCGAGCAGGCAGAGGTAGAGAAAGAGCGTCTCGAGGGAGAGAAGGACGACGGTCATTGCGGCAGGTACGGCGTACGAGTTGAGCTGGATCGTCGGCGGAAGGAAAGGGAATGCCGAGGCGAGTTTCGACGGCAGGTGGACGATCGAGCCCTTGCCGAACGTCCGTGTCGAGAGGTACGCGCCGAGTGATGGACCGAAGGTGAAGGCGAGGGAGAACGCCGCTCCCACAAGCGCGAGCGACCGAGCCCTCGTCTCAGGCGTCGTGACATCCGAGATCGCCGCAATACTCAGCTGCACGTTTCCCTCGCTCAGGCCTCCAACAATCCTACTCGCCGCATAGATCGCAAAGTTGCCCGCGAAAAGCCACAACAGCGCCGAGAGGACGTTCCCGACCATCGTTCCGAGGAGGACCCGTCGGCGCCCGAAGCGGTCGCTCAGCTTGCCGAGTCGTGGGCTGATGAGGAACTGGCAGAAGGAGAAGAGGGAGGCGAGCAGGCCGCCGAGGAGGGTGAGGTCCCATCGTGAGGCGGATGAGCGGGTTGAGGAGGAGGTGGAGGGAAGGAGGTACGCGCGGAGGGTGCGGACGCATTCGAGCGTCCGGGAGAGCAGCGTTGGTGCCGAGTGAACTCGTCCTGCTTCTTGTCGCACGAAATCCTAGATGATTCGAGGGAAGAGAGGGAGACTGCGAAGAGGCGGTGCACACTGTCAGCTCGTGAGCGCGTTGGAGCTGGCGGGAAGCGACCCACGGCATGGTGAAGCTAAGCAGGTCCAGTATCAATGCCAGGATGACGACCCGCACGACCCTGCGCGCCGCTTCGGGCGAGTATTGCGTTGTCGGCATCGCCGAGCGATGAAGTCGAGAGAGGCGGGTGCAAGGCGTCGCAGGCGATGCGGGCAGATGACAGCGGGCGTACGGAAGAGTGGTACTAGCGGTGCGGAAGCACAAGCCTGCCTGAAGCGGTTGTGCCGAAGCGAGCGTGAAGTTCAGGTCGAAAAGGCGACTTGCACGTTTCGCCGACTCCCTTCTCGTCTTCTAGCTCGAGCAGGTGCACAGGTACCCTCTTTACAGCCCAACAAACCGTCTACGGTATTCACTCAAAGTCCGTGTACTTGGCGAGCCACCTCACCCCACTCTCAAACGCGACCCACTCCGCCCTGCGCTCGTCAAGCCCATCAGCGCGCGCTCCATAATCTCAACGAAGCGAAAGAGCTGTACTCACTCAACAGTCTCGGCGACCGGATGTCCATTCCCCGGGAAGACCAACATCTCGACTTCGGCTTTTCCCTCCCCCTTGAGCGCATGAAACCACGCGCGACCTTGGTCTTTCGGAACGCGACGGTCTGATTCGCCGATGAGGAGGAGGGTGGGGGCTGTTACGTTTGAGGCGTGACGGAGGGGCGAGAGGGAGTGGAAGGTGTTGAAGGTGGAGGATGTGAGGTGTGTGGGCGGGGAGGAGAGGGAGTAGGGAGTCGAGGTCTCTTCGTAGCACCTGCGCCAGGCGTACCCATCAGCAACCGCGCGCGAGTTCAAGGAAGGAGAAGAGAGCGCCGCACCAATCCGGAATATCCGTCATCCCAGCATTGCCCACCAAATCCGTCACCGGATTCCTCATAACCACCGCGTCCCACTCGTCGGCCCACCTCGCACTCAAATGACACGCAATCCAACCCCCATGCGACCCGCCCATCAACAACCTCTTCCCCTTCGTTCTAGAAGCGAGCGAGAGAGCGTTGAGGTAGTGCGCCGAAGCGAGGGTCGCTTCGACTTCCCATTCGCCCAGACGTGCGGGGAGGGCAGAGATGGTGTGTTGTCCGAATCCGGTCGAGCCGGGGTAGTTGACGAGTACGAGGCGGTAACCCGCTAGAACGTGTGCGGCGACAGCGTAAGAAAAGTCGGTCGTGTAGGTTGAGTGTGGGCCGCCGTGTGGGTAGACGATGAGCGGTGGGAGGTTAGGGCGCGATTCGGCTGTTGGGTCGATCGGGATGGGCGAGACGAGGATCAACTCGGAGGGTGCGAAGTGAGGGAGCGGGAGGACGGTGTAGGAGATGCGCGAGAGGGCGGCGGCAACTGCACACGCGTCTCACTCATCAGCATCCCTTATCTCCCACTGGACAGCGAAACGAGATTGGGACGCACGCTCATCCGACACCCCCGCCTCCCTCACAACCTTCCACTCGACGCCCTTCCCTCCCAAATCCGCAACCACAACTCTCCCGACCGTTCCACATCCACTCCTCACCGCCACGACCCTCCCCACCCCGTCCGTCCCAAGCACGTTGAAACTCTCGAGCTCGCCTTGTTGGACGGAGAGGTAAGGGAGTGCTGCGTCGGATTCGGGGTGGGCGGCGGGCCAGGGCGCGAGGGAGGTTACGCGGCCGGTGGTCAGGGAGATGAGGAGGGGAACGCGACGAGAACGCCAGGACGACGCAGCGACGACGCTCCATCCTTCCTCTTCCCCGACGTGGACGAAAGGCTGCGAGGGGAGTTGGTCGACATACAACCCCGGGAAGTCGTCGTCCGGAGTCGGTGCGTCTACTTGCTTGACTAGGACGCGGTCTTCGGAGGGGGAGAGGGAGGCGAAGTGGAGTTGCGCGCAGGAGGCGTGGACTGAACCGAGGATATTGGAGAGGTAGACGATCTGGGCTGAGTCGGTTGTGGATGAGGGTACGACGCGCGGGGAGCGGGAGGAGCGGTCGGCTGGTGAGACGGGAAGGGTCTTGGTAACCTTGAACGTCTTCTCCCTCTCTCCCTCGCCCTCCTTCCCCTCGCGCTCCTCGACACCTAGTTCGAGAACCCAAACCCTCGCGAGCCGATTCGTACAATACACAATCCCCAACTTCCGCCCATCCGGCAAGGCATCGTATCCCGTCGCTACCAGCCTTGGCAGTCCCTCGGGCGAGTCGGGGAGGAACGAAGGTTGGCCGTACGAGGTGTTTCCCTCGTTGGTGAGGCGGTGAATCGAGGGCTTGGAGGAGGAGAGGAGCGAAGAGAAAGGCGAGTTGGGCAAGAGGAGGAGGAAGAGCCTCGGGGACTTCTTGCCGGTGAAAGTCTCGCCCCAGTCGGCGGTGTAGACGAACTTGTCTTTTGACGGACGCTAGACAGAAGGGTCGGGAGAGGGAGAGGGAGCTTCGGCGACGTAGACGAGGGCTTGGAAGGAGGGGTGCCATGCGACGGAGCCGAAGGTGCCTGGGCGCGCATACTAGGTCAGCTGCGCTCTTCAAAAGCAGGAGGATTCGCGCCACGCACTGTCAAAGTACCAATCCCCGTGTACCTCGCTCTTGCACTCGACCTCGCACTCGACCCTCCCGCTCTCGGCGCTCACAACCTCGATGCTCCTCTTCTCCGCTTTGCCCTCCTTCGCGGGCGTGACACGGAAGACCGCCTGCTTCTTCCCGTCGGGCGAGAAGGCGACATGCTTTATCGAGTCGGAGCGGTCGGTGGGAGGGGTAGAGGCGAGGACGGTGAGTGAGGGGGAGAGGGTGACGGATTGGGTGAGCGTGCGCTTGGAGAGGGACGAGAGGGAGCGCTGGGAGAGCGTCAGGTGCAGTTGCGAGACTGTATGGCGGTCAGCGCGGATGGTGCGATGAGGACGGGCGATGAGGTGGGGGAGAGGAGCGAGAACGGCGAGGGCGCGAGCAGGCGGGCGGTGAGTCAGCGTGCGGTGTCCAGTACCATTCTAAAAGGGCTCTGAGTGAGTGCGCACCTCGATCGTCGCCGTGTGCGTGTGCGGGTGTCCAGTGTGCCGCTGTCGGCGTGGGCAGGTGGAAGAGTTCGGATGCGAGGTCGAGTACGTGGTCGATGCGGTCGCCAGTAGCGTGAGTGTCGTGCGTGTGCCGTGTCATCGCTCGTGCGCTCGCTCGCAGGGTTTGGGCGCGGGCGATGAGGTGAGCGGGGCGCGGCAACAGAACGCAGCGCGGAGTCCGGCGTCGTCCTCGCCTTCGTCTCGCTCAGCCTCTCTCTCTCTTCACTCTTGTACACTCCCTTACACTCCAGCTTACACTCTCAGTAAGGGATGCCCTTCACTCCCACACCCGCCCTCGTCGGCGGCCTCCTCCTCTCCTTCTCAACCTCGTCCCTCGCCCTCTCGCACGGCCGCATCCTCGGCTGCTCAGGCATCGCCCACTCGTCCATCGCCCACCTCCTCGAACTCCTCGGCGTCACCCACACCCGCTCGTCTGCCCCGCCACCGAAAAAGGACGACCGGAAGGACATCCCTCCGTCGACTTCCGCGTCTGCGCCATGGTGGAAGCTCGCATCCCTCGCGGGCTTCGTCGCGGGAGGAGCGTTGTTGGCGATTCTACGCCCGTCCATTGAGCGACTGGTCGGGACGGCACTGTTTGACCCGCCTGCGACCATCGCACAGCAAGGCGGACTGGCGAGGGTCGTTCTGGCAGGCCTGCTCGTCGGCGCAGGGACCAAGGTGCGCACTCACAACTCTTCATCTCAGCTCCCTCACTGCTGACGCCGAGGCTCGCGCGCACACAGCTGGCAAACGGCTGCACAAGCGGCCACATGCTCCTCGGCCTCTCGCGCTTCTCACGCCGCTCGCTCGCCGCAGTCCTCACATTCTTCTCCTTCGCGCTCCTGACTTCCCGCCTCGCGCCGCACCCACTCGCCGCGTCGTTCTCCCTCCCCGTCCCGCTCGCCACTTCGACCGCCACCTTCTCTCCCGCTCAAACACTCGCACTCCTCGCACTCCCTCCACTTGCATCACTCGCCACCGCCCACTCCGACACACTGCATTCCTTCTTCCTCTCCCTCACCTTCACGCTAGGCCTCTCCCTCGCCGGCATGCTCCGACCCTCCAAGGTCCTCTCATTCTTCTACCTCCCCCTCGGTCCGGCGCTCAAAGCCCCAGGCACATGGGACCCCTCACTCGCTTTCGTCGCATTGGGCGGACTCCTTCCCAACGCTCTCGTCTACCACGGTTGGATGAAGAAGGAAGACAAGCCGCTCGTCAAAGGGAAGGAATTCACCTTCCCTCGCGACCCTCGAGCTGGCAAGATCGACGCGCGGCTCGTACTCGGCTCAGCGTTGTTCGGAACAGGATGGGGTACGTCCCTCCCTCTCCTCTCCCTTCCTTCCCTCGACTGACGAGCTTGATGTGTTCTGCGCAGGTCTGATAGGCCTCTGTCCCGGCCCGCTCCTCTCGCTCCTCGGTACTGGACCGACTATCTCGGGATGGACGCCGTGGGTATTCGGAGGGGCGTTTGCCATGGGTGGAGTGGGCGCGGGGTGGGTCGCGCTTTAGAGTCTGAGTAGACTGACTCGGAAGGACGGACGAGGAGAGTAGACTATGGTTATTGCTCGCTCGCTCGCTCGCTCGCTACCGGAGAGTAGACGTATAGAGTGGACGCTTAGAACGTAATGTATTGCCTCGAGGAAACCCTGACTCTGCGACACAACCGAGAGGTATCGTGTGAGAGAGACACGGAGGACTGAACAAGCGAAGCGACAACAACACACAGACGAAACAAGCGCGCCACAACCTCCTCCCACTACTCCTCTTCCTGTGCCTCACGCCTCACGTCCCGCCACCTCCGTTGTTGGGAATCTTGAACGACGCGAGCAAGCCCTGCACGCCGCTCTGTCCCTGCCCCTGTCCCTGGCCCGTCGCTCCTCCCGTTCCCTGCGCCCCGCTCACTCCCTGCACCGCGCCTCTCGCACTCCCAGCCGTACTACTCCTCTTCGCCCCTCCCCCTCCCCCTCCCTTCCCCTTCGCCTTCAACCTCCCCAAACACACGAAATCCTCCATCCCGTCTCTCTCAAACCACCACTCCTCGTCCTCCCACTCCTCTCCTCCTCCCTCCGCTTGGCGGGCGAGAAGTGCGTCCGAGGGGGTGTGAAAGTGGGTGTAAGCGCGCCATTCTTTCGCTTCGCGCGCAGGGGCGGGAGCGGAGGAGGAAGGGTTGGGGGCGGAGGGACCGAAGGCGGGGAGCTGAGGAGCCGAAGTCGAGGCGATGGGCGAAGGACCGGCGGGAGGAGAGGGGGCGGACTCGGATTGGTGAAGGGCGGCGGTGAGGGCTGCGCCTTTGAGCGAGGTGAAACCGTAGGACTGCGTGTGCATCCGCAACAAGCTCGTCAGTGACGCCCTGACGAGCGTCGGAGAGGGAGGAAAAAGGGACGCACAACGAATTGACCTTCTCAACCCAACCCGACGAACCTCCTCGTCAGTCGCGCACACAGCGAGGTAAAGGAGAGATCAGACGCACGCTGGAACGCCGCGATATTCGAGTGCGCGAACGTGCGAGGGAGGATGTCCTCCGTCAGCTTCGAGGTGTCGCCTCCGACTTTGACGAGGACCGAGTGCCCGTCTTCACTGCCATCTCACCCGCTTGATCAGCTCGCGCAGGAATGGGAAGAGGTAGGGCAGACGCACGACCAGCACACGACGTCCCCTGCGATTTCGGGGTGCATGAGCAACCAGCGAAGCTTGACGATGAAAGGCTTGACACCCTGGATCTGCGCGTCTCACACACACATAGTTCTTTCTATCAGCTTCACTCCCGTGCGAGGGGAGAGAGCAGAAAGCAAGTGAAGTGGAGTGAGGACGCACAGGGTCGATAGTGAAAGCGTTCTTGGGCGTCACGCCCCTCCCGCCTTTCCTCTTCGTCCCAGTTTCCCCTCCTCCTCCCGTTCCTTCCTGCTGCGACGGAGCAGGCGCAGGAGCGATCGGCACCAGCTGCTGAGCCTGCTGCTGAGGAGTTTGCTGGTCGAGCTTGACCGCCCCTCCCTCCGCGCTCACAAGCGGCACCTCCTTCTCCCTCTCCCTCTCCTTGCCCTCGTGACCAGTCGACGGACGAGGCGTAGCGATACTCGTAGCGGGCGACCCAGTTCCACCACTCGTCGTGCGGGTAGTCGCGGGCGAAGAAGCGGGATTGAAGCGCTGCGATTCCTCCTCGTCCGAGTCGTAGGCTGCTTGTCCTTGCTGAGCTGGAGCAGGCGAGGGGCGTGGGTAGGGGTACCCCTGCCCCTGGTTCTGGTTCTGGATGGGCGGGAGAACGGGCGGCTGAAGAGGCGGAACGGACGGGATAGGCGACAGGAACGAGCCTTGGTATCCTCCGTGGACCCCGCGCTGCTGAAGAGCATGGTTCGGATCGTACCTCCACGCCGCGGGCGACGAACTCGAGCCGTACACGCCCAGCGCCGTCGCGGAGGATGAAGTGAGACCCCAGACTGCGCGGCCGGCTTGAGTTGTTGGCGCAGCGGGAGGGGGACAGATAGGGGAGTGCGGGTTGTAGGGCTGGTAGCCTCCCGAGAAGGGAGGGGAGAAGTGAGGGAGGCCGTGGATGTAGGAGGTTTGCTGCGGCGGGTAAGGGTAGGCGAAGGGGTGCTGAGGCGCGTAAGCTGGCGTCGAAGTCGAGGTCGAGGCGGCAGGAACGGGAGGGTAGTCGGTCCGACGACGCTGAGCGAGCGGCAAGTCCTCCATCGTGTCCTCCTCGCCCTCGGCGTCCTCCTTGTCGCCCTCGGAACGCGCACGCTTCTCACCCACCTGCGCCTCCTCAGACTCGGCGATCTGCGCCTGACGAACCGCTTCGAGCGCGAGGTCGCGGACGCAATAGTCGGTCAGAGTCGGGCGCGAGGAGATGCCGTTCCCTCCCTCGCTGGCGACGACCTTCGCAACTCTGCTGTCCTCGCCCTCTTCCATCCCGGCGTCCTCGCCAGGAACCGAATAGATCGTCCTCCCCCTCTCCTCTCCCCCTCCTCCTCCTCCTCCTCCGTCACCCGAATCAGCGAACGACCTGCGACGACTCGCGTCTCTTTCGTCGGGCCTGGGCGGACTCGAGACGGAGGCTTGGAGTTGCGCCCAGTTTGGGAGCGAGGGGAACGTCGAGGCGTGAGAGGGGGTTGTGGGAAGGCTGTGGGCGGAGCGGGAGGATGTCAGCTGCGTGAGAGGGAAGGGAAGTGGGGGAGGGGACGTACCTAGCCGACTGCGCGACTTCCTCTTGCTCGTATTCAGCGTCGACCGAGTCCTCCTGCGCCGAAGCGAGCGAGCCCTCCCGAGTCTCGAGAGTGGCGGCTCCCTCGTCGTGCTCTTGCGCGCTCGCGTCCGCCTCGCCTGTGCCGTGCGCGTGATGGTTCGAGTCGTGCATGTCGTGCGAGGCGAGCGAGTGACGGTGGGGAGCGGGTCCGGGAGGGTCCGCGGGCGAGAAGGACGGGGAGGGCGAGTGCGCGTCTTGCGTCTGCGTCTGAGTGGGCTGGGTGTGAGGGTGCGTGTGGGAGGAGTCGGGCGTGTCCGTTGTGAGAGTGCGAGTGAGAGGAGAGAGGAGAGAGCGGGCGGGCGGAAGGAGAGGAGAGGAGGTGAGCGCGGTCGGGCCTCGTCGAGCGCCAACGGATCGCGCGGGAGCCTCGGGCAGAGTCTCAGGAAGGCCAGAAGCGAGCGAGTGCAGTGAATGTGCACTGGATTGGTGCGCACGAAGCTGTGTGCGCTGCGTAAGAGAGAGGGCAGAGGAAAGTGGGTCGTACGGAGCGACTTGGGCGAGCGAGCGAGCGGGAGACGGGGCGAAGTCAGACCTTTGCGAACGAGTTTAGGCAGCAGAACGGCTCGCATAAGCACGGCACAGCACAGCACAGCACAGCACAGCTTTAAGCACCTAGCACACCCTCCCGTCCACCCGTCCTCCTCGTCCCGACCTGACCTCGAGCGAGCGAGTGGACCCGCACGCCATGACCTTCTCAGCCCGCCAGCGGTCGTCCTCCTCGGCGCACCGTGTCCGCAAGTCTACAACGTAGACTCCTCCTCCTACTCGCCCGCTCGACAGTCAGTGCGAAGCGCAGAACCAAGGCGTGCGGCGAGCGAGAGTTGCGGCGTCTCGTTCTCTTCCTCCTCGCGCACCCTCGCACTGCACCGACGACGAGCGCCTCTGCAGCAGACGACGAGCAGCACCTCGCCAACAAGCGACTGCACTCGCCGACTTGTCTCATCGCATTGCACCGCCACACAGCTTGCTGCCGACGAGCATCGCCAAGTGCCGCTGCTTCGCTCGTCCTCACTCAGCTTCCCTCGTCCCTCGACTGGCCAATCTCTCTTCCTGCTCATAGACGGCTGGCTGTCGAGCGGGACACGCTGGGCATGCTCGACTCTCGCCACCCTCGACCAACACCGACCCTCCTTTCGCTCCTCATCCTCCTCACGCTCTCCCTCGCCCGCGCCGCACCCACCACCACCCTCCCCTTGCGCCCGCTCCCCGGCCTTCCCTCGAACGGCCTCCTCTCAAACGGAATCCACCTCGGCTTCCTCCCCATCTGGTCCCTCGAAGGACCTACCTCCATCTGTTCCGCTCTGGGCTCGTGTTCCGCAATCTGGGGAGACTACTGGAACGCCTCTCCCTCCTCCTACGACTTTGAACAGGCGGGGTACCATATTGATGAGATCGAGAGGGTGGTCAAGGGCGATGTGAAGGGTGTTTACGCGCCTGCGGTGTTGTTCAGTGGACGGATGAACGAGTGGACGGACGAGATGAGTCAGAGTTTGGCAAAGACTGTGAGGGGGATCAATCAGCGCGGAGTCAAGGTCTGGTTGAGGTGGTGTTTCGAGATGGTGCGCCCCGAGTCTTCCTCTTGGCCTCACGGACCGCCACTGACCGAGGACTGGACGTAGAACGGAGGATGGATGAGCTACGGCCTCCAACCGTCAGACTACATCACCACCTTCCGCTCCGTAACCAACGCCATCCGCGCAGCGACGAACGATGTGCGCCGTTCCCCTTGCTCCCCTTTCCCCGCTTCCCAACTGATTGGGTTGTGGGTGCACCCAGACGTACATGCTTTGGTCTCCGAATTTGTGGACGGGAGACGTGGATGATCCGGTGCAGGGATACACGCCTTACTGGCCGGGCGAAGACTGTTCGTCCCCCCCTCTCCTCTCTTCGCCTGCCTTTCGCGAGCTGACAAAGACGCTGGGCGCACAGTCGTCGACATAGTCGGCCTATCATTCTACTCTTTCGGCCCCGAAAAGTCACTCAACAAGCCCGCCTCGTCCTCCCTCTTCCACGACTCGTTCTCCCCCTTCTACTCGCTCTTCTCCCCCACCAGTTCCTCCGGCTCCTCTAATCGCCTCAAACTCACCTCAGCCTACTCGTTAATCATCTCCGAGACTTCAGCACCATATTATTACCGCATCCCGCCTTCCTCGCGCTTCTACACCCAAGCAGGCGACACAGACCTCACAGCTCCCTATCCCAACCTCACCACGTACGAACCCGCACTCGCCACCCCGCCTTACGAGAAAAGCGACGACGAGCTCTATACGAAGGCGAGTTGGCTCGTGCAGATGGTAGGGAACGATACGGCGCAGAGGTTTCCGAACCTCAAGGCGGCGACGTGGTTCAACTATCTCAAGAAGTTTGTTCCCTCTCCCTTCCCTTCCCTTTCCCTCGACGTGGCTGACGGATTCGGACGAGCAGGGGAAACGGTACGGCCGAAGTCCTCGCCGATTTCAGGTTCGTTGGCGGGAACGAGACGGTTGAGGGCTGGTTGAGGGAGAATTTGGGCAACCAGACGGCTTATGAGGAGGGGTATACGGGCAAAGGAGGGAGGGTAGAGGTGAGGAGGGCGTTTGGGGCGGTCGTGGTTGGAGTTGCGGTGGCTGTCCTCGTCGCGAATTAGATTCGTCTCTCTCGTAGACTTGCGCATGCATAGAAGAATGTTATTGTTGTCCTTTCCGTACCGTCTCGCAGCGCATCTTCTCTTCGTCGTGGTCGTCGCTCAGAGTCCAAAACCCCGCACCCCGCTCCTCCTCGTCTCGCCTCTCCCTTCCTCCCCCTTCGCAGCCCACACCACCAATGTCCCCCGACGCTCCACGACCCTACAGACCACACCTCTCCTCTCCAACCGTACGTCCCATCCCCCGTCTCGCGCAAGACGCGGTGCGAGCTTCGGTTGTTTTGGCTCGATGAGGGTTAGGGAGCTAATCATGAGGTTGGCGCGCGCAGAGCTATGATTCGTTGAGACCCCCACCGAGTATAACGACTTGGTCTGAACCCTCGAATTCGCGCTCTGCTTCGAGCGTCGCGGTGGATCAACATGCGGGAGGGAGGGGAGCTGGAGGGGGAGGGCGAGGACAGGTGGAGCAAGGGAGGGGGAAGGTGCTCGTCAGGAACAAGGGGGAGGGGAAGGAGCGTATGGGCCATGAGGTGGTCGAGATGGGAGGGTGAGTCTTCGTCGAGAAGGAGGAGGAGGGCCGCGGGGGCAAGGAGCTGACACTTGGTTGCGCCGGTGTTGGGTTTGCGCACAGGACTGGCGTGATGAAGTCGAAAGAGGACCCAGGTCGACGGCGGAAACGGTGCGTCCCCTCTCCCTTCCTGCTCTCTCCCTCTCTCTTCCTCTCGGCCGGGCTGACCCTCCCGCTGCGCGAAGCATCATCCTGATGATCATTTGCGGCCTCGTAATCTGCGCAATCATCGTCCTCGTCGTCCTCGGCTGCAAAGGACAACTATAACCCGCTCCCTCTCACTCGATTCTGGTTCGACATAGACGGCGCCCGCTCTAATCATACAGTGGGGCAGCGGAGATTGTGCATAGAGTATCATTCATTTGACAGAGGAGGAGGAGCAGCAGCATTACCGAGCATCGTCATGGACACTTGCATTTCTCTTTCCCGCTCCTTCGTCCGCTGCGCGGCTGTCTTGTGTGGTCTTGTGGGTTCTTCAGGTACGTCTGCGGCTCTTCCTTTTTCTCACGAGACTTCAGAGCTGACTCTCGCTTGAGCAGAACAGACGCCCGTCCAGCTGCTCTTGCCTCGTCCGCTTCTCCCCTCGCCTTTCATCGCTCTCGTCCTCCTTCGCCTCGCTTCTGACCTTTTCTTCTCTTCCACCTCGCTCACAATGATGCTCTGCCTTCTTCTGCGGGTACCGTCTACGTTCTTTCGGTTCCTCCGCGAATATTTCGTCTGCCCGCTGACTTGCGAGCTCTTCCCAGATCAGTCACCCTCCGCCTCTCGCTTTCGTCGACTGCTAAACCACGCATCCGCTCGCTGCACCCGGTACAAAATAGCGAACACCCCTTTCGCCGTCGTCGTCGGCCGAACACCTTCACTCGACACGCTCGCGTCGCGACGAGCCTGACCTTCGCCGGGCACTGTTCTTCCCGTCACATCTCGGCGCAGGACATGCCGTACAGGCCATGCGACACTCGGTAGCGAAGCAGGGATGACTGATGGGGGCCGGAGCGGACGGCGGCAACTCCTCCTCCTCGTCTTCCGAGGCATCCGCCTGCTTCCCTCTCCGCCCGTTTCGCCTTCCGCAAGGTTCGTACATTACGCTCAGCTGCGCTCGCTGCTCTGCAGAACTCCCAAAACGCTGCCGGCTCGCCTCTCTTCTATTCTGCTTCCGTCCTCGCCGTCGACCACACCGAGACGATACCTTTCTTTGGCTCGAAGCGCAGTGGGCAAAGCGCGGCCCCATCTGCTTCGGACAATGCATTCGGTGCGGAGATCTGCCTGATCGAGCAGAAAGAGATTGATCGTGGTCAATCCGGTTCCAACGGGTGGAATGTGGACCAACTTCTGCCGCGTCCTTGACGCGTTCGCAAGTCTTCCTCCGCACCTCTCGGCGTTCTTCTCTAGCCTCAACTCTCTCTCTCCCTCCCTCCTTCACGTCTGCGTCTCGTTGCTTCCTCCCCTTCACCTCCTCCGCTTTTCGCGTCTCTTCCGCCTCTCCATCGCTGGTCGACGCCTCTCCTCGCCGCGCAGTCACTCCTTCTCGAACCCACACTCGTTCACCACCCCATCTTCTCTCAGCCAAGATGCGCTCCGCCGTCGCCTTCGCGTCCCTCGCCTCCCTCGCGACCCTCGCCGCCGCCCAGTCTGGTTACGGCCGCTTCCCCTGCACAATCGTCAACCCCGACGGCTCGTACTCGCCTGGTGCGTGCCCGCGTTCTCCTCACTCGCCAGATGCAGCGGACTAACGCGCTCCTCGTGTACGCAGACCAAGCCGCCTGCGCCTCCTCGGCCCTCGTCGCGCCCGGTTCTGGTACCGGCAACACCGACGGCACGCAAGGCGACGGCGTCAACCCTACGAACGCGCAGTGCGTCGTCGAGAGCGAGTCGGGCGCGTACTTTTGCGGCATCGCCGGTGCGCAGTGCACGACCGATGCGAATTGCGACAACGGCCACTGCGTCTCGGGTCTCTGGTGCGTGCGAACCCTTTTCCTTTCGAGGGAGAGACGGGCTGATGACTTGATGTGCACTTACAGCCAGGGCGGCTTCAACCAGGCGTGCGCGAGCAGCGACCAGAACTGCCTCGGCTTCCTCTACTGTCTCGCCGCCGACTACTCCTCAACTGCGACGAACGAATGCGGAGCGGTCGGCGCTTTCTGCCAGGACTACGCCGCGGCCTCGCCTAGCTTAACGGACGCCGCAGCCGAGAAGATCTTCAACCAGTTCTGCGCAACGGGGTACTGCAACTTCGAGACGGGCAACTGCGACAACCGCGTCGCGCTCGGAGGGGACTGCTCGACCGACCCGACCTACGCGTGCGAGGCGCCCTACACCTGCGACTCCACTACTTTCACCTGCGTCGTCGCGACCGCCTCGCAGCGCGCTCGCTCCCGCCGTTCGATGCACCAGCAGATCCGCAAGTCGAGGCGCAATGTCTGCCCCGCTGGACACGAGGCGTGCCGGGTCGCTGGCCTCAAGAAGGGCTACGAGTGCGTCGACGTCGCGAGCAACATCGAGCAGTGCGGTGCTTGCGTCGAGGCGGGTGGTGTCGACTGTACGGCGTTGCCGAACGTTGCGGCTGTCGGTTGCGTCGCTGGAGCTTGTGAGTTGGCGCTCCCTCGATTCTTTCGCGCTCTCTGCTGACGTTGTCCTTCCTCCGTTTTCGCAGGCGAGATCTGGGCTTGCGAGGACGGCTTCGACTACGACCCCGTCGCCGGCGCCTGCATCGCCTAAGCCCTCACCTCCCTTCGCCTCCCTCCCTCTCGCCTCCATCGTCGCAACCTCGCATAGATCTCCCGTTTATTCCGCCATCGCCGCTGTACGCCGTACCTGCTTGTACTTGTACCCCTCGCTCTCGTGAGCTGGATGAAGGAGGGGAAGACCTGGCGTCTACCCCCTTTTGCACCTGATCCTTCGTTGTTCATAGGGTTCTGATGCCGCTCGGTCGGCTGAGTGATGACACAAAAGTAATGATCGACCTTGTGAGGATGCGGGATGCGAGGGAAGCTCGTCGAGCGAGGCAGAGAAAGAAACGAGAGGGAGGCGAGGCAAAGACACGCAGACGGCCAGGTCAAGCGGCGCAAGGCCTGCTAGCGAGATTGTGAGTCTTGCGCCGCTTGGAGAGTTGGAGAGCGAAGCGTCGATTTTGAGCGCGAGATCCAACAGGCAATCCAGCAGACCAGCATCTCCCGCTGTTGCCTCCCACCAAGTACAGGAAACGGCGTCGTCATTCTATGCGTCCGTCGACGATCCTACCGCACCCGTGCCTGCTCCTCGGCGAGCGACTCCGTCAACCCACCCGTGCCCGGCTCGAAGATCTGCGTCGCAGGCTTCCCCTCCTGTGCCGTCGCCGCTCCCTCCGCCGCGGCCGCCGCCCTAGCCCTCGCCCTCCGACCCTTGTTCTGCCTCCTCCTCTCCAGGAGCGCGCCAACCTTCGACTGCGCCTTCTCCCTCTGCCGCTTCCGACCCGCCTCGGACCGCGCGCGCTGCTCCTCCAGTTCTGCGTTCCGCACGGAGTCTTCGCGCTCCCGGAGGATTTGGGCGGCTTGCAGAGCGGCGTTGCGGCGTTCGGCGAGGACACCCTTGATGCGCGCCATCGACTTGCGGCACTGTGCGAGATGAGAGATCTCGAGAGTCAGCTTCGCGCCTTCACCAAGAGCGATAGAGAGAAGCAACGGGCGACTCGCAACGCACCTTGTGCAGGTTCTCGTGCACCATCGAGAAGCCCCTCAAGTCGATACGGACCCGACGCGCCTCCTCCTTCTGCGTCAAGAGGACGTTCCGTTCGCGCAGGAGGATGTACCACAGCTTGTGCAGATCCTCGAAGGACTTGATGCGCAGCTCCTCGGTCTTCCATGCGCGGCCTGCACCGAAGCGATGAGCGGAGAGAGGTTCAGTCGGAAGTCCGTCACAACTGATGGCAGAGGCCACGCGAACGCACCAGACATGTCCTTGGCCTTGTCCGGCACCTCGAGCGCCACCTGGTCATGGAAGAACCTCCACAGCGGGTGGTTGCTCGTGTCCGTCTCCTCCCGCTTGGGCCACTGATCCCTCGACAACGGCGCCCGGTGGATCTCCGACCTTCCGTACAGCGTGACGTCGCGCTTGGGTTTGCCGGACGCGGCGCGCGGCTTGGCGCGGGCGTGGGCTGGCGCGGTTGTGTGCAAAAGACGGGGCGAGGGCGATGAGGAGGAGACGAGGGCGGAGGGCAGCGCTGGCCGGGCGAGGGCGGTGTGAAGCGTTGTGCGCAGGTGTGCGAGTACTCGCTGCGGGGCTGCCTGCATCGTGCGAGCTGGCAGGGCGCGTGTGAGCAGCGTGAGGAGGAGGAGCGATGAGGAGGAGTACACTCGCGACCTCGCCAGATGTTGCGGGAGTAGGTTGGAAAACCCTATGACTGTGTAGTACTACACTTCGACTAGCCAGCACTGCAATTGCGAGGGTTTGTGGTCGACGGTTTCCCTCTCGCTCCTCTTCCGCTTCGACTGCTCACTGCTCACCGTGCTGCGTCTCACTTGACTGTGCTAGACGACCACAGCGACCATGGCAGCCATCCCGACGACCCGCGACGTGCGCACCGTCCCTCGTCGCCCTTCTTCTCCTCGAACTGACCCCCACCTTCGGACACCCTCAAACAGAACGCAACCCAGTCCAACTACCAGGACATCCGCACCACCGCTCTCGACCTCGAGTGGACCGTCGATTGGCAGCACCGCATCATCCGCGGACACGTCAAGCACTCGCTCAAGGCTGAGAAGGACGGCGTCGTGCGTCGGGTCCTCTCCTTCGTCAATGGGCAACGGCTGATCTTCGACGACACTTTACGCGCAGGACAAGCTCATCCTCGACACGTCCTACCTCGCCATCAAGCGCTGCTACATCCCCTCATCTTCACACTCCGACCTTTCCTTCTCCCTTCCCTCAAAGCGTCACCCAAACCTCGGTTCCGCACTCACGATCTCTCTTCCGCACGCCCTGAAGAAGGACGAGGAGCTCGAGGTCGCGATCGAGTACTCGACGACGGATGGTTGCACGGCGCTTGGGTGGCTCGAGAAGGAGCAGACGGACAGCAAGAAGTACCCGTTCATGTACTCCCAATGCCAGGTCTGAGACTCTCCGCATGTCCTTCACACCCCGGAACTGACCCCTCTGTCCGCCCAGGCCATTCATTGCCGCTCGCTGTGCCCAATCATGGACACTCCCGCCATCAAATTCCCTTACACCGCGACCGTCCACTCCCCTCTTCCGATCCTCCTCTCCGCCTTGCGCATCTCACCGCCTCTCGAAGCTCCCCAGCCACCCATCGACGGAACGCTCCAGACGACCAAGTGGCATCAGCCTATCGCTATCCCTTCATACCTCCTCGCGATCGCCGGAGGAGAAGTGGCCTTCCGTGCGCTTGGAGAACGCACAGGTGTATGGGCTGAAGCAGGAAAGGTTGATGCGTGCGCTCGCGAGTTCCAGGAAGACGCGGAGCGGTTCATCAAGACGGCGGAGGAGTTGTGCGGTTTGTACAAGTGGGGACGCTACGACGCGCTCGTTCTACCGTTCTCCTTCCCGTTCGGAGGTATGGAGAATCCGAACGTACGTCGGCCCAGAAGCGCCAGGCGGCCGTCGCGGAGCCTTGGGAGGCAGCGCGAAGTCTCCCAGGTCCGATAAGGCGATTCTCGATTCCGTACACTCACTGTTGCTCTTGCTGCCCGCAGATGACTTTCCTTACGCCTGCGCTTATCGTCGGAGACCGCTCGCAAGTCGATGTTCTCGCTCATGTACGTTCCGCGCCTCCTCGACGCCGCCTTGACTGGACCTTCGCAACCTCCTTTGGCCTGCTGAGCCTTGTTCTCGTGGATACGCGCAGGAGGCATCGCATAGCTGGCACGGAAACGATGTGGGTGTTGCGGCTTGGGATTCGTTCTGGCTCGTGAGTTGGTCTCTCCTTCCCTTCCTCGCTTCGGGACAAGCTGACCTGTCCTTCTCCCGCAGAACGAGGTGCGCTTCTCCTTCGCCTGCCCAACAGCCTTTCTATCTCTTGTCTCACGCCTGCGTCCAACGCTCCACCGCCTCTCAGGGCTGGACGACCTACACAGAGCGCCTGATCGCTCTCGGCCTGCACGGCCCGCAAACCCGCGACTTTGAGTACATTATTGGCGCCAAGAGCATGAACGATGATTTGAAGAGGTACGATCGGGACGGGTGGAGGAAGGCGCAGCGGTTGCGTGCGTCCAGTCCGATTGCCATGCGCGAGCGAGGTCGAGAAGAAGCTGACTCTCGGAGTTTCTCGCATGCGCAGACATCCCTTACGAGTGCGTCGGGCCTTTCGATAGCGTCTTCTCCTCACTCTGCTTCGATGCAGCGAGCGAGATAAGTCCTGACGTGCCTTGACCGCACAGCTTCGGCGAGGACCCGGACGAGTTCTACTCGAGCGTCGCCTGTTCGTCCACCTTCCCCTCGTCGTTGTGACCTGTTCGCTGACGAACACTCAATCCAGATGACAAGGGCGCCAACTTCCTCTACTACCTCGAGAAGTTGGTCGGTGGAGTAGAGGTGTTCAACCGTGCGTCGCGTTTGACCCTTCTCCGCAGGACTGCTCATATGAGGGGGCTGAAAGTGCTGATGGTGATTTCCGACGATGCGCACAGCGTACCAGAAGGCCTACATCAAGGAGTTTGGCGGCAAGGCTGTCTCGACCAAGGAGTGGGAGGACCACTTCTGGTGCGTCCTGCTTTGCGGAGCCGCTTTCTGCGGCGTTACGTGCCGCCTTGTGAAGCTTTGGCTGACAGGACGAGGCTCGCAGGTCCTACTGGAACCAGTACCCGGAGAAGGCGAGGATCTTGAAGGAGAAGGTTGACTGGGATGTGCGTCGGTGTTTCGCTTTACGCTTCGGTTTGGCGACCGCTCTCCAAGCTTGCAAAGTGCTGAACTCCGATTCGCCACCGTGCAGGCCTGGTTGAACGGCGAGGGGACCGAGTTGCCGGTCAAGGTGCGCCTCCGCCTTAGTCCCGTAGTATCAGTCCGCTTACTCAAGCGATCTCGCTCGCGCAGATGGAGTACGACACGACGCTCGCCGACCGCGCCTACGCCCTCGCCTCGTCGTGGAACTCCTCCCGCTCGCTCTCGCCCTCAGACCTCGCAAGCAAGTTCACCAAGTCGGACCTCGAAGGAATGAGCTCGACGCAGGTCGTCCTCTTCCTCGAGACGCTCGGCACGTACGACAAGTTTGAGGACAAGGTCGTCGAGGCGGTCCAGAAGGCGTACGGTTTTGACAGCTCGCACGACCCGGAGATCAGGGTGCGTCGAGCTTTCCGCCTTTGAGAACGAGCCTGGAGAATCGTGCTCTCGTGTGCTTTCGCAAAGGAGAATCTGTGCTTGCCGCTGATGCTCGTCCCCTGCCGCAGCTCCGCTGGTACCTCTTCGCCCTCAAGTCGGGCCTGTACGCCAAACAAGCCGCTCACTGGGTCCGCAACCAAGGTCGGATGAAGTACTGCCGCCCGACGTACCGCGCCGTCTTCGTCGTCGACCCTGAGCTCGCCAAGGAGACTTTCCTCAAGTACGGCAAGGGCTTCCTCCACCCGATTGCGAGGAGGATGGTCGCGCAGGATCTCGGACTCGATGAGGGCGAGAAGAAGGAGAAGTAGCGGGATGTAGCGATGCATGATGGGTGCTTCTGCGGTATCAAGCGAGCTCTGCGCTTCTGCGCAAGACGTGTTGTGCCGGCGAGCATCGGCTAGGAAGTGCTGCGAGCTTGCGAAGGCATGGCCAGATGTTCAAGCTGTGCATTGCTATGTGACAGGCCCTGCTACGCTACGCGCCGAGAGACCACGCCCATTCCTCGAGGTCGAAGTTGTCGTCGTCGATCACCGTGAATTTGCCGCCCGCTTCCTCCACCTGTTCCTCGAGAACGTAGCTCCACGGTCTACGCTCGCCTGCATCCGTATTGCTCGTACAGGAAGCGAGCCTTTGCGCCAGCTTCGCCATGGCGGGCCGGTGCTTCTCGCGCATCGCAGAGAGCGCATTGACTCGCGCCTGATCATTCTCGTCGGGCTCCTCGTCTTCCGACTCCCAGTCCGCATCGTAGTACGCCAAGTGTCGCAGAAGCGGAGGAAGGTCATTGGCGATGAGGATGAGGGGAACAGTCGCGATCAAGCCGAGTATACGCACGGCTGACAAATGGGCGAAAGAGGTCTCCGCAGGGTGATCCAAAGTGACACAGCTGAGCAGAAGCGTCTGCAGCTGCAAGTCGGCGGGGAAAGGTGCAAGGCCGACGTCGCTGACGAAGAGGTATGTTAAGTTGCGTGAGGTGGAGTCGTCAATGATGGACATAGCGTTCCAGAGAATCGTGTTGAGCAGATACAGCTTCTTGAGAGCTGCAGAATCATCGCATTAGCGCTACGAGGCATGCTGTGGAGGAAACCGAACACACCATGAGCGCCTTCGATGAAGTGGTCACTCTCGGTCAACCGTCCCGACAGCCAGATCTGCTCAACATCCCCTCGAGCCAGCGCATTCTTCATGAGCCTCTTGAAGCGGTTGCGGCATGCAGGAAGGTATTCGAGGCGAAGTCGCTTGATCGGCCAACGTCCCTTCATACCCGCCGCGAGCCCGAGAATGGACGCTTCGTCGGCGCAAGAAACATGCTCGTAGAGTTCGCGCTGTGCAATACGCGTCCAGGTGCGGTGGACGAGGGAGAAGGTCTTGCAGAGTTGGGCTCGTTCGTCGAGGCGGGCGAGGATGAGGGGCGGGAGGGCGAGCTCGAGGATATGGAGCTGCAGCTCTAGCGGTAGAACAGAGAGCATTGCGGCGGCTTCAAGCGGGTCAGGGTGTGCCAGAGAGTGCGAGGAGCGAGGGAGAGAGGCGCGGTCACACGTTCGCGTCTGCCAGCCCATTGAAGTCGCTCGCTGTGGCGCTAGCTGTGGCTGAATCGCTGCTTAGCACTCGCTTGAGGGCGGACGACTCGCGCACGCCGCGCGACGAGTACTCGCGACTGCTCCTCGCCTCCTCATCAGTTTGCGACCCACCGAGGAGCAGAACTCCGCCGCAACTCGTCCCGGCGCACTCGTGCTACGCGTAGCTGCGGAGTTTGGGAGCAGAACTGCTGGTGCACGGATGCTCGTCTCTCCCGAGCGGGCCGAAGTCGTTGACCGACACTGAGTCGACCACCCCTCCCGACTACCTGCCTCCGCTTCTCTTCCTCCCTCCCTTCACTTGCTGCCCGCTTGCCTTCTACCGCCGACTCTCACACCTCCACGCCGGGTGTCACCGCCGTCACAGCCGTGACCCGACGCCTTTTGAGCTTACCTTCTTCCCCTCTCGATAATACAAAGTAGCGAAAAGTGAGATCCGCGTCCCACCAACGAGGCACGAGCTGATTCCCGCTCCACAGTGGTTGGTGCCGTCGCTGCTCCTGCTCAGCTCCGCACAGCTGCGTAAGCTGTTGCGGAGTCGGTGCCGTCGATCTCGCCGTCGACGCCCCGTTTCCCCTCTTGCCCCTCGATACCCTACCCGATCCTTCCGCTTCCCTTGCATCACTCGGAATCACTGGCGTCTCAACTTCGCCGGTGTGCTCGCTTGACGCCCTCGCTTTCGACACTTCCACCTTTGCCTTCGACCCTACCCTTCCTTTCCTTTCAAATTTCGACCATGCCGCACTCTTGACGACTTCGACCAACCTCTCACCGAGCGCAGCAGATCTCCAACTACGTCAGCCTTTGCCGCGTGCGTATGATTCGGGTTCTCTCGGCAGGCTCACTCTGACGGAGGTCCGCAAACAGTCCCAGCAGCAACTCTCGCTCCTCATGATCCTCTCGACTCTTCCTCCCACTTTTCGCCAATCGACGACGACACTCTCAACTTCTCCCTCTTCGCTACGCCTCTCAACCTCCCGACCCACAGTGCCTCAACCTCGTCCACCTCGCCCTCCACCACAACTACCACCACCTCTCCTGATTCCTCGGCCCTCCCTCCGGCCGCTCTCACTCCTGCTTCTTACCTCGCCGAGCAAGCCGCTCGCCCCGCCCCAACCGGTTTCCGCGACCCCTGCATCCCGCGCATCGCTATCGACGCGCCAATCCAGAAGCGCGACTCGCTCTTACCCTCAGCGACGTCGCGCAAGCGGTTGAACGCGGCGGGCGAGCGCAAGGTGGCGGCGAAGCGGCGGAAGGAGCAGCAGGCGGCGAGCGAGTCGTCGGCTTCTCCGAGCAGCGGCGAGTCGGGTGCGGCGGAGGGACTGGACGATGGCGAGGACATACCGCAGGAGGCGTTGACGGCGACGGAACGCAAGAGGTTGCAGAACACCTTGTCGGCTCGAAGGTGCCGGGCGAGGAAGCAGGCGAGGGTGCAGGAGCTCGAGGTCCAGAACGCGGCGTTGCGCGAGCGGGTGGAGCAGCTAGAGGTGATGCTGCGCTTGGTAGGCGGGGATGTGTAGTAGTCACTTCTGGGCAAAGCATGGTCTTTCTCCTCGAGGTGACATTCGACGATTCGAGAGTAGAGTGGTCTCTTTCCTGCCACCTGGCTACACAGCGCCCTCGCAGTCGAGCTCTCGGCGTCGACCATGTGAGTCGGCCGGCTTTGTCGACCGACCGAGTCGCTTGTTGACGGTGTCGAGCGAGTGAGTCGAGTGGTCGACTGGATGGTCAGGAGGGGAAGCGCAAAAGCGATTCCTGCCTGCGTTCTCTTCTCATTCTCTATCACTTCTACATCCCTTGAGGAGACAGTGCGTCCGTCTGACCTTCCCCGGCTCCAACGACGACATCACTCCTCCGAAAGGATCGAAACATGGAACGGATCAACCCTGTCCGAGGCGTCCAGCGTTGGAGGCGTCAGACATGAGAACAATTGCTATAAGCTGACATCGGCTGAAAAGGAGGAGATGGCGCGGTCGACTCGAGCAGGAGGAGGTGGAGACGGTTGCTGACGGCCTCTCCGGCCCCCTTCGACATTTCGCACAGGGCCTCCATTCTCCCGCACCAGCACTGCTCAGACTCTCTTAGGCGAGGAAGAGTCAAGCTGATTGGGCTGGACGAGCTGGTTAAGCGAGGCGGACGAAGGTGGATGTGCGGTGGAGGTTTGTCGTACCTACTCTCTTGTACTACACTTCGCTGCGTTCATACTCAGCCTACTGCAACTCGCCCCCAACAAAGTGCGAGCGAAGGCGAGCGAAAGCCACGAGCAGAAGGGAAAGCCGCATCGCGATGACCTTCTCAGGCGGGAGTTCGCTCGTTCTTAGGGTTAGGTTAGGGTTAACCCTAACCCTAAGCAATTGACCGGCTGATGCGACAGAACTGGTAGCAAACAACAAGTGTGCAATATGTACCGGGTCGCCCCGTCTTTCGACCCCGCAACCGTCCATCTAGACAGCCTCCGCGCCTCCGTTCTTCTCCTTCTCCTGCCGCTCCTGCTCCTCGCGCTTGACCTGCTCGCGCAACCCGACGTCGAGGCATGGAGCAAAGCGCGAGTGTTGGCGCAGCTTCCAGCCGTACTTGTAGAAGAGGAAGGGCGAAGGGCTGATGGCGAGGGCGACGAAGCCGAAGACGGAGCAGGCCCAGCCGACTCCGAGGGCGGCGAACCTGCGCATCAAAGTGTCAGTGAAAAGAGCTTGAAGAGCAGGGAATGGAGAGGGAGGCGCACATCTGGCGGACGAAGAGCGGGAAGGCGACGGCTGCTCGGAGGAAGTCAGTCAGCTTCTGCGATACGCGAAGGAGCTTAGGAGGGCGCACCGGTAGCAGAACGAATAATGGTGTTGCCAGCCAGCGCAGAGGCTGAGTACATCAAGTACACCTCAACTGCGAGCGGAGGAGAGTTGGCAAGTGTCGGCGAGGGTTGGAAGGTTCCGTCGGAAGTCGGCGAGGTTCGGCGGGAGTTGGCGAGAAGGGAGCGTTAGCGAACGCTGCATATCGCAAGGAACAGCTCGCGCGACGCACCGAGGTACGTCAGGAATGAAATGAAGACGAGCGTGAACGACATGCCGATGAGGATGGCGGACGCGGCGGGAACAGCCCAGTGGATGGACGGGTAGTCTGCGACACAAGGATCAGCGCCGTTCTGAGCTGATGTATGAGAACCGAACGCACTTCCAGTCCATCCGAGCCAGAAGATACCGATGATCAGGAAAGGACCAGCGAGCATGGCGCCGTACAAACGCTCCTCGGGCGGCGGGTGTCCATGCCACTTAGGAATGAGTTCGCGGTAGTGTCGCTGAGTCCAGACAAAGATGACTGCAGGGGAGAAAGATGAGCGACAGGACGAGGCGGATGGAAGGCTGTAGACTCACGGGCACCCATGGTCGTTCCGAGGCCAACGGCGATGAATACGAGACCTGTCTCGCCGGGATTGAATCCCCGTAGCTCGCCCCAGATGATGGGAAAGACGGAGAAGAGGCCGCTGTAGGAGAGGCGAAGTTAGCGGAGACGACCAGAGGTAGCTGAGGATCCGGACGCACTAGAGGAGTCCATAGACGACTGAAAGGTAGATGGTTACGGTCAAGACGATGGGCTCAACGACCAGCATGATTGCTGGACGCGCGAGCGTGCGAGTCACGATAGATCGGATCGAGAAATCTGCCTTCTCGAGTTCGGCGTACTTGTCGCCGTGCTTGTCCGGGTCCTCCTTGCGCAGACGCTTCGCGCGCTGAGCGAGCAGCTTCGGGTGGTACGTTTCGGGGAGGAAAACCGCGATGAGGATCCAGCTCGCCGCCGACCAGAAGCCGATGAAGGCAAAGATCCACCTCCACCGCAGCGACTGGTTCATCACGGTGAACCCGCCGATGATGGGGCCGAGGACAGGTCCGACGAAGACGCTGGCCGAGAAAAGGGCCATTGCCTTGCCTCGACCCATCGGATCCCAGATGTCGGCGATGACTCCTCCTGCGTTCGTGAGAGGCGATGAGGCGAAGCAGGCGGCAAGGAAGCGGATGATGATTATCGTCCAGATGTTCTGTGCGAGGGCGTCCCCGATCTGGAAGAGACCGAAGATGGCGAGCGAGACGACGAAGACGGGGCGGCGGCCGACCATTTCCGACATTGGCTGTTGGGCAACGAGTCAGTTTCGGCTTTCCAGGTAAGTCAGCGAACGTCGACGTACAGCCCAGACGATGGGACCCAAGCAGTAGCCCGCGAGGAAAAGCGAAGTCGTGAGATCCGCGACCTCGAGCGACGAGCCAAAGTCCTGTGCGATTTGCTGAGTCGCGCTCGACGGCGAACTCGAGGCAAAGGTGACGACGAGTGTCGCCTGCGCGCAGAGGATCGTAATCGCCCACTTCTTCTTGTCGCTCCAATTTTGCGGGTTGAGCGGATCCTCCTCTTCCCACTCAACCTTGTTCGGGTCCTTCTCCTGCTCGTCCTGCTGCTCATCCTCGTCGCCACCGTCCTGTGTTGTAGTGCCGATCGACGTGCCGCGCGAACCTGGATCAACCATCGGTCAGCGGAACTGGCAGCCTTGATGAGCCGAAATCGAGAGACTCACGGGCCCTCGACATCCGACTCAGCTGTCGGTGCGCATCCGAGAAAGCCGTATCGACCAGGTGCAGCTCGGGGAAGCCGTTCTCGCTCCATGCCGTCTGACTCCTGCTCCTCGTCCGCCCCGTTGGCCTCGTCGAACCCGCCGCACCGATACTTCCTCGCCTCGTCGTCGGCATGCGGTAGTCGGGAGCGCGGTGAGGCTGGCGGCTTTTGTCGAGCTTGTCGGCGGGGTGAGGAGAGTGAACTCCCGGAATTCGAGGCAGGTCCGGCGCGTCGCCGCCCCAATCGCGCATCTCCCGCTCTGCCTCTGCTGCATCCGCATCGTAGTACTCTGGGTCGTGGGGGTGTCGCTTGTACGTCTTGGCCCGCGATGGCGAAGCAGACGCGGATCGGTCAGCGAGGTTGCGGTCGGCCAGGGTCGACTCGCCGGACGAGCTGGTCTCGACGGGTGTGGACATCCGGTCGTGGCTGTCTGGTATTGTTGACGAGTGGGAGAGGCGGCAGCAAGACGGGCGAGCCTCGAAGCGTGGAGGAACAGCGAAAGCGAAGAGCGGCGGACTGCCTCCACCGAAAAATGCTGGACCGAAGCGAAGCCGGGAGAGGGGGAAGGCCGGATCGATGACCTCATTCCGTTCCAGTCATTCTTGCTTGTCGGTCCGCCCGCGAGTCAAGCGCAAGTTCGAGCGACTTAACTACAGCAAGTAGTTTCGAACCCAAAAGAGGGGTGCCAGAGAGGGCGATGTAGCAGAGTGCAGCGCAATTGCAGCGCAAGCGCAGCGATCGCAAAGAGCGCGCTTCGTCCGTCCAGTCACGTCTATTAGACGTAGTCATCGGAGAGTGGTTGTCGTCTCAAGGCGCTGTGAAAGAAAGGAGAGGGATGGGAGGGGAATGCGAAGTGCGGCCGGACCAGGCGTCGGTAGCGGCCGGGAACAGTGCCAAAAAGGCCAGGAGCGCAGGAAGATTCTCCGGACCATGCGCATGCGCGAATGCGTTCCGCATTGCATGGTGCGCAGGCCTTGTGCTCGCTGGCAGCTCGAGGAGCAGCAAGGGTCACCGGCGACGGGGCAGGCGGAGTGAGGCGTCGGCCGGTCTGAGATTGTATGCGGATATAATGGCCATCTTGCGAGTGTTCGGCGGGCGAGACTGTCGTGAAGAAGACGAAAAGGGAGGTTTGCGCGAGGGAAGGCGAGGTGGACGTTCGATGGCAGGTTCGATAGGCGACAGAGCGTTGATTAAAGCATGAGCGATGCTCATTGCTGGCGTCCAGGCAGTCTGGCGGCCTCGCGCGCCGTTGCGAGGGAGGTAAGCCTTCATCAGTTTGGCGGGAGAGTATGGGGTGGTAAGTCGCGACAGCTCTTTCGGGCGGCTGAAGAAGGCCGTCATGCCCTGGAGAGAGCGTTTCGAGAGGTCTTGGAGGCACTAGCGAGTCAATCTGAGCGAGGAGGCGATGCGGACGGGGCCAAACCTCCTTCCGCCCCTCTCTCGCTCATTCCTCTCGCGCGCTGCCCACTCAACTCGCTGGACTGCCTCTCTTTGGAGCTGGGCGTACACTTAATGTCTCTTCACATATGCTACACGGCTCGAACCAGCGAGCTGGACGACACTATCTAGGGGCGGTCTCGAGGGTCGTCGAACGGTGTCGAGAAAGGGTTGGTCGGTCGCGGCGAGGGAATATAGCTGATGGGCTGGCGAGAGCTGAGGGGAGCAGTGCGGCGCCCTGGAGGAGGGGCAGGTCGTGCGAGGGAGGGCGGCCGAGGATAGGAAGGTGCGGTATCGGCGAACGGGTTCGGCGGCGACTCGTGTAGGTCCGGCAGCTCCTCCCAGCCGACGTCGTCATCGAGCTCATCGGTCAGTTTTCTGAGGTCGCGTCGTCGTCCCGCCGCTTGGGCGCCTTTGCCGAACCGGTACCGCCGCTCGTTCGCACCCGAGGCGTTTCGCAGCGGCACGAGGTCGCTCTCGCGTCTGCGCTCGAGCTTCTCCCGCCTACGGGCAAGATGCGAGTCCCGGAGATTGCGGAAAGCGGAGATGGGTCGAGGGCGAGAGATGAGAGGCTTGAGTTTCGAGCCGGCTCGCTTGGAAGGGAGGGAGGGCGGGATCACTCCCGGTAGGCGGAGGGCGGACAGAGCCGGAAGAGTGAGTGTGCGAGGCGGCGAGCGAGTTGCGGGCGCGGAGGGATCGTCGAAGGGATTCGAGACGGGCTGGTCGTGCTGATCGGGAGTCGGTTTGAAGTAGTCGATCAGAGAGGCCCAGCTTCTCGCGCTCGGCGAGACACCGCGAGGCGGTACGACGAGCTGCTCTGCCGGCGAGAAGAAGGGCTGAGTTGCGCCGAAAGAGGGCGGCTCAGGTCGGGCGCTTGTGACCGCAGGCGGTGCGTGCAGGTCGAGCGAAGATGTTGACGCTCCATACGGCGCCCTGCTGCGGCCGAAGGACGACATCGAGCGCAGGTGAAGCGGCTTGAAGAAAGCGGACTTCTCCTCGTCCTGGCCGAATCGCTCGACCTTCTCGTCCGGCTCGTCCTTGCCGCCGCGCATCCCACCTCGCCTGTTCGCCCACCACAAAGTCCCGCGAGCCCTCCACCACGCTCCGACCAGTCCCATGAGGACGACGAGAACCCAGACGCCGATTGCAACAATGAAGCCTAGGCGTTGCTGCTCGAGGTTCCGTTCGTACGCGTTGACCATCTTCTCAGCGATGCTGGGCGCCGAGATGGTCGAGTGCGGGTTCGTGAGTGTCGCGGTGAGGTCGTCGGTACGGTTTTGGGAAAGAAGGAGGGCGGAGGGAGAGACGGTGGGGAGGGAGAGGTGGGCGTGGTCGTGCAGCCAGGTCAAGGCGGTCGAGATCGAGTCGACCTTGGAGCCTAGGAGGCACTGTGGCGGGAATGTCAGCCAGGAGATAGCGAGGGGGGAGTAAAGGAAAGACGCACGTAGATCAGGTTGAGAGCGGGATCCTCGAGAACGGTGCCGTTGAAAATCTCGGTGATCGTGTCCTGCGGGCTCGGAGGTAAGCGAAGAGCTCGCTCAGGTATCGAGAGTACGATACTCACGGTGATCTCGGTGTAAAACCCGTTCATCGTCGAGTTGAGCGAGGTCGTCGTGTCGTTGACCCAGCCGAACTGCGGACCGTCATTCGCACGTCAGCTCCTGCATGCTCGAACGGGACGACAAAGGACGCCAGGCGCACCAGGTTGTTGTTTACGTCGTCCTGCAGACCCAAGATGACCTTGTTCGTCCCGTTGGCCCAACTCTCGCTCGCATCCCGCATCTTCTCATTCAGCGCGCCCATCACGCTGCTCGAGAACTGTCCCGCCCCATCCTCCGCTCGTCTGCGCACCATACGCCTGATCGGGCCCTCGAGGATTGCGAGCTGGATCTGGACGACGATCAGGCCGACAAGGCCCAGGGCGAGGAAAGCCCAGGCGGGAGGATGGGCGATGTAGGAAAGGAACCAGATGAGGTTGGTGCGAGACGAGGAGGTCGAGAGGCGGAGGACGGAGGCGAGGCGAGAGACCCGGCGGAAGAGGGTTGGGTGGGAAGAGGCGTTAAGAAAGGAGAGCAGGTTGGTTGTCGAAAGCGTCTCATTTGCCGTTTGTGACTTGACATCGTGCGCAACGGACGAGGCCGCTGAGAGCAGGTCGTTCAGCCAGGCTTCTCGCGCGGCTTCAACGCCGCCGAGGAAGACCCTGTACCGCCACTTTTCCCACAACGCGTTTGCGATGATGAAGAGCGCCATGACCAGCACGACGAGTCCGATGGCGACCTTGACGAACTTGCCGAGGTCCGACCCGACATCGTCGATCCAGGTCGTATCGAGGTTTGTGCAGAGCTCCATCGTTTGCTTCGGCGGAATCGGCAAGAGTTCGACGTCTATGGTCGAGTTCGACAGCGTGCCGTTGATGTTGGCGCGCAGCGACTCGATCGGCTTCGAGATGAGGTTGTCGAGAGTCGAGCGGAATTCGGAGAGAGTCGGGATGGACGAGTTGAGCGAGGTCAGGGCGTTGACGAGCGTGTCGGGCAGCGTAACATTCTCAAGCGCCGACAGCTCGGGTACGTCGAGTGAGGGGAGGCTGATGTCGACACTGCGGGACCAGCGAGTCAGCTTCCGCTTTCGAGACGCAGATGCATACGAGCGTACCCTGGGATCTTGTCAATTACATCGACGGTCTTGTTGAGTGCGGTCTCAATCCCGCCAATGGATGCCTGGATCGCCGTGCGAACGCCGGAGATCGCGTCCGTGACGAATCCTTGCGCCTCCTCGATACCCTTGACAAGCACCGCGATTGAGCCGTGTACCGCGAGATCGAGCAGGCAAAGGTAGAGCGAGCGGTAGGTGTCGATGATGAAGCTTGTCAAGAAGCGGGTCAGTCCGTTGTATTCGCGGAGGAAGCCACGCTCAACTCACAGTACGATCGCCTCCAGCGCCTGCAGCATTAGGTCGAGGACTTCCCCCAGCCCATGCGTGACCGCGTTGACGGTTCGCACGTTGAGCTCGTTCACGCCGTCCGCCATGTAGTGCGGCAGGCTGACCGCAACGCTCGCCGCGCCCTCGACTCCTGTGCATGCCGACAAGAGCGAGGCTTTGGCGTCCCGCGTCAAACCCGGAAGGGAGGCGAGGAGGAAGGCGAGAGCGATGAGGAGGAGGATGAGCGCGAGGAATTCTTGCGAGAGCCAGGAGAGGGAGATGTGCGCGCGAGGGCCGAGGAAGGGGCGCAAGACCGGGCGGGGTGGATAGGACGGCGGTGAGTGGATGGGATAGGATGGCGGCGGATAGGTCGTCATGGCGGCGAGGCTGCCTCAAGCAGCGAGTCGGCGGGAAGTAAGCGATCAACCAGCCGGTGTCGAAGCGAGAAAGGCGAGAGAGCTGGCTCTCTCGCGATGACAGTGAAAGACCCAGTGTAGCTCCTGCGAGGGCATGACAAGGGCAGGCAGCTGGCGAGCAGGCATGGCGGTCTGAGCGTGTCGAGACAAGGGACGGGCGCAAGGACAAAGGGTGACAAGGGCAGTACCGGCGCACGGTCGTCCCCTGCGACTCTGATCCTCGCGGATACCCTCTGCCGCCTCCTGTCGCACCTGTCAACCCTGCAAGCGGCCGTGAGCGACATCTGCGCCGTTGGGCTGATGAAGTTGAGGGAGGGTCGAGAGCTGGGTGTCGTCGGCTTGGGCAGCGAGGCGGCCCAGTCGAGCGTTCTGCTGGCGATGCAACGAGCGGAAAACATGCTTTCGGCCCATCCAGTGTAAGCAGCTAGCGGTGGACGAGCCGAACCTCGAAGCTCATCTCTTCCGCTCAGCCAACTCGCTCAGCCACTTCTCTCCCCCTATTTGACTGGCCCGAACGATTGAGATGGCACCCAAAGGAGACCGACAAGCCCGCCGTGAGGAACCGCTGCCCGAAGTCAAGCTCCCGTCTCCAAAAGAACCCTCTCTCGCCAGTGCGTCCGAGACTCGCTCGTCGTGGAGTTTCAAGCTGACCGACCGCGCTCTTCCACAGCCACACAACCGCATGTCGCACCCGCACAAGCCACCAAACCGAAGACGAAGCGCGCCAAGTCGTCCGCATCCAACAAGCGGAAACAGGCGCAGGTCGAGGCGGCGCTTGAACGGGCTGGCAAGCTGGAGAAGCGGAAGACGGAGGTTGGGAACAAGAAGGAGATGAAGAAGAAGGTTCGCCAGCTGTGGAACTAAGCGGAGAGGCGGTTGGTCTGGCGTGGGTAGGAGGGTTTGGGTGCGCTCGCTCGTTCTGTCCTCCTTCTGTTCGTGTTGTATCCCTATACAGAACGTCGACGGCGATTCTGCATTCCTTCTTGACTCCAGCAGCTGAGGGCGCATCTCTCTCGTACCCGCTCGATGACCTCGTCTGCTCGCGCTAAACGCCAGGAACAGCTTCACCCCTTATAAATTCAGGGCTACTCACACCGCTACTCGGGGCATATCTACCGACCCCTCCCTCGCATCCAACTTCTTCAGCCCCTCAACTTTCTCCTCCTCGTCCCAATCCTCCTTATACCGCGGCGGTTCGGCTCTCCCGTCTGCTGCTGTGACTGATGTGGCGGCGGCCGATGCAGGAGGGCGGCGGGAGAGGTAGGCGGCGAGGAGGGAGCGGAAAGGGAGGGAGGGAGTACGAGAGGATAGAGGGAAGGAGGGAGGTGGGTAAGTTGGAGGCGGAGGAGTTGGTGCTGATGGTTCAGGGAGGACTTCTGCGTGCGCCGGGCATGACGACAGTCAGGCGCTGTAAGGATGTGAAGGAGAACGACGGTGACGGACCTTCGACAATCACACTCGACCGACTCGCCATCCTCGCTTTCCTCCTCCACACCCACCATGTCACGCCGGCTATACATCCAGCAGCGACGATCGCTGCAATGACGGCACCAACGATGTCGCCGACACGACTTGGCGAGGTAAGGGAGGAGGAGGTGGACGAAGTGGAAGGGGAGGTGATGGTGGTTGGAGACGGCAGAGCTACCGCTGGAATGCCAACGACCATTGTGGCGGATGCTTGTGGACTTGAAGTGGTATGTAGGAGACAGAGAGCAGCACGCCTCGCAACAGCAGGAGTCGCGACAGCGCATCTCCCTCCTCTGCAGATCCGCAAAAAGGACTCGATTACTCAGTCTTCACCTGACTCATCCATTGACTAGGCGCTGGCTGCGACTTGTCGATGTTGCGTCGTGGAATCTGGTGCGAGCAGGCCGGAGACCCGGGAGGTGAGAAATGGGAAGGTCGGGGGGAGAGGTCGAGTCAAGGGTGAGGGAGATGACTTGGTCCGCTAAGCGGCGCGCACCCGCGCATGCGTATCGACGACAGAGGAGAAAAGCAGGCGCCGTAAAGGCAGAAGGAGCGGAGAGGAAGCGAGGGAGAGCGGGATGTGCGACCGCGGGAGTTCATTCAAGCAGAGTACCGAGACCAGCCGCCGCTTCCAACCGGCGCAGAGCGCCTCAGGACCGTTAGAACGCCTTAGATTGTATTGAAGCTTTGATGGAGTTTGTGTACGCCGAAACGGGACGAAAGGAAAACCGAGAGGTGCTTGAAACCGAAAACGGAGTCGCAGCTCTGCTCACAGCATCCTGGTGAGTCGCGGTCGCGAGATTCGCAAAGGGAGGAAGGAGACGCACTACGCCTCAAAGGTGAGCGAGGTGCCGACCTTGTGGCTCGCCTCGCCCAACTTGGCGGTGTCGAGCGCGAGGCCGAAGCTGGCCTTGACGCCCGGACGCAGGGCCTGGGTGTAGCCGGCCGAGACGATGCCTGCAAGTTCGAGGTGTCAGCGAGGAGTCGAGTGGGGAGAAGAAGAGGAGGGGACGAACCGGCCGAGTTGGCCTTGAGCTTGACGAAGGCGGTGTTCTGTTCGCGCATGGAGCGTGAGGGAGAGAATCAGCGGAAGCTCATCGCGTAAAAGCGAAGAAAGCGGGGCACGAAACGCACGTCAAGGTAAGCCTTGGTGCCGACCTCGACAGCGACGTTCGAGGTGGGCGCCTTCGAGTCCCAGATGGCCTGCACGAAGCCCAAAGATCAGCATCTCGTTCGTGCGCCTCCACGCAGGATCTTAGAGCGCCCGGGACATCACGAACAAGCCCCGGACACCCTCTCCTGGGTCGAGCGAAACGCACCTTGGCGCCAGCCTCAACGTCCTTCGAGACCTTGTGGTAGTAGCTAGCCGAGAAGACCGAGAGGTTGGCGAGACCGTGGAGGGTGACGGTGTACGACGGGGCGGCGTATCCGAGTCCGACGGCGTAGCGCGTGATGGCGCCCGTGGGGACAGAGTAGGTCGTCTCGGCTCCGAGGAGGAAACCGTCGCGGCCGACGACCTGCGGTCGCGTGTGTCAGCGGGTACCACAAGTGGGGCGCATGGCGAGCTCGGCAGCTCGCTCCGACGAGAGAAGCTAGGAAGTCAGGGGACGAAAGGGAGACGCACGGCGTCAGCGGTGAAGGTCGGGCCCTTGAAGACGTCGAGGAGGGCGCGGGTGTGGAGCGAGGGCTGCTTGTAAATGGCCGTGACGAAGGCGGCCTTGGACTGGGTCGCGGGGAGGAGGTGGCCCTGGACGTCGAGCTTCAAGCCTACCAACGGGAACGCGAGGCGCGTCAGTCGTCTACTCCAACATCAGTACGAGCTCGCTGCTCCACGGAGCAGGAGTCCGAAAGTGAGCAGGACGAGGGACTCACCCTTGGCGATCTGGTTCTCCAACTCGACCTGCGTCTTGAGGACGTTGCTCGTGGTCCAAGTCTGAGTAACGGTGACGCCGTTCTTGACGTCCGTGTACTTGGCCTCGAGGTCGCCTGCGATAGCGGCAGTCTTGGCGTCGCGGAGACCGGCGACCTTGAAGAGGACGCCGTTAGGGGCGCGGGTCTGTTGGAGGAGTGAGGAGGGGAGGAGGGTTAGTTGAGTGAGCGGGGGAAAAAGAGGGCACGTGGTTGGCAGCCGGTGCGAGTCGTTTCCTGTCTCCTACACGCCTGCTCACACACGCGAACGCGGCGCAACCCCCCGCCGAAACGATCCACCACGTTTCCCCCCTCCTCCTCGATCCAAACGGAACTTCTTCCCGCGCCTCAAACCGCCTTTCCCTCCCTCCTTCCTTCCTCCCAACGCGCACCCACTCCTCTGCAGTCCTCCGACCCCCCTCATCCACCCGCGCGAGCGCTCTGCGCCTCAAAACGCGCCAGCCCATCCACGAATGACGAGCGCCCCCTCCCTCGCCTGCCTCGCTCAACAAACGCTCACCTTGACCTCCAATGCACTCCCGGCGAGAGGGAAGTCCTTGTTGAGCAGGTCCGAGGCGGACTTGCCGCTGCGCGAGGGGTGGAAGGAGTGTTAGAAGCGAGTTGGGTCGGGGGTGGTCGGATGGAGGCTAAGTTCGCGAGGAGGGATCGTGAGGGGCTGGGAGAAAGGTGGGCGTACAGGTCTTTCCAGCTCGGAGGCACAGGCGAAATTTGAGCCATTACTGTTCGGTGAGTTGTGGAGAAAGAGGATGTGGAAGGAGGAGGAGGAAGGGCACGAGGACGGCACGGCTGGTTTGGCGGACGCCCTCTCACTCGCTCAAGCCCTCTTGTGCTCGCGTGATCCTTACAGAGTCTCCAGCTGCTCTCCTACACTCGCTACGCAACCCGCTCGAACTCTTCAAGCCCGCTCTTCCTCTCCTCTCTCCACGCACACGTCCGGCAGACCTCACTCAACCTCCCCAAACGAGCTCGCTCTTTCACTCATCTGCTGGAGAAAGGGACGCGAAAGATGGCGGAGGAGGAGCGAGGGCGCTGCGAGGGGTGTGGGAGGAGAGCGAGGCGTCCAAGAGGGCAGTTGGTGGTCGCGCCTCTCGCGCGGGCGTTTGAGGCGTTCTTGTCGACTGAAGCAGCGTCAGACGACAAGGCTGATATCTGATCTCGGCGACTGCCTCCTCACGAACACGGCAGGCGACAACACCGAGTGAGAATCGCCTGCTTCACTTGCACTCACTTCCATCGCTCCGCCGCTTGGCTCGCTCTGTCGCAGACCGCCAAGCTTGTCGTCGCCCCTCATCAGGCAGTCGTACGTCGACCGCACATCGCCAGTCACCTATCGGAGACGCCACAACGCCCGCTTGCGACGGTCTCGCGACTCTCTCCTCCGACTCGCTCTTCGTCGCCTTGTCTTCCGCCGGTCTCTCCAACGATCTCCCTTGGCTGAGAGCGTTCCAGCACTGCTGCTACGCCCTCGCAGCTATACAAGCGAGACCTGCTCTCCCAGCAGTTTCGCCCTCTCCTGCTGACGACCTGCTCTCCCGCTATCTCTTCCTCCGCCTCGCCCCTCTCCGCTCGCTCTACGCTATCAGCGCCACCCTCTGAGCTTGGTCTGCGCTGTCCCGCGGGAAACCACCCCGGTTCGAAACGGAAGAGACCTTGATGATGCGGACTGGGGACCCGGACTTGAGCAAAGCGCACTTGACGTGTGGGCGTGGGCGGGTTCTTCGCGCTGAGTGAGCTCGCTCTGTGTGCACTGTGCACTGTGAGCTTGTACGCTATCAAGTCCTGTTTGAGCGAGAGCCAGAGCGACACACCCGCCGCGCTGTTTCTCGAACACAGACCCAAGCCCCACTCGTTTCCTCCACGCCTCTCCACGCCTCTCCTCCTCCCTCTCGCCCTCTCTCCCTCGCTTGAAGGACCCGACAGATGCAGCGACAACGCAGTCTCATCGCAGAAGCACGCGGACAGCGACCAGCCGGACTGGGTCAGATCGGTCACCGCCCGTCGAGCGCACCCGACCGCGAAGCTGTCGCAGACCACGAGACCGAGTTCATCGGGTGCGTCCACCTCGCCCGCGTGCCGGTCCTTACTCCGTGTACAGGCGAGTGCTGACCCTGCTCGAACGCACCCTCGTCGCACACGACTCTCTCGTCGGACCGCCCCTCCCCGACCCCGCTCATTCTCCCTCTCGCACGAACAGCGCCATCGACTGCGGCACCACCTCGTGCCGATTCTACATCTTTGACCAGTGGGCCGACGTCGTCGCGCACCACCAAATCGAGTTTGAGCAGCGTGAGTTTGGGTCGTTTGGCACCCCGGGGACGAGGGCGGGGAAGATGCCAAGTGGGAAATGGGGCGCGCGAGAGGGCAGCTGGGAAAGGAGAACGGGAGTGCTGACCTTGCTTATTCTTTTCAACGTTTGCCGAACTACCCGACTGCCCACATCTGCGACTTGACCTCTTCCACCACGCTCATGACGCACTTCCTCGCCGCCGTCTTCTTCCTCCTCTTCTCCCCGCGCTCGACCAAACCGCCCACCCTCTCGCAGTCCACCCCGAACCAGGCTGGCACGAACACGACCCCTCGATCTACTGCGCCGAAATCGACAAGTGCATCGAGGCGTGCTTGGAGCAGTTCGAGGGAAAAGGTCACTCGAAGGACCAGTTGAAGGGCGTCGGGATCGCCACGCAGCGAGAGACGACGTTGCTGTGGGATAGGCAGACGGGAGAGCCGTTGTATAATGCCGGTGAGTCGTGGGCGTTGTACCTTTCGCCGGGAGGAGGAGGAGGAGGAGGTTTGGGTAAAAGGGAGGGCGGCGGGATTCCCTCAGCGCTGGGAGGAGCTCTCCATAGAGTCGTGCGTGAGATAGTGAGGGCGGAGCGGAAGGAACTCCTAGCGGCGCAACCTCATCCCTTCCAACCCTCACTGACCACTTGCCCTTCCTCCTCCCCTTCGCGCACGCACAGTCGCCTGGCCCGACGCCCGCAACGCCTCCAACATCCGCGACATCCGAGCGCGCGCCGAATCGACCAAATTCGACACGCCTGACGGGGTCATCGTCGGCGAGGAGGGGATCAGGAGGTTGACTGGCTTGCCTTTGTCGTGCGTTCCCACCCTTCCACCAGAAACCCAAAGCTCGTTGTTGATGGGAGCTTGGCCGGCGGACAGGACGTACTTCTCAGCTACCAAGTGGGATTGGTTGAAGGAGAATGTCGAGGAGGTCAAGGAGGCGAGGAAGAGGGGGACTTTGATGGCCGGGACGGTCGACACCTGGCTCGTCTACGTGCGTTCCCCCTTCGATCTTTCTTAGTCCGCTCACTGACGCTCCCGGGCACTCAGCAATTCACGGGCGGAAAAGACGGCGGAATCCACATCACCGACGCCTCGAACGCCTGCCGCACGCTCCTCTTCAACCTCCACAAACAATCCTGGTGCCAACAGCTCTGCGACTTCTTCGACTTCCCACCCGAGGCCCTCCCCGAAGTCGTCAGCAACTCGGAGGTGTATGGCGTTTTCAGGAAGGGACATTTGTTGGAGGGCGTGCCGATTGCTGGGTTGATTGGAGATCAGCAGGCGGCGTTGGTGGGGAATAAGTGCTTGACCAAGGGGGATGCGAAGCAGACGTATGGTCAGTCTCGCGCGCCCCTCTCTCCTCTCGTCTCCCTGCGGGCGGAAGCTCGTATGATGGGGAGTAGTCTCTGAGAGGAATCGAGACTGATGATATTGGACGACCACCCGCAGGAACGGGATGCTTCATGCTCTACAACACCGGCACCGACATCGTCAAGTCGACCCACGGACTCGTCACTACCGTGCGTCTCCTCTCTTCCCCTTCCCCGCTTTCTCCCGACTGATGGGCGAGTGCACAGGTCGCGTACAAGATGGGCAAGGAAGGACCGCTGCATTATGCGCTCGAGGGTTCGATCGCGGTCGGTGGGAGTTCAGTCACTTGGCGCGTCCCTCCGCTCCCCTTCCCTCCTTCCCAGGTCTGTCGAGTCTCCCGCTGACGATGATGCGGCGCGACAGGCTGCGCGACAACCTCGGCATCATCGACCACCCGCGAGAAGCGGGAGAGTTGGCGGACGAGGTACCCGATACGGGCGGCGTCTACTTCGTTACGGTGCATCCCCATTCCCTTCCTCACTCGAATCTCGACTTGCGGAATGAGGAACTGATGGTTGAAATGGGCTTTGCGCAGGGCTTCGGAGGATTGTTTGCGCCGTATTGGGACATTCGCGCTACGTGAGTCGCTTGCTCGCCGTTCTCGCGCATCTCTCGGCTCTCTTGCTGACGGATGCATCGAACCTGGCCGTGACTCGTAGCGGCATGCTCATCGGCCTCTCGACCTTCACTACCAAGCACCACATCGTCCGCGCCACGCTCGAGGCAACATGCTTCCAAACGCGCGCCATCCTCGACGCCATGTCGAAAGACACCGCTCTCGCTACCTCCTCTTCTTCTTCTGCGCCGAACGGAACGTCGGAGGAGAAGAAGAAGGAGGGAGAGGAGAAGGGACCGGCTGGGTTGAAGGTCTTGCAGGTTGATGGTGGTATGACGGGCAGTGATGTGACGATGCAGTTGCAGGCGGATATTTTGGGGATCGATGTCAGGCGACCGACGATGAGGGAGTGAGTCTCGTCCTTCCTGCTCTCGCCAAGTCGCGCTTTCGGTCGCACACGCGGCGGGATTGGAACGGTAGTCGACGTACTCACACCCGCTTCTGTTTCGCGCCTCGCAGATCCACAGTCCTCGGCGCGGCCCTCCTCGCAGGCGGCGCACTTGGCCTCTTCGGCTGGGACCTCTCGCGCCCCGAGACGTTGCAGAAGGTCAACCGCCTCAAGGTTAGCACGTTCAGCCCGCGCATAACGGAGGAGGAGAAGGAGTGGAAGTATGCGGGATGGGTTAGGGCGGTTGATAGGGCGAGGGGGTGGAAGAGTGAGTCGCGACGTTTCGCTTCGCTTTCGGCGGATGAAGTGGGTGAAATGTGTGTTGGGCTCACCCGCTGGGTCGAGCTTGACGCGCTTCATCTCCTGCACTCCCTCCACTGACACACTTGCCTTCGCAGCCAACTCCGGCCACGGCTAAACACCCTCCCTCGCCTACCTCTCCTCCCTCCTCGCCTCGAGCGAGACCAACCAACAAGACGTCTCCCGCAGTACTAGAATGGACTCCCCTCGACATGTATCGTAACCTCTCTTCCCTCCTTGATGCAGTATGCAAAAAAGTACGGTACACGCTCTCGCGCTTTGAGGGTGCGAGGAGGAGAGCGGAGGTCGGGTCGGCCTCCTTTCGTCTTGCCGCTCCTCTCGCCTCCGCCCGTCGTTGCTAGCCCTCACTGTGAGCCAGGCGAGGGTACGCTGTGCTACACGCGCGTGCTGCCCCCACTTCCGCTCAATTCGCTCGACAGTCGCCCGACAAGCGACAAGGCGAAGTCGCTTCTTCGACCGCTTCTCTCCGCTTGCTCGCTCGTAAAGCTGCTGCAACCGCTCACAAACATGCTCCGACATGCACTCCGCCCGCGCACCCTCACCTCCGCCCTCTCCCTCCGCACCCCGCTCCTCGCCCGCTCCATGTCCCGCACCCCCACTCCCCTCTCTCCAGCAACGCCCGCCGAGAAAGACGAAGGCAGCATCGCATCCGTCTTCTCCTCGCTTGGAGGAGACGCATTCGTACCGCTCGAAGCAGGGTTCGGCGAGTTGAAGAAGTCGCTGTGGACGGATGGGTTGATCGAGAGTTGGAGGACGGTGTTGAGCGCGCTGGAGGAGCGGACGGAGGAGATCAAGGAGAAGGGGACGCAGGTGCGTACGCTCGAGTGGGTGGACCGCGGAGACTTCCGCTGAGAGACGTCTCGTTCGCGCAGATCGTCCCGCAAGTCGACTTCCGCGACGTCCAGGCTGGCTTGTCCCCCTCGCTCAAGGACGAGATCAAGCGCGTCGGCACCGTCGTCGTCCACGGCGCTGTCGCCGCCGCCGAAGCCGAAGGTTGGAAGCGCCAAATCCAGTCCTACATCGCCGAGAACCGCTCCCTCGCCCGCGGCTTCCCCGACGACAACCCCCAAGTGTGGGAGATCTACAACTCGGTTGCGCAGACTCAGGCGAGAACGCATCCTGGCTTGCTCGAGACGCAGAAGACGCTGCTCGGGTTCTTTCATACGACCGACGATTCGTCGCCTGTCTCGGTCAACACGCCTATCAGCTATTTCGACCGACTGAGGATCCGCTTCCCTGGCGACTCGGTATTTGCGCTCGGCTGTCACATCGACGGCGGAAGTTTGGAGCGGTGGGAAGACCCAGGTGCGTCTCCGGCTTGACCTTCTCATTCTCCTCGAGGTGCAGTCGCTCATGCTGGTCGGCGCGCAGGCTTCCGTCAGTGCTGGCGCGAGATTCTGCGAGGCGGACCAGACCCGCACCTTCGCCACGACCCGTGGGACTTGACGCCTCGCCTGAACGCGCGAACGGACCTGTACAACGGGGCAGGCGCTTGCTCGGCGTTCCGCATGTTCCAGGGTGCGTCGCGGCCTCAGCAGTGTCTTGGAAGTCGCTGACAGACCTCTCTATGCAGGCTGGACCGCGCTATCGACGACTGCGCCCGGCGAAGGAACTCTACAGGTCTTCCCAGACGTCAACCTGGCTACATGTGCGTCCCCTCCACGCTCTTCCCTCCTTATGCGCTGACGACGCTCTTGCACAGCCTACCTCATTCTCCGCCCCTTCTTCCGCGAGCGAAGAGGCCGAGAAGGCAAACTCGGCTTCGACGACTGGGAAGTCGACCTTGATTCGACTGCGTTCCCAGGCTCCGTTAAGGGCAAAGGTGAGTTCGCTCACCCGCACCCTTCAGCCAAGCCAGACTGACCAACGAGCCGAGCGACAGCCCAGGAACTCTCGCACCAGACGCACCCGCACCTTCGGCTCACGGAAACAATGGTCTCGGTTCCGCAGGTCGTGCCCGGTAGTCAGGTCTACTGGCATTGCGACGGTGCGCCGGCTTTCTCGACGCCTTTTGCTTCCGAACGGCTGCCTTCGCTTTCGAGCGAAGTGGTCTTGGTTCTTCAGGCCGAGGAGCTTGACGCTTGTTCGCTCGCTTCCTGCAGTCATTCACGCCGTCGAGTCCCGCCACGGCGGCAAGGCCGACTCCTCCGTCCTCTACATCCCCGCCGCCCCTCTCACCAAACAGAACGCAACCTACCTCGCCGCCCAACGCGCCCGCTTCGAAGCTGGAAAACCAGCGCCCGACTTTCCTGGCGGCGCGGGGGAGAGCCAGTTTGTTGCAAGGGCGGGGAAGGGAGATGTGCATGCGGGGTCGGGAGAAGCGGGTCTCAGGGCGCTCGGATACGCGCCTTTCGTGCCGCAGAAGGGGGAGACGGAGGGCGGGAAGCGGGTGATCGAGGAGGCGAACAGCATTCTTGGGTTTACTTAGGAACTTGGCTATCACGCAGCAAGGGCCACCCTTGCCTAGGAGCTCACGGTCGAGAGGAGACGAAGGTCCAAATGCCAACAAAGGAGAGAGAAGGACAACATCGAGAGTCTGCGGACGAGACACATAAATAGATGCGAAAGGGCGCCGCTTCAACCGCGCCAGTTGAACAGGTCGCGGTGCTTGTGGCCGTCGTTCGAGCTGATGATCGAGGCGGCGGACGAGCCAGGTCCGGGCGCCTGCCGCGGCTCGATGAGGAGCGACTGGCGGTAGAGCGACTGGGCGTCCTGGCCGCGCTTGAGGCCTTCGAGCTGTTGCGAGAGGTAGGCCTGGATCTCGGGGACTTCGACGAGCGGGTAGGGCGACTGGAAGCGCTGGAGCTCGCCGACGATGCGAGCCATTTTCTGCGAGTGAGAAGGAGCGAGTCAGCGAACGGACCAGTGAACCACGAGTTGTAACGCACGTGGTAGCGGTCAAAGTTGATGAGCTGGAGGGACGAGTCGACTGGCGACAAGCGCTCAGCGCGGTTGCCCTCAAAGACAAAGATGAGGTCGGTGAGGAAGAGCTGCAGGAGAAGCGAGGTCAGGAGGCCATACGTGCGACAAGGGGAGAGCCGAGCGCACCCCGACGAAAGGCAAGCAGGGCGGCACAGCCTGCCGGATCTTCTGGCGGTACTCGGCGTAGTTGCGGCCGTGGTCCGTCGCTTTCCTGAGCGTGTCAAACACGGCCTTGTACTTCGGTGCGATCCCGTCCCACGTCTTGCGGAGGCGCGAGATGGTCGACGAGTTGAGCGCGGTGAAGACGGCGAAGAGGGCGTTGTAGTTGGCGAGGGCGAGGAGGCGCTGCGCGGGAACACGAGTCAGTTCAGTCGAACGCGAAGGATCGAGCAAGCCGGACGCACCTCGCCGACCTTGATGAAGTACTTGAGCAGCGCCGTCCTCCTCTTCTGATCTTGCTCGCCGAGGATCGTCTCCGTGATCCAGCCCGTCAACCTCGTGCTGAGCGTGCTCATCTTGCGCACGTTGCAGGCCTTGAAGGCCTCGACTGGACCCTTCGCACATCCCGTCGCCGCGTTCGAGCCGAGTAGCTCGTCCGCTCGGATCGAACAATAGGTGCGCGACTCGAGGATGGTCAGCTGGCGAGCGAGCTCGAGGGCGTCGACCTCAGTGACGGACGAGAAAAGCGGGGTGCGGCCGGACAAGGCGGGACGAAGGGCGGCGACGAGCGACTTGGTGATGATGGGGGAGGGAGCGGAGGATGCGGAAGGCGATCCGGGCGTGTACGAGTCGGAGGAGACCCGGGCTGTCGACAGCGGGGCTATACTTTTGCCACTCCTGAGCTTGTCGGTTGACTGCATGCGAGATAGGAATCCGCCGGTGCCTGCGAGACCGCTGCGAATCGACGAAGCGGGCGTCGCGTTCGAGACAGTCAGCGACGAGGTCGAGTCGTTGACGCTGTGCGACGCCGAGCTGGACCCGACGCTAGTCGACGACGCATTGCTGTGCTGGACGAAGCCATTGCTGTCCTCGCCTGCCCGTTCGGCCGCAGCGATCCGCTTGTTGACGAGGTCGACGAGGCGGTTGCTCGCCGCTGGCATCGCCGCCTTGAGACTCCCCTGACTCCACTCGAGCAAGCCGTCGACAATCTCGCGATCCTGCTCGTGAAGCCAGTAGCTCTCGACCCAAGTCTTGAAGAGGTTGTAGATGCGGAGGCGAATCGGCGTGAGCTTCTGCGCCGTCCACTGCTTCAACTCGTCGGCCGAAAGCTCGGCGCCCGTCTCGGGGTGTCGAGGCGGCGAGAGGTCGAAGCGGGCCCAGAGAAGACGCGCGAGCTCAAGAGGGGTCGTGAACATGCGGAAGGTGAGGAGGAACGTATCAGAGAAGGCGGCGTCGATCGTGGTGTCGTGCAGGGTCATGCGCTCGACGAGACACGGCAAAGTCCCGCCCGAGACGTGTCCGTCGGCGTTGAACGAGATCTCCCGCGGCAGGTAGTCGCGCTGAAGATACCAGGGGCCGCTGGACGAGACCGATCCTCGCGGCGTCGCGCCCGGTGTCGGGACGCCCGGCGTCTGAGGGATCGAGGGCGAGGAAGGAAGCGACTCGCGCACGCTCCCGAGACTCGTCCGCACCAGGCTCTTCTTCGACTGCGAGCGCGAGTGACCAGCTACGCTCTTCGCGCTCGTCGCCTGCATCGAGCTGCGCGGACTCGTCTCGGCCGTGATGTTGCTGGACGAGGCATGCGAGAAGTCGGTGTGGCGCGACGAGGACTGGTGCGAGCGGGTCGAGTCGGTCGAGTGCTGGCGGTACATAGAGATGGCAGGCGAGTCGATGGGCGTCGAAGGCGTCTTGGCATGGTCGATGTGCGCGACGGAAGAAGACGCCGGCTCCGTCTCCATCGTCGTGTTCGCTTCCCGTTCGTCTTCCTCCTCTCCCTCTTCTCCCTCCGCCAAGCTCATACCCTTCAAGCCATCAAGGGGCGCATCCTCAATGCCATCACCCGTGTACCTGTCCCTCAAGCAACCCAAACTCGTCGCCTTCCGCCCAAGCATGCTGATCGTGTGCGAGTTTCGGCGACGCGCGTCAATGGCGGCTGAAGCAGCCGCAACCGACGACCGAGGACCTGCGACGAGGCCGGGCGACGAAGGCGGAGCTTGGCGGGCGCCGATGGCTGAAGTTGGCCGGACCGAACCACCAACGTCTTCTTCCGCATCCGCGTACTTGGTGCTCGCACTGCCAACGCTCCGGACGGACCGCGCATCCGCATGTTTCTCCTCCGCCGCTAAGCGCCGCTCATCGTGCTCGTCCTCTCCGGCCCGCGGTCGAGGCAAGACGACCTCGAACCTCGAGCTCTCGCCATCCTCGCCTTTAACCGTCGATGCGACGAGTCCAACGACGTTCTTGACCGCTCCTACGCAGTCGCCCCCTGCTCGAAGAACAGCCGTCGCTGCGCTCAGCAGCAACTTGCGTTCCTGCTCGTCCTGATCGCGTCGTCGGCGATTCCTCGATTTGGCGCGATCTGCGTCCGAGACGGTCGAAGAGGTGGAAGTCGTGTGAACCGAGTCGAGCGAGTTTTTGCGCGGGGAGGAAGAGGCGGACGAGGGAGCGGAAGCGGCTGAGGGAGCAGTCGCAACTCGAGCAGCCTGCACAAGTGCAGTCGTCGCCTCATACAACTTCTCCCTAGTCCTCGCGAGCACCTTCATTGGCGAGCCTTCTCCCGCATCTGCCTGCGCAGACGGCGCATTCTCCTGGTCCGGCGAAAGCGGCGGCGCTAGCTTTCCAACCTTCTCCACCACGACCAACACGTCTCGCACGCGCTCGATTGCTTCGCGGGTTAGGTCGATGAGGCGGGCGAAACTGGCTGCTGGAGAGGAGGAGCGCGAGTGAGAGTGGACGTGGCCGATCAAGGCGGCGAGGGTCGAGAGGAGCGAGTCGTGCAGGGTTGAGAGGTGGGTTGAGAGCGAAGAGGGTGTGTGGAATGTGAGTTGTGAGGAGGTCGTAGAGAGAGCAGGGGAAGTCGGAGCTCGAGGTGAAGTCGGGGCGGGTTCAGCGGATCGAGACCTGGGGGAGGAGCGGAGCGGGAACGCCGTCCCTGCCTGAGGGTTCTCAAGCGCAACAACCGTCGGCCGTCTCAAGTTCCCCATACTCTTCGCAGCCCTGACCTCCTTCCCAGTCGCCGAAGCGGACGATCCGTTCGACGCTGTTCCAAGATCCACCACCACGCCTTTCTCTTCCGCCAGCTCGATAAACTTCCTGACGAACGCCACCGTCTCTCCCGCAATCTTTCGCATATCCTCCGCTTCTTCGCGTCCGACGTCTTCGGCTGGCGAAGACGCCTTCCGAGCTTGGTTGACGAGGTGGGCGAGGGAGGAGAGGATCTTTTTGCGTGCTGATGCGAGCGAGGGGTGTGAGCGGAGGACGGGGGAATCGCGCGTCAAGGCTGAGGTCGAGGAGAGGACGGTGCGGATGGAGGAGATCAAGCTGCGGGCGGATCCAAGGTCAACCACCAGCTGGACTCTTGAACGCGCAGAAGCTACGCACCAGGCTGTACTGGGCTGGTAATGCGCTTTCTTGCCGTCTGCGACTGCTGCATCGAGCAAGCCGACGTTCTGGTCGATGGCGCGCAGTAGTGTCCGGGCGGCCTGTGAGAGGTGGGCCTGCGCAAGGGAAGGCGGCGTCAGCTTCTCGTGAGCTCACTCCTGGTCGGACTGAACGCACATCGCGAGTCTCTCCTCCGCCAACCGCAACAACACCCTCCTCGACCCCAAGCACCTCAACATAGTTACTCGGAAACCACCCCCTGTTCCCGACCTTCTCCTCACCATCCTGGCCGCTCCATTCAACAACCTCTCCATCCCACCACCCACTCTCGTCCCTCCCCAAACACCGTACGACGGTCCCCGCCTCGAACGCGAGACACGACTGGATCTGCTGTGACGAGCTGGAGGAGGTCGAGGAGAGGAGGGAGGAGGGGTCGAAGGTGTGCAGGGCGCGGACTAGGAAGGGAAGGGAGAGAGAGGGTGCGCGAGCGGAGATGGAGGAAGGGGAGGGAGAGCGGTCCATCGTTGACGGCGGGAGCGTGTCGCCCAGTCCGCTTCAGGACCTGACGAGGTCGTGCCAGGCCTCTGAGAGTGTCTGCGGCCCGTTACGCGGCCCACGAGCGCGGCGATGCGTGCGTGAACGCTGTCCGGGGTCGAGTTGTTTGGCGGCGAGATGAGAGCACGCCGCGGCGGGCTGGCACTGCGCAGGCTATCGTGCAGCAGTCCAGCGAGTCCAGTGAGCTACTGCAGCCAGTGCAGGCAGTCACGCGCCGCTGGCGAGAGCAAGGAGCGGGTTGTCAACGAGTGCGAGGCGAGAGATGGCTGAAGGGAGAGGGAAAGTCTCGCAGGGGAACACTCTCTCTGGGGAGACTAAATGAACGAGACATACGCTCAGACTTGCCTGCACGACGAACGAGCGACGATGCAAGCAACGCACGGAGCGGAAAGTTCTACACAAGGCCGGGCGGAAGATGGTCGACGACGAGGAGAAAGACCCGAGGGGGATCGTCAACAGCTGCCCTCGGACGCCTTCGACTGCAAGATCAGCGCCACAATCACTGCGAGGCGGACATCCGGATCAGTCAAGCTGGCTCGGTGTGGGAGAAGGGCGGAGGAAGGAAGACTCACGGCCGTACAATCCAATGACCTCGGCGAAAATCTGCGCGGAGTGTATAGCAACGGACCGGTCAGTCGCTCAGAGCATTCTGTGATGAACACGGGCGGTCGCCCAGCTTCTCCCGCACTCACCAGCATCAACACCATCGCGACAAACACCCGTCCCTGCCTCAAATACGCCCTCGCACACGCGTCACCCACCACTCCGATTGCCCGACCCGCCGCGAGTCCTGTCAAACCGCACGAGAGCCCCGCTGCGAGGTGGATGAAGCCGGCGTAGAGAGGGTACGGGTCTGAGGGGTTGAGCGAGCCGACGATCAGGACGGAGACGACGAGGCCGTAGACGGCGATGATTCCGGCCATGACGACGGGGATGAGGGACTGTGGGAGGTGGACATGGCAAGGTAGGCGGGAGCAACAGGACGTCGAGGAAAGGTCGATTAGGAATGCAGGAGGAAAGGAGGGAAGCATTGTTAGTCGCGTCCCTGATCTCGCGCCCGCAGTACGAGCTTCTCCTTCAACGGAGGGCTGGTTCATGCACGGGGCTTGACGTTGAAGGAGAGCAGAGACGCACCTTCATGATCAGTTCTGGCCTGAGCGTGCCCATCCCCGTGATCCCGATTCCCGCCTTTGCCGTTCCGTACGCCGCTCCGATGGCTGCGAGTGTGGCATCGCGTCGGGTCAGCCAGGCATCAAGGGCGAGCTAGGAGAGGAAGAGGTCGATAGATGAGGAGGGAGGGAGGGAGGAGACGAACTCGAGAAGATCATCTGCAGGCGGTGCGAGGACGTCAGTACGCTCCCGACAGTCTCGTCGCATCGCTGCGTTCGCGCCTGCATCCCACGCCCGCCTCCTTCACCCCTCATTAACCGATGACGGTCCGCCCCTCATCTCGTCTCAAACAGCGAATACAAACGCACCGATGCGCCGACACCCGCAAAGCCAAAGAAGGGTGCATAAGGTGGACACAGCTCTGTCGTCATCGTTCGTCGGCGAGGGTGGTGGTGAGAGTCGAGGTGTGAGAGCGAGCGATGAGGAGGGTTGGATGGGACCCACTCGAGCTGGGTCGCTCTGCTGTGCGAGACGAATCTCACGAGTGCTGTCACGACTACTACGAATCGCCTGGCCCACTCAGCCAACAACGACAACCCTCTCACCCTTTCCCCACTCCGTCTCGCATCCTCATCGCCCAACACGCCAACTCGTCCCGCAACGCTTCCAGACGGCGCGTGAGCAGTTCCACTAGGATGAGCCGGGATTCTCCGCAGCCGTACTCGGTCGACTCGCCCATCGAGCAGGAGAACGGGCAGGACGGACGGGAGACGGATCCCCTTATCCAGGAGACTCCGACAGGCGTGTTAGGCGCTGCAGGCCGTCCAGCTGACGAGGATGAAGACGACGAGCGACTACCCGACTCAGCCATCCCGCCTCTTCGACCAGACTTAGCGACAGGCGAATCGACCCTCACCCTTACTCGCCATTCTTCCTCTTCCCACTCCTCTCTCTCCCTCACGTCCGACTTGAGCGACGCCGACGCCGACGTCGACCCCTCATCTTCCACTCCTCACGCCCTTACCGAATCCGAACGAAAAGCGCTGCGGAAGCAGCGCCGGAAACTCGCGAGACGGATGTACGGCGGTGGGAACGGGACGGGCCGGCACGCGCATTCGCTGAGCGAGGGTTTCGAGGTGGAGTTTGAAGAGTTCGCGGATGAAGAGGGTGGAGCCGGTCAGGGTCGAGCGGCGCAGGAGGAAGAGGAGGATGGAGCGGGAGGAGGGGGAAAGGCGGATAAAAGTGTTGGAGAAGTTGCGGGCATGGTGTGCGCATCAGCGTGAGTCGTTGTCCGGTATCTTGGTTTCCTGCTTAGCTGCTGACGGAGCTGCTGGGTGCGAGGGATCAGCCTCTCACCATTCCCGCTACTCCTTCCTCTCGCCTGCTCGACGCTATCTCCAGCCCTCTTCGTCCCTCTCCTCTTTTTCGCCGCGGTACTAGGATGGATGGGCGCTGTCGTGATCGGCGTCGAAGGGCGATACGTTGGCGCGAGGTGAGTTCGCTCAAGCGATTTATTGGCTTGTTCGCCTCACAGGCTTGCTGATATACCTTCCTTCGATGTCGAACTCGTTCAGATCCTATCCAGCACTCACTTCCTCCCTCCTGACTCACCGCCTCCGCCTTCACAGGCTCTTCGAGCTCTTCTCCTCCCTCTTCGTCCTGCTCGGTTCGATCGTCCGAACGACTTTGGGCGCTGTCGTCGCAGCGGAAGTGGCGGTTGGCGTCTTGGATGTCCGGAAGAGCGAGGGTGAGGAGGGAAGGGGTTGGAGAGTAGCTGGAGTCGCGGTCGTTTGCGCTGTCTGGGTGAGTTCGCTGGGTCTCTCGTCATTCGGCCTTGCTGCGACTGTATTGCGCAACCGCTTGACTGATGCAGGCGTGCGTCACCGACTTGCAGTTCCTCGTTCCGCTCGTCTTGCCGCCCCTCCTATCCGTCCTCGGCCTCGCAGCGACTTTTCCCTCCCTTACCTCCTCCTCTTCTCGCGCTCCAAGTCACTCTCGCCGCCCGTCATACTCGCACTACACGCGTCTCAGCACCGTTTCGACCCCTGACCTTCGCCTTACGATGTCAGGCGAAAGCGACATGCCCGGTGCCGGCTCGTCAGGACCTTCCGAACGACCGCGGTGGACGGCGCTTCTCACTTTGCCGCCGTGGAGCATTGCACTCCTGACCTGGCCAATCGCGCTCCTCATCCTCGGCGTGCGGATCAAGCATATCAACAAACACCTTCCTCAGCCCTCGACCAACTCTTCCGCCCTTCTCAACGTACCCTCTCTTCCCCTCTTCAGCGGCCGGCTCGACGACGAAGACGCGGCACTGTGGCCGTCAATCCTCCTCATCTTCGCCAGCGGACTCTCAACATCGCACGAGACGTTCTTCTATCTCACCTCCCTTCGTCGGCCGTCCAACACCGCCATGCGGCATCAGCGACGCGCAAGTCAAGTTGAGAACGTCTTCGGCGTAGATGGAGCAGCCGGGGCCAGCGAAGGGAAGCGGAATCAGTACCCTCTCGCGATCGCTCTCGGACTCGCCGGCGCTGCGATCTTCAACCTCGGCTGGTCGCTCGTCGGCTCTCTCGGCTTCCGCTTTGCGGCCGACTTCCTTCCCGCCGCCAACCTCCTCACCGATCCGCGACTGCCGCGATCAGACGCGAGTCTCTGGTTCGCCAGGATCCTCGTCCTCTTCTCGCTCCTCTCGCAGCTCGAGCCGCACGCACACGTCGGCATCTTGCGCGTACGGAGAGCCATCTCGTACTTCGTACCGACTGCGGGCGTAGCGGGCGAAGTGAGTGAGTGGAGGAGGGTGATTGCGCGAGCGGTGGTATGGGGCTTGACGGCGCTTGCCGGTGCTGGAGTCGTGTATGTTCCACGAGGATGGGTGGATCGAGGGGCGGAAGGAGGCGGAGGAGTTGGCGAGGGCGAAGGAGCGGCTTGGCTGGCTCAGTGGAGCGCGGTCATCGTCGGAGGGATTGGCGGATGCTTGCTCCCAGGTGCGCCGGCTCTCACAATCGTCTTCGAGCTCAGTAAACATCGTCGTGCTCGCAGCCATCGGCTACCTCATCCTCTTCCACCTCCGCCGACCACGCCTGATCCTTCTCACGCCTCACCTGTCCTCGCAACCCGCCCACCCTCACGAGCCTGACTCGCTCCTCCAGCGCAAAGAGAGGGAGATGCAGCGCCGATTGAGCGGGAGGAGGGTGTGGAGCGATGTGGCGGTGTTCGGCGTGATGGGTCCTGTCGGCGTCGTTTTGATCGGTCGGGGAGTCGTAGCGCTCGTGAAGGGGTGAAGCGAAGCGGTTCTCACGGCTCTGCTCGCTGCATTGCGTGCGAAAGTACTTCAACGTTACACAGGAAAGCTGCCAAGCGGATTCGGCGTTCAAGCGATACCGTTCAGTTTCTCCTTCGCCCAGGCTTCGACCGGGTAGCGTGGACCGCGCCTCCATCCCTCTTCCTGCCTCGTGAAGCTGATCTCCTTTTTGAAGCACGCGTACGAGAGGTCGCTGAGTTGCGAGAGACGGGTGAGGAGGTGGGCGGGCTCGACGTACGTCAGACTTGAGACGGTGTCGGGAAGAGCAGCGAGGGCTTCTCGCGAAGTAGAGGCGCTGCTGTAGACGTGCTTGACGGTGGCAGGGATCTTAGCCAAAGCGCTCGGAGTTAGGGAGCCTCGGTCGCAGTAGCTGAGTCCAAGGATCTCGATGGCTGGAGTGTTCCTCAGGCAATGAATGAGGTGGTCTGGCTCAGAGAATGTCACAGTTGTGAGGAGAAGCACCCTAAGATTGGTGCACATCGAGGAGAAGCCGGCTGTTTCGAGATGCTTCAGGTGAAGGTACTCGAGGGAAGGCGGAAGCGGCGGAATGATCGTTGTTTGAAGTCGGATCAAGCCATACTCTGTACCTGACAGTACAAGTTTGCGCAGGTCTGCGATAGAGAGTCAGTTCGGCACAGTGGATCGCGAGTAGGAGGACGCACTGCGGAAGGACGACGGGAACAACCTCGTCTCGTGATTGAGGGAGAGCTCCAGGTGAGAGACGCCTGGCATGAGTTCGAGGGCGATCTTGAGGGCCTCGTCATAGTCCTTTTGCGAGATCTGCGGCTCAGACGGCTTCCGATAGCTGGGATGGATGTGGAGGGAGTCGAGGGTCTCGCCAACCGCGCAGGCGGCATCGCGGGCGGCGAGGATGTCTTCGCGGAGTGCAGCAGGTTCTTTGTCGCCGGTCCAGAGCCAGTACGCCACCATCTGAGCAGTCGAGCGGGTGTGCTGAGGCAACAGATGAAGTCGCCTCTCTCGCTCGTGCACAAACTCGCTTCCGCTTCAGAAGCAAAGCTGGCCCCAAAGCTGACAGCAGACTGTGCACTGCTCGCTCGCCGTCACGCCTCGCATAACCGCACTGCTTGTCTCGCCTTCTGTGCCCCCTCCCCTCCTCTCTCCACACGCCATGTCGCGCGGTCGCTCATGGTGCCAGACGGCAGACGGGCACCCCGCAGCGACACCAGGACTTGCAGAACCGGCTCCCTCACAGACTTCGGTCGGCGCATGCGGCGCTGCCTGCGACAGCATGACCCGCGAGATGGTTACCAAGTGCTTCACCGACCCCTGGGCTTACAGCGCGGCGCAGGCCGACATCATCTATGACTGCTGCGAACACCCGTCTGAGGAGCTGTGGATTCAAACCTCGTGGCAGATGACGGCTCGATGGGACCTGCTGCTGGAGGGGCTGCTGGAGGGAGAGGAGGGCGTCAAGCTTGTGCGCAAGTGCGCCATCACGTCCGCGACGAAATCTCTGCAATCTGCGCACGTCCTTGCTCCGAGGCGGGAGAAGCTCGCTTCCGGCCAGTGGGTGCTACAAGGACAAGCAGAGGTACGTTTCCTTTCCTCTGCATATCGCGAGGGTGGACTGCGAGTTGCTGATCTTGGTGGTATACGCGAACATAGATCAAGTTCCTCAGCAGTGCGAAGGTCATTCCCAAGAACGCCCATGTCCACTCCCAGGCCAATCGGCTCGAACGTACGTTTGTCCTTTTCCCTCAGAATTCATTCGTCGAGTTGACCCTTCTTTTCCTGACGCGCAGTCGCGACTTCCGTTCAATCGGACCTCGATGCGCGGCTTCTCCACCTCGTTCCCGACCGTCAACCTTGCGTCGCCCGTCTCCTCTGCGAAGTCAAATACCAGGAGGAACGCCTCGCAATTCTCGAGATGGCGGAAGCGCCGGTAACAGGCCAGAAAAGGCAGCGCGTTGAGGTCCCCCCTGCGCGACCGCCGTTTGATGCGTTCTACAAGACTCTCGAGGCGAGCGGCGCATGCTACCGCGTCACCGGCGACTTTCGTCGTACGGATGGCGCTCTCAGACGAGTCGACGACGCGGGTCTCGACACATTGACCTACCGCGTCGAAGGCATCGACGAAAACGACGCGCGACGTCAAGGTATCGCCTTTCGACGCGACGTTCCCGCCTCGAGGCCTACTTTCCCGCCTGTCATCACGCCACTTTCGACCAATCTGCTGATCTGGGCAATGGTCGACCGAGTCGAGCAGGGCTACCCGGACGACCTCTGCGAGGAGACCTCGGTTCGTCCGGCTTCTCCGTTTCTCCTCTTGGACGGACCTGACCATGTTTCGTCGGCCTTGCAGGAGCTACAGAACCTCCTGCGCTGCCTCATCCAGTTCTGGCGCCTGACGGACGACGTCGACTCATCTACGCTGCGCAAGCTCGTCGAGCGCGCTCACAAGCTGGTCGAGCAGGACGCGACGTGGGCTGCCGCTTCGAAAGATCTCGCATCCGTCTCGTTCGACAGCATCGCCGCCCTCATCAAGCTGCCCGATTCGGCAGTCAGGTCGCAAGTCCTCCCCACGGAGACGCAACGAGCGCAAATTCGCGCAACCATGGAGGACGATCACGACGACCTTCCCGGGCTCGACTTTCCTCGCGACGATCTTCCGTCGGACTCAGTCGTCCCGCTCACGGCGTCGGCGCTCGAATTGCTTCAGGCCTCGTCCTGGACCGCCCCGACGCCTGCTGAGAATCTCGGATGCGTACGCTAATGGTGATTCCCAAGTCGGGTTCGCGGGCGCAGACAGCTTTGCCAGCCCCTCGCTTTTGCATGACTTCTCCGGCTCCGCACACCCAACCGATTTTGTCTCGCTCTTCCGCCGGCTGTTCCCCCAGCGCCTTCCGCGCCTTTTGAGCGGCGCGGCTTCCCCCCTCCCCCGGCAAGGCGATGCTCGTGTCGTACTGGCTCGGGCGGCATCTCCTCGAGGAGACGCATTTCGGTTGGGTCAGTTCGGCCTAATCTCCCAAGTGCATCTTTGCTACCTCTCTTCACCAACGTCTACCGCCCTTGTTGTCCTTGACACGCTTCTCTCTTGCAACTTCCCGGTTTACTGTACGGATCTCTACCTCTGTAACACGCGAGAGAGTCCGCCGTTCCAAGTCTCGACTCGGCGGGCGGCGATCGAGCTGAACGACGACTCCTTCGTACTGCGACAGCGAGAGGCAAGCGTCAGCATCAGCGAACTGTAGATATCCTAGTGAGAGCTAACGCACCCGACGAAACCGATTGCGCGGCTGAGGATGACCGAGTCGAGCACGCCAGGGTACCAGCCGCCGAACCTTGCGCGAGTCGCCCATTCTCCATGGTTGATGTAGATCCAACCGAGCTTGGCGAGCTTTGAGAGGAAGACTGGGTCGTCGCTGTGCGAGACGAGCGCGAATTGCGAAGGTCGGCGAGAGAAGCATGAGAGGAAGTGAAAGCGCTACGCACGAGTCTGTCGCGACGAGCACAGGCAAGTGTCCCTTCGAGCCGCCCTTGAGCTTCGCCAAGTCCGCCTGTACCTGCTTGACGCCCGCCTTGAACGCATCGACCGTCTCCTGCGAGATTCGTCCCGTTGAATTCCCCTTCGCAATGTGCACGCCGATGTACTGCTTCCTCCGCGAACCAATCAGAGCAGCGAGGAGCTCGTCGGCGATATGGTTGACGTGCGAATTGAAGCGAAGGTGCCGGCCGACTTTGTCCCAGACGGGTCCGTCGGGACGAAGCTCCTGGATCGAGTAGGTCTTGTCGAGCGAGCCGTCGACAAACTTGACGCTCGGGACGTAAAACAGGTCTTCGAAGCAGAGAAGCTGTTTGTCGGGGAAGGGAGGCGAGTTGTCGCGCGAGCCGTGCAAGTGAGTCGCCGATTCCTTCAGCCAAGGCGTGTTGTCTTGCGACGCGAGGACTTCGATGCCGGGGAAGGTGATGGACGTCTCAGCCGACGACGGGACCTGCAGCTGGCCCGGGAACGGCCAGAAGTGCGTCTTGACGTTGTACCGCGCGAGCGGCCGCTCGTCTCGCCAGCCCCAGCATGACAGCTCCTCCGGCTGCGTCCCGGTGATGTCGGGTATCTTGACGTCCTTCCATTGGACGAGCGAAACGTTCGAGTAGTAGGCGAACGAGTCGAGGTCGAAGAACTCGGAGGGAAGAACGTCGCCGCCTTCCGACTGCGTAGCCTTCAGCTCGGTGCTGTCGAAACAGAATCGAGAGCGTCGTTAGCGACTGTACATTGCAGGGCAGCGGGAAGAAGCAGTACGCACAGGATGACAGTTCGGTCCAGCCGCTGCCCAACGTGAACAAGCTTGAACATCTCGATAAGCTGGTTTGCTGCGAATGGGAGGGCGTCAGAACACGTTTTCAGTATCGCAGACATGGGCAGGACAACGTACTCAGGCCGCCGTAGGGGAAACTCGTCACGTAGCCCGCGCCATCCTTCAAGTTCGCCCGGAACGAATGCAGCGGGATGTTACTCCGCAAAGGCTGCGAGGGTGTACGCTCAGCAATCGTCAGTGGCTAGCCGTCTGGAGCAAGTGGAGCGAGACTTACGTTCTTCCGCCGCGCCCCTCGCATCTTGGCCTTCTCCAACATGCTCGGTCGCCCATTCCCGCTCTTTCCGCCCGAGAGCAACAGCACGAGCACGACAATGGCGAGGCCGAGGAGGATGATGCGTTCGTAGGTGCGGCGGTTGCGGCGTATTTCGCGAGGGTAGAATTGGTCGAACTGCGAGAGCAAGGTCAGCGTCCTGCTCGAATGGCTTGCTGGTCGAAGCGATACGCACAAACTGCCCGACTCCGGTACTCTGTCTTCGCATCTTGCTATTGTCCTCATCATCGTCGCCCGCACTCAACCGCAGTCCCTCCGCATAGTCGTCCATGTTCAGCTCGACATACGTCTTGTCGCCGTACTTTCTCGGCGCCATCGGCGAGACGGCCTCGTACCGTCCCTTCGTGTCTCCTCCGCCACCTCCGGTCAAGGACGAGAAGAACCCGAAAGGGAGGAACGTCGACCCTGAGCGGTCAGACCGCGACCAATCCATCGACCCGCGCTTGTACGCTCCCGCATTACTCGCTCGCCGCGGCTGAGGTTTCTGGGGGAGCTTGGTGCCGGTCGAGCGGGACGAGTCGGTGTCTTTGTCGGGCGGAGGAGGAGGCGGGAGGTCGAGGAGTTCGCGGTCAGTCTGCGAGACGAGCGGTGTTTGGGGAACTGCGGGAGTGTCGCGTGTCCGGGAGAAGGAGGCGACGCCCGTCTGGCCGACGGTGAAGTCCTCGTCCTGCGGGACAACGATGGACCTGCGAGAATGGGAGCGAAGGTCCAGGGTCAGCTTGACGCCTCGGGCAACCCGCCAAACAGGCTGATATGCTCGCTGAGAGGTGTTTGAACGCACGGACGGCGGGACATGGCTCAGCGAGCGTTCTGCGAGTCGCAAAGTGGTCGCGAGCGGAGGAGTGTGGGAAGGCGGGGCGGGACGTCGACGGCTCGTCGCAGCGGCGCAAGCAAGGCGGACTGGTCTTCGCGATCACAGCAGCACTCAAGAAAGACAGCCGGGCTTTCTGCAGCCTGCAAGAAGCGTTGAGCGAGCGAGAGGTCGTGTGGTGACGAGTTGCGCCTCCTCTCTTCTCGCCAACAAGCCTCCTCAGCGACTTTCGCTTGCTACGGTGCGAGAACAAGGCCCGGGCTGCCCTCCGGCGACAGCGGACACAAGGCTGTTGTCCCGCCCAGGCTGTAAGACAGCGCCTGGCCTCGCTCGCTCGCTTCTTCCCTCGCTTCTTTTCCCACGATTCTTTCGACGGACGGGCTTGCCGCTCTCGTACGGACGTCTTACGAGGCGAGCGTGGCACTGAGTCGAGGTTGTTGCGAATGGCGAGAGGACGGGGAGGCAACTTCTGCCTCTCGACCCGTCCGAGACGACGGGGCTGGACGCAGATCACACCGATAGCTCTGTCTGTCCCTTGCACGCAGGCATCTCCGGGAGAGAGAAAGGGCGGGCGCTCGCCGCTACTGGGCGTCGTCCCGCTCTCTTCTCTCTCTCTCCTCGTCTCCTCACTCGCTTCGCTCGTTCGTTTCTGTGGCTGTGCTCTCTTTCTACCGGTCCGCCATGACCGTGTCGTCACTCCTTCCTTCCACCGCGGGCTACCGGCCACTGCCCTCCCTCCCTCGAGGAGCGATCCCTTCTCGCTTCCCCCGAATCAGCCTCGGATGGCTCGTATCCCTCGTCCTCTTCTGCGTCCTCGTCTTCAGCCACTCCACTCTTGCACCACCCATCCGACGACTCGACCTCGATACCGTCAGGTCGCTGCCGAACAAGTTCGGACTCCGCTACCCTAGCGTCCCGAGCGCCGCCGTACGGGAAGAGGAGGAGGAGCGGATAGAGGTCGTCGAGGAGGTCGAGGAGCCTGAGCTTGAGCCGGAGGTTCACTACGGTCTTCAGAGCGACGTTACGATCGTCTCGGGATTCTACCGCGTCGACTCTGGCAAGAAGCACCGGGTGGACGGTGAGTTGCCGGCTTTCTTCTGTGCTCTCTCGCGCGGCGCTCATGCCTCGTTCGTCTCGCAGAGTACCACGTCTGGATCAAGCACTTCCTCGAGACGGTGGAGATCCCCATCGTCTTCTACTGCTCGCCTGACCAGCACGACTACATCGCCGGCCTGCGAGGCGACAAGGTCAGTTCCGCTTTCGCCTCGCTCCTCGTGATGCGACAGACGCGCTGATCACTTGCGTATCCAGCCCATCACTATCAACAGCACCTACCCAACCGCCTTCCAGATGCCGCCGCTTGAGAACCTCGGCGGCGAAGAATGGGCTATCCGTCAGAACAAGATGGACCCGGAGAACTGGATGCACGTCCACGACATCTACGGCATCTGGACCGCCAAGCCCTGGCTCGTCAACGAGGTCGCCAAGGCGAACCCGTACGATTCCAAGTACTTCATGTGGGTCGACGCGGGCTCGCTGCGCGAGCCCAACGTCCCGCACCCTTTCACCGGCCTCGGCAAGCACTTGGACGAGATCTACGCCGACGTACCGAACGACACGCTGCTGCTGGCCAGCACGACGGTGCCGTTCGAGGAGGAGCTCGACTACGTTCAGAATGCGACTCGCATGCAGCCGAACGACCCGACTGAGCGGCTGCAGGGTGGCTGGTACGGCGGCACGAAGGAGGCGGTCGACTGGTGGGAGACGGAGACGACCAAGGTCGTCGTTCTCCAGTCCGCTCTCAACCGGTGCGCTTTCCTTCCTTCTTGTCTCGCAGCTTCGAGCGTGCGCCTGACTCTCGCTTCTGCTCGCAGCTTCACTGCCAAGGAGCAGCCCGTCTGGAATCAAGCGGCGCGGCTGAACTGGGAGAAGATCCTCATCCAGCAAAACGCGTTCCGCCACGGTCCCGACTGCGGCTACGACTTCTGGTTCACGTTCGAGTACTGGTCCGACGGGCGCAACTGCACGATCCCCGTCTGGAACGGCCCGCAAAAGGCCAAGGACAAGCAGGCGCGCTTGTTGGCGCAGGTCAAGGACGAGGCTGTCCGTCTTGACGATGCCAGGATGGTCAAGGTTCGCAAGGCGCCGGCGGAGCGTCGGGTATGATTGTTGTCACTCTTTTTTAGCCTGTATCGCGTACACTGTCACTCGTTTGATGTCCTTGTCTACGAGAGTTGCGAGCCATTCCAACCTTCGCAGCTGAGCAACGACGTCGCTAGGTCCACCTCCACGCCTGAGGCGTCAGACCAGCCGCCAGCTGACTGAGCTGAGGACTGGGAGGAGAGCATGGCGGCCGGCGGAGGCTGCCGAGCAACCACGCAAGATTTCGAAACGAATCCTGCAAAGGGCAACGCTCGAGAGCTAACGAACGTCTATTGTTGCGATGGCAAGCAGCCAGAGTGTCTGTCTAAGAGGTACGGGTATGATCACGCACGGAGGAGAGGGAATCCATGTGCGCAGGTCTTCGAGGTATCGTCTAGAAGTCTAGGAAATGTCCCACAGCTGCTGCTGCCTGTGCTGTATCTAGGAAGCGAACAACTGTTAGTCGTGCGAAGCTGAGGAAGCCGAAAGAAAGGAGCAGGACTGACCCCTCTGTCCCCCCTTGGCCAGTCTGCACTCCGCTCTGCCGGCCATGCACATTCCGCCCAGCCCAGTTGAACGCTTTTGCTCCGCGCCAACATTGTCTTGAGCTCAACGCAGAGGCCGGTGGAGGCGCTTTGCAAGAGGCAGCCTTCCGCCGCATCTTCGTGTTCGTCGCAGGTCGAGCAGACAATGCGGAACTGCAGGCGTTGCGGAGAGCCAGGATACGCGACTCGGGACAAGCGTGATGAATAGAGGAGACGCACAGGATGAGCGGATGGACAGCCGACGGCGAGCGGGGACTGTGCGTTGCGAGCGAAAGAGGAGGAGCCAGACGCCGGGTCGAGGCAGGCCGAAGGGTATGTTGCGGACCTGTAGCGTCAAAGCGTGTCACAAATACTGAGAAATGGGGTCGCGAGACGGGGAGGACGCACGAGATGCTGTGCAAACCGTCTTCGTGCGTCGGCTCGACGAACCATTCGAGTCTACGGTTGGGCGGCTCGCCTTTCTGAGGGGCTTTCCGCACCTGTGTGAGCGGAAGCGAAGCTTTCAGTCATGAGCTGCTTGGCGGCCCTATTTAAGCGAGAGCAAGACGTACGACAGCAATCTTGTCCTGCGCTCCTCTGCTCGAGCCGTCACTTCGCACGGCCGTCCAAGCGATATCTCCTGCAAGTCAGATTATCAGCAGGGCTCCAGCATGACAACCCCTCATTCGAGCTCAGCAAAGAGGTTCAAGGGAACACACTTTGCCCGGTCTTGCGAATTTCCTGCACCAATCCCGAGAACCTGGGCCTACAAGCTTGCCATTCCTCCGCCTCCCGCCGGGCAGGTATCGCTGCCGCGCTTGCTAGTGTCGAGCAGAGGAAGAAGCCAAGGAAAAGGATGGACAGGAGGCGGAGAGGAGACGCCGAGGGGTCGAGGGAGGCAGAGGGTCGCATGCGGCGAGTAGGCCGTGGCTGCGCTGGTGAAGGCGGGTGAGCAACACGACAGGCGATAGGATGAGGCCCACTCAGCGCACCTGACTGCCTGGCAAGACCGTGTTCGGTGTGCGCAGCGGGCTCGAGCGATGAAAGTCGTGAGACGAAATAGGCGCGCGAAGACAGCGTCGCAGGCTATATCAGCACCCTCGGACACAAGCAACGAGCTCGATAGCTGCCCTCCTACCGCTGGCGCTCGAGCAGATGGGTCGTGGGACGAGCGAGAGGAGGAGAGGACAAGAGGAGCACACTGCGGAGCCCCTGGGCCGGAAAAGCCGTGTCTCCGAGGCAGGTCCGCTCGCTTGGTCGTTCGTAGCGTTCAAAAAGAGCTGCCTGGAGCTGCGCAGAGCGCGAGCAGAGTCGGCGAGCAGATCAACGAGGCGATACCAACTTGCGAAGGTCAGGGTGAGGCGAATCGGTTTGAACAGGTACTCTCGCAACAGTGTTCGCGCACACGAGGTCAGTACTCATACAAAGTCTACTGCAGCCGAATGCTTGCCCAGCGGATGAGGCGCCGTCGGAACCTGCCGAACCTCGACCATCTCGCTCGTCGTGACTTCCGTCCGCCGCCAGATCTTGATCTGTCGAGGAAGGTACAGTGCTGGAGGGCTGCGTAGCTCATGCGGTGTCGGTGTCGACAAAGAAGTAGTAGGCGAGAAGGGCGACGCAGCCGAGGTGGCGAGGGTGCTGGCGAGGAGGAGGGTAGGTCCGACGGAGAATATGGTCGCGTACAGCCAGGGCGGCAGGAAGAAGGCCGCTTCGACGCTGCGAGCGAGTCGTCAATACCGGCTAGAGTCGACAGTTGAGAAGCGGACGCACGAAGCCCAGCTCAGGTCGGGATAAGGCGTAGGAACGATGTAGGCGACGTTCCAGCAGTTCTCGGCGGCGAGCGAGAGAGTGAGTAGCAGGACGACGGTCGCGCACTGCGGACGACGTATCGAGGCTAGTCAGCCAGATCGATAGGGAGGAAAGGCGGAACGAACGCACAATCTGCAAGTCCCGCTTCGCCCGCTTCAGCTCGTCGAGCGTCTCGTCCCCTCGACCCGCCGCATGGTTCGCCGCAACAGCCAGCTGGAACCCAACATCTGCCTCGACATCCTCCGCAAGCGGCGTCTTCAGCCCAAGGGTTGAGACGGTGTTGGCGGACAACCCTCGGGCCTTTGAGCCGAGTCGAGCCAAAGTCGGGATGGCTGGAAGGGTGCCGAAAGAGAGGCTGCTTGGTCGTCGACTGGTACTGGGTCGACTTGGCGGATGAAGCTTGTCTGCCTTCTCGGACGACGACCAGGGTCCGCCGTAGTCGCGGATGGACGAAGGAAGATGAATCTGAACCTCGAGCGGGTTTATCGCGATCGTTTCGGTTGGACTGACGAGGCCGGCGTCAGCAGAAGCGCTGACTGGCGACGCGGTGCTGAGGAGGAAGGGAGAGCCGACCGAGATTGAGCGGCGGACGCTGCGGGAGCGAATCTGCTGGCGGAGTAGGCGGCAAAGCAGGAAGGTAGCGAGTGACGTGATCTGCGAGATAGACAAGTCAGCGATTTGTGCGCACGCAATGCAGGCGGGAGAAACGCACGAGAGCGAGGAAGACGGGTGCGAAGATGAGGGCGGCGACGACCGCTTGCTGGTGCCTGCTCAATAAATCCGTCAGCAACGAGACGCAAGCTGGTACAAAGCACCCGACGCACTGGCAAGTGTGCGCCGCAGCAGCCTTCATCGCCTCGAACAACTCGCCGAGGTGGACGAGCTGGAGGACACCGGCACTGGGGTTCGACGTCTGCTGGACGAGGTACGACTCCAGAGAGGCAATCTTGGAGTAGGTGCGGGACCACGAGATGGAGAAGAGGATGTCGGGGATCTGCAAATGAGAAGTTAGCTTGGAAGTGCCGAGGGGCAGGCGGAACGTACGAGGAGGACGAGGAGGAAGAACAGCAGACCCATCCAGAAGATGGCGTTGACGACTGCCGGCTTTGCCAATCTTGACCAGTCCATCGAGGACGAGAGGAGCGAGTTCCGTCGCTTCGAGAACGCGCTCGTGCGGTGCGAGACGACGAGGCAAGCTTGCGCCGAGGCGGCGGCGACGCTGTAGCCGTGAAGGACGAGCGGGATCCAGCAGTACGGTCGAAAGGCGTTTGTTGGGTAGAGGGAGGAGGAAGGATGGGAGGGGAGGGTGAAGAGGCGATATTGCAGGTCTGTAAGGCGAGCCTGGTCAGTGCGTCGTCCTCGTCGACGAATCAACTAACGCACAAGTGTAGGCGAGCATGAAAGCGCAGCAGACGGCGCCGCCTGCCGGAACAAAGAAGGCGAGACTGCAATGAACGGATCAACAATCAGCGGGCGTGTGTTCGCATCCTGATGAGATGGAACGCACTTGAGGGTGAGGTATCCGTCCACTTTGCGCGCAACCCATAGCGGCTTCCCTCTTCGCCGCGACCGCCAAAGCAGAGCCGCTCCGTACGCAACTGAGATTACAATCCCGCTGCGTTAAGGAAACCGTCAGTTACGTTCTGTCTGAGCGGGACGAGAGCACTCACTATGCGCAGACAGCGAGCAGGACATAGGCTCGCGCGGCGAAGCCGTGAGCGCCCCCGGACGGGTACAGCTGGGCTTCGAGCGCGTCGAGATAAATTGCGAACGGATTCGCTCCCGCCGGCGTAGCCGGGAGAGCACTCATGGCATGCGTGAGTGAGTACGCAAGCCCGCAAACAGGTCAGGGAGGGCGACGAAGGAGAGCGAGCAAGGAGGCCAAGCCTCCGGAAGGGTCAGCCGTCTCCCACGAAGTCCCTTCGAAGGGAAGCGAGGTCGCATCAGGAGCAGACTCGGAGATGTGATCGAGGTGGATCTCCGGGAGAATTCGATCGAAAGGCAAGCATGTCCTGATCGAAAGATAGAGGGGGTCTGCGGAAAGCGGAAGCCTTGCGGGAGAGAAGGCTGGCTGCGCTGGACATCCGCGCATGCGCTCGCGCCGGCGCCTGCTGCAACCGCTCGTGCCATGCGACGTCAATCAGGTGGCAGCGGGGCGCAACAGGCTTCAAGCGAGCCAAAGCGGAAGAGAAAAACCGGTCGTTACTCGCACAGCGACCGCGAACGACCCTACGTTGGTAGGCCGCTGTCTCTGCATCCGTCCGTGCGACCCTGCAAGCCGTCCATATCCATCCGTGAGCAGCAAATCGAGCAAGGCGAGATGCAAAGTCTCGACTCGAGACGGTTGTCGCGATGGCGAAGCAGGAGATTCCTGCTGGCAGTGTTCTGCGAGGCACGCACAGATCCCACGAACGCCCTTTGCGGTTAGCAGGCCGGAAGCAGTCGTGCAGACTGCGCCTCCTCCTCGTCCTCTGCCCGTCTCGACAAATGCGTCGTCAGCCCCCTTGACCCTGCACCTGCTGCCTAGTTCGAACCGGCTCGTATCGTCGTGCTCACCACAACGGACCTATCGGCCCGGCATCCTCGGGCGCGGTTGAACTGGCGGACGGGCGGAGTCGTAGGAAGCGAGGGACGGTGGTTTGCTGGACAACGCGGCTGAGCATGCGCGCTTGGAGCTGGAGACGGTCGACTGAGCTGATCAAGACCGCTTGCCTGCTAGCTACGCTGTCCGGCGAGGTGGATTCGTGCGGACGACCTCGACGCCTCCTCGCTCGGTCCACGACAAGCTCCTGTCGTTCGCACACCACGCTGTTTCACGGGCCAAGCAATCGAGGCTTGGTCGCTCTTGCCCCGCAACTGATCACGACCAAACTTGTCTAGTCGCCAAGCCCCCGTCCCCGCCGTGTTCGGGAGCTCGTCGGGAATAACCACCAACCTCATCCCAGCCGTCGCCTCTCTGCCACTCTAGCCATGCGCGAGCATGCACTCGACCAAACTCCTTCTCCAGCTACAGCCGCTGCACCCGCTCCTCCCGCTCGCCTTCGCAATCTCGCTTACCGCCGCCAACTACCTCCTCTCGGTCATCGCCTACGAGCCGACTCAGCGGATCCTTCTCCTCGCGTCGCTCCCGTATGTCGTAGCAGGACTCGCTCGAGCTGGATGGCTGGCGGCGACGCGCGAAGAGCGAGGAGCGTTTTTGGCGGAGATTCCGAGCGAGCGAAGCAGGCGGTACTGGGCGATTGCGGCGCTGGACGTGGCAAAGACGACGTCGAAGATGTTTGCGGCGTGGAGGAACGAGTTGTGGCTCTGGACGAGTGTCGAGGTGCGTGGCCAACTCCTCTTTCGACCGCGTCCAGCTGACCTTTCGTCGCCTCGCAGGTCTTCGTTCCGGCCTTTTCGGCCATTGTCGCCTACCTACGGCCCCTCCAAGCGCCAGAGAAGCCCTCGGACCGTCAGAGACAGCTCGTTACGCTCGCCCTCCTCGCCCTTCTCGCGGGTCTCCCGTTCGTCGCGGGTCTCGTCGACGGCATCGGGCTTCTGCTGGCGATTCTGAGTGCAGCGGCACATGGAGCATCGCAGCAGCTGTCACGGGAGCATGTTGCTGAGCTTGAACACGAGGTGGACGAGCAGGCGGCCTCGGAGTTGGCGGGAGAGACGGGGCTGGTGCGCATAGAATAGCCGTCTCGCCCGTCTCGCGATACTCACGTCCATTCCACAGCGGTCACTGGCGATCTTCGTCGTCACCTACCTCGCCCTCTTCCCCCTCGGCCTACACGAATCGGCCGTGCCCTACGGCGTCTACCGCCGCCAGACGTACGAGCGCCTCTTTCCCTTCTTCGCCCTCCTCGCGCACGCCTTTCTCCTTCTCAGCACTGCGCAACCCGGTGCGCCCAGCTCGACGCTCATGACGTCCGTCTACGCGGGCGCGACGGCATCCGCCATCGCCCTCTCTGTCCTGACCGGCTCCAAGACCGCCGAGTCGCCCTACCTTCTCACCACACTCCTCGGCATCCTCATTGCGCTCATCGCCCTTGCCTACCAGCCGTCTCGACTTACGCTAGAACCCGAAGACGACGACCAGCCGTCCTCTTCCTCCTCGGCCTTCACCCACCCGCTCCTCCGCCTCGCCTTTCTCCTCCCATACGCCCTCTTCATCTTTATGCAAGCCATCAACCCCTCGACATTCGACATCGTCGTCGCGCACTACGACAAGCCCCTCCCCCTATTCTCCGACCACCTCGAACGAGTCTATACCGCTCCTCTCATCCGACAGTCCCGCCGCCGCACGATCGTCTATCATAAAGGCAACCTTACCCAGGACGCGCTCTGGGCTGGACTAGGTGGCGTCCTCCGCAAGGGAACGGACGAGGTGCACCTACTCCCGAACTACGGCCGCGAAGGGGGTACGTACCTCGAGCACCTCATCGCGCGCTACGACCCCTCAACTCCTTCCTCCCTCAACCCCGACGCCCGCCCACTCGCACACCACACCCTCTTCCTCCAACCTCACATGGCATGGGACTGGATCGCCGGCACACGTCTGCTCTACACCCTCAACCCGCGAACGGGGTTCGTATCCCTCAGCAAGTACTTGACGAACCTCTGCGGGAAGGACTCGGAGCAAGGCGCGGTCTATGGCGGGTTCAAGAAGGTGTTTGAGGAAGTCGAGGGACACGAGTGCAGGGAGGGGAATGAGGAGGATAGGGTGTTGCAGACTTGGTCAGGCCAGTTCGTGGTCAGCCGTGAGAGGATCAGGCGGAACGAGCGAGGGCTGTATGAGCGCTTGCGGGACGTGATAGAGGTGCGCCTCGCGTTCCTCTCTCCCACTTCCTCTCTCCCGTCGTTTCCGCGCTGACTTTCGCGGTGAATCGGCTTGCGAAGGCGCCAGACGACGACCCAATCCACGACGCCTGGTCCCCCTCCGGTCCCTCAAACCGCTCGTGCGTCCCCTTCCCCTCCTCTCCCCCTCGATAGCAAGCTGAGATTCTCTCGCTTCGCTCGCACGCAGCAACCCCGCCTTCGGCCACGCCCTCGAACGAGCCTGGCCGCTCCTCCTCCACTGCTCCTCGACCTCTATCGCGCTTGAATGCGCGGACGATGGGTGGAAGGCTGGGTGGTGTCAGTGTTGGGATTGAACTGAGCGAGTAGCTTAGAGGGCTTGCAAGCATTAGACGATATTTCGCGGGCGTGAGAGAGAGAGGGGGGAAGCATGAACAGGTGTTTCAAGAGAGGTGCAGAACAAGAGGGACTAGCTACGTGTGCGGGTCTGTGCGAGGGAAAAGGAGAGGGCGGATCTATCAATCTCGACTCTGGTTGTGCGCGAGTCGGATCGCTTGTACGATATGGTAGGGAAAACGAAGCGAGTGATTGGAGTGAGCAGGGGGAGTGTCCGTTGGGTTTGCGAGCGGAGAATGGCAAGTCGGGTTTGCGAGAAGAAGGTCGAGGCGAAAAAGGGTAAAGAGTGTCTCTTTGATGCGAGAGAGCCGAAGGAAAGTCGAAAAGTCGAGTCAAGCAGTGTGTCGAACCGAGACGTTTAGGCGAGGAGCGCCAATCCCGCGGCGAGAACGGCGACGAGTCCGCCTGCCGCGCCGACCGACGCCGAAGACGCGCCGCTGGAGTGGTCCGCGCCGGCCGAAGGGGACGCGGCCGCGTTCGCGCCCGTCACGGCCGTCGCCGTCTGCGCGCTCGTTGCGGAGGAGTCGCTCGCCGCGGCGGAGGAAGAGGCGGACGAGGAAGTCGAAGAGGTAGTCACCGCCTGGGTGGGCGGTACGAAAGTCGATGTCGCGGTGGCGTAGAACGCCTGCGAGGCGGTGGATTGGAACGAGGCTTCGACTGTGTCGTTTGAGCCCCAGTAGGGCTTGCCGCACATGCCCTGCGCATGGCCAGGAAGGTCAGCGAGAGTCGAGGGGAGGGTGAGGGAAGGGAGGGTAGGAGGGGGGACGCACGATAGGAGTGTAGTAGGCGAGATGGTCGGTGAACTGCGCGCGTCAATCCCGCACGGCGACAAAATCAGCTCCAAGCTCGTCCTTCGCAAACTGGGATGAGGGGACTCACGTTCCCACCAACCGTCCCCGCACACTCCTGGTTCGTCGGGTCATTACAAACCGTATAATCATACCCATACGTCGCGTTGCTCGTTCCATTGCCCGTGATGTGGAAGCCCTGGAGCGTAAAGGTATAGTTGGCCGACTCGGGGATGTAGGTTGGGACTGGGTCGTCGTTCGCGACGGTTCGTTGGCCTGCTTCGCCCCCGAAGAGAGAGTTGTAGAGTGCGGCGGCGGGGGGGTTGAAGACGCGGGCGGCGCCCTGCGCGAAGAGCGTTCCGAGCGTCAGCGAAGGAACTCCCTCTCCTCGAAGCTCCTCCTCGCGCGAACTCACATGCGAATGACTCCACCTAACCAACCCCCTCCACCCAAGATCAATCGCCGCCACCTGCGCAAGCATCCCCCCCCACCCGTGTCCGGTGACCGAAAACTGGTGACCGGTGGTATTGACATAGTACTGTTCGAGCTCGAAATCGTTGGTGAGTTGGCGCGCTTCGAGGTAGGCGGCTGTGGCGGAGGCGTGGGCGGTGCAGTCTGTGCAGTTCGGGCCGAGGTTCAGGAGGGTGCCGACTGTGGAGCAGCGAGAGGTGTCAGCCGCGAGTCCTTCTCTTCTCTTTCCGCGCGCGAGGAGGGAGGGAGGAACGCACTGTTGACAGTCGAGTCATTACTGCGCACGCATCAACCCCGCAAAGAAAAAAGAAGAATCATGATCAGTAACTCAACAACACCGACCTCGACGCGTCGGACGCACAAGGTGGATTCCCAGCCAAACATTCCCTTGAAGACGATGACAACTTTGTCCATCTCTGCGCGGGCGTACGAACGAGCGTCAGCGAGGCGCAATGAGGGAAAGGGGAAGGGAGGAGGGGAGACGAACCGGGAATGACGACGGAGAAACCTTGGGTTCCCATCGCGGTCGGTCCGAACTGCTGGATCAGAGTCCAGGCTACACGCACGCTCGTCAGTATAGAAAGAAGGCGAGGAGGGAGGGGGGGTGGGGGGGGGACGCACGAGCTTCGGTCGAGTTAGGGAACGAAGAGGTCAACGCCGCCTGGTCGAACGTCTGCGCGCAGACGGTCGTAGGGTCGTTCGAGTACGCGGCCATAGAAAGCAGGCCTGCGCATCACGGAACAAATGCGAGCGAGAAGGGGGGATTCGAGATGAGATGAAGAGGCGGAGGCGGTGTTGGTTGAACGGCAACGGGGGCGTGCTCGAGAGTCAGCCGTGCTGCACGGAGCGTAGGACAGCGGGAGGGATGGAGCGCACCATGGTAGCGTTCGTCTGTTGAGTGAGTGGGTGCGATCGGGTGCGATTCGGGGTGTGGTCAGCGCGTGAGAGGGGCCAAGGAAGCGCGCGACGAGACGAGGGGAGGGAGAGGTGCCGGCGCGCGCATGACGGTGGTCCAGGGTGGAAGGAGGGTGGTTTACTCACGCCAGTCTGTGTGTGCGAGCGAGGGTCAGTTCGAGCTAGAGGGAGAGGGAGGGAGGGCGTTGCGCACACTGGGAGGACGAGACGTCTGCGGGCGACTGTGCGAGTGCGGTTGCGGTGAATGCTGCTGTGGCTGCAGCTGCGACGAGCGTTGTGCGCATGGTTTGTGGCGCTGTGGTAACAGACTGGGCAGAGAGAGACAGAGACAGAGAGAGAGACAGAGCACGAGGACGAGGGTGGTTTGTTTGGCGGAGCAGAGGCATCCGCAGCACAACCCCTCCGGTCCGCCCTCGGTCGAGTTCACAAAGAACAACACCTCGCTCACTGGCGAAGTACTGTAACTCTACATTGCAGTACTGCCACTCGCACTGGCGCCTCACTGGCCACAGCACTCCTCTTACACCCACACACTCACCGCGCCGCCGCCAAGTGACGCCCATCCGCGGAGCTCCCCTCTCCATTCATTGCCAAGTCGACCACCACCCTCCTTTTCCTCGTCCTCGACCGGACAAACGCGCTCTCTCGCTCGCTGCTCCACACTCGACTCGGGACTCGACAAGCTCACCGTCTGCTGCGCCCTCTCCACCGACGACCACCGCTGCTGTTGGCTGCTGCTGCGCGATCACTCACTCCGAGGCGGTGCTCATCTTGAAATCCCCCGACGGAGACAGACGCGCTCCTCTCCTCCTCCTCTCCTGCTCTCGTTGCTCGCGCCTCTCTCGCTCTCGCTGACCTTGCTGGACTCGCGCGTGCACTGCTACACGCGGCTGAGCAGCGCGAACACACGCTCGTCGCCCTCCTCGCCTTCCCTTCAGTCTCATCGCGCAGCCCCACCTCCTCTTCCCTCCCCTCCCCGGCGACCCCTCGATCCTCGCTACCGACCCGCTCTCCACCAGCCATGCCCCATCCGTCCAGCAGCCCACCTCGAATTGACCCCTTCCGAGTCCCGCTCCTTCCCGTCTCCTCCTCCTCCGCCTCCTCGCCCAACGCCTACGCAGCCGACAAGAACTACCACCCCTCTCCGAGTGCGGCGCAAGGCAGGCATGTACGGAGACCAGCCGGCACGGGGATAGGGAGGTGGTGGACCGCCTTGGTCGGATTCGTTGCAGGAGGAAGGAGAGCGCCGTTCGTACTCGCCTTTATAGCGCTCGTCCTTCTCGTCGCGCTCGGGCGCTACTCTCCACCAGCTTCATCCCTCTCCCTCCCCTCCACTCTGCGCGCTCTCTCCTCGCCCTCCTCCTCTTCACCGCCAAAACCGCCCGCGAATCTCTCAGCCCTCTTTGACCGCGCCTCTCAGCCCCTTCCTCTTCATGCCTCGACACTCGAGCGCCTAGATGAGTGGGAACATGGAGCGCCGGGGTGGGAAACCGAGCCTGCTGATTGGGTGACTCGGAACCTCCTTGTTCGTCCTCTCTTCCCTCCTCCTTCCTCCCTTCCAACTAACTCTAACTCTCCCTCTCGAGAGCGCAGTCTTGCCCGCCTCATCGTATAAGACCAAACCAAAACGGCCAATTGCTCGACAAAGCGCTCTTCTTGTATGCGAGTATGAACACGAGTAGGGTCTTGAAGTTGAGGGGCGAGATGGTGAGGTATTTGAGGGAGAGGGAGGGGGAGGGAGCGATGGGAGGGAGTAGGTGGGGGGAGGGGAAGGTGCGTCCTCGTTTCACTCTTCTAAGGCGAAATTACCCGAGGACGGGGCAGAAGCTGATGATGAGGTATGTCGGACGCGCGCGCAACAGGGCCTAGTCTTCACAGCCGGCAACGCCGACACCTTTTCCCGCGTCCTCACCACCCTCAAACTCCTCAACTCCACCTACCTCGCCTCCCCCATGCCCGCGGAGATCTTTTCGTTCCCCGGAGAGGAACCGGATGAGGAGACGAGAGCGGAGTTGGAGCGGTTGGGGGCGAGGTTGAGGGTTGTGAGGGAGGCGTGGAGGGGGGAGGGGAGGAGGTGAGTCCCGTCCCGTTCGTTTCGAGCGAGCGCGGCGAGGCTCGAAGGCTTCTCGACCAGCACTGACCCCGTTCGCTCTGCTCGCAGGAAGAACTACCACATCAAAGTCCGTCTGCCCTTTCCTCTCTTCTCGCTCGCTCTTCCTCCCCGCCAACTCGCTTCCTCGCAGGCAACAGCCATCATCCGCTCTTCGTTCCGCGAAGTCCTCTACCTCGACTCGGACAACATACCCGCCGCTTCTTTACTCCCTCTCGAGGTGTACGAGTCGCATGGGGGGAACGGGACGCACGGGGAGGAGGCGCGGGAGACGGCGGGGTTGTGGGAGGCGTGCGTTCCCTCTTTCTCTTCATCCGCGCGGAAAGCTCGAGGAGAAGAGCTAACGAGGGCTTGTGGGGCGACAGGAAAGCGTATAAGAGGCTCGGAGCGATGTTCTGGCCGGACTACTGTGCGTTCACACCATCCTTCCTCTCCACACCCTGCTGTCGTTGCGCGGAGTGGCGTGGTTTGACGGTAGAGGTGACGCGCAGGGCGCACGCATCCTATCAACCCCATTTGGGCCGTCATCGGCGTTCCATGCCGCGACGAATGGTGCGTCTTCCCCTTCGCCCTTTCCCCCCTCGAGCTCACAGGAGGGTGTGAGCAGGGAAATGGAAGCCGGCACCATCTTGATCGACAAGAGTCGCCACCTCGATGCGCTTTTGCTTGCGGAGTGGATGATGAGTAGTGAGAGGTTCGAGTATTGGTTCAAGTGCGTCTTGCCCTTCTCTACCTCTCGGATTTTCGCTCCTCACAGAGAGGAGCTGACGAGCTTGACGATACGTTGGAATGGACGCACAGTTTCTCAGACGTGCGATTCTCACTCACTTCTCCCTCAGCGAGCCCGAAGCTCACGGCTCTGTCGGCGCCTCACAGGGCGACAAAGACATCTTCCGATTCGCCTTCCTCGCACTCCGCAAGCGCTGGGGCGTCCCAGGGCGGTACGTGAGCGTTGGCGCTCTGCCTCGAGACAGTGCGTTCCCCTCTCCTCCTCTCTCCGCTTTCCGCAGCTGATGCGTGGACGAGGGAAAAGCTGTCTCGGGCTTCTGCGGACACTCGATGCTGCAGAATGATCACCTGGGCAAACCGCTGTTCGTCCATGCGAATTTGTTGAAACAGATCTCGTCAGGCGTCGGGAAGGGTGCGTCCTTTCTCCCCTCTCCTCCCGCGCAACTGGCTGATGAGACGAGTGGAGCAGGCTTCGCATGGGGCCGACACCGCCAACTACGCACCCCACCCTCCTCGCTCTCACTCCAAGGTCTCCCCCTCACGCCCTCGCACAAACTCGAGCTCGAAGACCCACTCACGGACGACGATATCGACTGTGACATGATTGCGGATGTCGGGTACGATGGGTTCCCTGCGAGGGGGAGGGAGAGGGTTGAGGGCCATCCGCAGGAGGTGAGGATTCGGAGGAGGGCGGTGTGGGAGAAGGGGATCAGGGCGGTGCGTTTCGCTCTCTCAACGAGTGATGTGGAGGGTGCTGATGAGTTTGCTGTGAACAGGGCTTCAAAGGAGGCGGGATGTTTGCGCTCTGCATCGACATCCGCTTCGACGACCCCCGCTCCGACGACGAAACCTGGAGCGCCAAACTCTCCGTCGCCTCTTCCTCCCCCAACCCCTCTCGACTCCCTCTCGAAGCCCTCGCAGCAAACGTCGACGTGTCGTACACCGCCGCGCCGGACGGGTTCGAGCTAAAGTTCTGGCAGGACGAGGTGCTCGAGGTTGTGCATTGGGCGGATGTGCTGAGATTGAAGGGATTCGAGGAGGCGTTCTTTGAGGTCGGCGGAAAAGTCAACGGCGAGGGTTTCTGAGCGGGACGCTGGTCGTCTCGCCTCGCCTCGCCTCGCCAGTACAAACAGTTATTGTTGTAGCACTCTCTCGCATCACGAAAGCCGTGCGGATATAGACAGACATTTGCACGCTCTACAGCTTGACCTCGTTCGCCCACTCGTAGCCCTCGACGCCCACGCCCGCAAGGACGTTCAACGCCGCATCCCTGCTCATCCCGCTCCGCGCCTGGACCGTCGCGCTCCCGATGTGCGGCAACAGGACGATCCGCTCTTCCTTGACGAGCGGGTGGTCGGCGGGAATGTTCGGCTCGCCCGTCACGACGTCCAACCCTGCGCCGGCGAGTTTGCCTGCCTGCACGGCGGCGAGCAAAGCGTCCGAGTCGATGATCGGTCCGCGGGCGGTGTTGACCACGTAGGCGGTCGACTTCATCTTCTCGAAGAACGATGCGTCGAGCAGGCCTTTCGTCTCGGGCGTGAGCGGGCAGCAGACGATGAGAAAGTCGCTCTCGCGCGCGAGTTGGTCGTACGACTCGGCGGGGCGCATCTCGACGCCGAGGTAGGACGCGAGAGGGAGGGTCTGGAAGAAATCGCGAGAGGGGGAGAGCGGCTCGCCGATCCGCGAGGTCGAGTAGAGGCAGCGCGAGATGCCGAACGAGAGGAGGCGCTTGAGCGTGAGTTGGCCGATCTTGCCGAACCCGAGGACGCCAACCGTGGACTACGGGTCAGCGTCGTCAGCATGCACTTGTATAGCTCGTGAAGCAGGACGCACCTTCGTCAAGCCCTGCCCACACAGGAGGAGCGGGTTCCAAGGCATGCTCGGCCATTTCCCATCTAGAACTGCCCGGATACCTTCGCCGGCTCGTCGGGACGCCATGAGAGTAAGCATGGCGCCGATGTCGGCAGTCGCGTCCGTCAAGGCGTCGGGAGCTGCGGGTCGTGCCAAAGGTCAGACTCGTTCGTGTCAAGGAAGCTGCGAGACGCACTCGAGCCGAAGCGGATCCCTCGCTTCTTCAGCGCCGAGGTGTCGACGTGGTCGAACCCGGCAGACATGGTCGAGACAACTTTGAGCGAGGATCCCGCTGTGAAAGCGGAATGTCAGCCCTGGTGAGAGCCGGAGGATTTCATCGAGACTGACCCGCTTCGAGGAGCTCATCGTCAATCTGCGTGCGTCCCAGAGAGTCAGCTCAACGCCAGCGCCCACCTCGCCAGCCATCTGCAGCAGATGCGCTGCTCCGACCCTATCTCCGCGACGAGGAGCAGGGGAAGAGGTTGAGCGAACGCACCTGCTCGCCATTGTGCATGCACAGCAGTCCCTCCGTACCACCCATTCGCAGCTCCTCGAGCAGCCACTGCCTGTCCACAGGGCTGTCTTCCTCCCATCGCACCAGTTCGATGAGGCCATCCTTCTCCGCCTTGTCGAGGATGGCGCCGCCTTCGAGGCCGCGCGAGGCCGGCAGAGGGCGCGTGAGGATCACTTTGGGAGGCATTGCTGGCTTGTAAGCGTGTAGCGGCGAGGACGACGAGTGTCGAGCGGGCGGAAGAGCGGTCCGAGAGGTGGGGGTGAGAGGGAAGCGGGTCGTGAGCAGAGCAACGGCTTGCGAGGGGGCTAGGGTAGCTGTCGTCGTAAGACGAGAGTCTGCGAGGTGGGGCGAGCGGAAAGAGCGAGATGAAGCGGAGAGGAGGAGCGAAAGGAGAAGTCCTCGAGAGTCGCTGGAGGATCTGGCGCTGTCGCAACAGGCTCATTCGGTCTGCAAAAAATGTACACTGCACCGCTTGACCTACAGCGCCAGCCGAGGCCACGCATCGTTCGAGGGATCCCAGCGTCGTACGAGTTCCTCCGCTTTTTTGCCCTCAAAGTCCATCCACGACTCGTTGCAGACAAAGGTCGAGCCCCGCTCCTTGCAGTGTGCTTGAAGGCGCCGACTTCCGCCTCATCAACGTCCACGTGATCAAAAAGGACGTCGTTGAAGGCTTGCAGCCAGATCTGCCGGGGGAGATGGGCGAGTTGCTCGGTAAGAGCTGCGAGGAGCATCGACACCTGAGCAGTTCTGAGATGGTTGTGCGTCGATAGGAAGAGGCGCTCGAGCGTGGCGGGGGTCTTGCGCATCCAGCCGAGTGCGTCGGGCCGCGAGATGTCGGTTTTCGAGTCGATGATGGCGAGGTTGCGAAGTTGCGGTGCAAAGTCGAACAGTTGATCCGTCAAGTATGCTCGACGAAGACGTTGAACAGCGTGTCGAGGGCCAAAGGGGAGCGTCGATCGTTCATGGGCGCAGAAGCGAAGGACGAGTGTCTGCAGGTTCGGTAGTGCGGCCGGCCAGGTCGAGTCGACGAAGCGCATGTCGGTCAACTCCAGGCGTGTGAGGTGAGATGTCCCGACAGGTGACAGCGCTCGCGGAATCTCGCCGGAGTGGACGGAAAGCGAGACGAGGGAGGCTGCAGGACCTGAAAGTCAGCGCAGTTCGCGCATCTGGTCTGGATGCTCGCCTCACAGTAGTCGTCCGGATTGAGCTCGTTGAAGCCGTAGGCGTGGCTGTCTGCGTCGACAAGGACGGCGCGCACCTCACGCAGTACAGCAGGCGGAAGGGCGAATTCCAACCAGTCGTACTCGATGCCGCGGTCCGGGTGCTTCTTCCCACGGTAGCTTGGCGACTCTGCTCGTATGCGCAAGACGGCCGACCACGATTCGACGCTGAGTCGTCCAGCCTGTTCCACCCACGCAAGAGAGCGTTCCTTCCGCCATTTGACGAGATCGCGGACCTCTGCGTCTTCAAGCTCGTAAGGAGGATCGGGGCGAGGCCACGAACCGTAGAAGGTGCTGTACAACTGGCGCTGCGCCTGTCGTGTCCGAGTCCTGTGAACGAGCGAGAGTTGTTCGCAAGCTTTGTGGTGCGCGGGTCCGCCTTGTTGGGTCGGCGGTGGTACAGCGTAGTCAATGACGAGGTTCAGCAGCTCGGCGGGCAGCCTGGTAGCCATCTCAAGGTGAGGAGTGAGGAGGAGAGGACAAAAGAACAAAGGGCATGGTCGCGAGCGAGGTGGGGCAGGCGAATACAAACCGACTTGTATTGCGAGACTACGACTCGCAGGTCCGCGTCAGCTTGCCCGGACGGCTTCATGTGAGCGTCGTTGCACTCATAGAGCGCTACAAAACCGACAGCACGGCTATGGGGCCAGCAGCGAGGCGAGACGGAGCGTACGCAACGAGCGTCCTCGTCGACCTTCTCAAGCTGGGTTGAGAGGCGACTCTCTCGTCTGCTTCACCCTTTCTGGGCTCAGACTGCTTGCTACTTGCTCGGAGAGTCTGTCACAAAGTCCCGCGCCTTGAGGGCGAGGGGAGAAGCCAAGCTTTCCTTTGTTCTCCCGCGAGTCGTCTCTCTGCCACCGCCAGCAACGACAATGGCCCGCACGCTTGGGCCCTCTTCCCGGTTCCGGGCTTCTGTACGGAGGCATGATGCTCGACTGCAGAGAAAGGCTGTCAAGTGCGGCGGAGGAAGAGAACTGCTCGTCTTTGCGGTGGACACTTGTGCCAGTGGTCGCCTGTGTCGACTGCCACACCGGTCTGGCAGCGGTGTGGCAGCACCTCGTGCACCTGACCCAGCGTTCGAATTCGGTACGAATTGTCAGAATGAACTCCAAAGAATGGAAGAGTCACAGTCAGGGAACGCAGGAAGGGGTCAGGCGGGAGCACGGAGGAGCAGGTCGGACCGCTCGGCTGAGGACAGCCGCAGAGACACTTTTTGTTGCTCTCTGCTCGACGTACACTAGCTCTAGAAACAGCTGGAAGAAGTGCAGGGCGGCGGACGCTTCGGACGCCGGCAAGCAGAGCAGATCCCCTCCGTCCATTTGCCTTCATCCGACTGTACGACAGTCTCTACTGCTACAACAGCTTGCCTTGAAACGTTTTGAGTGTCTACGCTGTAATTGCGGGAAAGAGCCGTGTCGGAAGTGAACAGCATCAGGATGTTGGGCGGAGGCGGGCGAAGACTTTCTGGCACCGGCTTCATCTCTTCGCTCTCCGCTATGAACACCGACGCTAGCCTCGACGCTCTGGACAGCAGCACAGAGGAAGGAAGGGAACTGCCGGAGTTTTTGATAACGCGTCTATCGGTATGTACAGAGTTGGGCGGCAGGTCCGCGCGGGAGAGAGGGTAAAGCAGAAAAAAACGTCCATCTATTCGTCGACCACGCATGTAACGCTCACCACGAGCCGCCGGTGCGCTCGGGCGGCGTCTTGTTCGAGTAGTCGATCTTCTCGCCCTCCTTCTTCGGCGGCTCGTTTCCTCCGCTGCGGTTCTTTCCCTCGTCGCCAGCGGCGTCGAGCGCGTCGTCGGTGACGCCGTGGTTGCGGGGGAAGGCGATGTCGGTGAAGGCGTTGTGAAGGTGGACCTCCTCTGCGCGACGGGAACGAATGTCGCAAAGTCAGCAAGCGGTCCTTGCCTGCGACAAACGGAATTGTATCAGACTCACTTGATCCAGCTGCCACGTCGAGATACTCCTCCAACGAGATCTGCCCGTCCTGGTCGACATCGACCTCGTTGAGGATGCTGCGGACGATGCGCTCGTCGATCTGGTCGAAGCCGAGCTTCGACATGGTGCGCGAGAGGTCGGCGGGGTCGATCTTGCCGTCGTTGTTGGCTGCGAGAGGGCGAGCGCGCGGGTGGGACGGTAGGGAGCGACGGAGGGAGAGAAGAAGGGGAGGAGGCGGGAGAGCACAGTCGAGGGGTGACGTCAAAGAAGCGTCAAAGAGGCGAGGAAGAGGCGGGTGGGAGAGCAAGGAAGCGGGTCGTCAGTTTACGAGCTGGTGAAAGGGAAGCGACAAGCGCGACGCACCGTCCATCTTGGCAAAGCGCCTCTTGAGCGTCTCGAGCTCCTCGGGCGTAAACACCGTGCGAGCGAGCAAGTCGTCCTCAATCGCGAGCCTCTCGCGGTGTCGTCCGTGGCGAACATCATCGAGCGTAAGCGTCGCGAGACGCTTCTCCGACAGACCCATCGACCGAAGGAACTGGGTCGCGTCGCTAAACTCTTGGTTGCGGCGGTCCTCGGTCCAGCCGAGCTCCTTGGACATGATGTCGATGACTTGAGGGAGCGACTCGAGTGCGGCTTCGGCGTTGAGGAACGAGAGACGCGTCCGGCGCGCGATGACGTCCACGGCTGTCGCGGCGTACTCGCGGCGGCAGGCCCAGGTGACTTCGGCGTCGATGTAGGGGTAGGTCGCGTCGAGGCGGTTGCCGTGCGTCGGGAAGCGGAGGCCGGTCGGGGGAGCCACTGCGGGAGGAAGGGGCGGGTCAGCTCGAGGGTGCAACTTGGACGAAGGTTCGCAAACGCACTCGCACAAACGCCCCACGAGCGGTCGCCATAGGTCTCGGAAAGGTGACGAGCGACGTCAACCTGCAAACCACCGAACGCAGCGATCAGAGTCAGCTCTTGTCCACCCACACTTGTCGCGCGGTGAAGAGGAAGAGCCGAGACGTACCTCGAGACCAAACTGCTGGATGAGCTTGATAAACATGAGGGGCGACCAGCCCTGGCTTCCGACGAGTTGGACGTCCTTGGTGATGCACCCGCGCTTGGGCTTGAGGTTGTACTCCTTGACGGCGCGGTCGACCGTCTCTTCGGCCACTGCGAGCGGCCGAGTGTTAGTGAGGTCTTCATGGGAGGGGAGAGGCAGGGCTGGACGCACTGGCTCGGTAGGTCGTCCACTTTCCTCCGGCGATAGTGAGCAACCCGCTCTCCGAGACGTGGATGAGGTGGTTCCTGACGAGGGACTGAGTGTCCTTCGCATTCGGGTCCTTGACGAGGGGCCTCAACCCGCTCCACGCGCTCAGAACATCTCCCCTCCTCACCCGAATATCAGGGCTGAGGTAATTCCTGACCTCGTTCAAGATCCACTCGATCTCCTCCTCCTTCGGGATCGGGTGTTGCTCGACTTTCGCAGGCGAGTCGGTCGTACCGGCGATCGTGTTTCCCTGCCACGGGAGGAAGAAGATGACTCGTCCGTCCGACGTGGCGGGGTCGATCAGACCGATCTTGGCGGGTGCGTAGTAGTTCGGGAGAGTGATGTGGACGCCCGAGGCGGGTGCGACGAGGTTGGGCGCTTGGCCGTCGTCCATCTGGCGAACGGCGTCCGAGAAGGGTCCGGTAGCGTTGATGACGCCCTGCGCGAACGTCCCATCAGCGTCTCCTCCCCGCACAAACCAAGAGAACCTCTCACGCACCTTAGCCCTCGTCTCCCACTCCCTGCCCGTCAGCACATCCCTCATCTTGGCTCCTTTCACGCGCCCCTCGGCGTCCTTGATCAAGCTCGTCACCTCGGTGTGGTTCGCGGCGACAGCTCCGTACTGAACGGCGGTCATCACGAGTGCGATGTTCATTCGCGAATCGTTGTGCTGGCCTGCTCTCACTCACTCACTCCATCAGCCTCTCTCCCCAGACAAGCCTAGAGCAACTAAGTGGAGGGGCAACGCACCATCGTAGTACACGACCGCGCCCGTCAACCCATCCTTCTTGAGCATCGGGAACGCCTCGAGCGCCTTGCCCTTGCCGAGGACGTACGAAGACTCCATGTTGGCTGAGCCGGCGAGGATGTCGTATAACTTTGTTCCGCTGCGAGGTGTGCGTTCGCGAGGCGAGGGAAGGGGAGGAGTTAGTTGAGAGTAAGAGAGCTTGTAAGTGAGGAAAAGGGGAGCGCGAACGCACGCAAAGAAATAAGGAATCTGCCACCACGTATAAACGGGCAACATGATCGGCAAATGGTGACTCAAGTACGGCGCGGTGTGGAGGAACGTCTTGCGTTCGTGCAAGGCCTCTTTGACGAGCTTGTATTGCTCGTAGTCGAGCTCGAAGACGGCTTTTTGGAGGTACCGCACGCCGCCGTGGACGAGTTTGGTCGATTTTGAGGAGGTGCCTGCGAGCGCCAGCGAGCAGAAGGGGGAGAAGGTCAGCGGACGAACCGAAAGTCAACTCGCGAGCGCCCGCCTCGAAAACGCACCAGAAGAGAAATCGTCCCTCTCGACCATCCCAACCTTCAAACCCCTCGCCGCCGCATCCAGCGCGACACCCGCACCCGTCGCGCCTCCTCCAACAATGAGGAGGTCGAATTCCCCGTCATCCTTTTCCGAGTCGCCTGAGCCGGCGGGCGCGCCTTTGAGCCCGCGTTGCGAGGTGGGTGGTTCGCGGGAAGATGTGGTAGAGCTGGGGTCTTGTGATCCCGCGCGCTGGAGGGACGACGACTTGTCCGCTTTCGCTCCCTCAGAATCGACCCCGCTCTTCCCGCCTTTCCCATCGTGTTCGGCGTCTGAAGCAGGCGCAGGTGCTCCGAGTTTCCTCAACATCTCTTCGCGCGAGGGAGGAGTCCACATCGTGCTGGGCCTATCGAGCGTGCCTTCGACTTGCGACTCCATGCGGAGGGGGTTGGAGGGTGAGAAGTAGAGCGCTTCGGCGTCGATTGAGGCATCGGAGGGCGGGGAGGAGGTCAGGAGAGAGTAGGTGAAGTAGGTTGGGAGGAGGAGGGAGGTGGTGAGGATTGGGCGGCGGAAGGGGAGTGTTTGCCGGAGCGGGCGGAAGAAGCGGGACATGGTCGTCGGCTAGTCGTCGCTGGGTGGTAAGGGTGAATGGGAGGGCGTCGGGCTCGATCTGCGAAGAGCGAGGACGCGAGTGGAGGGGACAAAGTCGGTGGGGGATTGTCGACAGGTCGGTTCGGTTCGGAGAGCACGAGGTGACAATGTGGCGCAAGGACAGAGCGAGGTGGGTCAGCGCGAGTTCGCGAGAGTGTGGCCAAGCGGAAGAAGCCGGGTCGAGTCGAGCGTGAGGTCGGGCGAGAAGAAGAATCGAGGGCGATGACGGAGGGCGTGCGAAAGCAGAGCGTAGTCCAGCTCACCTGGGTGCGAGTCGAGTTGCAGTGGGTGGGATGTGCTGTGTGTGGGTGAGAAGTGCCCCGTGGGTAAGAGTGAAGGGTGCGAGGGAGAGAGGCGGCGGTGAGGTCAGGTTCGAGTTGCGAGTTCGGTCGAGCAGACAAGCGTGCGGAGTCCCAGACAGAGTAGTGCGCGAGCTGGTCGTGGGGGGGCAGTCGAGTGTGGCAACTCACACGGAACTCGAAGGAGCTGGCTCACTCGAACACAACTTGCGCGAGCGAGGACGAGTCGAAGAAGAGGACGAGGGCGGGAGTGTCGCCGTCCAAGCCGCCACACAAGCAAGGTGTCGCTGGACTGCGCTGGCTGACTTGTTACTGTGCTAGTGAGCGCGTAGGCATGCTACTGAATGCTCACAGCTAGTTCAATACAGCCCCGAGTGAAGAGAAGCGCTAGCCGGAACAGGGGCAAGTGCGATGGGAGCGAGGCGAGGACAAGGCGGTGTTGCACGTCGGGACCTCCGACATCTCGCTCTCACACCTTAGGACTGCTACGACTGCCACAGCTACACGCAGAGAGCACGCGACTGGCACCCATGGCCTCGCCGCTCTCGCCGCAGCCCAAGTCCGCACCCACCACCTCGCTCTCCTCGTCCTCCTCCCCGCCCTCTCCACCGCCAACCGAACCCGCGCCCGCCGAGCGCCCCCTCCCTCCCTTGCACGTCGCAGCAGCCTCAAACGACCTCCAGTCCCTCTACGCCCTCCTCGACTCGCCCTCCTCGTCCTCGTCCATACCCCACACCGCAAACGACACCGATGCAGAGGGCACCACGCCGCTTCATTGGGCCGCCATTAATGGACATGTCGTCGCTGCCAAGGTGTTGCTCGAGAGGGGGGCAGAGGTCGATGCGAGGGGCGGAGAGCTCAGAGGGACGCCGCTGATGTGGGCTGCCAGGTGAGCGGGCGCGTTCCGTCACGCAGTGATGCATTCGCGACGGCGAGCGAAGCGAGGAGAAGTCGCTTGGACGGCCGGCGAGACGAATGCTGGGAGATCTTTCTCCTCCCGAACCTGGAACTAACTTGCCCTCTCCCCGCTCGCGCGCAGAAACGGCCACCTCCCCGTCGTGCACCTCCTTCTAAAACACGGCGCCGACCCCTCCCTCACCGACGACCAATCCTTCAACGCGCTCCACCTCGCAATCCACTCTTCCTCCGCCTTCCTCGTCGCCTACCTCCTCCTCACGCTCCAACCGCTGGCAATTGACTCGACTGATCCCGAAGGGCATACCGGGTTAGCGTGGGCGTGTTATCAGGGCGATGCGATCAGTGTCGAGGTCCTCCTTAAAGCTGGAGCGGACAAGGACCGCAAAGACCGCATGGGCCTAACCCCGCTACATTGGGCCGTCACGAAGGGTAACGCGACCTGTATCCGCCGCCTCGTCGAAGCAGGAGCCGACCTCTCACTCGTCGACAACGAAGGAAAGACTCCTCGAGACCTTGCCCTCCGTCTCAAGAGTATCGCAGCGTACGACCGCGCCCTTATCGAAGCGGGCCTCGATCCCGAGACTGCGAGGAAGTTGGATCGACCCCTCGACGAGCGCAATACGAATAGGGCGATCTTTGCGGTTGTCGTCGCTGCGATGGGCGGGATGTTCGAGACGCTTGCCGTTCTGCCGTGGTACACGAGCTGGTTGGTCGTCGGCGCAGAAGCGTTTGGGATGCATCACCTCGTTGCGCGGGTCTTGCTTGGTGCTGGAGGGCCGAAGCGGAAGGGACATGGGCACAAGCATGCGGGGAGTTCGTCGAAGGTCACTAAGAGCCCGTACCTCTGCGCGGTTATCACCTCCTCGCTCGTCTGGGTCGCGTACGTCTGGATGACGCGGTACATCTCTCGTGCGTCCCCTTCCCCTCTCCCTCCCCTCTCGCTCACGAATCTTGCTCGCGCAGTCCCGGATCATACGACTTTGAACATCCTCTTCGGTCTCGCACTCGTCTCGTGCGCTTGGTGGTTCGCGAAAGCGATCCGGCTTGATCCGGGAACTGTGAGGGGTCCGGGGGTGGGAGAGGAGTTGAAGGAGGTGCGTTGCCCCCCGCTTCCCCTTCCCTTGCTGTACTGCTTCCTTCCGCACGAGGGAAAGGGACTGATGGGGTGAAGTGGTGGAGGACAGGTGGTTGAGGAATTGGTCGAGTCGAATCAGTTTAACGGGATGCACTTCTGCCTCTCATGCCTCGTGCGTTCCCTTCCGCTCCTTCTCTCTGCCTCCCGATCCGAAATTCCCGACTGATGAGCGCGGTGGGTGGATAGACGAGAAGGCCGTTGAGGAGCAAGCATTCGTATGCGACGGAACGGTGCGTCGCGAGGTTTGATCAGTGAGTCCAGCGCCGTGCTTTTGCTTCCCTCCAACTTTTCCTCCCGTGCTTCTGCTGCGGAAGAAGAAGTCGAGACGGACGAAAAGAGAGCGCTGACCGACTCCTATCGGCGCAGCTACTGTCCCTGGATCTGGAACGACGGTGCGTCTCGGCTTGCTTTCCCGCTCGACTCTCTCGCTTAACCTCGCCTTCGAGTTTTGCGAGAGTACATCGTTTCCAAGAAAGCTCGCTGACGATTTCACTCGCTCCCCGCAGTCGGCGTCAACAACCACCGCCAGTTCCTCCTCTTCGTCGCGTCCCTCGTCGTCGGCGTCATCCTCTTCACTCGCTTGACCTTCGGCTGTGCGTCGCGTCTCTCGCCTCCTTCGACTCTCGTCTGTTTTGCTCTCTCGCACTCGCTGACGCTCGTGCGCGCAGACTTCTACGAGAAAGCCCCCGACCTCCACCCGGACTCGTACTGCCCTTCGCTCGTCCCCTCCCTCCTCTGCATGTCGCTCCTCTTCGACCCCTTCGCCCTCTCGATCGCCTCCTGGTCCTTCCTCCAACTAACCTGGACCCTCATCCTCCTCTCGGCCCAAATCTGGCAAGTCGCGAGACAGATGACTACCCTCGAAGTCGCCAACGTGTCGAGGTTTGGATACCTCGGGGGCAAACCGGGCGTTAGTGCGGCGAGTCAGCAGGGGGCGGTGGAGAAGTGGAATGCGGCAAAGGCTGCGAGGCATGCGGCGAATTTGGCGGGCGACGTCGGGGACGGCGGGGCGCTGGACGACCCGGAGTCGCTCGCTCATGCACCTTCGACTTCTCCTCCGCCTGGTCAGCCCACAACTCGCGCAAAAGGCTCCTTCGCATTCTGCCTCAAACTCCTCGGACTAGATCGCTTCCTCGCCCCTTCCTCGCATCACTCGCAACTCACCACCCTCGCTCACCCTCCCCCAACCGCCACAAACCCCTTCGACCTCGGCTTCGTGGCGAATTGTCTCGACTTCTGGACTAAAGGTGGAGAGTTGGGGGTTGAGTATGAGAGGGTTTGGGGAGTCCCCGAGGGCGGGTTTGGGGAGAGGTGGAGGGAGAGGAGGAGGGAGGGACGGGCGGGGTTGGGCGGCGTGAGGAGGAAGTGGGCCGAGGGCAGGAGGAGAGCGAGGGGAGGAGAGGGGTACGAGAGGGTTGCGATGGAGGATGTGTAGCCGTTTGGGCGAGGAGGAGGAGGGTGGACAGACACTTGCCTTTCGTTCGACCGTGGCTATTCTTCTAGGGAGGGGCGCCATTCGTTGCTGCTTCTGGCATTACTGCGCTCACCGATATACGCTTCAAACGCTCCCTGGCGAAGTAGACGAGTTGACATCCACCTCCTCACCGTCTCCTTGACATCTCGCTCGATTCGCTTCCATCCCGCTTGTTCGGCTGGTTCTTTCTGAGTCGAGCTACGACAGCCAGAGTAGGAACTCTCAGGGACCTCGCCGCGCTCCGCAACGCACTCGCTCCAACGGCCTTTCCTCATCGCCTTTCATCGCCTCGACGGATTCACAGCGACCGCACAGGGTCGACGGACAGCAGCGCTCCTCCTGAGCCTACACAATACGTGTGCAGAGCTCCCAGGTGAGCTCAGCCTCACAGTTCAGCCTGTTCTGCTCGACTTGGCTTGCGGGCGAAGTGGGGAGGTCATCGAGTAAACGCGCGCGAAGGAGGGCGATAGACGGGACGTCAGGCAGCGTGAATGGGGTGCTCGAGTCTACGAAGTCTCTGACGCGCTGGAGATACTTGTCGTAGCTCTTCCTGCGTGACTTCAGTCAATGAGGTCGAGCAGGACATCGTCCACCTCGCCTCGCCTTGTTCGGGACGATCGCTTGCAGCTCTCGGAGTAGTCAGAGCTGACCGGTAGCTGACGGGCCCTCGCCCTCCACAGCCCCTCTCCTCTCCTCGCTCTTTCGCCTCCTCCTCGCCTCTCCTCTCCACTCAGCGCCATAGCGCCCCCAGCCCGCCATGAAGTTCATGCTCGACGACATGGAGTTCGTCTTCCCGTACGACAAGATGTATCCCGAGCAGTACAACTATGTCTGCGACCTCAAGCGGAGTTTGGATGCGCATGTGAGTCCGGCAGTTTGCTCGAGCTGCTCGCTTGACGATCTGCTGAAGCGGCAGACTCGTCAAGCGTATTTGGAGCTTGTTGTAGCTCTGACAATTGATGCCGTTGCAGGGCCACTGCGTGCTCGAGATGCCTTCGGGAACGGGCAAGACCGTCTCGCTTCTCTCGCTCATCGTGGCATATCAATACGTGCGTCCGCTTTCGCAACTTCAGCCTGATGTCGTCATTAGGGCACGCGTGCTGATAGCGTCGCGCGGTATCTGCCAGCATGAACGCAAGATGGGCCGGCCAGAGCGGAAGCTCATCTACTGCTCGCGGACGGTGCCGGAAATTGAGAAGGCGCTGGCGGAGCTGAAGCGCTTGATGCAGTACCGGTGAGCGCTCCTACTCTGCTGAGCGCTAGACGGATCGTCTCCGAGTCTCGCGCTCTCTCTAGTTGGTTGCCGGCTCACACGCTTCTTCCCTCGCCCGCAGCAAGGAAGTCTACCATATTGACGACGGCGACTTCCTCGGTATCGGTCTCTCATCACGCAAGAACCTGTGCATCCACCCTTCCGTCCGGCAGGAGAAGAAGGGCAAGGCGGTCGATGCGAGGTGCAGGGACATGACGAGCAGCGTCGCGAAGCAGCGGTGGGAGCAGGATCCGACGAGTGTCGAGCTGTGCGAGTTCCATGAGGTGGGTAGGAGGCACCTGCCGTTGCGCGTCGATCGCCACCTCGACGTCGACTCGCTTCTCCGCGGCTCCCTGTTCTCACTCGCGTTTTCACTCGCGCAGAACCTCGGCGAGCTCGACCCCGATCATCTCATCCCGTACGGCGTTCACACGATCGAGGACATGAAGGCGTACGGCCAACAGCACAAGATCTGCCCGTACTTTGCGATTCGGCGAATGGTGCGTCTATTTGCAGCTCTCAGCACCTCGCGCATCTGTTTGCTCGACGGCTGATTCGAGTTCGCGCCTTTACGCAGTTCGTCCACGCCCACGTCGTTATCTACTCGTTCCACTACCTCCTCGACCCAAAAGTCGCCGAGCAAGTCTCCAAGCACATGTCGAAAGACTCGATCGTCGTCTTCGACGAGGCTCACAACATCGGTGCGTCAGCGCTGTCTGAGAGCTCGCTCGTTTTGGATGTCGCGGCGTTCGGCGGATGGGCTACCTCTTGATGGCGGCGGCTGACCCCCCGCTCATCTCGCGCAGACAACGTCTGCATCGAATCGCTCTCGATCGACTTGACACGGCCAATGCTCGACACGGCGGCTCGAAGCGTCGAGACGCTCACGCAGAAGATCGAGGAGTGAGTTGGGTTGGCCTGTCCCGTGCCGCGCAAGTTGGGCCGGAACTGACTAGTTCGCTGAACCACACAGGATCAAGGAGAAGGACGCTTCGAAACTGGAAGACGAGTACCGGCGGCTGGTCGAGGGCTTGCAGGCGGGCGAGAACGCGGTCGAGGACGAGGACTTCATGGCGAATCCGGGTGCGTTCGCTCGCTCTGCTTGCGCCTCTCCCGTAGCCTGACGAGATGGCGCGACAGTGCTCCCACAAGACTTGCTGCAAGAAGCGGTGCCCGGCAACATTCGACGAGCCGAGCATTTCACCGCCTTTCTCGCTCGCTTCGTCGAATACCTCAAGGTGCGTGGGCTTCCGACCTCCAAGCTCAGCGCTTCGCTCACTCTCACATCTCGCAGACCCGCATGCGCGTCCTTCACGTCGTTGCCGAGACGCCGCTTTCGTTCCTCCAGCACCTTCGCGACATCACCTTCATCGAGCGAAAGCCGCTGAAGTGCGCCGGTCCTCGTTTCATTCGCTCCAAACGCTGTGGACTGACACTTCTCGTCGTCAGGTTCTGCTCGGAACGCTTGTCGTCGCTGGTCCGGACGCTTGAATTGACGCGGATAGACGAGTACTCCGCGTTGCAGAAGGTGGCAGCCTTTGCGACTCTGGTTGCGACCTACCATGAAGGTGGGCTCGACTGACGAGACCTTCGAGACAGTGCTGATCTTGTTTGTTTGCAGGCTTCCGACTCCTCCTCGAACCGTTCGAGACTGACAACGCGACCGTCCCCAATCCCGTCTTCCACCTCGTCTGCCTCGACGCCTCTCTCGCCATCGCACCCGTCTTCGAACGTTTCTCTTCCGTCGTCATCACGTCCGGCACGCTCTCGCCGCTCGATATGTACCCGAAGATGCTCCGCTTCGACGCGACCGTTCTCGAGTCGTACGTCATGACGCTCACGCGGGACTGCTTCTTGCCTCTGGTGCGTGACAGAACTATCGCTTCCTCTCGTCTGCGGAAGCGGTGAAGCTAACCAGATACTCCGGCCTTTACAGGTCGTCACGCGCGGGTCCGACCAAGTCGAGATCTCGTCGCGCTTCGAGGTCCGCAACGACCCGGCCGTCGTCCGCAACTTCGGCACACTCCTCGTCGAGTTCTGCAAGGCGGTTCCAGACGGCGTCGTCGCCTTCTTCCCGTCGTACCTCTACATGGAGAGCATTGTCTCGGCTTGGAATGAGATGGTGCGTCTGCAGTGCCGCTTGCGATGGCACGCAACCTAAGGGTGCTCTCGCTGATGTATCTGCCGCACCGCGCAGGGCATCCTCAACGAAGTCCTCAAGTACAAGCTGATCTTCATCGAGACGCCCGACGCGGTCGAGACGAGCGCGGCGCTCGAGAACTATCGACGAGTGCGTACTTCTCTCTTGTAGGTGCACAGCCATGCTGACGGACCGCTCCCAGGCTTGCGACAACGGTCGAGGAGCGGTCCTGCTGTCGGTCGCCCGAGGCAAAGTCTCCGAGGGGATCGACTTCGACCATAACTATGGCCGAGCCGTAATCATGTTCGGCATCCCTTACCAGGTGCGCCGAGCTCGCTTTCCTCAGTCGCGCACCTCGCTTACGACCTTCCCGCGCAGTACACCGAGTCGCGCATCCTCAAGGCCCGCCTCGAGTTCTTGCGCGACACCTACCGGATTCGCGAGAACGACTTCCTCACGTTCGATGCGATGCGGCATGCGGCGCAGTGTGTTGGGCGTGTCTTGCGCGGAAAGACGGATTACGGGTTGATGATCTTCGCCGACAAGGTGCGCTTGATCATTCTTCGCTTCGTCGTGTTTCTAGTCGTCTCATGCAGTCGCTCGTCCGTCTGCGTCCACTCTGACGCCCTCCTTGGTCGCTACAGCGCTTTGCGAAGGTCGACAAGGTGCGCTCGTCTCCTTCCTTGTAATCTCCGAGTTCGCGATTGACCTCGCTCCGTCTCCCCTCTCCTCTCGCAGCGGAACAAGCTTCCAAAGTGGATCGGCCAGTACATCAAAGAGTCGGACACGAACCTTGCGACGGACGTCGCCATTGCACACTCGAAGCGATTCCTGAGGATGATGGCGCAGCCGTTCGAGCAGAGCACCAAGTCGCTCTGGGGCATCGACGAGGTGCGTTTCACTCTTGCTAGCCGTTGTACGGCATCAAGCTGACGGTCATGCGCGCAGATCATGGACAAGCAGCGCGGCCTTGACCCCGAGGGAGGCGTCGAGGAAGACGGCGCGATGCTCGACGCCGAGGCGGAAGCGGCCGCCCGAGCTGAAGCTGAAGCGGCGGCAGCAGCAGAGGCAGAAGCCGAAGGACTAGAGCCGCTCAACATGAACGGCTTGAATGGCGGCGAGAAGGTCAACGGAACGAACGGCTTGGACGGCGACGCGCAGATGTACGACCCCGAGGGCGACCCTTACGGCGAAATCGACGACGCTGCGCTCGCCGAAATGGACTTGCCGCAAGACCTCGTCGGCTTCGGTCTCCCCCAGCCGCCCGACGAGTTCCAGCTTCCGCAGCCGCCGCAAGAGTTCGAGATGGGCGACGCGCAGACGGGCCTGCCGCAGCCTCCTCCAGAGTTCCTCTGATTGTGTAGCCCTTCGCTTGTTGTAGCATACGCATTCACAGCACTTCGATTCGTCCTCAGCGCTTCTTGAGTGGAGGTGAGACGAAGCGACAGCAGCGTCGTGCTGAGGGTGTGCTACTCTGCTCCGCAATGTCGACGCTTCACTTCTCGTGGCTACAGTGCTTTGCGAGGGACGATGAGGTATGCTCGACGCCTTCCTCCTCCTCTCCGACTTCACGACTGACTTCTCGGCTTCTCTTCTCTCTTCTGACAGCGAAACAAACTGCCAAAGTAGATCTGGGTGTGTTGCCCGCGTTGCGTCGCTTGTAATGCTACACTGCGCCCCCCTCTTCCTTCCTTAACCTCGGCGCCTCCCATCCTCCCCGACCCCTTCGCAAGTCCAGCACGATCCCTTCGTCCTCCGATGGACGCCAGTCGCGCATGCACGGCTCGAGACCGAGGAAGACCTTGGCAGCCTCCGGCAGCTTCACGCCAAGTTGGAAGCGTATGAACCCAAGGACGTGCCCGTGAGCGAGACTTGGCGCAGGTTGTTCGTAGATTTCCTCGAACAAGAGCGCTCGGCGTTCGCGAATCGAGCGGTCGTCTTCGTCGGTGCCGCCGCCGGTCGTGACCGTCAAGCGAGAAGGGCGGACCTCGGAGTGCTCGATGCGCTTGTCGATGAGCGGAACAGCGTGGGAGTGCATACCGTCACGAGCGTGCGGGTGATGTATTTGATCGAAGGGGAGTCGGTCGGGTAAGGAGGCGAGACGTATGGGAATTGAGCGAGAGGTGGGCGAGAAGATCTGCTCCTCGAGATAGAACTGCGATGCCATGTAGTCAGCGAGCAAGCTCGAACTGCTGTCAAAAGAGGGGGACGCACGTAGATCTGGTTGAGGAAGCCGGCATGAAAGCAGGAGTAGCGACTCGTCGTCGAAAACCCGCGCTCGCGAAGGAATGCCTCGAACTTTGCGCGAGACATTGGGTTGTACTGCAGGCAGCAGCGTCAGATAGTCATGCGGATGAGAAAGTTGACGAGTGAAGCTCACGCAAATCGATGAGGAGTAGTGAGGCGAGAAGCAGGCCGCCGGAAGACCTGGATTGCGCCGCCACAGGTCGTCGAAGAGTAGGAACCACCACGCCCGCACCGCGCTACTCGTGACGGCCGACATGCGCTCTTCGAGACAGACGAACGTCGTCTTGTGCAGCGGGCACATTTGCTGGACGTTCGGGTTCTGCTCTGTCGTCCGAAGGTTCTGGTCGATGTCGTCGGTCGATAAGCGGTCGTCGGCGAAAATGGAGAGGAGGAAGCCACGGGACAGGACCGAGCTCTTCAGGTCAGCCTCGTGACGAAAGAACTCGCGGTGCTGCCGCATGCGCCGCTCGACGTCGGGTAGGCGCTCGTCAATCAAGTGTCGATTCAGTCGAAACAGCTTGGCAACATCTTGCGTCAGGCTGAAGTCGTCAAGGACGCCGAACTGTGGACCCGAAAGCATGAACCGTTGGCCCGTCCGAAGTCGCCCTCGAGAGTCGACGCCCTCGCCGTCGCGATACTCAAGCGAAACTTCGAAGCCGCTGCTGAAGTTGTAGCCGCGCCATCGACACGTTGAATTGTGTTTGATGCGAAGGCGGGCGAAGCGGTATGAGGTATGCTGTTCAACGGATGCCGGGCCCATCAAGCCAAGTTGGCGAGACTCGATGTGAGGGCGGAAGACGACTTGATCTTCGAGCGCTCTGAGGGCGAGGCGGACTTTGCGAGCTGCGACGACGGTAGGTGAGGCGTTCTGTTCGACGAGTCGCTCAAGCTCGTCGGCTTGGTTCAGGTGAACCGGTTCGTCCGGTTGCTCATCGTACCGGAAGACGACGACGAAGGGGAAGGCGCAGATGTCGAGGCGACCGAAGCACGAAGTCGTAGGAAGAGGCGAGTTTGCAGGGTGGTAGAAGACGTCGGGACCAGCAAGTTCGGTGCGAATCCGGTGTCGAAGTTGCATGAGGCGCGCATCGGTCTCGATGTCGTTGAGGGCGTCGCTATAGGCGTTGAGGCCGATATTGCGGAGAATCTATAAAGCATCAGTCAGTTTCAGAGCCGAACACGCCAGGGTCTGCGTAGCGCACCTGCAAGTCTCCGACAAAGCGCTCGGCGACGCTTCCGCCAAAGGCGAGCAGGTATGGCGGGAGTTGGGGATCCTCAGTGAAAACGAGCTTGCGCTTCGGCGGCATTGCGTATATGGGCGAGCAGAGAACGCTATCGGCGTTGCAGAACGGGGGTTTGCGAAGGTCAGCTCTGGACGAAACTGCTTCGCTCGCAGAAGCGGGACGCACAGCGCGGCGACCGTCTCCTGCCAGACTCGCCGAGCGATATGCTTGCTCAGGTCGAGGTGAGGAGAGAAGATGTCGATGGAGAAGTCCAGCCTTCTCTGCGCCCGCTTGACCCAGCGCTGGACGAAGCTCTTGCTGATCACGATGAAGTAGGCGCTGCAGGCGCGAAGCAGGGAGGTGAGTATCTGAGCACCAGAGAAAGACGATGCGAGCGCACGAGAAGCCGTAGATCACGACGTTAACTGCGATTGTGGCCGGATCAGTGTACGGGATCTTGACAGCCGCGAGCAGACCGAGCATGGCCAGGATGACGTATCCGAAGCGGCTGACAAGGTCGGACGAATTGGAAGGGATGTCGAGGAACGGGGAGGAGACAGCTGAGAGGACGCAGAAGAGGCACATGAAGGCAAACAAGCAGCCCTGGCGGATGACGGAGAGGTGGGTCGCGCTGAACGAGCGGAAGGCGCAGTTGTCCTTCTGGATGAGGACGACGAGCAGCACATTGATGAGCTTGACGACGAGGCTGCGAACGAAGGTTGGCGCGAACTTCCGAGCTTGTGGACGGAGCGGGACGCACTAGATCGAGCGAAAGCAAGCCCAGGATCGTCGATAGTCTGCAAATCTTATACATCAGCGAACATTGGAATCGACGGCGAAGGAATGCGCACCGCAGTAAAGAAAGCTGAAAGGGCTCGGGTCCGCCTCGAGTAACCGCTCGTACTCAGCGTTCTCGTCCTTCCGCCTCTCGCCCAGCTCCGTCCACCCATCAACCTTTGGCTTCTTCTCCTCGATGACCTTGTATAGTCGCCAAGGCAGCCACAGCGAAAGGACGAGGATGACGACCGCTGCGATCGGAAGCAGGACGTAGGCAAAGTTGAGGTTCTTGAGACCTTGGCGGCGCCTCATCGTGGTGCGATAGCAGAAGTCCATCGGGTTGTAGTAGGTCGCGGCGGGTCCGAGGGGAGGAGGCGAAGGTGCGTCGGAGTCGTACAGGGTGTAGGGGTTCGAGACGGGCCAGTAGTCGTCCGTGTAGACAAGCGCGCCGATGGCGAGCTTCGAGAGCGGCAGGTACAGCGACGTGCACCAGAAGGTAACGAAGACTCGCCATCCGTACGAGTTCCGCCAGCTCAGCCAGCGCTTCGAGCCACCGACGGTGTCCGCTCCTTCGCGGTCGTAACCTTCGCCGATGTCGCGAGCGCCTCGTCGTGCGGCAGGACCGGCCCATCCGCCTGTGAAGCGGTAGAACTCGTACAGCGCGAAGAGCGTGACGAGCGTGAGAACGAGGAGGAAAAGGAGCGCCTGGCCGAAGGCGGAGACAAAGTCGAGGGAGAGAGCTGAGGGAACCGTGACGAAGAGCGTGCGGAGGAGGGACTTTTGCGACGAGTTGGCCGAAGAGGAGGAAGCGGTGATCGAGGCGAGAGTCGGCGAGCCGGCGGTGACGAGCAAGGTGATCATCCTGGCGTTGACGCCGCCGTCAGTCGCTTACTCGAGCATGTAGCGGGAGAAGCGCAACGCACTGCATCAAATCCCTCACACCCTCGACGGTCGTCATGCTGATCCCGGTTGTGCTGCTGGCGGCCCCAAGGACGCCGTTGCCGACCGTCGCGAGAACGCCTTGCAGCGTGAGAAGAGGCGGCGGCCTTCGTCGGTTGTGTTTCAGGTCCGTAACGGTCAGGTGAGGCGGGAGGAGGTGGAACGGTGGGAAGATTAGTCGGCGAGTGGGATCTGGTGGCGGAAGCGGGCGTCGAAAGCTCCGGCGCTTCAGTCGCGCAAAGAGTGAAGGGCCGGATCCTCGTAGCCATTCCTCCCATCCCTTCCGTTCCTCCTCACTGCCGAAGACCTCGTCCGCCGATCCGCTCGACTCCACCTTGTTCAGCTCCCATTCTTCGTCTTCTCTCCGCTTCTTTGTGCTCGCCGACAGATCATCTATCTCCTCCAGTCCCGGCATCGGCGAGAACTCTGCCGGTCCGCCCAACTCGTCAAGCACCTTGTCGAGATCCGGCAAGACGAGCGGCTGAGCGTCTCGCGCGAAGAGGCGGTATGCTGGGACGGCTTCGGTACGGACAGTGCTAAAAGTCGCAATGGTGGTCTTGCTGACGGAGGGAGGAAGAGATGGGCGGCGGAAGGAGGAGAGGGCGGAGAGACCGGAGGAAAAGGCGCGAAGGAAGGAAGGGCGGCGCGGCGGAGCGAGGGTGGGGTCGCGTGAGAGTAGGGGTTGCCGAAACTGCGACGAACGCTGAGACGCTGTGTCTGCGGGACCGTCGTCGGCGATAGGCGGGTCGGGCAAGTTGGCGGCAGACTCCTCAAACGGTTCCTTCGCCGTCCGAGCCTGCGTGTTCTCCACCGCCATAGTCATCTTGTCTTCCGTAGCGACCGACACAGGCGCCGGCACGATGACCGTCTTCGCCGCCTTGGCCTTCGCCATTAGCGGATTTCGCTTCTCCTGTTCATCCGCAGCCTTCTTCTGTTCCCCCTTCTTCGCCGTCGTCGCCACAGCCTGACGAGCCGGCCGTGGCGTCCAGTCCATGTCACCCAAGCGGCCTTGTACGACGGCAGGTCGTGAGAGAGAGGCGGGTGAAGTCGAGGTAGCGGCATTCTCGAAATGGGAGACAAGCGCAGACACCCGCTTCGAGGGCTGGCGACGGGGTGGAGGCGGTATATCGCTGTCGTCGGTTGTAGATGGAGCCGACATGCTGCGAGGCGAACAAGCGTGAGCAGGAGGAGGGCGAGCCGGATCCGCTTCGCAGAAGGAGGATAGAGGCACACCTTGCAATCCGGCGCAACTCGATCCGCCTCGGATAGACCCCGTCAAGTGAGAGCGCAGCGGAACAGTATCAGCAAGGGAATCAACAGGGAGGGCACAGAGCAGAGGCGTTGCAAGCAGGCGATGCGAATCGACGAGGAGCGGACTGAGCGCCCCTCGAAGCGTGACGAGGCCCCGATGCTCCCGCCACAGTCAAGTCTCCTGTCGTCTGCGGCACCGTCCCAGCTCGAACAGCCCGAGCAGCGAGCGAGTCGCCTCATGAGCGGACGGAAGTTCAGCGGCGACAACAAGTCCTCGCGGGTCTGTTTCAGGGTCCGCATGGCAAACGCGGGTCCAGTAGAGATGGTAGCACACAGTACAAAACGCTTCAAGCGAAGATGAGCGGTGTGGAAGATGCCAACCTGTTCTCACGGTTCTCTCGCTCGTGCAACTCGCCATGGCGACACTTCCACTGCCCAGGGAGCGCCCTGGTGGACGTACACGCTCTCACACAGGCTCAGAGGAGCCACACAGGTCGCCGCTGCTCTTCGCCGGCTCGCTCGTCGCCCGTTCGTTCGTACTCGCCGCCCTCGCTGGAACGGCTCTGCTCGTCGCGCTTGCTGCCTGGTTCGGACTGAAGGCGGCTCTCAGGGTGGACCCGGTGATTGGGAGGGAGCGCGTCTGGCTGCAGTACGGGTGCGTCGTCTTGTTTTCCTCGTCGCCCCACTTCCTGTCCTCATGCTCATCCAGATTCTTTCGCATTGACAGACACTTCCGACCGCCGTACGCTGTCGTACGACTCGAGGACGGCAAGTACAGCGTACCGGGGAGGGTGTACGATGTCAGTGTCGAGGCGAGTGTCCCGGTCAACGAGAACAACCTTGAACTCGGTGCGTACAGCTGCGTTTCTTCCCCTGCTAGGCGGCGCGCGACACACCGCAATCTCGCTGATGGACTGGCTTGAGGGACTGGCTGTGCTGACGCATATCCGCTCCCTAGGCAACTTCATGGTCGCGGTGAGCCTCCTCGACAGTGCAGGAAACCGCATCGTCAACGCTTCCCGACCGGTGAGTGCGGCCCGTCGTTGTTGGGGACCATAGCATGGACACATGTACTGATCCCTCCGTGCATCGCTCTCATCTTGCAGGCCCTCCTCTCGCCGACCGAATGCCTCCTTCAGCCAGCTCCTGCCTCGAAATCGCTCTTCCACCTCCCCTCGCTTCTCACCCTGCCCCTATCTTTCCTTCCGATTCCTCGCCTTCCGTCGTTGTTCGCCTCTTCTTCCCTCTTGCCCTCCCGCTGCGCCCCGCTTCAAACGCTCGACATTCCCCTCCTCGAATCCACCTCCTTCGTCTCACCCGTCCAGTCGTCGTCGCTCGGCTGGCTCAGGCGTCGACGCGCGACCCGGGCGCCTCGCGGAGCTGGACCGGTCAAGAGCGTGTGGGTGGAGATCGGCCGGCGAGACGCGCATCCGCATCACGAGGCTTTCGATCTGGCGGGCGTAGAGGAGGGCGATGTGTACGAGCAGGCGGTCGTGGCGAGGAGGGGACGGGAGAACGAGCGCGGAAGGGAGAGGAGGGTGCGTGAGTTGCAGGTCCATGAGTCGTGGTTGAGGATCGAAGTGAAGCCGACTGGGCTCAGGTGCGTTCGCTCCACGCTTCGGCGAGTGCTGCTATCCGAGCTTGCCGCTGATGTCCGCGTCTGCTGATTGTGCACAGATCGCTCGTCTATTACCACCCCTACCTGTCCTTCCTCTTCTTCGTCCCCTCCTTCCTCCTTTTCGAAGGCCTCGCCGCACTCGCCGTCTGGGCCTGGTGGGTCGCCACGTCCGGCCCCTCCACACCCGCCTCTCCAGCGCCTCACGCAGCTTGGTGGACACACGAACACGATCGCAAGGCCGCCGAATCCGAGGAAGAGGTCAAGCCCCTCTTGACGCCTTCGGAGGTTACGACTGAGGGGGAAGAGGAGGAAGAGAGAGCGAGGAGGATTAGGATGAGGCTGGGAAGGGCAGGAGTCGGAATGAGCGCGTTCGGGATCGAGGGCGAGGAGAAGGATCTTGAGAGTGTTGGCAGCGGGATCAGCGAGAGGGAGGAGGCTGAGGATGGTGGACGCGCGAGAGTGAAGGAGGAGGATCGCGAAGAGCCAGAATTTGGAGACACCGGGACCCTTGCAGGCGTGCGTTCCTCCTCCGTTCGTCTTGATCTTCTGGCGAACAATCATACTGAATCTCTGGCGTTTTCCGACTCGCTTTCTCACTTATGTACTCGTTCGCTCGCCTGTCCACCCCCTCTTGGCGTCTTCGAACCCGTTTCGATACGACAGTCCGCCACGACCCGCCGTACCGCCTCGACCTTCGGCCCCTCGCTCGCACCCACCACCGCGACCACTGCCACGTCCCGCACGACGGGTCTCTCTAGCGCAGGTCTGAGAGGAAGGATGACCGGCAGCGGGGCGGACGACAGCTGAATGGGCGGGATGACGTGCCGCATCTGAGGGGCCAGGATTTGCGCGCCTCTCGTTCCGCAGATGTACTGTACATTGCTTTGTCGTATGAGTCTCCTTTACTGCTCACGAGGTGGCGGACGTCGAGAACGGATGTCTTCTTCGACAGCGATAGCGAGCGGCTTGTCGACGATTAGTCGCCTCGTTCGGCGCATATTTGGGCGTGGGAAACTTGAGTCGGCTTCGAAGTGTCTGTAGCCCTGCCTGACGCCTGACAAACCCGTTCCCTCGCCGCCTCGCCAAGTTGTCTTTCCTCGCTTCTTTGACATCTCGCTTCGACCGCTACCACTCGAACCTCTCGCGCTTCCTAGCGCGCAAGTCAGCTAGTTAGGCTCGAGGAGCGCCCAATATGCCTCCCGACCCGCCGCACGCGCACTCGCCCTCCCCATCCACCTCATCAGCATCCGCGTCTCAGCAGGCCATCGCGTCGTCGGCGAGGGGGATCGTGAAGGGTTGGGCGGTCGGCAGTGGGCTCGAAGGAGCTGGAGACGGTGAGTCGGCGCTCTTCTTCGCCTCTCTGTCGCGAGACGACGAAACGAAGGGCGACTTGAGCAGATCCGGGTGGGGAGGAGCAGCGTGCGTCCAAACGGCTGGGGGAGCTGCTGGGCTGGTCAGGGGCTCTCGTATCGGAGTGCGACCGTTTGGCGCGTGCAGACTCGTTGCCTAGATGCGCACATGGCGGAGCAACGTCGAGGGATGCTTCCGCGGACGCCAGCTTTTGCGCGGTGCACGACTGTCGGGATGCACGCTTGGAGCCTCCCTGAGTGCTGTGCAACCTATCTGACCGTGCGAGCGAGCGTTGAATAAGGAGTCCTCGCCGATTCTCGAACGGAACTGACATCCTCCTTCCGCTCGTGCAGTCGTCTCGCACCTCCCGCCCATCCTTCCCTCACATCCTTCTTTCTTCCCTCAGCTCACCACGGCCATCCCGCCGACGCACCTCGACCCTTCCTCGTCCTCGCTTGTCCCGACAGATCCGCTCTTCTCGCAATACTCGCGCGAACTTGCCGGCTTCATGGCGCCGCAACAACAGTCAGCTCAGCACGAGGCGTGGAGGCTGCAGCAGCTGGCTGGCGTGCTGGGCTTGTCGGAAGTGAGGGGCGAAATGGACGAAATGAGGAGGGTTTTCGCGAATGGAGGGTTGTATGGCGGACTGTGCGTTCGACCCTTCGATACTTGCTTCGGTCACTACTGACGAGCTCTCTCTGCGGCGGCGAACTAGCCCTCCCCTCCAGCCGCCCTACCCTGTTCTTACACACAACACGCCGCTTCCTCCGCCGCCTCTTCCTCCTTCCGCCCTCTCCTCCGCTTTCCTCTCTTCCGACCTCGTCCCGCCACCATCAGCAACGAGCTTCACCGGTCCCTCGAACCCGCCTGGCCCGCGACACCTCGCGCCGCCTCCGCCACATCAGCCAACGCCCGACGCCGCAATCCGCTCGCTCGTCAACGAGCACACCTCGCGCGCTAAAGCCGAAGCGCGGGCGAGGGAGCAGGCACAGGCTCAGGCGATGCAGCGATCGTTCTCGGCTGGAAGTGCGGGCGGGAGCAGCGCCGCGGAACCTTCGACGCCTTCCCACCCTGGCCGTACGCTCTCGAATGGCCACGCCGCCGGTTTCGCCGCGCCCGCTCAACCGTTCGGCACCGTTCCCGCCAGCTCGCCCGACCCGCTGCTCATGCAGTCGGAACCAGCGTCGGAGCACAAGGCCCGTCGCATCGTCTCGGCAACAGTCAGCGGCGTCCGCTACGACCAAGGGGCGGGACCGTCGTCGCAGGGCGCTCATGGCCTCTCTCGGAAACGCTCAAGCGACTCGGACGTCTCATCGCATTTCTCGAGCCCGCTCAAGCCAAACGCGCCGGGGTCCGGCCTCGCCTCGCAGTTTGGCCCGCGATCGAGCCAAGGGGAGATCACGCCCTCGACGACGAACGGGAGGACCACAAGCTTGGGCGAGCCGTTCACGGGCGCAGAGTCGGCCGTCAAGCGCTTCAAGCTCGAGTCTGGTCAACCCGCTGTCGGTTCGAGCGGAAGGGGCGCGCCCGGTACGGGCGGCACGACCGGCGCGAGCGATGCCGTCGAGCGCTTGAGCGACTTGCTCAGCGACGTCTTCAACGCCGACGACTCGATGGTCGACGACACCTCGGCTGCGCAAGTCGAGGACAAGCAGAAGCACTTGCGCTCGCCTGGCAAGGCGAGTCCGCAGAAACAACCGCGCTTCCTCCGCGTCTCGGCTGTGTCGGCGTCGTCCGGACTTCCGCTCCTCCACACCGATACGCTTCGCAAGATGGGCTCTCTCGTCCGCACGATCGCGTCGAAGAACAAGGCGGAGGAGCTGGTTGAGGAGGTGGAGGAAAGTGGCGTTGGGCGCTGGCTGAAGGTGCTGGAGCGAAGCTGGGAGGGCATCAGCGGTGAGGGATGGGAAGGATGGGATGTCCAGGCTGCGTTGCCGAAGGAGGACGAGGGTGCCGCTCCGCCTACGAAGGGAAAGGGCAAGGCGAAGAAGGCGCCGGGCGGGAAGGGGCGCAAGGGGAGTGCGAGTCCGGCGAAGAAGGGCAAGGGCAAAGGGAAAGAGCGGGCGCAGGAGGACTACGAGGACGACGATGAGCTCGACATGCTCGCGTCGAGTCCGATCAAAGCGCCGACACGTCGCAGCACCCGTTCGCCATCGCCTCACCGCGCCAAGTCGGCGACTGCCGACGCGCCTGACAGCGACGAGGACGACTCGCAAAGGACAGTCACGTCCGCCACATATTGGGACGCGGACCCGTCGCGCCTGCAAACCGCCGAGTCTGCTCTGCGCGACCTTGCCGACGCCCTGATCGCCATTCGTCTCGCGCTCGACATCCTCACTCTCCCGTCTGTCTCTCTCCCAAAGCACCTTTTCTCCTCCGAATACCTCCTCGCCCTCGTTTCCGCTCTCCGCCGCACGCTCGACAACTGCATCGTCCCGATACTCTCCGCGCCCGGGACCAGCCCTCTCGCCGAACTCGCCTCAATCCGCTTGCGCGACAAGATTGCCGAAGCTTGCGACGGCCTCGTGCAGGCGACGCAATCTCTCGCCTCGCTCGTCAAGCAGGAAGATCTCGGCGACGAGCTCGTCATCGCCATCTCGTATTTCTCGCTCGAACCATACTTCCACGAGGCGCCGCCGACTACCGGGCGGTCCGCTGCGGGAGGAAAGGACGCTTCGCCTGTCGTTCACTCGATCAAGGCACTCCGCCTCGCAGCTCTCGCAGTGATTCAGGCGGTCTACGCGAGGTTCCCGGAACAGCGGAGCTGGATCGTTGAAGAGGTTTTGGGCAACTTGGGACGCGCCGAATTGGCGAGCGGGACGACGGCGGCAAAGAAGGCAAAGGGCGGCATCCGGTGAGTCGGGACTCGGCACACGACCTTTGAAGATCTGCTGACTTACACTCTCCACAGTCTCCGCACCGGCGCGACCATCCAGACCGTCTCCGCCCTCCTGCTTCACCTCGTCCAGACTTGCCCGGCAGACCTTCAGCTTGAAGTCCGGAAGAAACTTGCCCAACACGCTGCTCGCGCGAACGCGTCGTCAAGTCAGATAACAACGGACGGAGACGTCGACATGGAAGACTTGGGGGTGGGAAGGAGGTTGCTTGACGACGAGGACAAGGAGGACGAGGATGACTCGGGCCAGGACGTTTTCGTGCGTTCGCCTCTTCGAATCGGTACACCTGCGGCTATTGACACGCTTTTACCCTCGCAGGATTCAATACAGCGCCGTCTCGTCGGGCCGGCACTGGAGCAGGCAAACAAGGCGGCGCGCACGATTGTTGGTTTCCTCCTGCAGCGGTGCGGTAATTCCTCGCGTCTTTTATGACCTCCTTGCTGACTCCCTCACACCCATAGCTCCGCGAAGGCGGGCAAGACTACCGGCGCCGCGGCCGATACTGAGTACCGCGCGGTCCTCGACCACCTCGTCGCCGACCTGCTCGCAACGCTGCGACTGCCAGAATGGCCCGGCGCTGAAGTCCTCCTCACGGTCCTGTGCCGCTCGATGGTGCATGAGTTACACTTCTCTCGCCGAACGGAAGCTGACTCCCACCCGCATAGATGGCCACCCTCGCCGATCCGAAGAGCTCGCACGAGAACAACGCGCTCAAGGGCATTGCTCTTGAGCATCTCGGCAACATCGCCTCTCGCATTTGCAAGGATCTCGCCGCCGCGCCTGGCAACTTGCCGAGCTTGCGAGATGTGCGCAGACTTCTCCCATTTCGTTCGGACTTTCGGCTGACCATTGGCCGCAGCTCGTATCCGCGCAAGATGTCGACGGACTCGAGAAAGTGTTTGCCGCTGAGAAGGCGGTGCTCGAGCATCTTGCGAAGACGGAGAGGTCGACTGGTCAGAGCGAGGTGAGTCTGCAGCGAGTCTCCTTCTAGCCGTACAGGACTGACTGCTCTTCTCTTCCAGGGCGCCCTCGCCTTCATGCGCGCCGATTACGCCAACGACCTCCTCCAGGCTCGCCAACACGCCGTGTCCGAGGACGCGAGTCAGGACGACCAACGTCAAGCGCTTGTCAAGCGCTTGGGCATTCTTATCGAGGAGGTCTGGAACGACGAGCCGATGGAGGACGTCTTTGGACCGAGGTGAGCGTGAACTTCGTCTCGCGATGCACCACCTTTCGCTCACGCACGCATCGCTTGCAGCCCCGAGGACTCGCAACCGAAGGTCGACGGCCTCGCACTCGACCTCTGGCGCTCGTCGACACTGCCCAGCATGTATCAAGCGTTGCTCGACCGCATCGTCGATGCCTCCGAGTCGACGCAAGTCACGCTCCGTACCAAGGCTCTTCGTGCGGTCAGTCTCGTCGTCGCGCAAGACCCCGACCTTTTCCACCAGGACAACATCCGCCGCACGATCGAGAACCGCATGCTCGACAGCTCGCCCGCCGTCCGCGACGCGACGATCGAGTTGGTCGGCAAGTACGTCGTCAGCCGCCCCGACCTCGCGAGGCATTACCTCCCGAAGCTCGGCGAGCGCATCTCGGACACGGGTCTCAGCGTGAGGCGAAGGGTTGTCAAGCTTCTCAAAGTGCTCTACGGCGTCGTCGACGATGAGGAGCAGCGCGTCGACATCTGCAGGCGGCTTGTCTACCGTGTGCTGGACGAGGACGACGGTATCAAGGTGCGCTCGCCGTCTGGACCGATGCATGAGAGGGTTCTCACATCTTTTGACACCCCAGGAACTCGCCGTCGACGCTGTCGAGGACCTGTGGTTCGGTGCGACGCCCAAGTCGGCCCAGCAGGACGACGCCGCCCGCCTTGCGCAGCTCGCCAGCATCATAACGCAGACGACCGGCAACTTCAAAGAGCGACCGCCGCCTGTCGACGAAGCACTGCGAGCGATCATGGCGAAGCACGCCGAGAAGGGGACAAAGCCGCCGCTCGACAGGCTGCGCGAGGTCATCGAGAGCCTGGTCGACGGTCTTGTCGAGGATGACCGCAGCATGGTGAGCCGCCTCGCTTCATCTCTTTGTAGCGCAGTCTGACGGAGTCGGCGCTGCGCAGAACCTCGTCGCCGGTATCAAGACAGTCTTCATCCTCAGCGCCGTGGACGCCAGCTTGCTCTCCACGCAGAAGGCGACGCTTCTCCTGCCGTTCCTCAAGAGCGCGACGACTGTGCGCATGCCGTCCACAGCTTACCATTCGACATCCGCTGACATACACGTTCCTCCTGCCGCAGACCGAAGAGCAGGTCATCAGCGACTACCTCCTCCGCATTTTCCGAGCCGCCGTCGTCGCCATGCCCAAGACCTCGTCAAAATTCGGCAAGGACTTGCAGACTGCGTTGATGCCGATGCTCAACAAGCCGTCGCAGAGCGTGCAGGCGAGTTCACGGTCCAGCCGTTCGAGGACTACTGCTGATCTCGGCTCACATCCGCAGACTCTCCAAGAAGTCATGGCTTGTTTCTGCGCGGTCGTGCACGGCCAGACGCAAGACTTCACAACGATGATCCGCGTCTTCGGCGTCACCCTCGGTGCGTCTCCTTCATTACGTCCGATTCTCCGCGTGCTGACCCCGCCGCTCGCAGGCCGCCTTCAAGGCGAAGCTCAAAAGCTCACCAAGGCTGAGAACGCCACCGCCGTCAACACGCGTCAACTGCCGATTCTCTGCTACATGACCGGCTTGCTGTGCGAGCACGGCGACTTTGACCGCTTGCGCGAGGAGCAGCCAGGTCCGTTGCCCACTCTCGCTGGCATACTGCGCCGATAACAGAGCTCACTCTCGCCTCCGCAGATACGAAGGACCTCATCGACCTCATCACGCCGGGCTCCATCGCCGAGCACACTTTCGCGACCCTCCTTCGGGTCCACAGTCTCCAGCTCCCTTCGCAAGTCAAGCCCGCCGTCCTCACCAGCCTCGGTTTCATCTACCGCGCCCATCCGACGCTCATGATGCACGCGTCCTCGACCGCAATAATGGACGCCATCTTCGACTCGCCCAACCCGGCCCTTCACGTCCAGGTCCTGCGCATCATTCAGGACTTCCTTGCGAGTCAGGAGCGTGCGGCGGCGAGCGTTGCGTCATCGACGACCGACAGGAAGGCGAAGAAGAAGGGCAACGCAGGCGTCAAGATGGAGGAGCTGGTTGGGAATGTCGAGGGTTTCGCCGACTCCGGGTGCGTACGCTCCGTCCACCAACTTTTTTTCCTTCGCTGACACGGGCCCTCACAGCGTCGCGAGCGCCATTGCGCAGCGGTACCTGAACCGCATCGTCGATGCCTCGCTCTCGCCCAACCCGACCATGCAGCGCATCGGCGTCGACCTCCTCAGCACAATCGCGCGCTCAGGATTCAGCCACCCTCTCTCGCTCTCACCAACCCTCGTCGCGCTCACCGCCAGTCCCGACCCGCAACTCTCGGCAAAGGCATTCTCGACCCTTTCACTCCTGCACCAGAAGCACGCCTCGCTCCTGGCGACTCGCTTCCTCGAACCAGCCAAGTCGACGCATGGGTTCCTCGCCGCCTCGTCGCCTGATGAGCCGGCGCGAGGGTTCCGCGGTGACCCGCCTGAATCAATGCTCGGGAGGTGGTACGCCTTGCTGCACAAAGAGAAGCGCCAGGTCCAGCTCGACTATCTCCGCACGCTCAGTCGCGCCTTCGAAGTCGACCTGGGCGCCAAGTGCGACGAGGTGCGTCTTTCCCTCGTTTCCTTCGCTGCTTCTTCGCTAACTTCCGATCAAACTCAGTCCGACGTCTCCTTCGCGCGCTTCCTCGCCGAATCCCTCTCCACGCTCGACTACAAACGCACCGAGGAACCCCTCCTCGTCATCTCGTACCTCAACTCGGCTCTCGCGGTCTCGGGCTTGCAGGTCCTCCATGCGCTGGAGATGGGCTTGAAGGGAGGTGGGGGATTGGTTGCTGCGACTAAGAGGGGGGCTGGGGGGTCGCCGAAGAAGGTGCGTTCGCGAGCTGCCATCTCTATTCGCCTTCTCGCTGATCTTGGCTTTCCGTAGTCCGCCGCTGGCACTCCCGCCGCTGCCGCCGCCGCCGACGACGCCGACGAGCAAGACACGCCACCCTCCCCCGACCTCGCCCGCCAGTCCGTCATAAGCGGCCTCGCGCTCCTGCTGCGAGACCACCTCAAGCAGCTCTACGGTATCACGTACGTCCCCACCTCTCCTCCCTCGCTCCGCTGTCGAATTAAGGAGGGATTGTGCGCGCAGGGACGCAAAGCTTGCGAAGTATGTCGTCGGGAAGAAGTCTGCCATGGGTGACAAGGTGCGCTCCTTCTCTTCGCCCCCTCTTTCCTCACATTTCTGAGCTGACCACACTCGCTCGCGGCGCTCGCAGGCCGTCACTCGCCGCCCTGACGCACCCCTCGCGCTCGGCCTCGACTCGTACGACCGCATGCCCTTCGCTTTGAAGCCCATGTCGGGAGAAGAGGATCTGGTCGAACAGAGGGCCACGGTGCGCTCCCTCTCCCTTGTGTTCTCGGTGAAGACAGGACTGATGGGTTGGCACGGGCAGTACATTCGGTTGATCGCGGAGGACGGGACGATTGGTGCGATGGAGGAATTGGAGGCGGCGGGCGCAGAGGGCGAGGCGGATTGAGTGCGCGCCCGCCCATCTTCCTCTCTCCTCACCCTTCCTTCCTTTCATCTCGAGCTTCGTTCCTTCACTTCCCTCGCATCCGCATCTCCGTCGCCACTCGGCCATCCCCTCGCATTCCTCGCATCGAATCTCCCTTCGCTTCGCTTGCCTTGCCCTCGTGTTGCCGTACGTCTACTCCCGCTTTTTTCTGCAATGCAAAATCCCCCATCTCCCATTCGTCGACGGCCGCCGGACCCCTTCGAGTCGAGGAAGATCGTCAGCAGGAGTGGCGGAGAGCGATGTTCTGAGTTGTCTCGCTTTGCTGGAGCTCGCAGGGTCCCGGTTGGGTCTTTGCCGTGCTCGCCGCAGAGGCGGAAGAATCGTCGAGCTGTCCGTTGACCGGGTGGACATACAAGAAGGGGAGGAAGGGTTGGGGCTTGTCGAGGGGAGCTCACCCTCCTCTGCCGCTCGCCTTGTCAATCCACAGCGAAAGGCGGACGTGAAGCGAGGAAGCGGACGGAGATGGGCCCAACGTTCCTCGCGCGCCTTTGCGACGATCCCCGTTGCATGTTTCGTTGTTTGAATTCGGCGGCAAGGCGGTGCAAAGGGTGCGGCGGGCCAGCTTGTTCCGCTTTGATTGGAGTGGTTCCTTGCGGCAACAGGCGAGGCGCTGGCTCTCGGGCAGTCCGCGGATCAGTTTCCAGGGTGGCGTAGCGTGTGAGAGAGAGAGTGCGTGCGCAGCTTAGCCTTAGCCTGTTTACCTTCGCTAGCCTGGTCAGATGCGGAGAGAGAGGGTGTGCGAGGAGTCCGAGTCGTCGGTGTCGTCGCTGCTCAGACTCGTCAAGTCGACGCGCACGGTGCCCAGGCGCACGTACGAGCCCTATGCCATGAGCACGCCCACCCACCCGCCCGACAACGACCGCCACCACCCCTCGACAGAGTCGACACCGTCAGCGACTCCTCCTCAGCAGGCACTCGCTGTGACGGACACGGCGACGGGCATGGGCTGTGGTACGCCGCAGTCTCCGGTCATGCAGGCCAGAGTGGGGCAGCAGGCCACGCAGCAGCAGCAGCACCACGCGCAGTTCCACCAGGCGCACGCGGGCGACAACAGCCCCCGGTTCGACGACGAGGCGGCGGCGAGTGCGGCGGTGGGTGCCAGTGCTGCAGCGGGTGGACAGCAGCAGTACACGGGCTACAACGTGCGTTCGCACTCTCTCCTGCACTCGCTCGCTGGACGCCGCCGCTGACCTGCCGGAACCCGCGGGATAACAGCAACCGCCTCCGACCGCCTACTCGCACCCAGCGTACCAGTCCCATCCGTACTACGGCAGATCAGCTCAACAGCAGTACTCGTACCCGTCGACGAGCCGCCCTTCGACGTCGGGCAGCGGCGGCGGGCCAGATTACGCTGCCGGTTACGCTTCTTCTTCATATGCGGGTCACGCCCCGATGAGCGCGCTGCAGCACCCAGCGTACGGTGGGTCGAGGCCATCGACGAGCGGCAGTGGCGGCGCAGGCGGAGGCTACGGCGCACAGAACGTCCTCCCGCCCATCTCGCTCAACCCGTCGTCTTCCTCGGGTCCTGCGAACCGCTTTGCTGTGTCGACTTCGTCACTCCCGTCGCTTTCGGCGTACGGAGAACCTCAGAATTCTTCGCAGCCTCATTTTGCGCCTCCCCCTCCGCCAGCTCAGCCTCAGTACGCCTCTGCATCCTCCAGCACTTCCTACGCCCACCACGCTCCTTCGAACCCGTACCATCTCCCCTCCATCACGTCCTCAACCTCCTCCTCTTACCATACCTCGACAACCTACTCCCACCCGGCCTACGCCCAAACCCACACCCGCAACTCCTCCTCCTTCTCGCACGCCCCGCCCCCACCAAGTCTGAGCCTCAACACCTCTCTCCCACCTTCGTACGGTCTCGCCTCAGCCCCGCCCGCGACGCAGGGAAGTGGCTCACCCTGGGCTGGCCCGCCCCCGCCCACTTCGTTGCAACTCGGTGGACTCGCCAAGCGCCGACGGAGCACGACGGACGGGCTCAGCCTGAGTATGAGTCAGTCCGGACGGAGGTCGATCGGTGCGGGGGAAGGAAGGAGGTCTCGGATGCCAAGTGTCGAGGAGGCGTTCGCTTCGGGTCATGGAGCGGATGGGCGGAGGGGGGCGGTTCCTCTGCGATTGGACATTGCGGATGGCGCGAGTGGAGCAGGAGCGGGAGGAGGAGGGTTGGTCGGACCCGCGTCGGCGAGCGATTCGCCGACGCTCGGATCGGCGACGACACTTTCGACGACCGCCACTTCCGCTACTTCTTCCTCTTCTTCCAGCCATCCGCTGGGCTTCCATCCGCCTCCGCCTCCTCCCCAGCAATCAGCGTTCTCTCAGCACCCGTATGGCGGCGCGATTAAGGAACCCTACGACTCGTCGTCGCCGACTAAGCAGCCCATCTCGGCTGGCCAAGTCCGTCCAGCGTCGGACGACGACGCCCCCGCTACGCGTAGCTCCAGTCGGCGCACGAGCGCGGCTAGCGCAGGGAAGAGGCGCAAGAGTGCTGGTGACGACGAGGAGGATTATGCGGAGGACGAGGAGGAGGAGGGAGCGGTTGGACCGACGAGAAGGGGAAGGAGGGGGAAGGACAAGGCGAATGTGCCGCAGGCTTTCGGGGGAGATTTGCCGTCGAAGAGATTTGTGGGTTCCCCAGAGTTCGGTTTGGAGATGCGTGGAGCGAGACTGATTGAAGTTTGTGCGTCGCGCAGATCTGCCCTCACCCGTCTTGCGGGCGTGCATTCGCGCGCAACTTCAACCTCCAGAGCCACATCAAGAGCCATCAGGGCATCCGAGAATGTGCGTTCTCGTTCCGTTCCTGCAAGCTCGCGCGCTCACCCTTCGTCCATGCAGTCAAATGCCCGGAATGCTCAAAGCTCTTTTCGCGCAAACACGACTGCGTCCGTCACACAATTGCCATCCACCACTACGACAAGGACGGCGTCGGACCAGACGGGAAGCAGCCCGTCTATGTCGCGCAGGAGGTCATGCCTGTTACGGTTATGGTCGAGCAGGCGAAGGAAAGGCAGAGGGAGATCGTCAGTGGTCCTGCGCCGTCTGTGGCGTATCAAGCGATGCAGCAGCCCCACCCGCAACCTCAGGCGATCGAGCAGGACCAGCAGCCGTTGCTGAGCGGCCGCCCGCTCGGGCTCAAACTCAACCCGATCGTCTTGCAACACCCGCCGCCACCCTCGCACCTCGACGCCTCCGTCTCCTCCGGCTCGCATGCCATCCCTCACCCGCTTCAGATGCCTCCACCGTTCTCGCACCAGCACCGTCCGTTTTCCCCCGGCGCACCACCGCCCGCTTTTCCAGCCTACGCCGCGCCTCCCTACCCCTCGCACCCTTCCGCAAACCCCTCAGCTCCTCCGCTCGACCAGTCAGCCGCCGAGTAACCCCCTCTCACGACCAATCTGTACATTATGCCTCTCCGGGCCTTTCTTCGGTTCATAGACCCTACTTCCGCCGCCGCCGCCGCAGTACCGTTCATTCGCTCTCTTCTTTGTGCATCCTAGACACTTCACTTGCTGGTCAGTCATACACGCACGCACTGCATAGCACCCCCCAACTCTCGCCTTCGTCGTTGTTCTTCCTCTCTCTCTCTTCCTGTGGGCGGATTGGTGCGCTGGCGCATCGAGCCCTCGCTCGTCTCACGATCCTCGTTGCAACACACGATATTTGCATCGCATTTGTGCTTGTCTTGAGAGCGAGGAAGCGGGATCGCATGCGAGCGACCGCTCTTCCGTTTCGACCGTTCACCTCGTCTCGCTCACACGCTCTGGGCTCGCTGGTCATACCTGTGTAGGCTTGTGCATACTACTGAAGCGGGCTGCGGTGCCTCGCGAGTCCTACGAACGCTTCCTCACCGACTTTTGCCTGCTCGCCAACTTCATCAGCTCGTGAGTCCTTCCTCTCAGGGAGCCGCCTAGACGCCACGCGACGGTACAGTGCAGCTTAATCACGACGTGCTTGGCTGATTGGTGTCCCCAGTTCGTCTCGCAGTCCGCTCGCACACTCGCTTTCGGCGCTCGACATGGTTGAACCGCCGAAGAAGAAGCGGTGCGTTCAACCCACCTCCTCGCATCTTGTGCGACATTGACTCTTCTTCTGACATGCCACAGGAAGCTCCCCTCGCTTGACGACTCCTTCGACGCTCCTCGTACGCTCCCTCTCTTCCACCCAGCGAAACTTCTAACTCATGCACCTATACTTCGCACAGCCCGCCGCTCCGACTCGCCAGACTTGCATCAAGGTCGGAAACGTACGACGCCGCATGTTGAGGGACAGTGGGCGGCGCATGTGTATCTTGATCGTGCGTTCTGTCGCCCGAGTCTTCCGCGACTTCCAGAATTGACCTGGGTCTTTCGCTGCAGTTGAACCGTCGGCGGGATTACGACGAGTGCTCAAGAAGGCGCGCGACGCATGCACAGAGGCTTGTTCGCCAGAAGTCACCATCCACTCCCTCCTCGATCCGCCGCCCAACAGTTCTCTTCCTTCGACACCATCGGCAACGTCGACAAGCGACTCGTCGACCACTCTCGCGCAGACATCGGAGAACGCTCTGCATCTTTCTCTCTCTCGACCGCTCATTTTGCAGACGAACCAGCGCGCCGACTTGCGGGCGGGAGTTGCAAAAGTTGCGGGACAAGTAGCTGGGTGAGCATCGCACATATACCAGCGACGATCGAGCGCTGACAATTTTATGACAGCTTCGCCGCGCGGTACGCCTCGTTCGCCGTGCTCGAGAACGACGAGAAGACGCGACGGTTTCTCGGCATCGAGATAGGCCAAGGCTACGACGAGGTGAGTCGCAACTTCTTGGTCTTTGCTGCGGATTGCGCTGAAGCCGAGTCGCAGATGCTTGCGCTCGTCCGCAAAGTCGACGACATGCTTGCGGCGCACCGCCTGCCAACGTACTACGCCAAACCTCGCTTTCACACCTCGCTCGCTTGGTCGACCACGACCACCTCCACAGCCGAAGACCTATCGTACCTTCCCTTCAGCGACGCGGTTCTGGCGGATCTCGAAGCGGTGCTGGGCAAGCAGTTGCGACGGGAGGGAGAAGTCTGGGCGGGCGAGTTGTGCGTCAAGATTGGCAAGGACGTCTCGCGGTATAGATTGACTGGGTAGGGTGTGCGGGCGGAGGGTATCTGTAAAGAAGGGGAATCTACAGGAATGGATACACAGATATGAGTGCGAATCTACAAGTCGAGGGAGGCGATATTGCCGAACCAAGCCGAGACGATCGCCTTGCCGTTCTGTAAGCATCGCATTGTTAGCTGGTGAGCCGACGTAGAGGAAAGGTCGGCGAGTCACCTCCAGATTGAGGACTCGAATCCGCTCGTCAGGCAAGTGAGCCGAGTCGGTACTCGTGCCCATCGGGAAGTGGATGGCGTCGGCGGCGAATTCGCGCTCGAGGAAAGGGAGGGAAGGGATTGAGCCGCCTTCTCGGATGAAGAGCGGGTCGACCTTCCACTGCGACGAGATGCAGTCGGCCATGGCGGAAACGAAGGGCGAGTCTAGGTCGCCGAGCCACTGCAGATTGTTGGTGTCAGTACGAGGTCGGCGTAGCAAGCTAGAAGGCTGCGCTCACCCAATCCGCGACATGGTTGATCTCGACCTGTGCAATCACCGAAAATCAGCGACGAGATCGCAGAGGGTCAGGCGACGGCACGTACACTCAGCTTGTTCTGCGTTCGTAGCGAGCGGAACGATTTCTCAAGGTGGCTCTTGAGCTTTGCGACGATGTCGTCGAGCGACTGGTCCGGCACGATTCGGATGGAGATGGCGGCCGAGGCAGAGTTGGGGATCAGCGACTTCTGCGCTGGTCCGGGGACCTCGACGTTGTGGACTGAGAGGGCAGGTTGCCGCCAGCTGGAGCACAACATGCGCGAGTCAACTGGGTGGTCGGGAAGAGGGTAGAGGAGGAGTGCGATCGCACCGGTTGATGAGCGCCTTGAGGGGATCACTGACCGCCGAGTGCGAGGCCAGCTTTGCCGAGTCGTTCAGGCTGCAGAGATGGGAAATCAGCGATTATCTCGCGGAGCCGTACAAGCGGGTGACCCACTTCTTGTACCGCTCGACGATCTTCTCGTATAGCTTCTGCTCGTTCGGCGACATCTTCCGGACGTCGTCTAGGAACCCTGGGATACGGACTCGCCCGTCGGCGTCTGTCAGGCCCGCGATGACGCGGATCAAGTCGTTCAGCGGCTCGGACGTCGCCCCGCCCTCGATACCGCTGTGAATCGGCTTCGAGATGGCCGATTCGACCTGCAAGGAGGGCAAAGTCAGTGGCGGTCTACGAGGTTTATTCTGGTGCGGACTCGCCTTGACGGAAGCGTGGATCACGCCACGCAAGCCGAACGTCAGGCAGGGAACGTCTTCGCCTAGCCAGTACGAATTGCTAACGAGGATAACGTCGACGTCGCCAATCAGGTCCTGCGCAGCGAGAACATGAGCTTTTCGAACGCCAAGCGAAAATGGTCGAATTCACCCTGTTCTTCCGCACGGCCTCCTGGAAGCCCGCACTTCCCGTCTCCTCCTCGCCCTCGACGAGCATGACCAGATCGACCTCCATCTCTTGCCGTCTCCGCAATTCAGCCGCAGCAGCCGCGACCGCCAAGACGGGTCCCTTGTTGTCCGAGACGCCGCGCCCGTACAGCCAGCCGTCCTTGCCCGCCATCGTGAACGGGTCGTTCGTCCAGACATCCGGCGCTGATGCGGGAACGACGTCGTAGTGGCCATAGAAGAGGACGCGCTTGCGACGAGGCGCTTCGAAGCGGTTCGGGCGAGGAGGCGCGTTGGCGCGGAAGGTTGAAAGGACAATCGGGTTCTTGTCAGGTGCGCCGGGGAGCTGGGAGACAAGATGTTAGATCAAGTTGTCTGCGAGTCGTGGACTATACGCACGATGACCGTCTCGGCGCCGAGCCCTCGCAGCGCGCGCTTGAGGTACAGGGCGCCTTGTCGGCAGTCCTCCCGATGCGCATCGTCGGCGATGGTCTTGATGGCGACAAAATTCGCAAGGGTGTGGAAGAGTTCGCCTGCGAGAAAAGGCGAGGTCAGCCCGCCAGTCGAGCGGTCGGGAAAGAAAGGAAACTCGCCTTGGAATCCTCGTTCAGCCGGCGTCGCCGAGTCCTTCGTGTCTTCAGCACGGATGTCCCAGATCTGATCGAAGCGAAGTGAGGGTATAAGCGCGCGTCGAAGAGCGCTAAATCGGACGAGAATCCGCGTTGCGGTCGAACGCACCTTCAAGCTCGCATCGTTGCCGCCCGTCAGCAGCCATCCACCTCCGCCCATTCCGCACACCTCCGAGCTCAGTACGATGCTCCTGTGACTCTCCCATGCGTTCTCGAGCTTAAAAGTCCGCAGGTCCCACTGCTTGATCCAGCCGTTCGCGCAGCCGGCGTAAAGCGAGGAGGAGAGGACCGAGAGGGCGAGGACGTCGTGCTGTGTATGGGTAGTCGCCAGAAGCAAAGGTCGTCAACTCAAGCCACGAGTTCGAGTACGCCAGGAGTTGAGCGCACCTCGTGCGGACGCAGCACTCGCACGCAAGTAAGCGTGTCGAGGTCCCAAACTCGTACAACGCCGCCCTGATGACCCGCAAACAGTGTGTTGTCCTTTGTGGCGAGCGCGAGGACGGCGTCGCAATCTTCGCCGGTGCTTGATAAAGTAGCGAGCGGGAGAAGGTCGGATGTGGTCGGGCGCCAAAGCTTGACTGATTCGTCGCCCGCTGGCGGAACAGCGCAGGAAGCCGTGTCAATCAGTGCATACAGGAAGAAAAGAAGGAAGACCGGTGCACAGCCAGACATCAAGACCGATCGATCGTTGCTCTTGCCGACGAGCAAGCAGTACTGCGGTGCAAGGGAGAAGATCAGTCCGGGTCGAGCAGCAGATTGAGAGGGAGCGCTTGCAACTCACGACGTATCCGAAGTGAGCGAACGGCGTGATGCACTCCGCCTGGAACTGCAACTCGACCGCCTGTCCCGCTCCGTTCCCCTGTCCCGCACCCGACTCATTCGGGGTCGCCGGCCTCGAATCCTTCAGGCTCTTTCCGAGCGTGTTCAAGCTGTCTCCACTGCCTCGCCGGCTGCCGAGCGCTCGAGCGCGGTTCTTGTCCGCCTGCGAGATCGAGTCGAAGAACTTGTTCGGGGCTTTGTAGATCGGCGGGGAGTGCGAGAGGGGCGAGGATGAGAAGTACGACTGCGAAGAGGCGTGCGAGTGAGGGTGGTGAGGGGACTGGACTGGCGACCGGTGCGAGGCGGAAGAGTCGTTTGCGGTCGACGGATGAGGCGCAGGAGGAAGGTCAACCCACTGCGCTCGAGCATTCGTCAGGCTTTTCTTCTCAAACTGTGTGATCCGCCGTCGTAGCAGCAGCGGACGAACCTGAATGCTCGTATCCTGGCAGCCGGCGTACAGCCGCGCGGTCCCTCTTCGCCTTCCGCTCGTGCCCGGCACTTCACGCCCTCGTCGATGCCCAGCATGCTCGTCATCATCGAGCAGGTCGCCCGCAACCCATGCGATCGAGAGGATGTCGCCGATGTTGTCGTGCGGCGGGTGGATGAGGTAGAGGAGCGAGAGCGTGCGGGTGTCCCACACTCGAACCGTTCCGTCGCCTGCAGGAGACACGTTAGCGTCAGTCGCTTGAAGGAGACCACGACTGTAGCTGGACTCTACCTGATGCGCTGATGAGCCAGCCATGGGTGGGCACGACCTGCAAAGCGAGCACGGCTCCTTCGTGGCCGGTCAGACGTGCCCGCAGCGAGAGCGTCTCGAGGTCCCAGACCTGTGAAAGATTGGAGTCAGCGAAGCGCACGGGCGACATGTCGAGTCTGGCACGCCTCGCGGGAAAGGGCGGCAAGCGCACTGCTTTCCTTCCCGCATGTTCTGGCACTGCAGACTCACATGAATGTCGCCGCCTTGACTTCCTCCGTATACCCGTCCCTCCCCTCCGTCCGTGCGCACGCGTGACCTATCCCCGTCCTTGCCCTCCTTCCCGTTTGCAGTCGTCCCGCTCCCAGCATCCGCCTCGCCCGCCTCGACCGCAATGCACAGAATACTCTCGCCGTCACTCGCACTGAGAGTCGAGAGCAGAACGGGCGGAGGAGTCGTCGACTGGGAGGATTCGGTCGGAGAAGATGCAGAAGCTCGGAGAGCTGGCGACGCTAGGACCGTTCGGGGCTCGCCATGGCGTGAGGGTGGCGTTGTCAGGTCGACTGGTCGTGTCGCGCTGAGTGCAGACGCTGGAGGAAGCGATTGATTCGGTCGGGAGAAGTCGAGGTGGGGAGAAGCAGAGTCGACGGGAACGGCGGCGGGATGGTTCGCAACCTGTTTGATGTGCTCGTGTGGCGTTTTGGGAGGATCCATCGAGGCAGATAAGCCGGTTCAAGCGGGGAGAGCGACGTGGACGAGGGCCAGAGAGGCGAGGTTCGCTCGTTGACTTTGTACGCTCGCGCTCGTCGCTCAGCTGGCTCGTGTGTCTGCTGCAGGGTCCTCTCTGATCTTTATCTTGCTTGTCTGTACCATAGCGCCGCTTCCCGGCTTGCTCCGTCACGCCCTCGTCCTCCGCCAAATCCTCATCACCTCGGAGTCCGTGGAGCACAACTACACCAGCGAGGACCGTGTGCAGGTGCCAGCAGCCTGAATGGATCGCGAACAGAAGCTGGGCAGCTCCCAAGCCCAGACGAATCGATGCGCACCGCCAGAAGCGACTTCTTCTTCTCGAGATTCCTGCCAGCGGCTGCACAACCGGAGTCAGCGAGAAATGCAGCGGCGCAAAGGCTGTGCAACTAGTTCTGCGGATGCTGGAGGACCAGAGGAGACCCGCTGGCTTGGCGCACTCCTTTCCGGTCACAGACCCTCCGTTCTCCTCCTCGGATCGTTCTTCCTTATCGTCATCGATGCTGAGCACGGTCGGCCTCTTCCTTCCTTCGCCTTCTTCCTTTGCGCGCTCTGCAAATTGCCTGTATCGCTCACACTTCCGGCCGAACGCCTCGACATGCCCACGCTGTTCCGCCGTCGTGCAGTCTCTTCGACCCGCCGCTCGCCTTATCACACCGACGATGAGTCCGACGCTCCGACTCACTCTGGCGCAGAAGACGAGCATGTCGTCCCTCCGTCGATGTCGTCTGCTCCTCGCTCGGCGTTGAGGACATCCACCACTCGGTCGTCGTCGCGCCCGAAGATGGTGCGCGTCGGCACGGATGGCTCGAACGAGATGAGTCGGGCCCGTGCACATGGTGCGTATGAGCGCTTCATCTCATCGTGAGTCTCGAGTACGCTGACTAACCTCGTACTTCGATATCGCAGCTCCAGGCAGCATGTCTGTGAGCACTTTGACCCCCTTATCCTGCTCGTGCGCACCCTCGGCTGACGATGTCCTATCGCAGCGCCGTGAGATCCGAGAGGAAGTAGAGGACATCAAGCGTCGCATCGCTTCGTTGGAGAGGGCGAGTGCGTCCCTCCGTCCCTCCCTCCGAGCGAGCGTCATCAAGCTGACTCTTTTCGCTCGCAGTTAAGAGGCGTGCGCTCGACCATTCGTTCCGACGCGTCCGAGGTACTGACTACACTTGCCTCTTCCTTCGCAGGCGAAAGCAGGATCGACGAACTCGATTCGCCCGCGAAGGATCCCGAGGGCCTCGTCCGCGCACAGTGGCGCCGCATGATGCCCAACCTCGCCGTCGGACGTGCGTCGTCTCTCTTCTCGATGATTGCGTTCATTCAGTTGACCCGAGGGACTCGCACAGACGCCTTCCTCCCTCGCAAGGAGAACGGCAACATCAAGAAGAGCTACCTCGCCCTCCTCGAATATCAGCCGCGGCACCCGAACTGGGTAGCGATGCAGCGGCAGAACCACGACGCCTGGGACTGGATGCGCGTGGATGCGGCGCGACTCGAATGGAAGTACTTGGGCGTCAAACCCGAGGAGGGCCACCTGCTCATGGACAGGTTCTTCGCCCTTGTATTTGCTATTGAGGCCAAGGTGCGTCTTCCGTCCTCTCTCTCGCTCGATCAACCGCTGACTTCTACTCACTGCAGGAGCGCAAGATCCACGAGCTCCAATCTCGCCTCGACGAGCTCGTCGGCGCTGGCCACATCCAGGCGGAGGAGCACGACCCGCTTCCTTACTACAGCGACAGCGACGGCGACTTCCGTCCGACCGTCGAACGTCCTTCCACGCCCGGCTTGACGAAGGAGCAGCGATCGATGACTCGTGGGTTCCGCGGGCACGGTCGCATCGCTGCGGACCAGATCAAGGAGGCGTTCCGTCGGCGCTCGCCCTTCGGGGATACCGACACGGAGGATGAGGACGAGGACGAGCGTCCAGTTGCGTCGTCGAGTCGGGCGCAGCGCGAGTTGGGCAGGATGGGCTTCAGGGCTGCGCGGCGGTATTCGTTCTCGAGGGAGGCGTTCTAGGCGCGTATACACACACTCATACCCATCGACTCATAGACTGTGCAGCTTCCTTCGCTTCAAGCAATACATCATCCGTTCGCACTCGTTCTTCGCTTCGTCTCCTCGTCCTCGCTTTACGCTGCTTTCGCTTTTCGCTCGGCCGCGTCTATCATACTCAACAATGCAGCTTGTCGCGACACACCCGGCGCTGCTTGCGGACCATGGCTCGACATTCACAAGGGAAAAGAACCGCTTCTTCGTTCGTGCTGCCTTGATCCCGATGTCGATAACACCCCACGACCTCTCTACATGTTATCCACCACGACAGACGCACTCTAGACGTACTCCTCGCCAAAGTAGCGCTTCGCACGCCTATACCCTCCCTCACCCGCTGCGCCCTTCGCAAGCGAGTAGGTCTGACTCTTCTTCTTGTTCTTGAACCACGACATCTTCCGGGTTCTGCGCGGACTCTCTGGGTTCGAGTCGTCCTTGGGAGGCGGAGTCGGCGCCCGGTCTACAGGCGGAGTGGGCAGGTGCACGAGCGGGAGCGATTCGTCTTGCCTAGCCCGGTGTTGCGCTGATGGAGTGCGCGCCTCCTGGTACTGAAGCTCCTCGTATTCACTTTCCTGGGCGCTCGCGAGGGTCAGTACGATCAGGCGGCGGTACAGAGAACGGAACGAAGACGCACAAGAATTGCGATCTTCGCGTTCAGTCTGCTCCTCTGCTTGTCCGTGAGGACGTGGCAGTACTCAAGGAGGTGGCGTACTGCTCAAGGGAAAGCGTTAGCGTTCGCAAGCGACAGGATTCATCGCTACGAAGCGGGAGGAGGGGACCAGCGCACTTTCTTCGACTGCGACCCGAAGTAAGTCAGTCAGCCCCTTCGTTCGCCTGCTCCTTTTAATCAACGTGGACCGTCATACGCACTCCGGTGGCTGACAGCTGCGGCGGTGGTGAGGGAGTCGACTTTGGCGAGCCTGGCAGCCCACCCCGAGGCCTCCTTCTCGTCGAAGTTCCCGATGGTGACGCTCGAGTAGTTGAGAAAGTTGTCCCAGAAGCTGGAGCCGCTTGGCATCCTAAGTGTAGCAAGGGCGCGAGCCAAAGACGAGGAGCAGTGAAGGAAGAGACAGAGGCAAGACAGAGGGGAGGAAGAACTGATAGAACTGGGTCGAGCTGACCCTCGGGCAATCCGCGGAGTCGCAGCACGTGGGAAGACCGCAGGTCAAAGCGGCGGGACGACGCTGAGGAAGGGGCGAGAGGGAGAAGCGCGACTTGGGAAGGTCGACCTTGAGTACGCCGCCTCGACAGCTGCCTGGCTCTCCCGCCGTCGCCAGCAGCTTTCCAACGTCTGAAGAACGACGGCCAGGCTTGCACGGTGACGCTGAGAGGCGACGAACGCGTGGAGAATCCGCGGACAGACTTCGTCCTCCTCGTCAACCGTTCTCTCGCACGCGCTGGTCTCTCGCCGCTCAGGTGCACCCTGCGACGCTATCTCTCCCATCGCTCGCCCTCGTACACCGCAACCAGACATGTCCGTCGTCGTATCAAGCGGAATTCCCCCTTACTCTCGCATAGCGTGATCGCTTGCCGCTTTCTCTTCCCTCGCCTGCCACCACGAACGCTTCCTTTGCTGTTGCGCGACCTGGACTGTGCTAAGGGATCCTTGCGCAACCGCGACACCGTCCGCCACGCCCGCCCCAGCGACCACCAACTTCCGCCAACTCGGAAGCGGTGCGCTTTCGCTCGCGACTGTGACACCACATCCGGGAAGCGTGGGACGGCTTGAAGTAGATACAGGGTGCGTACATAACTTTCTGTCCGGGTGAACGCGCTTCCGACGCGATGAGGCGGGCTGGAGGGCGCATTCGGGGGACTTGCGGCGAATGAGGCTTATCTCGCAGCGGGACAGGCGGCGGCGAGGCTGGTTGGGCGGTAGGGAGCTCAAGCTAGAGGCACTCATTGGGCTGGTCTACTTGTGCGGTCGTTGGAGTCCACACACCCATCGCTCGCTTCCTCTTCCTCAACCGCCGAATGTCGCCATCGCTCGCCCGCTGACCCTTTCTCTCGCTCTTTCTACAGCTCGAGCGACAAGCCATGCCTTCATTTCCCGAACCAGAACCCGGCGCGTCGCTCCTCCTCGCCTTCACTCCCGCCGCTCGTCCACCCTTCTCCTCTCGACCACAATCGCTTCTCCTCCTCGGCCCAACCCGTCTTTCCGCTCTTCGCGCATTCGCAGCGCTCGAAGCCGGATATCGCGTGATCGTCGGGGGACCGGCGCCAGAAAAGGACGAAGTGGGACGATGGGACGCCGAGCTGCAGTTCCGCCTCGAGCGGAAAGAGATTGAACGAGTTGACTGGCCACTGGGGGAGGAGGCGGATGCACAGGAGGACGCATGGTGGGACTGGTTCGACGCGGCGGAGCGGAAGGGAGACCTGGATGGCGTACGGATGATCGTCCTCTCCGACACGATCGTCTCGCACTCGTCGTCCTCCGTACGACGACGGACGCTCGCCTCGGCGCGAGCATTCCGCGCTGAGGCAGAGCGGAGACGCTTCTTTGTCAACGTCGCCGACTGCCCCGACTTGTCCGACTTTGGCTGGGCTGTCTCGCACCGATTCGACCTCATCCCTCCTTCCGCTCCTTCGAGCGAGCCGACTCCCCGCCGCAAATCACCCCTTCAGCTCGCCCTCACAACGAACACCTCTGCATGCCGACTCGCTACTCGACTGCGGCGCGAGATCGTTGCGTCGCTGCCCAAGTCGGCGGGAGCGGCAGTCGAGGCGGTCGGCCGTCTGCGAGAGGAACTGAAGGCGCAGGTCAAAGCTGCTCAGGAGGATGCGCAGGACGGAGAGGACGACTCGGAGGAGACGCAGGGCGTCGGGTTGAATAGGCCGGTCGAGCAGCTCACGAGGGCGAAGAGCCAGGCGCTCGATGAGCAGCAGCGGTGCGTCACTTTCGTGCTGTTCTTCCTCTTCGCTCGCTCACTCGTTCCATGCCAGGCTACCAAACGGCGAATCGAGCTGGACCGGCGCGTCCGCCCAGCTAACCCGAATGCGTTACGTCTCCCAGCTGTCCGAGTACTGGCCGCTCGACCGGCTTGCGACGGTCTCCCTCGCATCGCTTTCGGCGCCCTCCACTCCTCTAGCACCTCTCTCACCCTCTCTCAAGCCCGCATACCACGACCTGGATCCTGCCTCCGAACCCACCGACCTCGCGCTCTCGCCCCCCTCGCCGCGCCAGAAAGGCCGCATCTTCCTCCTCGGCACTGGCCCCGGCAATCCTCTACTCCTCACCCGCGTCGCTCATCTCCTCCTCACCACCTCCGACCCATCTTCACCCTTCTACGTCGACCTCTTCCTCTCCGACAAACTCGTCCCGCCGCAGATCCTCGCCCTCATCCCGCCTAAACGACGCGAAGGAGTCGTCATCGCCCGCAAATACCCTGGCAACGCCGAAGCAGCGCAGGAGGAGCTGATGGCGCTTGCGATTGAGGCGGCAGAGAAGGGCAAGACGGTCTTGCGGTTGAAGCAGGGCGACCCGTTCTTGTACGGTCGAGGAGGAGAAGAGGTTTTGCGATTCCGAGCGGTCGCGGGCATCGAGTCAGTCGTCCTGCCCGGCTTGTCGTCGTCGCTGGCCGGTCCGACACTCGCCGGCATTCCCGTCACGCAGCGAGGAGTCGCAGAGAGCGTCGTCGTCTGCACTGGCGTCGGACGAGGAGGACGAGACGTTGCACCTGCGCCTTACGAGCGGGGCAAGACGCTCTGCGTCCTGATGGGCGTCGCCCGCCTCTCCTCCCTCGTCAAGGCGCTCATGAGCCACCCGACTTCGCCTTACCCGCCTCACCTTCCGATCGCTCTCGTCGAGCGCGCCTCTTCGCCTGATCAGCGCGTCGTAGCCAGCACGATCGACCGCCTCGCCTCTGTCCTCGAGACGCTTCCGCCGCATCGTCCGCCCGGCATGATCGTCGTCGGCTGGGCCGTCCTCTGCCTCGAGGGCGAGGGCGACATGGGCATTCTTGATGATCCTCAGGACGAGGGGCGGGACGAGCGGGACAGGCGACGCGTGCAGAACTGGCTCGGCGACATCGGCTACAAGGTGCGGGAAGGGTTGAGCGAGGGGTGGATGAGCCTGGTTGGCGGGCTCGAGGCGGAGGGGGAGCAGGTTTCAGCGGAGTAGTCTCGTTATCTTGGGTTGCTTGGTCTCTCGCATCGCAGCATTACTCTCTCGTCAGGATCGTGGGAGCGGGCTAAGTTGCGAGGCGAACGAAAGGATGCGAGCACGAGTAGAAACAACGAAAGGAGGAACAAATCTAGGCTACGATGCGGGAAGGAGAAGCATTAAAGTCGTGATAGTCAGTGCGTGAAAAGCGAGAGGAAGAGAGCCTTCGCTTTGCCGGCAAAGGTGAGTGTGCAGGGAAGGATGGCCGAGGCGACGAGCGTGTGCGGCTGGAGGGACGGGTTGTCGGAGGTGTCGCGGCCCTGCAGGATGAAGTTCAGCGACTGACGCGAATGAGGCAAGGATGAGCACTCACCGAGGGTGCCCAGACGAATCCTCCGAGGAGCGTGAGATAGGCGAAGCAGAGGAGCGAGCCGCGGAAGTAGGTCGAGCGCGCCTCGATGTAGACGTAGGTGAGGAGGAAGATTGAAAAGATGATGGCGATGGCGTCCCAGCGCGGGAAGACAAGGCTGCAGCGACGAGTAGTGGTCAGCGAAGTCTCGAAGTTGCGCCTGAAGGTCCACGCACGTGAATGCACGGTGCGCCATCGTCTCCTTGCCGATGCCGTACCAGGCCGTGAAGGCGAGCATGGCAGGGATCTGGATGAGGCAGACTTGGAGGGCGTAGGCGGAACCGATCTCCATCCTGCCAGGCGTGCACATCAGCTTGAGCGATTCGAACGAGACTCGACGAACGCACGACAGGGCAATGTTGCCGTTGAGCGCGAAGGAGATGGCGTTCATGAACTCGGTCGTGTTGGGGACGAGGGCGAAGAGCGTGATGCCGAGCAGCTTCTCAGGGATTGCGAAGCCGTCGAGGACGACGTCGACCACGTCGACCAGGATCTCTGCAGACGGCGGGTGAGTCAGGGAGGAGACGGAGAGTGGTCCGAACGTGACGCACCCGCGATAATGGCGTAGAGAACGGTGCATGCCAGCAGGACCGTCGCACTCTTCGTCCGGCTCCAGTTCGGCGCATCGTGACCTCCATGTCCACCTGCTTCCTCCTCCTTGCCGTGCTGAGGCGCCGAGACTTCGCGCATATGCGACGAGGCGCGGTGCAATTGCGCTGCGCCGGCGTGAGGGCGAAGAGCGGGAGCAGCGGAAGCAACGATCTCGAAGGCGCGGCTGAACTCGTCGGCGGTCAGGCCGTGCGGAAGCTGGACCGACTCAAAGTGCTGCTGTTGCGAGTGTTCCGGGCGGTGCGCCGATTGAGGAGCTGATCCATCGGGCTTGAGTCCCGGCGTCTGCGGCGGCATCTCAAGCGAAGCTGGCGCGAGGAAAGGCGTCTGGAGCGGCGACTTGCCCATGGCGGACGGGCGGCGCTTGACTTGCTGGATGAGGTTGGCGGGGACGAGGCGCTGGTAGATTGAGCGGCGGTCGGCGAGACTCGCGTGCTGGGCGCCAGAGAGCGGGCGCGCTGCGCCGTGTTCGTGCGCCGGCTGCGCATTCTGCCAAATCTGCGAGGCGTGCGTTTTGAGCGAGAACCAGAGGCCGATCAGGTAGGACTGCGGGGCGGAAGAGTCAGCTTCACGAGGGAGCGAGGATCAGGGCGGACTCACGAGGACGAGGATGATGGCGCAGTAGTACGAGAGCTGGACGACGGTCGTGCGGTAGAAGGGGTCGTCGGCAGGGCTGACGTGCTCGTAGTAGCAGGTCTTGCACGATGCGGCGCCGGCCTTGCGCGAGAGCGGGTCGCAGTCGGTGCAGGTGAGCTGGAACTGCGCGAGGGGGAAGAAGATGAGCGAGAGAACATCGGTGAGGAGGATCCGGGCGACGCACCGATCCGTAGATCTCGTAGAACAGCGTTGGCGTGAGCGTCCCGATGACGGCCATGATGAGCATCGTGCTGGTGACGCCCGCGCTCCTCGCGTTGAACCGCTGCTCCTTGCGCTTCGCCGCTCCGCCAACCATCGACATGCCCGGCATGAGGAGGACGCCGGCGAGGATGCTGCCAACGATTGATCCCTCGACGAGCTCACCCTTGGCCTGCGTGAGCGCGATGCTGTACAGCACGATCTCGATGACGCTGCCGAACGAGGCGTTGATGACGGCACCGACGCCGATCGAGCTCTGTGCCGAAATGGACGCGACGGCCATGCCGATGAAGTACGAGAGCGGGATGACCGAGAGGAGGGCGGAGACGAAGACGAACGCTTGGCTCGAGATCAAGCGCAAGACGCCGCCTCCGCCGGTCGGGTAGTGTCGCTCGACGTACGGCGCGACGAGGAAGAAGTCGACGATCGCAAGGAAGACGAGGGCGAGCAGGTTAACGAACCAGACGTTGACGCCGTCGACCGTGTACTTGTAGTACTCGAGACCGGCGGCGCGGTACGTGCAGAGGAGGACCGTCGGGTGCGGGCCGCGGAGACGACCCTTGCGGCGGTCGGCGACGAGCGATTGACGAGGCTGCGGAGGAGCGGGCTGGCCGGCGCGGAGAGGGTAGACGACCGAAGTCGCGTCCTGCTGCTGGTGCGTCGGATCGTCGGCGTGCACATCGGGCGCCTCGACGTCCGTCGCGAGGTCCTGGACGACCGGCTGGTAGTCGGGCGGGGAGCGGAAGTACAGGGAGAGCGGCTCGTTGTTGAGGTGGCGGAGGAGAACCCACAGCAGTTTCGCCATTGGAATCGAAAAGACGCCGCCCCAGCATGCGAGTGCGACGAGTGCGAGCACGGGCGCGATGACGAGGTAGAACCCGACCCAGTACATGATGCGGCCCAGGGCGCGGAGGCGGAACCCGTGTGCCGAGTCGCCATCTTTGCTGAAGTCGTGAGGTGCAACGCTGCGAATGCGCGGCACCGTGTCGCCGGTGATCGTCTCCTCACTCGAGGACCTGTGCGCTTTGTCGCTGCGGTCGTGGTGGCCGTGTCCGAGCGATCCGTAGATGCGGTTCTGCTGAGGCGTGCGGTCGAGCAGCGAGCTGTGCTCGTCGGGAACGCGGAGGCTGCTCTCGCTCGGTTTCGGGCGGACGGTGCGGTCGCTGCGACGGACGGGCTCGTCGGGGAGGACGTCGAATGTGGCGGCTCGGATGGGCGGGCGGCGAGGGGAAGAGACGGTGGACGAGATCGTTCCGCCTTGACCGATCGTCCCGCTGCGGCCTCGCCTGCCGAAGCGTTCGGCGTTGTCCTCCTCGTCCGAAATGTCGCCCGAGCGGACGCCCTGCCCGCCGTCGGGAGCGGCATCGTCCGACTTGATCCCGTCGTCAAGCTCCTCGACCCATCCTTCGACGTACTTTCCGAACGGCCAGAAGAGGTACGTCCCCAGCTCCCACACAACACGGCCGTACTTGGCGCCGCCGAACGGCGTGATGAAGAGGATGGCGCTGACGACACCGCACAGGATGAAGAGCCAGACGCCGAATGAGAGCGTCCAGATGACGTTCGAGGGGAGGAGGTGGTGCAGGGCGGTTGAAGAGGGCGCGGCGTGCAAGGCGGCGTCAGCGTGTCGTGCGATCGAGCGGGACTTCTTGTACAGCGCCGGCTTCCAGATCGGAAGGCCGAACGGGTGCTCGACGTTGATGGCCTGCGTGCGAGACCTTGTCAGCAGGAAGCGAGAGAAGGCGAGCGAGCGCACGCACATCCTGCCTGTCCTTCAAAGTGTACTCGACTTCTCCCTCGTCGTCGGTGTCGTTTCCTGCGTCATGCTCGCCGTCCGCTCCCCCGTCTCGCCAGTCCTCCATTCTCGGCTCGTCACCGTCGACTCCCTCTTCCTCGTCCGCCTCGACGATGCTCCGTGCGGGTCCTTCAGTGTCGCTTCCGGCGCCAGCTTGCGAAGAAGCTGAGGCGGAAGAAACGAAACTCGTACCGCGCTGGCCGAGCGAAGGGCGGGGAATGTGAGGGTAGGCGTGGTGGTGCTGGTGATGAGGAGGAAGGCCGAGAGGAGACCAAGGAGGCGCGGCGGAGGGAAAGGCGGGCGAGCGAGGTGCGGCGAGATCCGAGAAGGCTTCCGAGCGAGCGAGAGACATCTCGCGACCGTGCGGACCTGGCGTGTTCGGGTTCGAGGGGTAGCCGAGGCCGAGCGAGTCGGAGACATCGCCTGCCTGCGAAGACATGTTCGTGTAGGCCGAGATCCGTCGCTGCGAGTCCTCCTTCATGCGCTGGGCGAGGGCGACTTTGCGGGCCTCCTGTGAATCGCAGCGTCAGTGAGGAAGCTGAGAGCGGAGTAATCGCGGCCACGCACCTTGCGCTCCTTCCACCGCTTCCTGACGAGCTCTTCGCCGCGATCCCTCGTCACGACCTCGTCATCATCGCTTCCCGCCGCGCTCTGCACACCTCGCCTCGTCCTTCTCCTCCTCTCGCCGTCGTCACTGTCCGCATCTGACCCGCTTGATCCTCCGCGAGACGAGGATGCCGCCGAGTGTTGGCCGGTTCGAGAGACGGAGCGGCGCGGGTTGGCGGACCCAGAGGCCGGTTGACGAGAACGAGAGTGCGATGCGGATGTGGGGACGGAGGGGACGACGGAGAGGCGAGCCGAGGATTGTGGGTGGTAGAGCGACTGTCGAGGGGGAGGAGCGGTAGCGGGAACTGACGAGGCGTTCGAGACGGAGGTGTTGACGCTGATGCTTCGTCGAGCCGCATTAGAGGTGCTGGGAACCGCACCACTTGGAGGACGTGTTCGCGCGCCCGTGGCCGAAGCACTCGGTCGTCTCGCACCGGACGCTCCGCCCTGCATCGGCGTGAAGAAGCGGTCTTCTTCCTCATCGTGCATCTCCTCGCCCGCGGTACCGTACGCCGAAGGCTCCTCCTCGTGAAGGATGGCGTCACTCGCGCTCAGGTCTCGTCTGGCGGGCGAGCTGAACGAGGACGAGGCTGCTGTCGTGCTGGAATGCGTGCGAGGGCGAGGTGGCGGGGTCTGCGTGTGAGCCGGAGGCTGCGGAGACTTGGCTGCGATGGCGGCGTATGAGGGGACTGGCTTGGAAGCGGGAGGCGTGCGGGAGAGTTGCGAGGGTTGCGGAGTGGGAGTCGTAGCGAGCTCTTCGTGGGTCGCCGGTTCGGGAGTTGCTACAGGAGTCGTGTCGGCCTGCGCGACAGGCGCCGCGGTCGAAGGCCCTGCGATCGTGTCGCTCGAGCTGGTGGATTCAGAGGAAGAATCGCCGGCGGAAGAGGACGGGCGAGGCGGGTCGTCCATCGCGGCGGTCGTCTCGAGTGGCTGCGGGTGGGTCGAAGTAAGGGATCAGCTTCTGTCTGCACACCGCAGACCAGCCCTGTGCGCGATGCAGACGCAAGCACCTCGTCCTCGTCCTCGGTCAACGAGGAGGTGCGGGAACTCGCCCGCTCGATCCGATGATCTCGTAACCTTCCCAGCACCCTCTCCCGCAGTACTGGTGCACTACTCTGTGCCCCTCGACCCGCACGACGCGCCCGCCGCCGTTGTTGACATCTCGAGCCTCTCCTCCCCACTTGTCGAGGACCCGGGACCGCGAACATCGGCGAGCGAGCAAGCGAGAGACCGCGCAGATAGAGAGACGCACCGTTGCTGCCGCTGTGGCCTACTCGTCCAACCGCTGCTGCCGTGCGAGGTGGTGAGGCGAGTTGTTCGGATGCTCGAGGACGGCGGGAAGCGAGAAGGCGAGAAGAGGCGGCGCGGGCGCGTGTGTGGGCTTCTCCCGGCGCAGTCGAAGGTTTGGAAGCGGATGCAGCCGAGCAACAAGCCTCGCAGCGGATGTCGAGCGTGTGGTCGAGGACAAGAAGCGAAGCTCCTCTCCTTCGGGGAGCACGACGGCGACGAGGTCATCTTTCGCGAAGATCAAGAGGCGAGGCAGTGTGTATCGAGTGTAATGCAACAGGAGTACCCGCGAGTCGTACAAGGCGGATGCCGCAACTTGACCCTCCTCCTCACGCCCATGCGTGCGACATGAGCCGCTGCGTCGCGACCAAGCTCTGGTACTTGACATCCGGGTCGGCGTGCGTCATCAGCTCCATCACGCGACCCTTGGCACCGAGGTCCTCGATGGCCCTGCGGGTGTGTGGAGTGGGAGGAGAGGTGGATTGTGCGAAGGCGAAGGTGGGTCGGCGGTGAGCGTAGCGACGAGGTCAAAGGTGAAGGCGAGAGAGGGCGAAATAGTGCAGTGAAGGGAGAGGGGGATGGAGAGAGTAAAGAGGAAGATCGTCAGCTCAGTCCAAGGAGATCCTCGAGGAAGCCAAGTTCGTCCCCCGAATCTGCGTGCGCCGGCCAGCGAGAGATCCGTACGCACTTCTTCCCGTTCTCGTGGTACTTGACGAACTGCGCGATGTCGTTCGCCGCGACCGCAAGCGTGAGTGCCTCAGTTGACGAGATGAGCAGATTGACGAGAACTCTGCGGAGTTCCGTTAGGGCGTCAGTTCCGGCGGACGGACGGGAAATGAGCGCAGGACGCACTTGAGCTGCTCGCGATCTCGGTCCGTCAGCTTCAGCGCGTTGTCTCGCCAGAAGTCGTCGTTCGTGTGCGGCGGCGACCACGTCAAGTGTCCCGTCGCGAGTTCCGACTTGTACTCGTCCCAGGTGCTGCGTTGCGTCGTAAGCGTTAGCGTTCAGGTACATCCCTCCGGTGAGGAAATTGCACGCACGTCAATCCCTCGAAACTCCTCTTCAGCTCGTCGACCAAAAAATCGACATCCTCCTTGATGTCCTCATCGCCAAACTTGCGTCCCTGGAGCGTCTGCAGCCAGGGAAGGACCTTGACCGTCAACATCGCTGCGAGGTTCTGCTTCGGCGCCTTGGTGATGAGGTTGCGGAAAGTCGATACGACGATGCGGATGATCTTTTCCTTGATCGCTTGTTTCGCGAGGTCGAGGAGGAGCGGCACGACGTTGTAGCGGCTGCGCAGTGTCAAGAGTAAGCTCGAGGTGCGCGGTCGTCGGGAGGAAGGGGCAAACTCACGCATTGATCTGCTCCGCGACAGTCTGGTCGAACGAGAGGAGCCAGAAGCAGAAGGCGAGCTGGTACTGCATCTGCGGCGACGGATGCGCCCGCAGGAGCTGGACGAGTCTGCGTTACGAGCGTCGAGGATCAGCCATCAAGTCCGAAGGTGAAAAAACGGGAAACTCGAACGCACCCCTCGATCACCTTCGACGCGTTCGCGTCACCCTCGCCTGCGTCCCACGACATCTCCCGTGCTTTCGCAACCCGCAAGACCGACTCGAGGCATTGCACGGCGACATCTTGCCCTTCCGGATCGTTTGGTGATCCTGCGAGGTCATCGTGATCTGCGTTAGTGAGCTGGCAAGCAACCTGACCGCGAAGACGTAGACGCCGGGTCGACACGAGGCGGTTGAGTGGGACTGCCGCGACTCACGGACGAGGTTGGCGAGATGCTGCAGGACCTTTGCGACGACCTGATCTGACGGTTGTGGGTCGTACGGGAGGATGGTCGAGACGATCGCCGAGCTCTTCAGGCGCACAAAGTCGTCTTGCGAGTCGAGAAGTCTGCGCGGGAGCGAATTGGTGAGCTGGCAAGCAGTGCGAGAGGACGGGCGCGCAACGAACTTGAGGAGGGAGGGGTAGGGCGTTTCGGCGGTGCCGTCGAAGAAGAGGGAGATTCGTTCGTCTCGGTCTGTGCGAGGAGAGTGTCAAGGGTGCGGCTCAGACGATGCCTCCCACACGAATCTCGCAACAGAGACGATCCGGCGCACGCACCTGCGATGAAATCGCCAACGAGGACAAGGATGAACTGGAGTGTGTCGTTGCGCGACAGCTTGTTCAGTAGCCGCACGTACAACGCGGCGTACGTCTCCCCTTCCTGCCGTTCGTCGCAAGGTCAGCTCGCTTTCAGGCGTGAGGAGGAGAACAACGACGCACCGCATCGAGGATGAACTCGGCCTTATCCCTGCTGCTCGCTACGCGCTGCACGAGCTTGACGTCGTCCACATCCAGCAAGCCAGCGCGTTGGTAGCCCTGTGCGCCGTTCGAGTGATGACGATGGGTCAGTTCGCTCGCGAGGCAACAAGCGGGTCTGGGAGCGACGCACGTCCCATGGAATCGCCTTTGAGCGAATCTTGAGCGATCTGTCGCTCAGGAAAGTGTTGGCGACGAGCGACATGAGCCCGCGAACGTCGAGGTCGGTGCGAGACGGTGGGGGTGCGCTCGTTCGAGGCGGCGAGAGCGTGGGTGGGTGCGCCGGGTGCTTGTAGCGGTTGTGAGGGTGTCTGCTGTCGTCACAAGCGGGTCCTTGAGCGGTGGCAGCGGTGTGGTCCTCGTCCAACCTGGTTCCCGTCTCTCCCTCGCGCCGTCACCTCGCTCGACGCTGTTCTGGCTGAATTGGCTGCTCTGTAGCACGCGAGTACACCGCTGAGCTCGCTGCGCCACTCGACGGCTCTCCCATCGCCTGTCACCGCGTCTTTCTCCTCGCTCGTTTCCTTCCCTCCGCAACTCCCGGCACGACCCGCGCGCGGAGGCAGTAGGTTTGGAGGGAAACGCCGTGGCGAGTCAAGACGCTGGTCAAGCGAGATGGGCGCTTCGCGGTGCGTCAGAGATTCGGAGCCAGCGTGTAGCTTTCACCCTGGCCGAGTTGATTCTTCCCTTCACCTCGTTACCTCTCCCACTTCCGCCTGACCGACACGCTTGTATACCTCAACGCTTCACACCGCCATGCATCCTCCCGCCCTCGTGCCGGTTTCGCAGCTTGGCACGGGTGCTCGACGAGGTTCTTTCGCTGGCCGTTCTTCCCGCATTCTATACGATTCGGGCGGAGGGAGACAGTTCTCTGTCTCGAAACAGGCTGGCGCTGCTGGAGGCGTCCGTAGCGGCTCGGCTAGCAGTCGGGAGCTTGTCCCGCGCGTCATTCTGCGAGCTCTCACTTTGACTGGCGTTCCTCTCCTTTTCCGCCGGTACCTTAGGGTTAGGGTTAGGGTTAGGGT